CGGAATTTTCGCGAATGGGTGCCTACATGCCTGGTCCGTGCAACGATACGATACAACAGTGTTTTAAAAATGCCCGCCGGATGCCCGCCTTTCCCGCCTTGGCCGAAGCTGGAGAAATGCTTACTAATGCAGCCCCGTTGTTCGGACAGGGCCTTCCAAATTCCTGCATTTGGCTTTTGTAGGTGCACCATGTCTTTAGGCAAGGGGAGTTGTTCCTATCCCAGAGCACGTTCCCCTTGACCACGACAACACTTTGAAGCAGCTCTTGTTGTTGTCCTCTCCTCCGAAGAGTCAGCAGATCATGTGGACATCACATTGATAACAGTCTAGCTAGATTGGCTGTATCTTAGGCGGGCTGCAGTTACGGTCTTCACTTTTTTTTTTTGGCTACATATGTTGAGGTACTCCATGAACGAGACGAGCCAATTGCGCCATGCATGCATTAGAGAGTTCCGAGAACGAAGCGTTGAGAAAAAGAAGACAAGACAAGACAAGACAAGGAAGCTAGGAGGAATGAAAACTCTGCCGGGGCAAAGGGGAAGGATGCCCCCAAGTTGGGATATTTGGAAGATTAGAGTTAACGGGCACGCTGGTTTGCAGGTTCCTGTGTTCCGGAGTTTGGACCGGATTATATACATAGGTTTCACATCACTCAATTCGTCGAAAACAATTATTTAGGGAACAAAAACGAACGAACTTAACTTCGAAGACCGACTTGGAAAATCAAAGGATTTTGATTAAATAAGCACTTGTATGGTCTAAAAGCCAATTTGAAACTTTTGAAACTTTTGATGCCTACATTTTTGCCTACATCCCGGCGCATGCGCAGTCACTCGCTTGTTTTCTCTCGCGCTTGGAAAATTAGTAACCAAAGAAAAAGTCATAGGGCCAACCAGGTCAAAATCAACTTCAAGTTTGAAGAATCAACTAACTAACGGAGCTCCTAGAGTGAGCTAGTTTTGTTTGTAGGTGATATTTAGTGTTAGTAGAGAAAATTTCTCTCTCTATTCTTTGAAATTGGTCGAGGCTCAACAAAACGAAGGAGCGAACCAGCTTTCTTCCCGTCGTTTCGACAAGACAACATGTAACACGATGCTACATACATTACGTAGAGGGAAATGTGGGGGAATACACAAATACGCACAAAGAAATCTTTGATTATTTATTTCCTCCTCATCACCTTCAAACGAAGGAATAGAGGGATGGCAGGCCGGTAGACTGGAGACGAACGTTGAACTCGGGTCCGTTGTACCAAATCCAGCGGCCAGGGCGGCGAGCAGAACGCAGGTCAGGTGCTACCACATCAGTGCTGGTGAGCATGATTGCTATGTCTTGATGGATTGAATAAGGGTCTGAAACGAGAAAAAAAAACATGTCACGAGAGCCTGTAAGCTGAAGATAGATGGTTCACTATTCAGATGAGACGGATGTTGGTTGTTCCGGTATTGTACCTACAATGACTCTAACCTATCATCACAACAAAACCTATTGACAACTAGAGGAAACAACTGTCACGCCCCCCATGAAACATCCCTTTCTTCTGTCTCTGGATAACGTGGCTACATACACCATGACGAACGACGAGATTCAGGAATATATCGTTCTTGATCGAAAGGGAAAAACGATATTGTTAATAGGATCGATCTTGTACTCTACCGGTAAGCGGTCTACAACGTCTTGCATGCACCCTTTGTTGGTACATGGAGTACCTAGAACAGTTAGGGGTTTTGAGCGCCATCTGCGTCTAAGACACACCACTTCTAAATGCTACTGCAGCAAGGCCTGGATTTTATCGGAACCGTGGGAATCGTTCAAGTAAAGTGTAATAACCTCAGAAATCTTATTGCAAGTTAGTATAATTGAAGCCTTAGGATCGTATCTAATCATTAGGGCGAACTCGGAAGTATTTATGATGATATAGGGACGGTAGATATGGGCACTTAGTTGTAGCTACATGTATGTCTGAGTAGAGGTTACTACATGTACCTCCCTATTATCATCAATACTTGCACATGATTCGCGCGCACAGAACGCGGGGAAGCGGGGCTAGGGGCGGATATATTTTATGACAACTCGTTTTTTTCTTTTGGTGGTAATTCTCGATAAGAATTGCTTTTGAGGGGGAGGAGGTTCAAAATTTAGTCTTGGGCTGGTGAACCTGAACCTGGAGGTTTTTTTTTTTTTTTTTTTTTGCTTTCAACCTCCTCTCGGGAGTTGGTGGAACGCAAGGAAGAGGAAGAGCTTGATGGGATCTTCGTGCAAGGTTCGCAAGGAGAGAAGATGGGTAGGAAGGGTCCATCTCGCATCCGGACCAGGCTGAATGAAGCTGGAAAACGTAAGCGATGGAGGGGAAATTGACGTCAAAAGAAAAGATCTCCGGTCAACATATCTGTAAGAAGATACGCTATTAACTCTAGAACCGTGATGTGTGGACAGGGCATGGTAACTGCGCGTAAAGTGGTGTGGTTCACATTCCACTCCAGCCTTAGAGAGAACGACTGAACAAGGAGAGATTTACCTCAGGGTATTAGTATGAGCAGCATACCAGGCTACAGCCAGTACTCTAGAGTACTCTACTCTAGAGTACTCTACCCTAGAGTACTCTACCCTAGAGTAAGCGCATGAAGAAGACAGGATGAAACAAGTTTCGAGGCTTGAATGGGTAATTATACGGCGTGCTAGTTACCGTACTGGGTGCATCAGGCTCAAGCAGTTACCCGCAAAATAGTAGTTCATCTGAGCGTGGGGAGAGAGAAAGATCAGAGAGAGGGATAGCCCTGTATGTATGTAGACCATTATGTGGGAGGCTTCCCGGGGAGATATCTTGGAGCGGAAATTGAAGTGATGATGATGAAGTACTTGGGGTGGGGTTATTATCATTTTTATTTTCTCCTGTCGAAACATCTGATCAGTCTGATTTGAATTCCCGGCGGGCGCTCATGAAGCCTGAGGCCGGGAAAGCCGGGGGTGACGGTTTTTATGAAGCAGCGTTATGAAGCGGCGAAGAGGGGGTTTTCAGGAGATCTCCAGTAGATGATTAGGTATGAGAATGCCAGATGATGATGATGGAGGTGAGTTGTGAGTGGATGAGAAGCTGAGGGACAGACACAAGTCAGATTTGCCTCTGTCGAGCAGCTCCCCATTGAATAAGGTTTTAGGAGACGGTGAACGGACCCGTGAGGCAGACTACCGTATGTAGGTACAATGTAACATGTGCTCTAGCTCTAGATACATACATGATCCATCCATACGATGTAGTCCGTGAAGGGACCGGGACCTGAGAAGACGAAGAAGCAGGTAGGAAACCGAACCTAGCTTGGTTTGGTGTTGCTGCTGTGAGTTGTTACTCACTTGGGGCTTGCTGTGGTACAGGCAGGACAGGACAGGAAGACAAGGTCATGAACATGTGTTCAAGTAGGACGTTATTGATCTTTTTCGGGAGAGGTTCGTGATACATACCGAGATGAATCGTCTTGTTCATCGATGCATCTGGATGTTGGTCTCTATGATTCGATACAGGTACCGACAGGCACCTGCTTACCTACATAATACCACTTTGACCTTTTTATCAAGTCGTTCCAAACATTGGGCCTAACTCGTTTGCGAGTCTTCTCCTTCCTCAGTGAGAATTAATCCCAATATCATTCGGGGTTTACGGCAGTGGGTAGCTCTGGATGTACCGTTCCTCCTGCTACTCCTGCTCCTGCTCCCCAGGTCTCTCGGGTGGTTGCCCGGCCGGCCTTTAGTCGTTGAATCCGTCAGTTATCCGTCACCCTCGCTTGGCTACATTCAGTTCTATTCCTGGGTTGGGCTGGGGGGCCGTTCAAGCAAAGAGCCTCTTTGTGTCTGTCTCTCTCCCCACAACCCAAGCAGGCACGCACTAAGGCAAGTAAGTATTCTGCTTGCCCACAGTAAGTAAGACGCCAGCCACCGCTAGGTCCTGCCTGGTCCACCACTCTCTCTCACTACTACCGCTGCCTGATACCTGCCTGCTACCACCGCCGCGGATACGGAGTGAGTGAGGGCGTGAGTGATAGTTAGAGAACCTAGAGAGAGAACGCCGCGCTGCACAACAAGCAGGCACACTCACTCGTTCACGCTTCTTTCTGTGACTCTATCATCTGGCGCCTATAGTCCCAACTGTCTACAACACATCACGCTCACGATCTATCCATCCTTCTATTCCTCTCTCACCACCTCTCTTTCTCACATCCCCCATCCCCCATCTTCAATCTTCCTCCCTCCCTCCCTCTATACCTCCCTCTCTCCACCTCGCATACTCCCATAATCCCCGTCATAGGCGCCGTCTTTGTTGCACTCGTCTGATCTATTGCCACCGCTGCCCAGTGTTCAACCAAGACTTCCAAGCAGCAGCAGCATCAACCAGTACCCGCAGAGTAGCATTAGCAAAAAACAACAATACAATAGAACTCACTTCACTCTCTAATCAGTGCAGATTAAAACTTTCGCTACGGTCACTGGCACTCACTCACTGCACTCCACATTTCCGCCTGTCTATCAATCAATCAATAATCCAGCCAGCCAGACAGACAGCCATACACCATCACTGCCCCCCCCCCCCCCCCCCCCCCGGTCACCCCCAACCTCCCACTCATAATCCATAAGCCCCCCTCCCCCCCACCTCTCCCGGCCCTCCATATCTTACCCACCATCCCTTCTGAATTACATAGACAGCCTGCATTTTAAATCTCCCGTCGACAAAACCGGCCGGCTAAGCAAGGCGATATAATCCTGAACCCATCCTGCGGACCTTTTCTTCAGTTTTTTTTTATTGTATCATACATTACCCTTTACCAACCCGCGCGACGAACAGAAGAAAAAAGATTACAAAAAAGACAATTTACAGAAAGTGATAGGAAAGACAGCACAGATCGCAAGAGAAACAGATTCGTGGAACTCTCTCTTGGCTCTCTGCGTCGTTTTTCTTACCACCAATTCTACAATTCGAGATTCGAGTCTTCTAGCTTTGAGAGTATTTAATGGAAGGACTCACAGTCTCGAATAATCGCAATGGTGAGTCTCAACATTATTTTCCGTGGTTGGGAGTAAAGTGCACCTTTTTTGTTCCATGTCAGTGCCAGTGCCCTGGGAAAGAGAGGAGCACAAGATAGAGAGAGACAGTGTTCCCCCAAATATCTCATTTCCCCAATAACTATTCTTTCTATCTTTTTCAGAGGGTGGTAAAGGAAAAAATATGGAAAGAAAGCTGCTGCCCTCCCCCGCCCCCCTTCCTTCGCTCTCTTGTCTGTCTCTCCCCCGCAGAGTGCGTGGCCTATGTACGGCATGTTGTACATGCACGATCACAACTCTATGTACTTGCTTATCGACAACGGCCCATGCTGACGACTTCCCCCCAACGCAGGCGAAGGCTCAGACTCTTTGGGCGAGATCATTCGACCCAAATCTACTCCACCAGTAAAATCAGCCAGCCTTAATTTCCCCCCCAGCGGTAACGACGCCGGCTCTTTATCGGTTCGCCCAAGGATACGGTTCTCGATAGATTCTGGTGCTCCACAACGGATCGTCGATCCCTTATCTCAGTATGTTGTTGTTTCTCATAAGCTTTTTTTTTGTCTATCCTCAATCCATTGGAGGTAATTTCTAGAGCTCTTGAGAAGCTGAACGGTTTTTTCTTCTTTTGTATTTCTAGTAGTCCAGTAGCCATTGGTGAAGGTGACCATTTGTACACTTCCGGCCTACGACGGATACGACAGCAAGTGGCCCCCCCTCCTGGCGCGCAGACCTTCGTTATCCCCAATTCCATGCACTCAAAGTCAGTGCCTGGAACCCGAGTAAATTCAATCTCATTCCCCACCTCGCCAACGCTGGGGTCATGCGAGGACCTTGCACGCTTTCCAACAGAGTCGCTACATTCATTCTCGTTTGCAAATCAGTCTGAAGATCTCATCCATAGCAGACAAAACATCCTTAAGCGAAGTATTGAATTCATGAGGGACAAACTGGGATGGGGAACGCAATCCCCCATGATAGCGTCCGCCCAAGCCAGGATCGATGGTGACGACGAGGTAGCAAGTATAATAGATCTGCTGCAAAAAGCTCAGCTTTTGTCCGAGGAGAACACCCCACTGATGTCAGGGCCAATCACGGGGCCTGCTGAGGTAGATGGGAATCCCTTTGAGCAGAGTTTTGGACCTACGGCTTCTTCGAAGGAGAAGAGGGGAATTGGCGCGACTATATCTGCAAGCTCTATCAACGGAATGGGGGCTAGATCTGAGGGCACATCCCGCTCCACAACCAACGAGTCGACATCAACCTCACACAGCTCCCCACCTCCGACTCGAAGAGCCAGTCTGAAGAGGACCTATACCGATACGACGCCTCTAACGGTGCAGACGAAGCTTTACGAGGCACTCGCACAGCCGTACCTAGCCTCCGATGTCCCAATGTCTGCGAACGGGATGGGCCCGCGACCAATGATGAGCAAATCCTCCGTCCACGGTCATACAAGCCGGTACACTCCTGCGTCACAAGCGATTTTCACAACCGAAGCGCACCACCCCTGGACAATCTTGGCCGCCAACGATTTGGCTTGCCTGGTTTTCGGTGTCACCAAAGCTGAGGTTCGGAAGATTGGGATTCTGGAGGTTGTCAGGGAGGAGCGCCGGGAGTGGCTCGCAGCTAAACTTAATTCTGGAGAGAATTCCTCAATGTCGTTCCCCTACCCCCACAGCCATCACGGGTCACCGAACGTCACCGGAGCGATGTTACAGAATGGCACGTTCGCTGGAAACAGGAGATCCAAGACCGATGTATTCTATACCAGTTCCCCACGGAAAAATGGCGACTTACCCAATGGCGGAAACGTAACCCTTCACCATCCACAAAACAAGTCGAGGGGAGTAATTCTATGCGGGGACGTCGTACCGATCCAAAAGCGGAACGGTAACACCGGAGCCGCCAGTTTGTGGGTGAAGGAGAAGAAGGGAGGACTAATCTGGGTTTTGGAGGAGATCAGCGAGGATGTAGCATTCTTGTACGTTTCAGAGGAGGAAGGCACAAAAGGAATGGCCATGCGCTTCACCGGCAACGTCAAGAACATCTTTGGAGAGGAGACTTTTCCCGAGACTGGTGTCGACGTTTCTGACATGATTCCGATGATTCCCAAGAGAGCTGATGGATGCGTCGACATGGATCAGACTGCCATGATTCATCAGTTTACAGCGATAAGCATAGATGGAATGGCGATTCCCTGCGGTGTCGAGCCTTTACCTGACCGAAAAGCCCTTAGAGTCTCGTCGTTCCCCCACATTGCCGGTATCATCGTGCTCTCGGCTTCAACTCTGAGAATCACGAGCTCTAATGCTGTGTTTTCTGCTGCGCTTTTTGGGCAGTTGACACCGGTTGGGCTCGACATCAACGAGTTGATTCCGCAGTTCGACCGAATTCTCAGGTTCCTCGTAGATGAGGACGGTGTTAATCTCGTAGATGGTATGGTCATCCCTGAGCATTCCTTCCGAAAAGCAAAGGCTATGATTGCTTTGAGGGATGGCAAGGAGGACGCGATCGCAGTTTTCTCAAAATCAAGTGGTCTTCCCGCCAGGCATCGTGATGGCGCGGAGTTGAAGGTAGATGTTCAGATGAGGGTTGTGATGTCAGAATCAAAAGATAGGGAAGAGGTCATGATTGTAGATGATGAGGATGAGCGAAATGGTACTACAGAGAAGGGCCAGCTTGTGTACGCACTTTGGATCACGTACTCCCGACACCTACACGCGGCATCCCTGGACGTAGATCCAGCCTCTGCAGCTTCTCGACGACCGCTGACACCACCCAAGAGACCTAGCCCAGGTCAGCCGAGCACCCCCACAGTTCCCAACTCACCTGAGGACCCAGGCTCTCCCGCCAGTCTATTAAGGGAGCTCGACGCCATTCAACAGTCCCCAACCCCACCAAGCTCCGACGACGAGTGTCCGTCCCCCACCACCCTCAAACACGTACCCTCAACTGCATCTATCGGAATGTCTAAACGAAAGAAGGCTATCTCAGACTTTGTGATCCTGGAGGAAATGGGCCAGGGAGCTTATGGTCAAGTCAAGCTTGCAAGATACAAGAGAAACCATGCAAAGCGCGTCGTCCTCAAATATGTCACCAAACGCCGCATTCTCGTCGATACATGGACGCGGGACCGAAGACTTGGAACTGTTCCTTTGGAGATTCACGTTCTGGACTACCTACGAAGAGACGGACTTAAGCACCCCAATATCGTCGAGATGACCGATTTCTTTGAGGACGACATCAACTACTACATCGAGATGGTCCCTCACGGCCTTCCTGGAATGGATTTGTTCGACTACATCGAGCTGAAGGTCAACATGGACGAGGACGAGTGCAGAAGCATCTTCGTGCAGGTGGCTAGGGCACTTCATCATTTGCATATCAAAGCGGGTGTTGTGCACAGAGACATCAAGGATGAGAACGTGGTTTTGGACGGCGAGGGCAACATCAAGGTCATCGATTTCGGAAGCGCTGCTTACATTCGGAACGGGCCTTTTGATGTCTTCGTTGGTACTATTGGTATGTGTTGACTCCTGCGAATTTTGAGGGAAATAAAAATTGACTAACAATAACTTAGACTACGCTGCTCCTGAAGTCCTCGCCGGAAAATCTTACAAGGGCAAAGAACAAGATGTTTGGGCGTTGGGTGTTTTACTCTACACCATCTGCTACAAGGAGAACCCGTTCTACAACGTGAGTCACTCTAAAAATAATTCTTCAGGATTACTTTCTAATCGAAATGTAAAGATCGATGAAATTATGGATCGCGAACTCCGGATTCCCTTCGTCATGTCTGAGACCTCGCTCGACTTAATCCGGTTGATGCTCGACCGCGACGTTGAGCGAAGACCAACAATCGAAAAGGTTCTGGCCCATCCCTGGTTTGCAGATCTTCCTGGACCGGAGGAAGCGCTCTTGGCCGAATCACCTGTATTGGCCAGCTCTAGAAAAGAAGACTAAAGAAAAGAAAAGAAAGGGGAAGAACGCGCGACTTCGTCACAGGACATGTATAGTACAGGGAAGATGTGTATGCGTTTGTCTCCATTCTAGACGGGATTGGACCTGGCGACTGGGCGCGAGGTTGGGTGCAAGGTCATCGATAAAACTAGCTTTTCGTTGCTTCTTTTCCTTTGCTTTTTTTCTGCTTCTTTTTGCTTGGAAATGGGGTTTCGTTTTGGCGAGTTGGGGACTTAGGTTTTTTCTTTTTTCTTTCTTTTGTTGCTTTTTCTCTCCCTTTCTACTTACTTTTCTCATCGTGCCTAGGCTTTTCAAAAGATTTGCTTTTGGTTTCTCTGGTAGAACAATACCTACTAGAATTTGTTACGTTCTGTGTAAAGACTTTTTAGTTTACTTTTTTTTGAGAGTTCTTTCTTTTTGTTTACTTTTTTTTTATACTCGTATTTCCTCGTTTTTTTTTTTTTTTTTTTTTTTGTTTTTTTCAGCGCAAAGATGGGAACTGGAGTCGATTACGGGTTTTCGTTATGTTAAACTGGGAAATTTGCAATTGCATTCATTGCATGAGAGGAAGAGACGTATGAGGAAATTCAACGAAGAAGAAGTGGGGACAAAAAAAAGAGAAGATTGTTCTTTTTTTACGGAAAAATACAATGTGGATTCGATTCATTCTTTGATGTTTCTTGATCTTTAATTTACTACTATGCGGGTTTTTGCTGGTATACTTATGTTGGATGGGCCTATGTTTATGGAGGCCGGAGTTATGGGTTCATTATCACAAGATGAGAAGGGAGATTGGTTAAAGTTTACTTACTACTACTGTTGTTTAATAAATATACCACATTTCGATTAACTAAATCCCATATGCGTTGATTGTCTCCTTCCACAACATTGAATATCGTCACTTGTTATTGACCAATCCATGACATCAACATGAGCGAGTCGAGTCCCAGAGACAAAGATAAGGTACAGCTGGAATAGAAACCGAGTGGACTGTCGTTAGTTATTGTCTCGGAAGGTTATTACATCGTGAAGATCCCCAACCTTCCCACCACAACCGAAGTAAGACCCAGCGATAAGCTCTTTTCCCCACCCACCATCAACCAAGATCTCACTCGCGGGGGAAGGCCACGTTGTTTTATGGGATCCACGCAAATGGGCCGGTGGGTTTCACATGGGATTTTGTCGACAACGACAAAGCTTAATAAGGAGGATATGTATGAGGTGAGACAGCAGAATGTTGTCTAGGAAACAAGATTTCTCTCTGCCGGCTTTGCCGGTGCGAACAGCTTGATCCTTAGAATAAAAAGAAACACTCAGCTAGCTGAGGGGAAGCTGGTGCTGACTGGCATGAAGGATAAAACGACGAACTAATTGCTATGGGGGCTGCGAGCTGCTTGCTGGCTGGATTGGACAGCTAGAAGTGGAATCGCAACGCAAATCAAACCTTAGCCTTAATTATGTGGGAGCGAATTATGTTTCCCTCTCTGGCTCTTCTGGAGAATAACGTTTTACTGGTGGGGATTCTTTGCGGTGTCATGGTGGTCGTATGCATGACTGAGCACTGACGTTGATATATTAATAGAGAATGAAATGCAGAAAGGAATCGTCCCTGCCAAGCCTGTATTTCCCTGCAAATCATCTTTCAGAGTTTATAGACTCTTCCCTCTCTATATATACTGCTCTGTATATTGAGGTCTGTACAGCTATAGGGTATTAAGACTTCTTCATGGGGCAACGCCACACGGCCATGACTTCCCAACAAACCAGGCGTCTGCTTTCAGCAGAGACCGGCCAGGCACCTTGATCTAGATTAAGGGCACAAGGAATGCAAGGGCGACGATCTCTGACGTTTCCACGGAGGTATTCCTATGTGACAGGGGCAGAGTTCTCGAGCACAAAAGGCTGGTAGACGTACTTCTGGGGTATGGTTAACCTGGGGGTTATGACTAACTCCTTATAAAATCGAAAACGACTTCAACAAAACAGCACTCTTGGTGACTCCTGACAATTAAAAACGGTTCTCTATATTCTTGCAAAGAATAGAGCCTATAGCTATTCTCTTAAATTTAGGTGGAATTAATCATCCCCCCAGTTTAACCATACCTCTGGGATCGCGTCTAGAGCATGCAGAGAAGTTACTACAATAACATCTGTTCTATGGTCAGGAGACCATATCCTTCCAATTTACGAACACCGGATGAGTCATAGTATAATTTTGTACCATTGGATGTTTGATGGATCAGAGGCCCTTGCAGTACCAATCATAGCTAAAGAGCCCATCCTGTGATTGCTCATGTCCTACACGTTATTAAATCCACTTTTGAATATGCAATATTCTATCTTCTACAGGTAGCTATAAAAGTATATGAGCAATTCAGGAATAAGAAAATCGAAAGACATCAAGCAACAAATGAACTAAAGGTATAATAGCCCTAATAACCTTCCCGGGTCCCGTCAGTACGAATATGTAGTTATTTAATACACCGCCCCAAATTATAGTTTTCCACTTTTGACGCCTTTAGAAATGTACATGTAATCACAGCGGTACTTCTCTATATCAGGAATTAATCGCCACAAAGATATTGCCGTGTAGCGTTGTAACTCGTATTTATCTCCTCCAGGGATCCCGATCTTCCGCTGGGGCCGGCCGGCCACCGGCGGGCCTAATACCTTCCGAACCCCGAGACAGATTAAGGGATGAGATAGAGGCCGATAAATTGGTGTAGCTAGTGCTACTAATAGCTCCTGGGGATTAAATCAAAGCGTCAGTGTAAGGTTGCCAACTGCTACAAGAAAGACCGCTGATATTCCTGGTGCGTGCGCCGCTCCTAGATGTATGTATGGCGCTACTATGGGGTGGTGATATTCTGATAGAAAATAGCTACGCAAAGAGAGTTTCTCGAGCCTTACAAGGTTAGGAGTACGTGCTAGTAAGCACATCGGTAAAAGCTAGACGTCGGGAGGTACATTAGTAAAGGTACCAGTACTCGCAGCAGGTAACAAGTACCCGAAAATGCAAGCCCCAATCTGCAATTTCCATTGGAGTAGAATTCAAAAATACATCAAAACCTTGCAGCTGCGTTTTCGGGTACTTCAGGCCTGTTGTGAGTAGTTGCGGGTGTAGATCTCGATGCTTTCCTAATAGAAGTCTAGTGAATTGACCCATAAATTCTCACTAACTACATGTATTCACTTCCCGTCATGTTCCGATTGTGATTTGCGGTTACATGTACTCTAGTTAACATGTAGTTATGATTAGCATGTAAAAGTGGCCCTATCCAAATATGCTCAAATAAATTGAGGGGAAGAAAGAGGCCTGTGTGCATTTGACTAAGATCTTTCTCTAGACTTGGAAGGAATATCGACCCTCGAATGAATATTGTTGGCTTTTGGGGGGTTATATAGATACTTGTATCTGATATTGTTTAGTAACATACGTAGTTAACGTGCGCTCCGAGGATAGGAAGACTCCACTCGCTCAGTTGTACCCTCGGCAATAGTAGAAAATGATGCTTGTTGGATGTTCGACAGATGGGCACACCTCTGGCACTAGTATATGTTCTTCAACTGCTAGAGAGCCAGATGGTCGATTAGAGCATACAACTTTTAACGGGTCTGGAGCTCTCTAGACAGTTACAATGTGGCTCCCGTTGATCAACACAGTAGGGCTCCTATTGAAGGGTTGTGCTGATTGTAAGTCTCCATTTTCCCCAGTTCTCACTGTGCTTTAATGAAGTTTGCGGTGGACCGGCTTCTATGTCGCAGTTTGTGTTATCATATACTCCTAGTAATCTATCAATAGATGAATCGAGTTGTTGTGTAAAGAAAGGCATCAAATCAATATGGGGAAATCTATGCCTCGTGCGGGGGAAAAGTCAGAAGCTCATTGGGGCGTTTCTTCTCCCTACACCTCAACCTACTCGCTAATATTGACGTACGGTCCCCCTCTTCTTATGTACTTAGTGAACTTACAGGTGGCTTTCCAACACACCCTACTGGCCGCCTTCGGTACCTCTAATGATGTTCCCACGCCACACACACGCACCCCGATTCCTCTATCAATCAATGTTCTAAATACCAAATTCTACCGTAGGACGGAAATTGACGATATCACATACATATAGTGATATTAGTAAATTAGCGGCACAGTAGTCATCAGCTAGCAGCGGATCGAAGACTCCACATTTCCTATTAACGGCAACGACTTTAAGAATCGATCGATCGATGGTCTGCAATACAAGTTAGTAAAGGGTGACGGGAGGCGGACAGCGCATAATACTGATAACGGGATAGTGCCGATGATGGCGAGGGAAGTGACGATGGGAAGGGAAGTGACGATGGGAAGGTAAGTCAGATCCCCACCTTCCTCTCCAACCAAGCCCTGGGCACAAGTGCAGGGAGTAGGAACTTCATTCAAAGTGTCGAAGTTGGTGAGCAGGAGCGCATGCAGGAAACTCATCGGAAAGGCAACAGGAAGTGTGCCGCTAACCAACCATCGAGTGATAGTACATGATTCACAAACCAACGACATACTTATGTATAGTACATCAGTTCAGTCGACACTACGTCTCTACGTAGAACATTAGCTTTAGAAAGCTCAATAGAGAATTCTCGGGACGTTTGAAGGCTGTAGACAGTATTGTGGAAACCACATATTGTAGAACTGCTAGTTGACTCCAATCGAGTGATGCCTTCTGACGCGAGATCATCCACGCGAACACTTCAAGTCTCCCTTGTATCGAAAAGAAGTAAGTAGTGGCTATAGAAGGATTGAAAAAACTTATCATGAATTTAGCTTACCGGATGTTGAAAAAAAAAAAAAAGGTGTTTGAGCTCCTGTGCGAGTGATAATCTGTGAAGATATCACTTATAATACTTCATGACTTGAATCTAACTTTACCCGCTATTGAAGTCTCATCTATAAGCCTTGCTTAGCTCTCTTGTTATAAGAATGGGCCAATTTTGGGTAGAGCGATACTCTAGCTGCGTCGTTGTCGAAACAAAAATCCCGGAATGCCGCGTCATCTTCAGGACGTCACTAGCGTAAAGTGATCCGCGTAATTATAATGGAAACACGTTTCAGAGAACACATCTACATGTAAATGTAGCTACAACTAAGAGCACCCCTTACAGTCTTCGCTTCTTCTTCTTCTTCTTCTTCTTCTTCATCATCATCGTCATCGTCATAATGAATAATGGTCAACATCCATTGAAGGCCAGCTTACAAGGCACCCATCGGAATTTGGCGCCTCTTCTCACTGGTTTACCACCTAGTATCTCTAGTTTTCTAAAAAGAAATCTCAAGGGGGGAGCACAGGACATCTCCGCCACTCCATGTGGAATGTGTAGGGTTTACCTATGGCCAAGTTTCCCATGGTTTATCATTAGGCAATATGACCCCGTGATTAAAGGTTTGAAGACTCGAATTTCCATTCTAATATATTTATAAGCTGATTATGTGCACTAGGACATCATATTTTCTAAAAAGCCAAGAACAAACTTACTGTTATTAGCTGCACGTTGTCCGTCTTGATATCTTGCGAGAGGACCACTGAAAATAGACAACCAATTTAGCAACCGCGCGCGTCACTATCATTGGCCCTAATTGGTACGTCACTTCGATACATGTATACTTGCACTTACTTTACTAACTAGCCTAGAGAATAGTAGAAAACTGTCTTGGCGCACCAAATGTGGTCGCCGGTCACTACTCCCTTGCATAAAACATCGTGCCCTAAAAATACAAGGTATGAGGATTCTGACCAGTAAAGCACGCCTGTAGAGTACTCTAGTGACTCGTATCCGACGTTATGGGTCATTAGTAGATACAGGATCTAGTGAACCTGCCAACAGAAAAAGCGCAGTTCCATTTTACTTCGGAACATCATACCCGACCTGACACCTCCAAGTACAGGAGTCAGCCCTACAGTTATTCAACATTAGTTTATGATGTTTAGAGTACATGAGGCTCGCATATATTGTCCCGTTATTATCCAGAATTAATTCTCCGACACGATACCATTTACCTGACGGCGGCCCCGACTGCCCCCCGCAGATCGCCGGAGGCTGTAAGACGTAACTTCCACCCCCTTGATTTCAAACATCAAATTTAACTACTCTAAATAAGCCCAATAAATCTTTAAGGAAAGGAAGAGTGCCCAGTCTATAGAAAACGCGTGTGCGGAATTGCGCAACCCGAACACATCGCATTGCTCGAAAAAACCAACAACCCAGGGTTCATGACAATAGGCGGTCATTAGGCCGCCGTGTCTCTAAAGTTAAATTATGTAGAGAAATCGAGATCTGGATCTAGAGAGAGAGGTAAATCACTCATTCACAATCAGGGCCTCATCGGAAGTGCAAGAGCACGAGATGCTTCAATCACGCATCTGATTTGATCTGTTGGCATATTTATATATATTCGTCTATATTTAGAAACATTACTTTCGAATCAGCCCCAGACTCGGGTATGATCGACATTCCTTGGACCTGTACTAATGAATGGAGTATCTCGAGGTAGGGAAATTGATACGCACAAGAAGGCCCACCTCATCTTATCTTACTAATAGGAGATCCAAGGATTCGGAAGCTTACAGCGGGAGGTGCGGCGGCGGAAATAGGGGTGAGGACAGGCAAAAGATATGTACCCGGGTACATAACAAACTAAACCCATGAACGGCCAAGCACATCAATAGTGAAGAAGATATCAATACAGACGGCAAAAAGTATAGAAAGAAGTTTGCCGAGACATTGGATGATCAGCCGGAGCCGATATCTGCCTTTCTCCCGCCCCGCGCGATTATGGGACGATTATTATTGTTCAAAATTGTGCCTTACCTTTTCAGCCTCTTCAACCTATGGCCTGTCCCATATTAATATGAAAATCGAGTATGCTGCTGTAGATACTAGTACTAGTACTAACATGCCATTGAAGGTTTTGAGAAACAACAACGGGCAATGCCAAGTCAGTAGAGAGGTTCTTCCCTTCCGGCACTGTATCTGCGGGTAGGCAAGCGGCTGTTTAAAACTCTCCGTCATTTGCGTAAGTAGAGTAGAATTGAATACAACACGCAAATCAGCGCCAAAGCGATATTGCGGCGCCTAACCGTTGGTCCGTGTCGGAGATTTCCTTTAGGAAGTGAGTATGTACTGGATGGGGTAATTCCTAATAATGTGCACTTCACGCAGATTTGGAAATGATACAGGTCAGTTAATATTTATATCAACTTTAATTGGGATCACGAGCCACATAAAAGACCCCCGAAAAGTTCCCAAAACCACTTTATCCATGATTTCAACTTAGCTAGCGCTCCCTTCCTTTCTGAGTAGGGTTAATTGCTAATTGACCTGTAGGTGGATATTTCAGGCTCTAAACGCGCATATAGCCTGAGGTACTCATCTCGAATACGATGAATTTAATCTCCTTGTCCAAAGAAGCTTACTCAAGCAGTGCCTCGGCTATGATGCCCAGGTTCTTTGCCTTCAAAACGGCGGTGGCGCTTTCTCATGAGTTTTGTAGTCAAGTTCGAGATATCTATCGATTCGACAATCAATCGAGGGGGGGGGGGGGAAGAAACCGGCAGAGTAATCGCCCGTCAACAACCCACCTAATTTATCTACTTTATCAGGGTAGAACCTGCATATTTTGCGTGCGGAAAAACCTTTTTCAATATATATACCCTGAAAAAGCGGTAGGTAGACACGCAGAGCTGGAATACCGAGTTTTACACTCTACATTGCTCTACCGATACGTACCCACTCCACAATACACGCACGCACGGCGCGCCCTGTGAAACGTACTACTTCAGCTCCCGCACGGAGTGTTTAGCGATTTGGGGGGGGAGAGTAGTCTCAAAAAGTACAAGCTTTGTATATTGTTACTTCGGTAAGTATTTCAATGTTCCTGTAGGAGCAAGAACCATGGGTCAAGGCTGACACGCTGTGATGTGCCGCAGATTGAGGGCCTGGGTTACTTATGCACCTCTCCTTTCGGTTATTACGTTCTAATGATAATGTTTCTCTAGTTGAGAGAGTGTGCCTAGGGTTGCATGTAGTTCGGTGCCCGTGTACGAGCAGCAGCTCTGAAGTACCGGTATCGAAGCAATCTCTGCGGTATGTGAATTTATGCAATGCCCAACACCCTTAAGGTCTGACCTGCATAACCCCATGGTTTAGCCCCCATAGAGGTCTGTGTTGAGGGGGTGCGGTGAAGTAGTAAGATCGAAAACCAGGGAAACGTTTGTGGGGGTTGTTTCCGGAGTCGGCGTCATTAACTATCACTCACCCACCTCCACACTACTTTAAACTTGGAAGATCTACGCAACCGCCGGTAGTACTCACAACCTGACCAGTAGATCACCCTGACAAAAACCGGCTCTGCTCTAGTCGCCGGCGTCTATCAAATGCCAATCGTCGCCACAGGTTCCGATTGACGAATCCTTTATTCGCTTCTACCACCTACCTAGTCGGACGCATGAGACATTTCTTTCTCTTTGTTGGTTACCAACTCCAGCTGAGAGAGCTAGAGGGATGGCGTTCAACGAGGGGTCCGCGTGGCGGCGTAGTGACTACGCCACAGCTACAAACCTACCGTGGGGTTTCTCGAACCTAGATAGAGTTAACCTTTTACTGTTTCCTGTAGGTGATGAAAAGCGTTGAGATCCCAAGGCTGCAGGTGCTGGGAGATATCCATCCCGCAGCATAATATCAGCTAGCTAGCACAACCTCGGTGAGATGTTGGGAATTCTACCGGGAACTTGGCGCTCAAATCGAATTCCCAAGTGTATCAAGTAAGTACTCTAAAGTCTGTATCGTCTAATGTGTGTCTACGGCTCGGATTATCTCCGGGGAAATCAAAGTTTATTTCTGCAATTTTATGCCATAACTACTAACCTACATGCACACTCTGGACTCTAACAATTGTTCGCAATTTGGGTGGAACTCCGCCGTCCCTCATAAATACTTGATATTTCCGGAGCCGACAAACACCGAAGAAAGACATGGGAAATTCGGCATGGTATTCTCCGTCAACTGGATACATACTGCCACGGAGATCGATGATGGAGATTTGGAAGCGCATGTTTCACGGCCTCAATGTCGTCTGTCCCCGGTGTGCTCAGTTCAAAACAGGAAGTCCGTGCCGGCTGTTTTGTATCTACCTAGTACTCTGGCCATTCGACAAGCTAGGTATCTACTCTAGCCAGTGTCTGATGACGATTGGAGCTTAAACGTGAGGAAACCTCTGATGTGTCTTAAGCGTGTGAAGTGAGTTCACTTCATGCACACTAAAATAACGCGAATATGTAGGCACACTCAATACCAGGTAAGCCTGAAATCTTCCAGTTTCATCATGATCCGGACTATTATTGTTACTTTTACGTTTAAATATCTTAAAGGTCGGACGGGACTCTGAGGCCGTGACTGGTATGGTATTATGGGATAGCACGTGGGCAAAGTTTACTATGAGTAGCAAGTACTACCAATGGTAACTGCCCAATATCAGAGTGAGCGAGTGAGCCAAGAAGCAGAAGAAAAAGGGGAAACAACTTGAATAGAATAGTAGGGGAATTACCAATAGGACCCCCGGACCCCGCACGGACATTTCCGGGTATATTTTTATGGTTTGTCCCTACCCACCGGATGGCCGACCTTTGAATCTGTCAAACGTGTTCAAACTTCGGGAGTCGGGACGAACGTGATGGGAGGCTGGGTAAGGTTGTAGCTTGTTCGCTCGTCTGTTGCCCACTACAGAGGTAGGTGGTGACAGCAGCGTTTACAGATCAGTGGGTGGGAATGATCCTATTAGCTGGAATACGGGCACCCTGAGAGTGGGTATAGGTATGGATAGATGGACGTATTGGAAGGGTATTGCTTGTTTTTTTAGAGTGATTTACAGATCGCGAGGTGTAAGCGAGATTGATTGATTGATTGAAAAAAAACGTGGGTCTGATTAATGCTGCTGTTCGTGTACCTTACAGCTCATGCCGGGAGGGAGAGTCTCTCCTTCCCAGACCAGCAAATAAGGTGATGACCGAGGTGGATGGAAACAAAAGGGTCAGTTTCGGCGTGCAAGGGTTTTGATTGGGTTACAGGATTTCGAAACGAGATGAAGTGTTCTCGAAACGGATATTATTACTTTTTTTTCTTTCTTTTCCTTTTGGATTCACTTTCTCGGCTAAGAAGGAGATCGACATTCTAGAACTGATTCAGGGCTATATGATATGTTTCTATGCAGATATCAAGAAGTTATTAGAAGACCATTTTGGGACTTGTTGTTTGAGGTTGTAGGAAAGTTCAACTGAGCCATACTAAGGAGAAGAAGTTGTTTTAGTTAACCTGGATGGATCCACCGATGAAAGCTCATCGCGCCAGGGACCAGGCAGGAGGTTTAGTACCGTTGCTAGCGTACATGAAGTCACCACCGTCGAGGACGACGTGGAAAGACCTGAAACCCGACCAAGATGGAGCACCAATGGACATACCGTTAGCGAGTTTCCGAACACGGAGATGCGCAGTCCATTTCTGGCCTAGTCTCACAGGCACAAACGGTTCGGGATGTGGGGAGGGGTGTGGTTGTTAGTGGTGGTGGGAGGGGGTAAGGGTTTGTGCAAGCTAGCACAGTGATGCACGGGCGGGATGAAATTCAGGAGGACGCTACTATTTTTGGTACCCACCCTCTTCTTCTTTCCCTCAGCTGCTGCTGAGCATTTTTGACTGTCACTCATGTCGCTGTTGCGGGTTGTTGGGAACACTTGATGATGATGGATGATGGCAATGAGGAATTAAATTTTTTATTTATTGATTAATCCCCCTCATCTCGAGGTTTTGAGAAACAGGCTGGGTCTGTACCCGGTACAAAGAGGTTAGAAGCAAAGAAACCAGAATTTTGTTTCGCGCAAGTGGGTGGTGGGATGCTCTCGTTGTGCACGTGGTGAGATACATGTAGTTAAGGGTCTTTGTAATTTTCTCTCAGCAATGTACTTTCAAGTAGAGTAACTAAATCTGATCGGAGTGTTTCTACCAACAATTCTTTGTAGCGCGAGTGGGTTCTGTCTATCGATAGCAAGCAAGAGACGATTGGTTTTCGTGATTTCACCTTTTTTTTTTCTTTTTTTTTTTTTAACCTTCTTTACTTTTTCAAGAGTTGCGACTGTGACCTGGTCTAGAGTTTTTATTTTGCTAGCTGGTCCTAGATCACGTCAAACGAGTGATCGTGGAAAAGGTTCTGTCACTTTTTTACGATTGTTAGGTTAACCCTACATACCTTCTATACCGTAAACATACCTTCTCAATTACGAGAAGGCAGTTCTGTGCGAGAGAGAGAGTCTCTTTCCCACAACCTTCCTCCTCCCCTACCTACGGCTACCATCGTGGTAAGTATCATTATTCCCGGGACAGCCAGCCAGCCCTCTCGGCCTCCCCTTCCTTCCTCTTTCACCTCTCCTCTCTCCATCTACCACCACCCCCCCCCGTCCTTTCTCGCTTCTGCTCTTTTGTTCCTTCAGGCCAGACGTAGCAGTCAGCAACCTTGGTCAGTCTGGCTCGTTCGTGTTTCCTTTCCTTCCTTTATACCTCTCCTCCCCACTCGGTTTTTTTTGTTGTCCGACCTGGGAATTCTTTGCTTCCGCATTGAATAGAATCTTGCGACGGTAGGCCATTCCTCAAACCCCCCTCCTTCCCCTCCGACCCCTTCACATATTGTTAGAATGCATAGGGACGATTGCGCGGGAGCAAAAAATAACCATCACAATTGCGATCACAAGAAGAAACTGCCCCCAATTCATTCCTCTAGCCTCCCACTCAAACCAACCCCCGTCCCCATCATATTCATTCCCTAGTTGGACTATTTTTGTTGAATTTCCCATTATCCATAATCGCGCCAGGCCTCCCCCCCCTCCCCCTCCAAACCCCCCATGACCACCTTCTTTCCCCTCCATACATCACTCGCCATTTTATCTTTCCACCCTGTCCACTGCAGAGGTTTCGTTCGTCGTGGCATCTAACGGATCGAATGCGCTTTTAGACCCTATCGTTGGCTTGTCCATTTTGAAATTTTGCCTGCCCCGTCTCTTTGTTGGACCTGCATAATTTCCACCAACCCCACACGACTCAGCAGACGGAAACAGCACCAGTACCAGCAACGGAAAACATCTGTGAAGGGGCGCACAAGACAACCAATCCAATCTCTATCCCTCGATTCGTTGGAACAATATTGAGAGGAAATCCATTAGTTTGATCGGCTGCTCCGATACTTTACGGTGGGGAAGCAAGAAAAAAAAAGGGAAAGATCGATATATTTGAAGAAAGACGCTGCAGCAGAGCTAGGCGATAATACGTCATTAACCACAAGCCTTACCGGTGGGAGTCAGAGACAATCATCATATAATACACAGGAAAAAAAAGGCTGTGAGAAAAGCAGGAAGATATAGTCTTATTATAATCGGTGGGAGTATTTGAATTCTGATAGGCTGGGAAGAGGAGGTAACGCTGGACGTTTTTCTTCGCACGACGGATTAAATAAAGAACTGCGTGTTCCATACACTCCTTTCAACATAATTGTTCCCACTATTCTTCCTTACACAAGGAAACAAAAAAAAGGAAGGAAAAAAGGGATCTATCGGCTTTTACATCGCGGATTTCTCTTGAGTTATCGGCGACAGGATAGCAACTTACGTGGCTTCAATCATTCACCTTTATTATTCGACCTTTCACGTTTTATTGTCGGAATTTACGGGGGATATCTCGAAATCGTGTGAAAGAGAGGCAGCTTTCCGATTTAGCAACTAAAAAGCTACACTGTACGTGAGAAAGGGCAAAGCTCATTTTTATTATCTGGACCCGTGGCTAAGAAATTTTAGAGCCTTGAGTTATTCTTAATTTTTATTACTCGCTATTCTGCACTTGGATTAATCAGACGCGGGGGCTTTTGCGTGCGACTCTCTCTTTACTTGCGAAGTTTGAGATCCACTTTTTTTTTTACCCACTTCTTTTTTCTTTTTCTGCTGGATTTCTCGATTTGCGGTGAGTTTGCCGCCTAATGGTCCAATTTTGGTGTGTCTATTCTTGGGATTTGGTAGCTGCCATTTGAGATTGGATAGAGGCTTATACTTGGATACCTCCGCCTCAGACACACACCACACCCTCTACCACGCACGCATATACACGCATACACACTTCACAACCCTGCAACAAACAAGGTAAATAGTTGATCCCCAAGAAAAAAAAACCCATACGTCTTCCCGCATACATACCTCTTGACTTTTGTCTTCCGGCCCTTCACTCTTTATGGTGCCGAACTTACCTCCTTACCTTACTCCACTTATAATTACTACATACTCACTTCCAGTTAATTATTATTATTACTATTTACAATCCCCCGCTGACGACTCCCCTGTTAGTTCAACCCCCTCTCGTGCCTATTTCGTGGCATTTGTCACAGTAGCGTTTCTTCGATAAGGAGATATTCCATCTTTCCGTATTCTTGGAACCTCCTCCTGCACCTTACTGCTACTCGAGTCATTGGGCGCGTGGCAAGACATCCCTACAGGCGCCACAGCTAGACCAGATCCCAGGGACCCTGACTTGCATCTGGTTAAAAAGGATCTTCGGTACACCCCTTTTCCATTTGTATACCGTCTCGCCCCCGCTGCTGCGACTTTCACCCCCCACTACATTTTCCTTACTACCTTTTTACTATTCCTTCATACAAATCATATCTACCTACCTACATACCTACATACCTACCACACATTACATTACATACCATAGATATCTTGTTCCAGTATATACTCTTGTAATGAGCGACGGCCTACTCCTCCTGTCCTCCCCGGCCTCTTCCCACTTCCCTCATACTCATCCACACGAGGCGGACCCTTTCCACATGACCTCAACGAAGACTGACCCACCAGCCTCATTAAAGCGGACCTATACCCTTGTGTCGCGATCAAACCCTCCATCACCTTCAGACCCCCAGGACAACTACAACCCCAACCCATTCAAGGTTCAGGCTCTTAGTCCTTCGAGGCTTTCACCGCGGCATATGTCACTGTCGCTGAAGCGTCGTTATCCCTTCTGCAAATCACCTACCGCGCCGACGATAATCACGAGCACGGGCACGGGCACATCAAGTTCGCCGACAGTACCGTCGTTTGTGTCGATATTCGATATAGACGTAGATATGTCTGGTTGCTCACCTACATCTCTCCACTCACAACACACAATAGTCCAGAAGGGACCCAACAGCTGTTTACTCGAAGATTCAATCGGTCCTTTACAGCGCTGCCAGTCAGGAAGCCTATCTACATCAGCTTCATCATCAACTAATTCGTCACCTACTACAACTATCTCAACACTTGGATCAGCAATCACGGAGGACCACACACCAGAGTCCTCCCCGGATTCGCTGGTCTCTGCGATGCCATTGTCTGCCCTCAGGTCAAAGAGCGAAGATCTGGGAGTAGTGCCTCAAAGTCCATTGCCAGGCTATACTCGCTCTCTATCACCTAGCAAGAAGCCGCGGAATACCAAGAACTTGTCATTAAAACCACTCAGTGTTGCTACATCACCAGTACAGGCTGTTGGTGATTCAAACAACATAGTTAACCAGAGCCCGCGATCAATGTCGGCCCCAACTTCTCCAGCGTTCATCAAGCCTCCCCCACCACCACAGAATCCTCGCAGGCGACCGAGCAATCTTGGACTGACAATAAAGCTGCCCGGTGCTTTGCCTGAGAAGACGGCAGTTCAAGGTCCGCCTGCAGGGGGTATCACAGCCTTGCGACACCACCAGTCGTCGCCGTCCTTGTTTTCCCCTGCGCACGGTGGTGTTCCCGGGGGCATGAAATTGCCACCAACACCCGGCTTCCAGAGGCCGTCAAGGCTGTTCTCACCCCCACGTCCAAGTTTGTCGACTTTTACAGCACAGGATTCGCTTTCGTCCTCATTATCGTCTTCATCAATATCGAACTCGCCTCCAAAGAGCCCGGATGTTTTGCACGAGATGGAGGAGGAGGACGAGGAGCCTCGGTCGGGCGAAGCGAAGTCACCTGCCTACCCTAGTGGACCGGTGTGCATATTCGAGCCCAACATTTATCTATATGCGGAACCGGACGCTGAGCTGGCGTCAAAATTCGATCTAATTGTGAACGTTGCCAGGGAAGTTCTTAACCCATTTTCGGAGGGCGTCAGGGGCCCGGTAAGCGCCCGGTTTGGTGGGTTCGAGTCAGGAACTATGCCGCCTGACACAGCCTGCACCGAAGCGAGTTTCACAACCGCATTCGAGGAAGCGCTGTTTTCACCAATGGTGAAAACGACCGGAAGGCTGAGACCTAACGAACCGGAATACGTGCACATGCCATGGGACCACAACACGCCCATCCTGGACGATCTGCCGCATTTGGTCAACCTGATCGACGACAGGGCGAGCTCTGGAAAGAAGGTATTGGTGCATTGCCAGTGCGGTGTCAGCAGATCTGCGACACTGCTTATCGCCTATTCAATGTTCAAGAACCCTGGAAAGAGTATGCAGGAGGCGTATGCAGCGGTCAAGGGAAAGAGCAGATGGATCGGACCTAACATGGGCTTGATCTATCAGTTGACTGACTGGAAGAAAAAGATCGACAACGATGGAACACGCCCGGGAAATGGAGGATGGAGGATGGGGAGCCAGTCCAGCGGAGGAGTTAGAGGACTGGTGTTGAAGAGCGGGAACAGGAATGGGTTTGGAAGGGCTGGGACAATGGACGAAGAGCGAGAGAGCGAATCGATGCCAGAGCCGCAGACCGCCCCATTACCAGAAATGCGAAAAACGCCGTCACCGCCGCCTCCCAGCAAAACCAGAGATCACCCAATCCCAGCGATGGTTCGAACTCGGTCGGAAAATGGGGGGTTTATTTCGGGTGTTTCGCCGGGTCCTTCTTCGGCGCCGCCAGGGATGATTTCCATCCCGGGGACGGAGTCAGGACCCTCGAATATGCGACAGTCGTGGCCTGATTCGGACTCAATAGACTGTGTCCGGGGCCGATCAGAATCACCTCGCGCAGATTCACCGCCACCATCATGGGCGGAAGCAGCAAGGGAATTGGAAAAAGAGGAGGTGGGTGTGAGCGCAACTGGATTTGTGCCACAACCAATGCCGCCATCAGCAGCCTACCTTGTGCAGCGCGCTGAGAAGGAGATTTTTGGACGAACGACGGCCGTAGGTAACGAGGACGATGACCCGCCGCCTACGCCAGGCGGGACCTTCATGAGCCCGAGAAACAGCGCATATTTCGGCGCGCCGATACGGCGGTCCGGTGGATTCTTCTTTGCAGACCCAAGGAGCCCTACACAGAGGGGTGGAGAGCCGCCAATAGTCCGGAGCATATTTGATGTCCTGTAGCAATTACTGTGGGGTCGATGGTACAACCGTTCGACCAGCTGACTGTCGATTGCTGCCAGAGGACCGGGATAAGCAGGGGGTGAGGGGCTGAGGGCATTGCTTTTCCCTTTCTTTCTTTTTTTATTGCTCGGGGAATTCTTTTTTTAAAAAAGGGTTCTGGCCGGGAGTAAAGATTTTGGGGAAGAGGGGGAGAAAACAGGGTTCTTGTGTGTGGGGTGTATCATTCCTATTGGGAGGGGGCAACAACGTCCGGAAAGCGGGTAAAACTATTTTTTTTGTCTATTTTTTTTTCTATTTTTTCTTTATTTATTCCACTTGTTTTATTCTGGATTTTTTCTATATGGGGAAAAACGGAGCGCATATAATTGGTCCCTATCGTTTTTGTTATTTCTTTTATTCCCTTTGTTGGTTGAGTGGGTTGGCGGTTGGTTGGTTTAGGATGGATGGGATGGATGGATGGGAAAGACTTTTTCACGACGGCAGCGGGGTAAATTGGGGGCGGGAAGAAAGAGAGTTCTGCCGGAGTGCGAGAGCACACATTCAATCGTTTTATGATACCTTTTTTCCTTTTATTATTATTATACCTTTTAGGCATTCGTTTTGATATTTTTCTTCTACTTTCTTTTGTCATCTGGATTTGCAATTGGTTTTCTTGTTTTCTGGGGGTTCTTTCTTTTTCTTTTAATCATCATCAACTCTGTCGTTTATATTATACCAGGTCGGTCGGTTTGGTCGGTAGCTGGCGTCGGAGGCGCCTTCTTTTTTTCTTTTTTTTTTCAAAGGGTAGATTCTAACTACATATTACTATCTACCACTACTACTATACTGCGTAACCACTCATCATCATCGTCAACGTCATCATCATCATCTATATCATCTATACCCATCATCGATATATATATCTATATCTACAACTTCTGTTCTTTCGTTTACTTTTTTTTCTTTTTTGATTTTTTTGTATATGGCCAAATACCTAGGGGATAACTACAACTATGCTCTTCTGTGATGAGCTTAGCGTTTATTTTGTGTGTGAGACCGTGTCTGCGTGTGTGTGATTTCATATGGGCTTTTTCATTTGTGGTTTTTTGGGATTGTGTGTTTTGTTTTTGGATTGGGTTTTGTGGCTGGTGAAATATTATATAGGGAAATCTACTATGGTAAATTCGCTGTAAAACTGTTTCTCATACTATGTCGTATCATATCGAATTGATTGAACTGAGTTTTGTCTATGTCTACATTTTTGTCCAACAATGATGCACAAGTTATCATTTGTCTCTGCTGATGATGGTGCTGCTATCATTGACGATGCTCCATTGCGTGCGTGCGTGTACATACAGTATCTCAAGGCAAAACGTGGGATTAAGGTTATGACTGATTAGCAGCAGCAAGTGGGGCCGGCCGGGGGGGGGGGGGGCTAAATGCCAGACCTGAGGAGCTGTATCTACATGTATCTACTTGCTAGCCACAATGCTGGCTACATAGCCAGATGCTCCAGCTATGTAGCTAGGCCAGCATTTCCGCAGGTACGTACTGGTAACGTGGCCATCGATTTCCAAAACATGTATCACGAGCATGAATGAGTACTTGAGATATCTGATACTGGTTTCAATTCTCGTCCTGACTGCAGGTATGATGAGATGCGGTGGTGAGGAACGGGAGGGAGGGTATAGGTAGCCTTATGGGATCGGGGAGTATACCGGTAGGGAAATGATGGTTTGGACATGATGTATGCGCGGGCCTTGGATTTGAATTTTTATTTTATTTATATTTTTTTTTTTTTTTTTTTTTTTTTTTTGGTTTTTTTGGGTTTGGGGAGTTGCAGATATCGCTCGCTCACACTCACTGAGTTAGGCAGTTAGGTTAGGCCAGTTCGGATCCAAAACCTCCTCCTCCTCCTCCTCCCGGTCCGGCAGAAGTATGGAAACCTCACTTTCTGTGGATGTTGATTTGTTCCGTGCACTGTCTGGTTCGGTTTGTAAACCGTTGAGATTAGTGATTGATGATCCCACCGTACTACAGAGTCACCTTATACCTCCCCCTCCTCTCTCCTCTTGTACATGTGCGTGTATGCAGTGCAGGTAGAGTAACAACTCTAGAGCAGAGTAGAAGGCTGCCACAGAGTCAAAATACCAAAAAGCCATCATAGGGTCGGACGCTCTTCCAAAGCACAACTAACGTGGTCGACGAGCGAAGCTTTTTTTTCTCGGCACCTTCTACGAGCGAGCTAGCTAGCTAGCTATTTTACCAGCCTTTCGCAATCGAAATCTCATACTGCACGTGTGCGGGTCCCATACCCATCATCCGCACCCCTACTGCCCTATGACGGCCGCCGGGCAAGACAGGGCAGGACAGGGCACAGGGTAGAAGTGAAGTGAAGGGTAGAAGTCGATGCTACCTAGAGTACTAGCTAGGGTTGGACCACTACTCTACTGGACTGGATGGGACTGGACTGGACTGGCTGGACAGCACATGAGGCTAAAAAACCAACCACACGAAACACCATGTAGGGTCCGTCACGTCACGATGCGTTGTCCATTTTTTTTTGCACCTTTCCCACCCCCCCCCCCCCCCCCCCCCCGGGGACTGCTGAAACAGGAGGGAAGATCCTGGTGGAGGGGTGCACGGGCCAATGGGGGTGGTGGAGTGGTGGATTGGATGATATGATGGGCTTGATTTGATGGATATTGGGTGGATGGGATAGATGATGGGTGAGGAGGAATAGGGAAGGTAAGGCAGGCGGAAGTGAAGAGGCTGAGTGAGCTGGAGGAGGAGATGTGCTGTTGCGGAGTGTGTTTATTAATTGTGGCGGCGATTGGAATAGAGGAGTGCAAATGGGGAACTGGGGATTGCGATGTGATGTTTTGAGAGCCTTGGGTTGATATTGAGCTGGTGTAGAGGTCTGGTTTTGGCGCTAGCTACTGGTGGTTTGGGTAGAATTAGTAGAGCATGTAGGAGTTAGTAGAAGTGCTCTAAAGTAGAGTAGCTGTGCCTTGCTGCGCGTGAAGGGGGGGGGGGGGGGGGGGTGATCGGTGGTGCAGCATGTAGGTGGAATGAAACGCGATTCAGAATGTCTCGGGGAACCACTTTCTCGGAGGATGTTGAAGGCGAAGGGAAGGGGGGGATATCCTTTCTTCCGGCTCGGAGTCGGTCTTGGTCGCCGAGCATTACTCTGATGAGTGGATGTACAGGGAATTGGGGTTTTGTTTCTTGACTCTTGAGGGCTTTTGGGATGTTTTAGGGTCGGGCCGAGGTGGCTTTCTCACTATATACCTATTGTGGATTACCTCTACGGGGTGAAGTATTGTTTGGGTAGTAATTATCTACTATCTAGAGTAGGGGTATGCCGAGTGAAGTACCGATTGTGGTTCTACTAGTAGGCACAATATGGTGATATTGTGTCTGCTAGTATTCCGAGTGTACCTTTTAATTTCACTTCGTATCTGCTCTACTGTACCTGCCCATGCCGGTACATCACAAACGGTGGCTCTGCTCTAGTTACTTGCGTATCTGCTCTATGTTCCCCTAACCCCCCAATATCAACCTCCTGTCACGCACAGACACTCCCCGTGGACCGTGGTTTAGGGGTTCTCTGCTGCTGGCTGCCCTCTGCTCTAGAGCACCCACCTCCTTAAAGAAAAAAAACACCCAGCCCTTCAACGGTTTTTCCACCCCCTAGTCTCTCGCTTGCTGCGCGGGGGGTAGGGGAGGGGGGGAGGATGGGAGGGGGGAAGGGCCCACATCTTGCGTGCTACATAACGAGATTACTGCTGGATCGGGTTAGCGGTGCGAGGGGGGTGCGATTCCTGGCCTTGACACCCACCCGGTTTGGGCGCAGCGGGTCCCCTATCTGGGTGGGTTGCTGGGCGGATGGGGGATGGCGCGCGCGAGGGGTGGCTTCGCTTGGCTCATGGAGGGAAGGGTAGATACTCTAGAGATAGATGGAGGAAAGCGTGGTACTTGCTGATTTGGATGGGGATGGCGGATTCCGTGATATGGTGATGGATGGAGAAGTGGAGGGAGGGAGGTATCGTTGGCTGGTTGGCTGGTTGGCTGGTTGGCTGTCTCTGGCTGCTGTCTGGCTGGTTAGTTGGGTTAGTAAAGTAGAGCTAGAGTGCCGTACCTACATGTAGGGCTTAACTCTTCTTTTGCTCACACTCTCACTCGGGTTCCTTCCTGGGGTTTGGTTGGGTTGGATCAATGACATCGAGCGGATGGAGATGCATCGGAGCTTCTTGGGTGATGGGGAAGTCTTAGGTTAGAGTATCATATTTGCTTCTTTCTGGCAGACAGATCACACATGTAGGCTGTCTCTGGCTGTTTTCAGGAATGTTCCTTTCCGTGACTTGTATTTTTCTTTTCGATTGCGGTTTCTGGTCTGTTTTTCCTTTCTATGAATAAACCCGCTGTCCCGGGACTGCATAGAGTACTGGGCGTGGGACATTTTAGACATTTCATACTCAACTGTCTGTACGTAGAGATATCAAACTCGACGTCTCTGCCAATCCGTGACATTGGCATTTTTTTTTTTTTTTTTTTTTTTACCACACCCGTCGGGTGCCGTGATGGGATGGATGTAGGACGAACTTACTCATGTAATACTGTAGGAAGTATGCAAGTCTAACTTTCCTGCTTCCTGCTCAGCATCATTCTGGCATGCAGCTGCTGCAACACACCCCTCTCATGCCCTCCCTCCCATCCCTTCCCTTCGTGAGAGTAGAGAGAGAGAAATACAATATCATCCCTCTACCCCTCCTCTCCCCAGAAGAAGTATGTAGGTTGGACTAGCGTTTTTTCTTTTTTTCTCTCCTCCTCCTGCGAAGTTTTTTTTTGTTTCGCATCACATCACCGATTGCTCTCTCCGTTTGCTGCTGCAGTGAGCGAAGTGAGTGACTGTGTGTGACTTGTATTCCCGTTTGTTCGTTTGTTTGCAACACCCCACCACCACCACCACCTACATACCTACCTCTCTATCTCCGCCCCCTCCCCTCCCCCGCGCGCCAGCTTCGGGTTGTTTCTGTTTTGCCTACACTGATCTCCGAGGATCACTCACTCACTCGCTCAGAGGGGGAAAAAAAAAAAAAGGTGTCTCATATCACATCACAGTGATCAAATTTTATTTTTTTATTTTTTTTCTGAGAGAGAGTGGCCCCGGGCAGGGATTGCGATTGTTACTGCTATTATTATCTATATTTTTTTTTTGTTTTCCCCCCGAGGATAGGATAGGACGAGCCGACCCGGGAATATACGGCGAGTACCACTCATATATCCGCATACCATATCCATATTCCGAGGAAGTGAAGGGGTGAGGAAAGGGCGACGAAGAGAGCGCAGAGAGATCAGCTAGTAAGGATTGGCGGAAGGGAAGATCCTAATTTGACCCTACATTCTGCATACCTTCGCAAGCGAAAAGACGAGCAAAGAAAGAAAGAAAGAAAGAAAAAAAATACCGAGTGAGAAAAATAGGAAGGGGGAGTGCTGGGAAGGAAGGGATACGTTATATTGGAAACAGCAGGCATCATTCTAGCGACGGTTTTGAGTGCTGAGTGCTTCCCGGGACGGGAAGTCTGGCATAGGAAGGAACAAGAGAAGTGCGAGATCTAGAGTGGGAGGGTGATATTGGGGAAAGGGAAGAGATAGGCAGTGAGGGAGTGAAGGGCAAGGAAGGAAGGGAAAGAGAGAAAGAAAAAAAAAAAATTGGTCCTTGGGAAACCGATGAGGTTGTTGTTGTTGTGGGCAGAAGACAGACAGACAGGCATACTAGCAAGTTAAGCAGTCATGGCCCTTACGTCCCAGCGCAGTAGCAGCAGCAGGCCCGGACAGACTGATCCTGATCCTAATCCTGATCCCTCCTCCTCCAAGGCTCATCTCCACACCAACGGTGGCAGCAGCAGAACAAGAAGAAAAAGAAGTAGTAGCAGAAGAACAAGCAGTACTAGCAGCACTACTAGCAGTGCCAATAGCAGTACCAGCAGCACAGGCACAGAAGTATTATTCCCGCCCCCCCGAGAGACGTCGTCTTCCTCCACCACTTCCGATCACACGCCATCATCCGTCTCCTACTCATCACCAGCATCCTCCTCCGCAGAAACAGAAGCAAAAGACGGGGTAGTCGCTGCTGTGCTTGAAAGAGGAAGAACAAAAAGAGGGGGATCATCGTCAAGTAATAATAATAATAATAATAACCAGACAAGCATATTAATCTCATCTCCATCATCTCTTCCTGCACGTCCTGCTCCTGCACCTGCTGCTGCAGCTGCACACCCACGGCCTCAACCACAACCGCACCCACAACCTCCACCTCCTGCTCCGCAACCCACCTGCTGCTGCTCCTGCTCATCATCCTCCTCCTGCTGCTGCCGCTGCTCGTCGTCCACAAGCAGTACCAATCGCCCGAGAGAGCCTGTCAGGAAGAAGAACAAGACTCAGGGAAGTAGCAGTACTGTTACTACTACTAGCACTTCTACCACTACTAGTAATACTCCTACTACTGCTGCTACTGCTACTACTGCTGCTACTGCTGCTACTGCTGCTACTGCTAGTACCACTGCTACTATTGGCCGTAGTAAGACTCGGATCACCGCTAGCACGCTTCGGTCCCCCACCAACAGCAACGACACAACCGCCAGCCAAAACACCAACACTCGCACAAACAACCCAAACAACCACACAGAGACAGCTTCTTCCTGCTCCTCATCCCCCACACAGATCACATCCATCACCACAACCACATCCACACCCACCACCACCACCACCACCACCACAGCCTCAAATACTGTGCCTCCGTCCTCAACCACACCCCCCACAAGGACTGCAAACAACGATACAAACAATAATACACGCTCGTCTACCACAGCCAGACACCCACAAGCAGCAACAGCAGCACCACCACCACCACATCCACCACCAGCATCACTCCTCACACACTCGCGTGCGTCTAGTCGCTCCAGTAATCTCACAACCCCGTCCACAAACCGCCATCACAGCCGCGACCATTCCTCCCACACACGCTCAAAGTCTGCTTCGCTCCCGTCGTCAACGACGTCTACCGCCCCCCTCTTCTTACCATCCTCAAAACACAGGCAGCAGCAACAGCGGCACCAGCAGCAGCACGCTACAACCACCACCACCACTCCCAGCTCACGACAACCCGTTGCCCAGTCAACAGAACCACAACCACAACCAGTCCGTGCGCAGCGTCACATCTCAGACACCGCTACAGCAAAAAAGACCGCGTCCACCACTGCTCCTGCTACTACTCCTCCGGCCGCTGCAGCGCCAGAAGAAAAGGTATCAGCTACTAGACAGCCCGCGCGGTTCAGTAGTAATGGTATAGCGACAAGCACCGGACCTCCACCGTCACTCGCTTACCGTCGCACGAACACCGCCGCCGCAATGATGGAGAATCGCTTCTCGTCGTCGCCGCGCACAATGAATCTGAATAATGGGGGCGCTAGGGATAACATCAATAACAACAACATCAACAGCACCACTACAAGTCATGGGGAGAGGAGCTCGTTCGCGAGGAGGGATAGGGATAGGGACAGCAGGACTAGGGATGTCACGACGCCGATTGCGAGGGAGGCACTGGGCGGGCTGTCGAGAGAGGGGTCAAGAAGGAATTCAAGGATCGAGAGGGGATACGAGGATGAGAGGACGATCAGGGGTCTGGAGGACTTGCAGAGAGAGGCGGCCGGGATTGAAGATGCAGGCCAGGATCCTGGCGAGATGGGCGGGGAGGACGTGTTCTTGAACCTGGCTAGGAGCAACTCGGTATCGAGTTATACGGATAATCCGGCCTATAGGGCTGAGCGCAGGAGGGTGGGTCCTTATTCCTATTTTTGCCTTGTCCTTATTCTTATAATTCTATTCTATTCTGTTTTGTTCTTTTTTTCTTCACTTCTTTTTTTCTTTTTCTGCGCTGGGGCCGACAATTGATTATAGTCTTATGTGCAGTCACGCCTCACGCAACTGACGCAACAACGAAATTCGCTTCCCGCGGATACCTTTTCGGCATCGCCATTACGCGCGATACAGACGCACTCGCAGGCCAACCGCACGCTCACAAACTCGCCTGCGCCGAGCACCCGCGATAACGGCAACTGGCACCAGGACCGTGTTTCGACACCGCCCACATCCTATCGCGACCGCAGGCTGTCGAACGCATCGCTACTGGACAACAGCAGCAACGTCGATGAGCAAGGCAAAGCCGTGACCCCGCGCGCATCCTTCTCCCGTCCCCTCAGCATGCTGCGACGGGAGCGCTCGCCGGGAACGTCCTCTCACACGCGGAGCTACTCGATGGCCGAGCCCGTCGCGAGGACCCGATCGGGGCTTTCCAATCATGTTGCGCCACGCGCGACGCACTCGAGCCCGCAGGACATTTCGCCGCGCGATGTCGGCCAGCAGCAGCAGCGCGAGAGGCCGCCGCCGGTGAGCACGAGGATGATGATGGGCGTGGACTCGCACCCCGATGCCGCCGATCCCATCACGCCCACGAGGCCCGATCAGCAGAGCGTCAGTGGCGACAAGAGCGTGTCGGGTGGCAACGACGACTCCTCGTCGGTGTCGACCACCGCGCCAAGCACCGTGTGGGACGAGCTCGACGATCTCAAGTCGCGCATCCGCCGCCTGGAGCTCACGGGCCGGATTCCGGCGTCGGCGTCGGGCGTTGCGAGCCTGAGCAGCAGCTTCAACACCGTGGGCGGCGCGTCGAACTCCTCGGGTGAGCGCCCGCGCACTGCGACAACGACGGTCACAACCATCTCCTCGTCGCCGCGCAATAACAAGGAGAGCGGCATCTCGCCGATAAACTCCTCGTTCGGCCACCAGTCGCCAAACAACCACCCCCTCCTCCATGCCGCGCTGGCAAAGTCGAAATCGTTGATACCGCCAGAAGTGTACAAGTACCTCGAGGTCGCGGCGAACGACGCTGCGGCCCTGGCTAGTACCGTCGGGAACGCGGCCTCCTCGTCGGGGTCGCCCGTCTCTTCTGGGACACTGGCGTCCGATCGACAGGTCCGCCGCAAAGCCGACAGTGTGTGTCGGAGCTTGACGGAGTTGTGCATCGCGCTATCGGAGAACAGAGCTTCTCTTGGTGGCGCTGGAGCACCTAACTTCTCGCTTCACCTGTCGCAGCATTATGGCGGCGGCGCGCGGCCTGAGAGTCGAGGCGTGGGAATGGGAGTGGGCAACGAGAGCATTCTGGGCAGGTCGGATAGTGTGTTGGGGAGAGAGCGCATCCTGGGGCGGGAGCGGGGAGACAGCATCCTCGGCCGCACCAGGGAGGAGAGCATCCTCGGCCGCGAGAGCGTCCTGGGCAGAGAGAGCGTGCTGGGCCGAGAGAGTGTGCTTGGTAGAGAAAGCGCCATGGGCGAGCGCATGTCGAGCCGCATCTCCAGCCGCTTCGCAGACCGCATCGCCGAGCGCAAGGGCAGCCTCGCGTCCATCTCAACCTCCACGGGCTTCCTCAAGTCGTCGCCGCGCCAGCAGCTCGCCGAGCACCGCGAGATGCCGGAGGAAGCGGTCCCCAGCCCCACCACGCCCGGAAACCTCCGCTCCCGCAACTCGATGCTCCTCAAGGCCCGCCACATGTTTGACGACGAGGAGGACCCGGAGAGTAGTTTCCGCTCGCCGAGTCGCGCTGCGACGGAGGTACTGAGCCATAGGCAGCACCACCGCGAGACGACGTACCATATGACGCCTGACCGCGCGGACCGTACCGTCTCGAATGCGCTGCCGCCGCGCAGACAGTATGTGGTGTCGCATGGCACCTCGCTCGCGCAGGGGGGGCTTGCGTCTCCCGTAGTGCATCAGAGTAGTGGCCAGAGGCGCTTCTTTAGTGGCAGCAGCGAGAGGGCGGAGATGAGGGAGCGCGATGAGAGGGCGGCGTATGAGATGCAGAATGCGGTCAATGCGGCCGTGGAGCAGCAGGATTATACGACGCAGGGGAGGTTTAGGAGTGGCAGCTTTGGGAGGACGCCGAGTAGTGCGAGGAGGCCGGCGAGGGTGCTGAGGGAGAGTGTGGATCTGGATAGTCGACAGGAGGGGGGCAGTTTGGGGAGGACGCCTGGGGGTGAGAGGTTGCTTGGAAGGCGGTAGGAGGTGGTCAATGGTTAGTTGTTTCTTTCTTTTTGCGTTGCGAGCTTTTTTCTGTTAAAAACTGGGTCGGGGCGTACTGTGCTCTTTTTTTTTTTTTTATTTATTTTGCCGATTTTCTTTCTGGCTGGCAGGGTAGGGAGGGGTCGGGGGGGTTTTATGACTTACTTTATTTTTGCTTGCGCAATTGCTTGCTTACTTGCCTGGTTGGCAAAATAACTTCTTTTTTTATATTTTATTTTGTACAAGGAACTATTTTTTTCTCATTTGTTGGAGTTAAACTCGATGAATGGATTTATATTATGGCATTGGCTGGGGTCTTGTCTGGCTTTTGGTTTGGCTTTGGCTTTGGGGAGTTTTTTCTTCTTATATCTTCTTTCGGGTTATGGCAATTGAAAACAAAAGGAGCGAATTCTGTCTGGGGCGATGGCGCATGTCTTTGGGCTTTGCTTTGCTTTGCTTCGTTTCGTCTCATCTTTTTTTGATGCTGTGCTTGATTTGATTTGATTGCTTTTTATTCCCTTTTCCGCCTACCACCACTGCCGTCGCCGACACCGATTCCTAGTGCTGCTGCTAGTTACTGTTACTCATATCATCCTTGATCCCTTTTGTGAACTACCTCTCTTACCTCACCTACCTCACCTACCTCTCTTTCCTACCTCACCTACTTACCTACGTCACCTTCATCTCCTTTATCCTCTGTTTGGGTTTTGCGTGCTTTGCTTGCTTGCTTGCTTTACTTGCTTGGTTGTGTTATAAGGAAGGGGGGTGCCTGGGGGATGGGGAGTTGACAGCGGGTTTTGCATTTTGCATGTGTTTTTTTTGCGGGTTGGGTCTGTCTGTGTTGGCGCGGCGCGGGGGTTTGATGGAGTTTTTTTTTTTGTAAAGCGGCGAAAAGAAAGAAAGATCAGACGAAAGCGATGCCTTGCTATGATAGATATAGAGACTGATGATGATGAGGTGCGGTGGTTGGGTAGTAGTTGGGGAGAGTGGTTTGGGGGGGGGGGGGGGGGGGGTAGAGGGAGTTGGGTTGATAGACTACACTACGCTACACTACACTACACTACACTACTACACCACACCACACTACACTGCGCTGCGATACTTGTTGCTGCGGTTCCGTCGATGGCGGTATACTACATAGGGAGGTTTACATATTCTTTTTTTTTATCGTATATTTATTCTTTGGTTCTCTCTCTCTTGGGGGCTAACCGGACATATCACTTATTGCATCTGACATACCACATACCTCTACCTACCTAAGCCTGGCTGACTGGCTAGCGGGCTGTTTATTCTTTCGCTGTATCTATCTATCCTATCCTACCTTATTTCATCTTGTCTTATCCTGTGCTCTACTATTGCTTACATGTATCTTATCTTTTGTCTACTGATCTTATTTCCCCGTATGCTGTGTATCGTTTTCCTTGCTGTAAGGCTTGAGGGGGGTCACCGGTTGTTTTTCCGTTTGTATCTTTTTTTTGTTTCCTTTGTGGGAATGGGAATCCGGGATTTTTGATTATACTTGAGCGTGGTGTTTTTTTTTCTCTCTTATGTTTTTTGAGCGGTATAAGGGGAGGGGGAGGGTGTTGTATGTATGCTTGTATGTATGCCTGTATGTATGTATTGTAACCATGTATTTAGTTAGCGGGGGACGGGGCGGATATATATTTATGGGATTTTCGAACTGTTACGTTTTTGTGCCTGCTTGCTTGGGTTTGAGGACTCTGTGAATGATTGGTTGTAGACTCGCCCGTGAACCTACCCGCCATAAACCCTCGAAACCAAATAGATATTCCAGCATCAAAGTTAATGGCGAAAGAGGGTATATACAGACAACATGTTAATTGGTGGCCCGAGGAGCCGGAGACCGGGTACGTCGAAAAGGATGTTGCGTCAGAATGCAACACTCGATCGATGGTAGAGAGTAAACTAAATGTAGTAGTTCCGTAAATATGCAGTTTCCACAGACAGAAATAGGTCCAAAGAGACAGCGTCGTTGTAGAAGATCTGCTTAAAGGGCCGATGTTGCACTCGAAGATGTGGTGCCGAACGATACCTATGTTGCATGGAATTGGTTAGTGAATCATGTATTATCACTCGGATGCTTGAGAACGGCTTTCATTTCGGCCCTGTTGTACATTCGATCCTTACTTGCCGCTCCTTTGAATTACTGCCAGCTAATTATTGCTGCGTTGTTCTCATGAGATTGGCAGTGGTCATATTCTCGTCATAAGGGTATTTTGATTAATTGGCGGCCGCGGGGCGGTGTGCACGTCCAAGTTGATTGCTCAGGCTGGGTGATTTGTGCTCTCGAAGCTGGATGTGTACTTATGGGGGACGTTGGTGTATGGAGGGTCGTCATGTAGTGGAGATTTCCAGGAAGAAGTTGATTAACTCGTGAGGTATTTGGCATCCTATAGACAATAGCAGTATATTGTTGTTAGTGGTAAGTCATTGCGGTTATTGTTGATGTTGCCAACGTTTCATTATGTAGATTAGACCGCGTGGCCCCAAACCATCTATGCTCTTGTCGTTGAAGTAATTTGTTCACTAACTGTAACTACTTTTAAGAAGGACTTTCTCCCCTTTTTCATTTTTTTTTTTCAATCCGTTAGCTCTTACACAACGAATAAAATATTTTCATCGGCTCTCTTCTGCTTCCTATTAAAAATTCCCCTTATATCCGAAGTAACTATTTACATCTATCCAAATAGCGATGGCATTCTCTTCAACTTTAAAAGAATCAAGATTTTTTGGGGAAGAATTCACGTGAGCATAGCATTGTATAAATGTTATTTTTTTACTACATGGTGATACTCATATAGAGAGGTTGGGGACTGGAGAGCAAAGTTAGAGTGGATCATGAGGCATCACTCGCGTTTAATCTCTGTACTAACTATGAATAGTTTGGGCTACAAGACCACGCTAGGCCAGCGTTAAAGGAATGCCGTTTCCTTGCGTGTGTGTCTCGTTGATGAGGCCTGGGCCATTTCTCAGGAAAGGTTTTGCTACTGCTGCTACTGCAAATTCTGAAGAGACGCATGAGCCAGTAACAAATCTTCAGTCAACGCCATTATGCAATATTCTTTGCGGGATTTTTATGATCTATATCGGGGGGTGGGGGTGTTAGCTTTATCAAGTTCCTACGAACTCTACTCTGGTTTGAGGGTCTTTCGTCCATGTTAAAACATCATGGACGTACTGCACGACCAAACGTTTAGCAAGTTTTTGATGGAGAGAAGATAAGTTTCTCCACATAATTCCATCACTTATGTCCACAACTAACTCGGAGAGAACTGGAAACTAGTAATCAGATCCAGAATACAGTTAGACGCATTAACTCCATCCTATCCTTATAACGCTCAAAGAAATAGTGAAAACCCTTAGTAACTCTAGACAGGCCTGCGCACGTGTATGTAGGCTGCCGCTGTACCCACCGCCCTCTCAGTCATAGACGCCAGAGATGCAGCATGCACGCCTTTTGACCCATGAAATGTGGTCAGCATTTCGCGTATAGTGTACGTATTCAAATCCTCATTCTTCATCCCCAACCGCCAGGTTTGATGGCGGAATCTCCAAGATCTGAGACCAAGATGTCATCGGTGGTATTCTGCAAATGGAAGCGCAAAAAGTCCGGTTACCTGCTGACGTTGACATCTGACAGCGGCGGGAGCTTGGATGCAAGACATTGATCTGCACTGTTTAGCGCCTGGAATCTGATATTATGTAGCTACATGTAGCCACAGCTGGGTAATAACTATATTCATCCCACACCACCAGCAATAATCACTCATGGTTTGGAGTTTTAAATCAAACATTAAGTGTAGTCCAACGATCTCATACCCACCCTACCCGCCGACCACCGCAAGCCGAGCCGCACGTGGTCCGAGTGATAATATATGATCCACTCATTCATGCATAATGACTGGCTTGCAACATCTTCAGCCACCCCAATGGGATGCGTCTTTTACATAGAAGCACGGCCCAGATAGCCGCTCTATATTCAGATCGCAACTGGTACTGGTGCGGTATATCGGGTGAGCGGGAGGGGTACGGTACTGGTCATTGACCATTATTGGTAGGGTATTTGGACACACTACAAGTGCAGAGATCGGGAGCTGGGAGGGCGGCTGAGAGGCCAGTCAGCTGGAGACGGCATATGTCTGGAGAATGCAGTGGAAGGCCCATAGAGCGTTCCGTGCATACAAGATCTCTCGATCGTTTGGGTCTTGCTTTTATGCGTGGGTGTGGATCAGCCTGTCAGTGGGGAAAAGGTAAGTGCAGGGCTCCTCTCATGCTCGAGGCCTAGATCTGACTGGAGAGGTCAGTATGTGTAGATATCGTGGTAGTCGTGATGATTCAAATCGGATATCGTAATAGTCATGTTCAAGATATGAATAACTACCTGTCAGAAGCTGCAAACAGATGTGAACCCATGCGATACTGCTTTTGAGTTTGGCAACCACTAACTCACAAAATCACCAGGAATTGAAATGTTCCTGTAAAAGTGCGTGAATTATCATTTACCGCCTAATATTAACCTACTTCCAGGCCGGAAAAAAAGGACAGAACCACCGCAAAATCTTCCTACCAGTAGGATCACCCTCATCACTCATCCTCCTCCACGTCAAGAATAAGAATATTACAAAAAAGTTCATAAGAAATAATGATAAAAAAAATAAACAGAAGAAACGTTCACCGTCCGAGCCCATCCATCATCGCCATATTGTCGTGTAATCAATCTTTGCCCCGCCACCACCGCCTCCTGGCATAAAAACAGCCTTTTCATCCAGCCACTGCAAATATGCAATAATACAGCATCGTATCCGTGCTGTGGTCAATAAAACATAAGAAAAGTAAATGTGGGTAGAAAGCACCCGGGTCGTAAAAACCAGAAGATGATAAAACAAAAGAAACAAAAACCCCCCAAACCACGCTATCCAAAAAACCAAACAGAAAAAAAAAACATGCAATGCTAAAAAGCCGATACCCAAATGCAGCCTTTATACGAAAATGCAAACAACCAAAAAAGACAAGATAAACAAGAGAGCTATTCTCAAAGTCTCAGTTCCGGAGTAGAGGTTTAAACATCGACTCGGCCGTAGACCATAGTCTGTGTCTTCTTGTACCCGCCGACATTCATGTCTTTGCTCGGGCCCGCAAAGCGGCTCCTCTCGTCTTCTCGCTTGGTGACTTCCCGCTCGTCCTGGATGAGCGTACATGGGCCGCAGCAGTAAGCTTTTCCGCAGTCGTTGGCGATGCTGCCCTCGAGCTGATATTTCTCCCGGATGCGGGTGCGCTGGAGCATGGTAAAGACCCCTGGAGATATATGTTAGCTTTAAGTTCGAATATTGCATGCCATGCAACTAAATAAGCGAAGAGTTGAACTTACAAGCTACGGGAGCGAGCGCGCAGAAGGCCATGCAGTGCGGGTTAAAGGCTTTGAATTCGTTGATGTTGCTGTCCGGCGAGGTCTTGACTCTGTGCTTTGTGCGCGAGTAAAGAATGCAAGGACACCAGTAACCGGTGCAGCCTATCAAGAGAAAAGAAGATATGTTAGCGGATCCGTTCATTTTGATATCAGTGATATTGACTGGTCGGTGGGGAGCTTACAAGTCCCGATATCGCTAAAGCAGTCGCACATCCCGTGCTGATACTCCTCCCTTCCATGCTGCTGGTTCGGGTGTCCAATCTGCCCCGGCGCATGCACACCGCCGTTCGGCCCGCTTGCTCCCGATGGTGTGTAGATTGGTGTTTTTGGCGTAATTGGGCGCTCTGCGGCCGCGGCGCGGCTGTTGTATGCGGGCTCTGGGGGAACGGGCGGGAGGTTGTGGGTCGGTGGGGGCGATGTTGCGGGGCCAGGGTGGGTCTCGCTGGTTGGGGGAGGTGGGAACGATGGGAGGTTTGAGAGCGGGACGTAGGGTGATTGTGAGGATGATGAAGGGCCGCTGTAGTCTGGTGCAACCGAGCCTTGGGGACTGGGGTAGCCGGGTGCGGGGGTGCCGGAGGGGGAGACGTAGTTTGGTGCGGGTGTTCCGGAGGGAGACGGGTAGTCGGTGCCGCTGTAGTTTTTCATGGGAATGTCGTTTTCTTGTGTCCCGATGGGTGCTTGGGTGGCTTCTTGCGGGTGCATTGAGCTGTAGAATGGGTTATTGTTGTTGGGGTCCACGGGTGTGTGGAGAGAGTATTGTGATGCCTGAGGGTTTGCGAAGGGAGCGTCAGGAGAGTGAAGAGTTGAGTATGGCCGGGAAGACATTGTGAGTTTTGTATTTGTATTAAGGTTGTGGTGATATATATCTAGATGGATTGTAAATAGGTGGTATATTGACTATTTTGTCTTCTCAATTTGAGATAGAGAATGTAAATGTATTGATATCCACAGGTGAATTTCGAGATAGCAGAGCGAATGTCGAAGGGATGGACCTGTATAATATGTATCCGTAGGTAGCACCAACTAAGAGACCTGACGAGTGTGAGTATGGGCAATAGTGGTACTGATAGCGGGGGTGAATGATAATATATAATGTAGGAATAAAGTTGGTGCAAGGCCAACAGTTATATTAACAGGGGAGGCACGGAAAGAAGGGTGTTCTACTAACAATTTTCAACCCCTTGAAAAAAAAGTGTGATAGGATATGATTTGTACTCGTCTATTCATAGCGTTTCCGAACACAACCAATATTGCATGACATACAAAAAGGTGGATTTGGCGCTTTTTTATATGGTATGCAATAGCAGTCGTGTCCGGAAACGTCATGAATTTACGAGTAGATTTTCACTCCCTGATGCAGGAACGGAGGAGGGCCTTCGGTACGTAGGGCTGGTAGCAGAAGTAGCGTCGGCGCGTAGAGGTGGAAGTACTTGCTATCACAGCGGGTTCGTAGTGGTATCCGGTGTGAAAGGGTGACTGCTGCAGCGGCTATCAATCAGGTTCTGGAAGCAGATGTATGTCCTCCAACAGTGAGTGAATGACTGTACCGATATCCAACAAAATGTTGAAGCACAAGAAAAACAGAGGGGAAGATGAAAGATGTCAGGGGAATGAGATTAAACAACATCTCATAGTGATGGAGAATGATTTTATTAATACCCACCCCCCTCTGCACAATATCGACTGTCCCAGCTAGAACTTAAGGCCTAAAGTGTCCATGTACCCTACTAATTCGGGATACCCAAGCATGGAAACTATATCTTTTTCAATAGCTCTCAACCTCTAAGAAGTCGTCCAAGGTCTTCAGGTGAGACGGGGTTTTGGCGATATCAGTTAGGTTAAATTCAAGCATACATGGGCTGCATGCAATGTCCCCAGCAAGCCCTTCCATTTCTTCACTTTTGCTGCAACCCACTCGATCTCTATTGCGATGTCCTACTATTCAGGAACATATTGCGCTAGTGAGAACGCACACAGACATTGGTCTGTGAATGAGATTGGCGACGCGCTCTCCCCCAACCATAATGCGGCGCCAATCCGCCACCCATGCCATCCGAGACGTCCGTTACATCTTGGCATTGTGGTCGGCGCTTAACAGTAAACACAAACGGGAATCCCCTCCCCTCAAGTGCTACACGGTAGCTGGGTGCGCTCTCTTAGAATCTCAAAGCGAGTGCCCGGGAAGAAAGCGTCATCGATCCTCAGCTGCTAGAGGAAAAGACGCAAAATAAGAAGGCGAGAGGGAAGAGAACAAGGGGTAAGGACGGGTTCGCCGTGGCACTGCCCACTTTCAGAATTTCAATGTTCTCTATTTAGCGTTAAATATATTAGGCTCATGTGCATTTATCATTCAGGGTCGTACATATAGAGACTGCCAAGAAAGCAAATCAATAAGAGTTCGTGTGGATGTTGTACTGACGCGCAAGTCCCAAGACAAAATGTTGAGATCAGGGACTTGTGGAGAAGGAACATACTCTGTCGTAAGATTCACGCCAGGAAAGATGACCTGTTTCGAGTCATACATGAGAAGTAACGCGGCGGCGCAATCTCCATAGAGCCCCATGGGCCATCTCTTCGCCATCGCACAATTCGAAACCTGAGCGGAGAGTTCCTGAGTGCCAGTCCGTGGCACGGCTTTACCGAGAAGCAAGCAGCTTTTGACTGCAGATCTCTTGATTTCGCTACGGTGGTAGTCGAGATACCACGTGCAGTATGTAAAGTGAGCAGCAGCCGCAGCCAGATCTCGACCACAAACAAAGTCGTCCAATGTTTCCTTGCCTTCCCCCTTCCCTCCCACTTGGGATCTTGAAACAATACTCAGAAACCCACCAACGCCGCAAGGGGATTCAAACATGCTGGGCCCTGAAGTTAGGCAGATAGCGGGGTATGTATGCACTCTATGTCCTGGTGCCTACTTGTTTCTTCCTCGACCATAACCATGGATAACGGGTATGCACAATTGTTTTAATTCCTACCACAAGTTCCATCATCGGTGGAGGCAATACCATGGCACAGGATATGTCCACCCCTGGTGGTGGTGGTGATACATTCTCCAACATACTTGCCGCTTGAAACTACGCGATCCTCACGTGCATATTTCATAGGTGTATCGATCCCGAATGCGGCCCCAGCGCGCGCTTCCCTCCGAGCCGGCTACTGAGAGAAAGCCAGATCGGAAGAGGTTACCGCATTTGCAAAAGCTACGGTAACTAAGGTGAATCAATTCGCTTTATGACCGCATGTTAGTATGTGATGCACGACTAGTTTTTAGTTGAGATAGAGAACTCTACGTGATGCTGGATAGGCAGAGTGGAGTAATAAGACAGAGAAAAGATATCCCCTACATACGGTTAATTAGAGGAATTGTATGTGAAAATGTCTATATGTGAAATAGAAGAGGTTATCTGCCTATGTAGTTCTCAAAACTATTCGGAAGCATGTCGTTTCTACCAGGATCATCTGCACCGTTCTTAACATGACTCGATCCACAACCCAAAGTAGAAACATTTTCAAGTCACCCGTACTCCGCTCCAACCGAGCTGCATCTCCAGTCTGGATCTCGGAACCGATTCCCCAATAAAAGGTCTTCCGAAAAAAAAAGGCGTCCACCAACCGGGTTCCACCAGAAGAGGAAGCGCCCCAGAAGAGCCTACGGTAAGGTACTCCATTGATGATGTAGATATCTGTGTATCTACAACAGAGAAAAGCAAATGGAGTGCTCCTTAAGTCGGCCATCGATATCCAATGAAGTATTGAACGCCTTGTATCTTATGCGAGACTGATTGTCATGTGTAGAAAGTAGCTGCATATCACATACTCTAGAGCAGAGCAGATTCCACGCACAACGTAGGCGTAAGAAAATCCATCAAGGATTTTTTTTTGATTATTGACTGGATCGTAACTGGATAAAGTAATTATGATAAGGGAAATATTCGCCTTATTATTTCACAAAGAAGGTAAGGCCTAGAACAACATGTCAGAATCGGACGTCAAAGAGATTCTCATGATCAATAATCAAGCCACGAGTCATGGCGTTGCCGAAAAACAAGAATTGAGTAAGGGAATGTTCCTATTTTCATCGCCAATAGAGTATGTACCGATGGACCCTTCGGGCATCAAGCATTCACCCCCACTGAACTAAATAACTTCCCGTGTCCGTGTTCGTGTCCGTGCGTTAGCTGGGGTTGGCTGAGACATGACATTGGGACTAGAGTATTGGGTGCTAGTTGGAAAGATATCATTGTACTACCTGAGACTTATGGCGAATAGTAGACTTCACGAAAGCGCAGACGAATGCCAGCATATCCACTTCTCTAGGGCATGTGTATGCACTTTAATCTAGCTCTCTGCATCGGTAGATTTAGGTTCTAAGGCCGGGGCGTAATGTCTAGAGTAAATATTAGCAGTTTGAAATCAAAGCACCATTATGCTGCATAAAGACGTGTTCGATGCAAGAGTTGGAAGGCTAATGTGAATGATATTGAGCTGTGTTGGAAGGTCTATGTATCTATTATAATAATCTATTAGGAGATTAACTAAAAAGAGCTAGTCAGTTGCAATTGGAATGAATATGGTTTTGGATTTCAATTACCAGAACTGAATTGAAAGATTATCACCAAGAAACCAGCGTACCGTCATTAGATCTGTTGCTTCAATTCACGGAAATGTTCTCTTACATGGTGGCATTTCTCAAAACCGAGGTAGATACATAGAGTGATATATCATGATTGATGATTAATGAATGAAAGATAGGATTTCTTTGGAGACTATTCAATCTGCAGATTCTTTAAGATCTAAACTGCTCTCACTGATTTTGCGAGAGGTGATATTGCCCTAGGTAGATGATTTAATAATCAAGAACAATCAAGCTAAATCAAAGGCTGTAGTGTATCCGCTGCGGTGTGTAAATATATTTTTGGTTTGGGGGGAACTCTTTTCGTGATGGTAGTTGATAAGGGAAGCATCGTATAATCTCAGGAGAGAGTTGGAACACTTCGTCAAGGGTATGGTGGAGTGAAGGTAAAAAGTTTGTTCTAGCTCCGATCTCTTGGGACGAGAGCGAGTGATAGATAGTGACGTAATCCACTTGCGTGACAAGAGATACATAGGTGTAGGTACGGGTATCTAATATGTACTACGATAGAGCAGTTTCGCGCTCGGTTGAACCCTGACCCTGATATCTGCGTGGCAACCAATCCGCCCCACCAAATCGCCCGTGGTCAACCAACAGTGGCCAATGCCCAGTCAATCAAAACCAACAGCGGCCAATGCCCAGTCAAAACAAAATGTAGGAGTATTAAATTATATCTTAATAATTAAATTATATCTTAATAAATAAATGTGCTATCTACTATCTTCTATAGTGTACCTACTGGAATACACTTTAAGGGGTACTTTGATACATGTATCTTTGATGCGGTTCCCCGCTGACACGCCGGCCCATAACCCTAACCCTGACCTCTGTGTGGCAACCAATACGCCCCACCCAGGCCGGTCAACATCCGGATCAATATCCAGGCCGGTCAACACCCAGTCAACAGCCGGGCCTATTCAATTAAAATAGGTACTACCTCCCCCCATCCCACCATCTTTTAAAACAATTCTGATCAACGAAAAACAACAATGAATTCCATAACATGCCGTAAATACAAACGGAAGAAACCTCTTGAAGATTACGATCAGGATAATCAAGGAGAACCACGTAAATCATGTCGTACATGTTTGGTATGTAGTGTTGAATCTTTCCGGGTGACAGTTATATTTTGCTCTAACAAATTGTATAGCAACTAGAGAGAGAACGAAGAACAGCACGTAGAGCCACAAGATTAATGGAGGAAGAAAATAATATAGAGGTATTACGATTTTGGTTATTGAATATTTTTTCGGATGGTTTCTAACAGTAATCCAGCTCCGTCTGGTTTTACCAGTTGTAGCCCCCTCTCCAATGGCATTTCTATCTTCCCGAACAAAATGGTCACTATTAATACTTGGGCGTATGACAATTGTTTGCCAATCATGCAAAGCTTTGCATTGGCTAAATGAACATTCAAGCTGCACCGGGAGCTCAATTCAAACACCAATCTTTGAGAATTGTTGCAAGAAGGGAGACGTTGTACTTGAAATTCTTAAACCCCCTTCTGATTATCTGAAGTACCTGTTGGAATCTTTAGAAACTGTCCCAAGAAACTTCCGGAAACATATACGGGAATATAATTCAGCACTTACGTTTACCTCAGTCAAATACAATACGGATACAAGAGTTGGCGCAAATGGCGGTTGTATAAGTTGCTTCCAAATTCATGTTGAATTATATCATCTTCAGGGACCATTGATACCAGCAATCGGAGCAACTCCTTCCTTCGCCCAACTATATTTCTACGATCCAGAATATTCAGCACAAGTACAACATGCAACACATCCAACTTTAGATATTATGGTACTTCAACGTCTCACCATGGAGTTAAATTCAATAAATCCGTTTATTGAATTTTATAAAACAGCAAAAGAAAGATTGGATAATGCTTCAACACAAGATGGGAATGCACGCATTATACTTAATCCACGTCTTCAATTGATAGTTGAAACAGGAGCAGACAAACGACGAAACAACTTTCCTACAAGTAACGAGGTGGCGGTAATAATTCCTGATGAATATGAAGAAGCTGGATTCCGTGATATCGTATTGGCACATAGAAATCCATTGCCAAATCAAATGTTCAGTATCATCAATCCTAACCATGCTGCGTATATGCCATTGCATTACGTATTGCTTTTTCCAAATGGGGATACCGGTTGGCATTGGAGTTCACAACTTCGAGATCGATTGAATAATCGGAAAGTATTGCATTTAGGTCAACGTGAATTTTATCGGTATGTTTAATATATTATCATAGAAATCATTACTAACTTATTACAAAGCTATCATATTCATTCACATTCAACCGAGCCTTTAACACTATTTCAATCTCAAAACCTTTTTCAGCAATATTTGGTTGACGCATGGGCTGTATGTGATCAGAACAAACTAAATTGGATACGTTTGAATCAATCAAGACTACGATCCGATTTGTATAATGGCCTGGCCGATGCTATGCTTCAAGAAGACTTCAATCCAGAACAAACCGGACGGAGAATAATACTTCCTAGCAGCTATAGCGGTGGTGATCGTTATATGCAATAATTATACCAGGATTCAATGGCTATCGTAAGACACTTCGGAAGACCTTCACTTTTCATCACATTTACAGCGAATCCTAAATGGTCGGAAATCGTTGCAGAGTTACTTCCAGGTCAAACAGCTGTCGATCGTCCAGATCAAGCACTTCGACATATGTAAGACATTTAAACCACTACACTAGGTAGCAATAGCTATGCAATATAATTCTGGAAGTTTATATTAAAGCAAACTCCATTAAATTACACATACTTTCAGCTCACTGGCACTGGCATCGGTACTGTAAAAACCGGACTCACCACATCCAACCGCCCTTCCCAAAATTTGATCACATTCAAGCTCACACTTCGCCCTGGCGAGGTGGCCAACTGCTAGTGTGTATGTATGCCGCGTGGTAAGCGAGACTGAACGAAACGTATAAAATTGTATCGAAACGGATTCGATTCTGTCAGAGAGAATCTGCAGTCTTGACGGTAAAATGGCTACAACCACCAAGCATGATCTTCTCAACCTTCTACAAGAAATATTTAACGTCCCATGCATCTCGGTCTCTTCAGCCCCCCTTGCGGCCGCTCTATCTGCTTCCAGCGGTTCAAACGATAAAATAAACGAAGATCAAACTCCTGACCTCCTTCTCTCCGATGCCCGCACAGCTTCTATGCCACAACTTGTTGAATTCATTCTTCAAATTCTTCTAACACGGCCGCCATTCACACACAAATCACCGGAGCTCCTGATACAACAACGTTCCAAGTTCTTTCAAATTTGGAATAGAGATCATACGGATGGGTCAATCAGTGGTGAAAACGAAGACGAACAGAGACTTCCACCCCAAAAAAGCTTGCACATTCTCGCAGAAATTCGAATGAGCTTTCAAAGACTTACAGAAGGTGGCTTTCAATTCGTGTCAGAGCTCCTATTATCCTGCCTCCTCAGACTGTCTTTGGTAAACACAGCCGGACGAAGCTGGGTGATTGAACATGGGAAGGCCGTGAAGATTCTGCTAGACTTGCTTCATAGTGTACCTGACGCTGGCTGGTTAAGTATGGACACAAACTTTGAGTATACGGTAACGGTGTGGAAGTGCTTGAATCTCTTGACAACAGGCGCTCCCTGGTGGGAATCGAAGAGCAAAGTATATGCGAAAAACATACTCAGTCTTTCCAAGTGTTTCTGTGAGTTCCTTCTCGGGCTAGAACTGTATTCTTTAATGAGGTGAAAAGCTTAACGATATTAGTTACTCTCCCAACAGCATTTTCGCTTCTTCGAGCGGCAGTGCGTGTGGAGTTAAGGCCAGCTGATATTTTTTCAGCAATTGATCTCCTTTTAACACCCTTAGAACGGCTCCATGGATTTGCAACTTCTGAGAACATAAATGCATTTACACCCACACCATTCAACTTTCCTGTTTTTCCTTCTTTAATAAATCACGATTTCACGAGACCATATGAATTTGCAAACTTAAGGATATTATTCATATCCTGGATAAATTCAGATGCACCGCATCGTAACTTAGTACAATTCAGCAGTCCATGGAGTATTAGCATGGTTTTACAGCACCCGGAGGCGTTCAATCGATTGAAGTCACATCCGGAGAGTGCTGCCAGAATCGCATTGGCATATATCTTCAACGAAGTACAATTGGGAGGGAAAGGTAAATATGGTGCCAAGGGTCACAAATAGCTGTATGGAGAAGTTGACCAATGAATGCAGGTTTTAAACCAAGTACAGATATGAGGGCCGTCCAGCTTTTGAAGATATTTATAACCTATAAACGTAGAGCTCGACTCAATATCATCTCGACTCCTTTGAATCGGGTAGAGCTCAGTCCTGAGGCGTGCATAACGATGAATGCTGAATGGGTTCTTCCATGGTTGTGGCAAAGAAGAACTACTGATATAGATTTCGTGATGGCTATGACAAGTACGTGGATGATGGCAGAAGAAGAAGAAGAAGAAGAAAAGAAGCTAGATATGAAGCATCCTGTGCTTATGCTTCTCAAGAAAAATCCCATCGGTCTTGAGGTGCTCAGTGTAGGCGGCTCTTCTTTGTCTCCGGCGAAGTGACATTATCGATTTTTTTTTTGTTTAATTCATTAATTGCATGCAACCAGTGACATTATCGATAGCTAACGTGAGTAGTATTTATTCAAGTTTTTCTTTGTGTACGAGGATAGTTTCGATTCGACTGCTATAAGTAAAGTTCGTCGACTTCTGGAATTGACCCTACAGGTGGTCAGGTTAATTTTTACTTCACAACCGGAAGTAATAAGTCTGGGATTGTGCTCACAGATCATCCGATGTTTTACAGGCTCAGTGGAGCAGAATTGGATACCGATTTCTTGTGAGTACCAAGAATTCATGAATACTATATTTTTTTCTGAAGTCCGTTAGGCTGGGAATCGGTTTGCATGCTACTCGCAAAGATCCCTAAGCTTGTTCTAGAAGATGCATTTACAAATATTGCCAATGGGATGGGCAAGATAGATATGTGTAAGTTCCTCGAATTTTGAGAACACGCATCTAGAACTAATGAGAATATATGTACAGTTATACAAGTGTTCCTTCGAGATATTGAATCGATAATGAGTCTCTGCCAGAGTAATTTGGAGCTTGACTTTCCTGTCAGAAAACTCGCAAATCAGTTTGGGACTTTAACGGCCATGTTACAATTTATGATTCTCCTGGGAAGGGTTAACAACGAGATTCGTCATTCTTTAGCAGTAAAAACACACTTCGTCCTGTCGATGCTGAGCTACGTCAGTCACGATTATGTATCCGTATTATTAAAATCCTCTCACCCTGAGCTGATTTGGAGGCATGCAGCGTCTGTCGGTGCTGCATGTGAAATTCTCATCATAACTGGATTTGACATGGATGCGGATGTATCGCTGGCTGAAAGCATCAGAGATAGTATCAATATCTCCACCGGAGGAATGACCGAGCAGACGAAGAACCAAGAGATTTTGAAACTTATTTCAAAACTTGTACGACATGCTTATGATATGTCATATATAATATGTAAGTTCCCTTTATTAGAGCTTTGATTAGGTACATGCAAGGCCTTAAATCCTGCGAATTGCTAACCAAATCAAAGCACCGCTTTGCGAGCTGGCGGCGATGCTCAGTACGAGTTGGTGGATAAAAAGACCGTTCGTATATTTCGAGCTTTTCGGATATATCCGAAGGCTTTTATTGAAAAATGTTTGTAACCATCCTTGTTGAAACGGACTTACTGAGAACCTGTGATTTAGGGAACCCATCAATGGTGTTATCTAGCGCCCGTATTGGTTCATGCAATTGAAGCACTTCTGAAGGTCAATGCCTCGATACGTAAGCTTACCGCAGATAAGTTCTAGTCCATCAGATAACATATTAACGATGACCTGTATACGTAGGTCAAATATTGGTCGAAAATCGGTGGAATCTAGAGCTCGCAGTAGCCATGATCACTCGCATCAAGGATGGTAACGTGTGCTGTGAGGAATGCGATGTGAATTTCGAGGCGCCAATCTTAAAGCTGGTGATGTTATTGGTTGAGAGACGCCCGAGATGGTATAGAGACCTACTCGTGGAAAGAGCATTGGGACAGTACTCTATACTTACCATTGATATCATTGTTGTGATTTTTGAAAAGCAGCTGGAACAAACTAATCCATCAACGCAGATTGGGGAGGACCAAATAGCATTGGGGGGAATGGTGTTGAGAATTGCCAATGTATTCCCGGAATGGGAAACGAAGGCAGAATTGACGGCTATGAAAAGAGGGTTGGAAAAAGCCATTATCTCATTTGACGAGAGGAAAAGGTGTCCTCCTAAAAAGGGCGTTTGCGAGTTTTTTCGACCGGTGGAGGAGGGGTCTCTTTGCTTGGTCCCGAACTATGAAATTGGTGAGAAGTTGACGCCCGAAATTGTAGATCAAGTACGATCATGCATAATTCAGCAAGGAGCCGGGGGGGTCCGATCGTATGGAAACTGACGGGTACGGGTACTAACCTGCGGCCTGACATACTCAAACTAATTGTGTCATCATTAGCATTACTTGTAAATTGCAAATGAAATAGCTGGTTTCATCAGCAGTTAAAACGCTGGATGCTTGAGCTTTTGTGTAGTGCTTTATGGAATTACTACCTAGTATGTAGAATATGCAACTCTTGAGGTATCGGAAATCTGGCGCGGCGGAATTGGAAGCTTTATGTGTGGAGGTTTATAGCTTAATAAACCCACCAGCTTACCACTCACTGTGTAACCACCAAAACACAGAAAACGTCAAAGATCTCAAGTAAAGTCTGGAAATTGAAAATTATACATATGCAATTATCCACTTACAAGAAAAGAACAAAAAAGTAACGACACCGACGAGATTCGAACTCGCGCGCCCGAAGGCATCCGCTTACACTTTCCGAGGAATAGCAGGCGAACGTGTTAACCACTCCACCACAGTGTCAGATGTTGTGTTGTGCCAACAAAGAATATATAATGCGTAGTAGGTGAGTCAAACAACCAACTCGAGAAATAGTAATAGAGGTTGGACTGAGTGCGCCAACATATGGCTTTCTAACCTAGTCCGCCACCAGATATTGGAAATTACGAAGGGGTAATAATATGCTCTGAGTTCCAAATATGTGCAGACAGTGATTGGGCTTGGCAATAGTTCAGGATTTGATCCTCCAAACCTTCGTTGCGAGCTCTTACACTGGTCTCTTTTAAAAGGAAAAATCATCACCCGTATTATTGTCCTTGTTTAATGCCGTCGTAGCATCAATTTCAACGTCGTCCTCAGGCTTGGAACCAGTGCCCGCCTGGCCAAGCTGCTCCACAACATGCACATTCACATCCACAATGACCGCTTTGTTTCTCGCACTGTGTGCTGTACCCTTCTTCCAGGGCCTTGTAACCATTGCCGCATTCACAAGACATGTTTCGTTTCTTCCATTCAGTGTGCCATCGTTGTCCAATGCGTTGCGACGCTTCTCGGTCAGATCTACTACAAACTGCTTTGCGCTGTCGGGGGCGGGGTCTTCAACAACTGTTACGGACTTTTCTTTGTATTTCACGAACTTGGAATTGAGGTCCCAGCGGACGCGCTCGACGCCGCGCGATTGGTGGATGTGCCCGAAGACGTGGAGGAGTGGGCGGACGGTCCAGACGGCTTGTCGGAGGTGCTCGCAGCCGCTGCTGCTCATGGGGCCGTCGAGGTGGAATTTGGGAGGGCCGTGGGTAATCATAATCTGCCCGTATTAAGTGATTGGTATATCTGTGTTCTAAGTAGAGAGGGAGGGGTGGCATCTTTGAAGGTCTTACATCGGTGTCGAGTGGGATGCCTTTCCACATGCTCGACTGGAGACTTGGTGCTTCGCTGTACCCAAATCCCCAAAGACCGCACTTGGGAGCCCAGGGTGAGCCGAATACATTGAACGTTCGTCCATCCTTTAAAGTAATAGTTTTGAATTCGTGGTTAAGATAAACGATGCCTTTCGCGACAGCTTCTGGCGAGGTGAAGAGAGCTAGATTATCGGCGTGAGACTGGGGCGCCTGATTGTGAAAATTGCCCCCAAACTCCTTGAGAAATTCCGGATCTAGTGTTACCCCGTCGTGGTTTCCTGATAAATACTGTAGTCAGAATGAGCTCCCAAAGCTATTGTTTGTTGCACCGTATCCAAGCTCGCCAAACATACCGGCGATGACTAGCTTCACCTCGTGCGGACAATCACCAATCCAATCCACGACCCTCTTGAGCTCAGAATAGGACCCCTGGTTCGTCATATCCCCGGCATGAATCAGCACGTCTCCTGGCGGAACCTTGAAGACGCCATCCTTGGGCGAGGAGTTGTGCGTGTCAGATACGCACACAACGCGAAGCTTCTTTCGGGGAGCAGGACCCGATATGAGGAACGCTTCCGCGCCAGACATGCCTGGAGGTTTGGGAATGTATATATCTGGGCGTTTAGGGGTCGGTTTGGAGGTGAGCTTCTTGAACGGATTGCACATCGTCACTGGTGGGGCTCGGATGTGGGGTGTCTTGGCGAGCGGAGCCTCATGATGGTGATTGGTGATCATGATGGCATTGGATTCCTTATCAAAGATAGACCATGTATCCTCTGCATCGTTTCCTCAATTAGTGTTCCCTATGATGTCTCGCTGGAGATTAACCTTGGAGCTACATATGGAACTACTACTGCAACCTCCAATTGCAATTGCACCATGACATTCTAATCCTGCTGAAGGAACGATTGGCTGCAACTTCAACGACTTGAATCTTGAGCTCTGGAATCTCGCATTTTGATTTTACGTGATTTTCCTAAAATACATATATTCTTCGTCCACAACCTATTTCTGCACAATCCACTTCTGCGCCTCCTTCGCCAGCTCCTCCGCCTTCTTGGGATCCTTCAACGTCTCTAAAAGGGTGCTCGGCTCAGGCACATCCGCTCCCCTCTTGAGGGCCGGCCTCTCCTGGAGCTTCGCATGCCACTTCTTGAGGTTCGGGAACTTTGACAGCTCGACGCCGGACCACGGCGCAATGTTGATCCAGCCCCACGTGGAGATGTCGGCAATCGTCAGGCGGTCGCCCACAAGGAAGCCGTGAGGGTTGGAGGCGAGACGGGTGTCGAGGACGCTGTAGAGGCGCTCGGCCTCGGCGATGTAGCGGTTGATGGCGTAGGGGATCTTTTCGGGGGCGTAGCGGAAGAAGTGGTTGGCTTGGCCTTGCATGGGGCCGACACCGGCGTTCTGGAAGAACCTATGGATTGTTAGTTTTTTGCTTGTTACTATTGTGAATTGTGCGAGGACTTACAGCCATTCCTGGGTCTCCCAGTACTCGCGGGTGCCCTTGGGATATGAGATCTTGTGGTCCTTGTCGTACGTCTCTACGAGGTACTGCAAAATGGCTCCGGACTCGAAGATGTGGATGGGCTTTCCGTCGGGGCCGGACTTATCGGTGATGGCGGGGATGCGGCCGTTGGGGTTAATCTCGAGGAACCAGGGCTCCTTCTGCTCGTTCTTGGCCATGCTGATCTTCTTGACTTCGTACGGGAGGCCCAGCTCCTCGAGAGCAATCGAGACCTTGATGCCGTTGGGCGTCTGGGCCGTGTACAATGTAATCGAAGGTTCTGAAGAGGAAGACATGGCGCGGAATATCGAGGTGTTAGTGCTGGCGGGGGATTTGTTGGAAATGTGTTTGGTGATGCTGAGGAGTCTGGTGATGCTGCGGTTCATAGTTCGAGATGGGCCGCGAGGGGGCGAGTGTTATATATGCATTTGTGGAAGGGGGGGGGGGGGGGGATTTCGAAGTTGGGGTGTGTGGTCCCCGTTGTTTGCCCATGACGACATTGCTTGGATGATTGACAATGTGGTTTAGGGCGACAAATTGGCCCCGCCGTATGGGGCGGGCCGAGGGATTCGATAGCTTTCTGTAGAGTAGCTAGCTTGGGTGGTGTTTTGGGTGAGGCCTACCGCCCGCAGATACTTGCAGGGGGGTCGTCGTCTTGGTGGATTTGAAATCAAGGGAATTACCAATTGTTCACACCCTTCCCCTTCGGAGAGATTGCGGAGAGATGTTAAGCCTTTCCGGCAGGAAAATAATCTAAATATGGGGAGGATTAGAAGGAGAATATTGTAATAGAGGATTTGTTAGTTAGCTCGAGGAATGGAAATAATTGTTCAGTGATCTTTTGTACAGCGACAGGTAATAAGTGATCGGACGCCTGCATGGAGCGTGCTGAGCAATGTGAGACATCAGCGTTGCTCCCCCTCGAAGACCCTCGCGAATGTCACGAAATGGCAACGAAATACATCGATTAATATATCAAAATGACCATAGAGGTATCTAGTATGATATGATGGACATAGGAAATTAATTTAATAATGGGTTGAGGCCCCCTTTCTCTTAATACATTCCATAACTCTCCTAGGCATGCTCTCTATGAACCTCCTAAAATCATCCGGGGTAAACCTGTCCCATTCTCCTTGTAGAACCTTGATCAGTTGATACTTCTTGGTGATTGGGGGGTTTCTCTGGTTGATTCTGTATTTCATTTTTCGCCAGAGGTTTTCAATTGGATTCAAGTCTGGCGATTGGGCAGGCCAAGGAATTCTTTGGATCCTAAGGAGGTTCTTAGCTTCCTAGGCTACTACAGATCTGTGAATAGGAGCTCCGTCCTCCATGACCATTGCTTCTCCATCTTGTCTTCTGGTCTGGGTATAGAAGGAGTAGAGTGCCGGAATTATGACTAGCTTGATATAATCAGGTTCTTTGAGTGATCTAGAAGGTAAAATAACCATTGGCCCTTTGGTTCCCAACTTGATCGCCTCCCAAATCATAACTGACGTCCTGCCACTCTTAAATGAAGATAGAAGGCAGTCAGGTAAATCTTCTTCCCCTTTTGCCTGAGAAACCCAGCAGGTGCCTGCATGAAATCCGACCTCAAATCTCGACTCGTCTGTCCAGATAATTTCACCTCAATCCTCCAATCCTCCAATAACCAATGTCTTCGCTCTTTACACCAACTCAATCTCCTGTCCATGTGAACCTTTTTAAAAAAAGGCTTTCTCCTTGCCCTCAGTCTACGGATGCCTACCCATGCCAAATAGGATCTAGCGGTATTGATTGTAATGGATTTCGGTAGGATTTTAATAAGCTGGTTAAGGGCGGTTCGACGGCATCGACGTACAATCCAGATAAGAAAACGTCTCTCCCTGTAGCTAAGCTTCAATGGGCGACCACTCCTAGCTGCATTTTGGGTGTAGGGAGTTTTCGTACCGGCTTCTCGGTGCTGTTTGTCGCATTTGACAATTGAAAAACAGGTACTCTTTGGTATACCTATTCTCTCTACTATTTTATTGAATGGGTACCCTACTCGTGGAGGGTAATTACTATAGAGCGCTGGGCCTCAGAGGTTTGAGACCTCTTTAGCTTCGAATCTGACTTGATTACCGTTATTTTGTCTGTCTTGAGGATAGGTTTGGTTGACTCTTTAAGTTACTTCTACGGCATTTGACAATAGGGGGATCGACATCGTCAAGTGTCTCACATTTCTAAGCAAGGCATATCCGATCACTTTTTGTATGTCGCTGTACTGTGGAGTCACGTGCACACGGAGTTTGAGTTGGTGTCGTGAAGTGATGACTCAGCATGAGAGCGAGTGGTGTGACCTGGGTTAGGGTTGCGATTGTGACCTGCTTCTGGGGGATAGATCTATTCTAGCTTTCTTTTCGTGGTGGGAAGAGAAAGTCCCCCGGGGGGGGGTGTTTAGAAGTCGTATCATGTAATCTTGGAAGGAACGGACTCTGTGTTTGCGTGCAGGAAGTGAAAATTGGTGACCGGTGAGGAGAATCGGCGACGGGGTCGATGTGTAGACCGTACTGGGATGACACGGTACTCCGGGACTGCTATGACGGTGTTTGGTGAGGTAGAGAGCTTTCTGAGCAGATGATGCGGCTCTACCATATGTAGGAGAAGAATGTCATGTTAGATTGGTTGACTCGGTCTCTCTTGACGCTGGGGGAAGGTGGGATCTGGCGAAGGAGGCGTAGTGTCGGTGTGTAGAGTTAGAGGCCAGTACAGTAGTAGCGCTACAATGGGAGTTGTGTGTTCTGGCTTGATATCTGTTGCTTGGGAGTTCCGGGGAACTTTGGCGGAGTCGGAGTTGGCTGGTGGTCATGGAATATCACTCGAATACGCCAAAAAAAACTTGTGGTGGCCTCTGAAATTTTCCGCGTAACGCAGGTCATTGTGTGATGGTCCGTAGAGCCTCTCAAGAGGAGTAGGGATGAGTTTTGGGTGGAAGTCACCTACAAAGTTCGCTGAAGCGAATTAGGAGCCTCCCGGGATAACTTCGAGACAAGAGTGCTACAAGTATTTTGGATAAGCAGATCAGACAGGCCTACAGAGCACAATAAACTACATCTAGACGTAGAGAATCGAAAAAAGGTCGAACCGCACGAACCTGAGGACACGGTAAAGGTTTCTTGTCACGGGCTTTCTCGGGTCTCCTGCTGACTGATATTGAAAGTGTTGGTTTTTCACACTGACCTTTGCTACATGTCTTCTGTGCCAGTAGCAAACAGCTCGCATGGTCTCCACGCCACACGTATTCTCTGGCTTTGTTATAAAAAGAGTCTGTTCCTTCTCGATCTTTCCTTTAATCATCGATCAATCTACAATTCGTTTTCCACTTCGTATAGCTGGACAACAACATTCGACGGAAACCTCCAGTCAGCTCTAAAACTGAATGGATCGAAGAAGATCAGGCCAGGCTTGTGTCGCCGAAAGCAGAATATTCGTCTAGATGGACACGTGGGGTTGACGTTGGCGTTTAAGAATCTGAGATGTGTACGTGTCAGTAACCCTAACCCATATACAACTATGACCGGAAAACATAAGAAAAACTCCGGCAGCAAAAACTGCAGCAAGTTAGGCCGGGGTGGTTGTGACCACCCCGTACGTTAACCGCCCGCCCTGGGATTCGAACCCAGGCCGCTAGCACAGTGACGATAATTAGAGATTACAGAGTACTTCTCCAATTAAGCCGTTTTAAACACCTGCCCTACTGTGTCGGAACTCAATGGTAGACCCAACCTACAACCTCGGCACCCTTATCTAATCTCGATCTACGATAAGGTATTCCTTAGATACATCATGTAGTTCGAAAAGCAACGAAAACAAACTTTAGCCAAACAACCATATTAATTCCCGCACCCACCAAACATGTCGCCAATAAGGGCGCCCACCAACAGGAGCTGCTCCTGTGCCCCGCCTGACGGTCATCTGAGCGTCTACACGCCGCGATACCGCGGCCTGGGCACGGCCGAATCACCATTCATACAAATCCCCCACCCCATCCAGACCTGGTTCCGGTTCAAAATCATCCTCCCGGCCCATCGCGGAGGCGACAAGGCATTCACGGCGGAGTGGACATTCACCACCATCCATCTGCTGGAAATGCTCGACTGCCTCGAGATCGACCGGTCGGTCGTCAGGGACCCGACCGTCTTCGTCTGCTTCCATGGGTTAGTCTCGGGCGACGAATACCCGCACAGATACGTGCCGGAGTATAAGGGGCTTGTCAATCTGAATGATGAAGCGGCCTGGCAGAGGGTGCTGGTGGGATGCAGGGAGAGGCTGGGCTATATCTCGCTGTTTTTTTCGGCCATAATGCATCATGAGGATGTGGCGTCCTTCGAGGATCAACGGCTCAGGGAGGTTATTGTCCATCACGTGGTGAGAGGTAAAAGATTCTTTTTGGTCCTTGCAAAGAGTAGAAGGGCACGCACGAGCTGTGGAAAATGTTGATAGACATTTTTTGTTTGGATATTCTTGGAGTTTGAAATAGAGGGCTAATGAGATTGTTTGTACGAAGCAGAGAGGCAACTAACAGCAGAGGCGCAGTGGAAAGGAAGCAGTTGGGGCTCAGTTCCAGACGCGCCAACGTATCTTCGGTAAGAAACTACCGTCCCTGTTCGAGCGTTCGCTGTGTTACATTTAAACGAAGAAATAAAATCGAGTGATATTCTGTGACTAACGCGTTGGTTGTTGGATAGGTGATACGGCAACATCATGAAAAGCTGGAAAAGAGATAATAAGTACCTTTCTGAAGCCTTAGATAGAAGAAAGTAGAATCAAACTTTTAAACTGGGAAAAATGTGCTGCAGTAGTGGCATCTAGGTTGGGCTCTTCGTCTGAGGAAGGCGAACCAACATCACTCAAAAATCAGGGGGGCAGGTTATCAAGGCTCCCCAAAGGATAGGGTTATAGAGAAGTTTATAGGATATACTTGATAGGATTCTTGGGACGATCACGGGTATGATTGGCTTAAGATGTAGCGACCCAAGGGAACAGGGATGCAATATTACCCCGCGGGGGTCGATTAGAGTAAGGTAGGTAGAACTTTGGATCCTGATGTAATTAAGTAATTTTGCCGCCGTTGGTGCCGGCCCGGGGGGGAAGGGGGGTGGGACTATACTACCATAAACATATTCAAGAAGATGACAGCATTATGTTTCTATTGGAGCGGTAGTTAAATACGGTCAAATAGATTGGTCCCTGATCATACTACTCCGCGTTGTGCTTTCTTGACCGATTTTAGGAGCGGGTGGGCAGCGTGGCATTTGGGCCGTGAGTCAGAATCACCAAATGAAAGAAAACAGTTTGAAATCATGAGAGCGAATTTGGTTTGAGGACATGTTGATATTTTTTTTAAAAAAAGATTAAATAGCGAATTCGAACTAAATTATCTAAAGGAGAAAGAAAGAGAAAAGAAAATAAACGACAAAACAAAGCAAGGACCTACAAATCACAAGCGAGAGGGAAGGAGTAAGAGAGAGAGAAAAACAGGAGAACCAATTAGTGATATGTATAAGAAAATTCATTACAAAAAAAAAAAAAAAAAGAACGAAACTTATCCGTCAATAACCCTAACCCAATTTTAGGATTTCGGCAGAACCAGAGTGAAACTGCTCCGGAAAGGAACTCATGTCTAATGAGATACCCAAGGGTGAATACTGCACGTTTTCAGGCTATTGGTGTTCGAGATCTCTCTATCGGAGCTTTTGCAGATTTTGCTTTGATATAGGAATGTATGTAGGAGTGATGATGGTTGTATTAAGTGGGTGCCACAGCGTGGTTTTATAGGCTCCAAGAAACTAACACATATGCTTGCCCGAGTCCAACCACGTAACCGCTGCAACGTGTGAAAACACCTATTCGAATAACCTGCACCACAAGGTGCAAAAAGACGGATGAAGAGGGGAGTGAGGGAACTTGGGCTTATATTCTGAATATCGACCACTTGAGCGCCCCAGAATCACTCTGTTTGCCTATCAGCGATCCCTCTAGCTCGTTCACACCAGTTATATCGTAGAGATAACCGTATAAGAAATTCACACAATAGAGTAATCTAGTATGCAGTTTGAGTCGGTTTTATTCTGGACAGTTGTGGTGGCCCGGCTCTCGGTATGGACAAGACTTCACACTTACCGCTACTTTTCCAAGACATGGCCTTGTGTTTGGGTTCTTGAAGCACGATAAATGAGGTATAGGACGCTCTGACATGTTCTGTCACTCGTGGCTGGTGATTGTGGCTGATTTGCATGAGATATCACTCTTCGAGTGATATCTCATGCAACTCTGCACGATGAGTTTTACCTACACAGGGAAGAATATGATTAATTAAGTGAGGAAAAAGGTCGCAGTCGCGAGGTTGGTTGGCCTTGCTAGTACTTGTGTATCTAGTTTAAAAAAGAAACAAAGATGCGTCAGCAAAAACTGCAGCAAGTTAGGTCGGGACAGTTGTGACCATCCCGTGTTTTAACCGCCCGCCCCGGGAATCGAATCAGGGCCGCTCGCACAGTGACGGTAATCTGAGATTACTAACTGAGTACGTGCATGTAGTTACTTCTCTAATTAAGCCGTTTTAAACACCTGCTGTACCATGTCGGAACTCTGTGATAAACACCACCTACACGCGCGGCACCCCTATCTAATCTCAATCTACGATATGTTCCTTAGATACGATCTCTGACCTTTCCACCTTCATCACTCCACTCCGGCAGAGTCTTCTACCCAAGTCTTGCTCCTTGCAATGGAGTAATTACATATACCGATGACATCTTTCGATCCAGCTCAACGAAAAAACGAAGACCGCTGCGGCGAGCAGATGACGCTGACCTGAGGAGGCCCCCTCCTGAGCTTTGAGACAAGTGGTTCTTCCAGGAATCTCAATCTAAACCGGCTCGTTTTCGTCGTATCTTCATCAGCGTCCTCCGCTCTCCCTCCATTTTCGATGACAGTTGTTTTCAGGGTGCAGCATTCGAATGGCAGAACCAACGTATGTTCCATCTACTCCCCTCCTCCTTCCAAAAGACATCACATCAAGACAGTTGTCTCGTTTTTCAAAATTCTCTTCCATCAAAAAGAAGATCCCGAACCCTTCTCCGCCATTTCAATTCGCCCGACCAAAGCACCCCCGTACCCTGCTATAAGCTCTGAATTCATCTAAGATACACAAAGATAGGTCCTCCCTCCATCCTGTCCAGCCAAGGTACATTAAGGGTCTATGCGCTAGGGTAAACAAAGGGCGGATCTCATGGAGCAAGGGCAGAGAGCCCTAGAAGCTCGAGGCGGAAGAACAGCCATGTGATTTCACGCTTCAATAAAGCTTCATTGTTGTTTGGAAAAGAGAATATGGCGGGCGTGCATGATGAGAGAAGAAGAAGAGGACCGGTTGCGACTTGCACGCTCCTTATGTTGATTCCCCCTCTTTTTTCGTACTTCCCCTTATCTTCGGGATAGGATCCTAACGCACGAAGAGCACATGTGCACACCCGATACCCGGAACTAACTATAGGCCGCTGAGAGCTATTATGGGTTTAAATATGACAATTGAATATTATTTCGATGAAACCTCCCTTTCTCCCTCCTCCGGACGACGGAATGTTTATTCTCTCAATATAATATACCCACACTACCGAAACCGCCTCAGTCTCTCACAAGATAGAAAGGAGGCCTATTAGGTGGGATTGTGAAAACAAATATTTTAGGAGTCTCGCGGGGGAGAGGTTAATGCATGCGCCGGACGATACTTTTGTCCAGCAAGATTACAAATACATGTATAGAACTCGCAAGAGCTCTACAGATCGTAGCTGGGCTCGATCCATTGTCTCCAGGCTAATATTGAACATAATGACAGCTCACAGCACTAACTACAGAAGAGTTCGAGAAGCCTTCTCAATAATATACTCCTTGCGGCAAGCTCTGCGTTCTCTACAGACCGAAGTAAGTTCATGCTATTCCCGGAACACAAAAATAGATGAAACAAAACAAAAAGAAATACAGATTGACTTTGGTGATAGGAATAAAGGAGGCCGTAGACAGTGGAGTATCTAGTTAAGATATTAGTCTTGCAAAACAAATTCAGAAAAAGTATCGAAGAAGTACGGGGGAGGTACAGCGAACGTCATTAGTTCTTGCCTCTATATGTGTACCACGACCGGTAGTGCTGCTAGATGTGGGGATGTTTATAAAGAGGTAGAGGCGGGAGAGCCGTGGCCGAACGGGGCCGGGCTTGCTGCAGTTTTTGCTGCCGGATTTTCCCTCCCTTCTCGTTTCTTTTATTGAACTGGATATTATTTTAAGGCATCAATTCTCAGATATGAATGTAGCCTGGGCGCGATTTGCCTGCTTTACCGAAGCATCCAAAACGGACGAAAGAAAGGATAGCAGATGGAGTGCCGGAAATAAGGGAAAAAGGGAATTTGTTTTTCTACCACAAATAAAATATCATCTCGCGCGCTCGCCCTGCTAGGGTTCACCAATACTTACTCACCACTGTATTTTCTCTCATTACGCTCGGTACGTATGTCGTCCGCATTGTGATCCCACTCATAATATGATTTCAACTCATCCGTTGGTACGGGATTTTGCGCAGGAGCATGAACACAATTCCTCTGGCTGTTCTCTACAGGGAAGAATGGTACTGATAGACTCATATGCTCACCACGCAAGATGATTTAGAGAACTTTCTATGTCACCTCGAGGATAGCTTACACTCATGTAGCACCCGTACCGTCCCATTCCAGTCTGCAGGAGTTCAGCTCGGCACCTGTCCTTCCTCACCATGTCAGAGCTTTATGCTAACATGGATTCAGAGCGAGTTTCAGCGTTGAATGTTCGGCGGAATACACTACAACGGGAATATGAACGGGTACCAGAAAGCGACTTAAACCAAGGCACACCTTAGCCGCAAGAGCTAGGAAGGTCTTTATAGTTCTAACGGAAATGAAGCCCATTATCAGATACTCTCAGGCGCCGTCGATGAATGCCGGCGAGTTTCTTACGGCGGGAGTCTTGCGGCTTGCTTCTTTACCGCTCATGTCGTGACGTGGAATACCAACTCAATCCGTAACCAGTACAAAGCTACAACGAAGCATAGCGGAGGACAAAGAGCTCCTAGTGTCTCGCCCCATCCCAGCGGTTGAAGTAAATACATATCACCAAAGCGGGTATGTGAAGAGGTATCATCAACGGCACATAAACCATTAAAATTTTCTATTAGCTGGTACGTACCGAGAGATATAATTTTAAATGAGTTATTTGGAGCTGTCTATATCATCAACGGGGTATATATGGAAGATTATTCAGCGCAGCTAGTATGGTAGCATCTCACCTTCGAGAAATGCCTACAAAGGAACCATCCGTTATGGCCTCCAAGTAGCTTGAGTATCACGACCGTGTTATTCCAGGGATCTTCAAGCTACCTAAGACGCTGTAGTAGTGGAGATCCCTGTGGATGTGTGTGATTTTACCCATTACAGGGCGAAGTGAATCGAGGTGCGGTTGGTGTATCCCCGCGTTGCACTATGCCTGCGATAGCGGTAATATAGGTGGAGCTAGCTAAGAGCGATAGGGTGCCGTATGGCGGAAGGACGTCGATGTAGTGGTTTGCTACCGTAGTCTAAGACATTATTTGGAATATGCACTTACCTAGGCTCGTCCCCAAACCCCCTGCTTGAGCAGCTTGCTGTAAGTAGGGGATGGGTACGAGACTGGGACTTACCACAGTAATCAAAGAACTAAGGCCAAGTTTAAAGAGATCAGCGCTGCGAGGCGATGTCTCACTGGCCCTCCAGCGACATCAATATCAGCATCGACGGTTCATGGGACAAAGTAAATAAAGCCGCCCACCCAACCACCCTCTCACCTTCTACACTCAGTTTATTACAGCGCCTCACCACCCGTTTACCCACACACAATATCGCCGGCATCCAACTACAGATCGTGGATATTTAAGTGCGGTGGGTGTTTCTCACTGTGATGTGGGAAATCTGATCAAGAGCACATACTGATATAAGGGTGCGTGATACAGGTGAGGGGGGTGAGTGCTGTGCATATGGCCAGAGGGATAGTTGTTCTAATGGCGAGAAATCCGTGTGGGTAGGTGGTGGGAGGTAGGTGGTGGAGTTGAAGTTGGACCTCCATTGATTGATTGAACAATTTACGCATCGATTACAAGTATAGGCATCTAGCCTTCCAGCTATGGTGCCCAATATTTAGTGTTGGTGGAGTTTTCTCTCTCTTTTTTGTCGCAGATAGCTGGTGATGAGGGCTCAAACATTGCACATGTGGTCTAGATCCGAGTCATCTACCTCGGTGGAGAATTGTGTTTCTTATTTATATTTATATTACGCCCAGTCAATAGATGCCTTGCTATATTTGACCAGACACCTCATACTGGGGCAATACATACCTGGCATTACCTGGGAGGTGAAATACCATGCAACCGAAAATACAATGGCATTAAAAAGCCATATTGCATCCGAGCAGGCCCTTAGTGTATTGTGAGAGAACCTAGACATTCAGGTATACTCATAGAATTTACAGCTCACCGACACCCGCGAAGTAAACTACTGAATTTACAGCCCATTTACAAACGCCCTCCGCCCGTGAACGTTCGTCAGGAAACTAGGTTATTGACGAACGTACACCCTTTCATCCAAAGTGTTCGTGGAAGTCAAAACTGTTCCTCAGAGGCGGACGAGAGCTAGAGGTGTAGATCCAGGAATTCTGGAACCGAATCTGAAGTCAAAACCAACAGACCGGACGTATAAGAGGTTCAACGCGTTGAATGTCACGACTGGGAAAACCATCTTGAGACAAGAAGTGACGGTACGCTTCAGCCTCATGGTGATGTCTGTGAGCAGTTTAGACATTCACCATCCACACCGCCACCAGGAACCGTTCCCGGAAAGTAGGATATGGGCCGGGTACTCTTCACCAATTCGAAGCAGAATGACTGCCTCCATGCCTGGGTGGTGTTGAGACTTGATTAGTCAGACTACGAGTGAGCTTTCCCGATTGGGGAGGGTGCGTCATGAATTATTGCTCGCTATCGGGTGGCTTGGCAGTGCGAAGGACAGCATCCGCCAACACTCTTCCGCCTCTAAAGGGGAAAACATTGCTCGGTGGAGTACTTTATCTTAGTTTTTTTTTTTAGTTTTTTCTTCGTAAATCGCGGGTCTGAGGTTCGAGTTTGACTTGAGGTTATTCGGGGGTTATAGATTGAAGTAGAATTACGAAGAGAGTGGCGTTGGGAAACGATTTCTGGTATAAAATGGCCTAAGATTCTAATTTCTGAAAAATAAAAAAGAGGGGGGGCTCCAAAGGGACTTGAACCCTCGACCACCCGGGTCTGTTAGGGGCGCACCGCCAACTGTGCTACGGAACCTGGTTGTCAATCCTATTTGACCCATTTATCAAGGGGCTCGAGTTACCACCTGAAGTTATTCCAAAGGGACAGATGGTAACTACGGTCTGCAGAATCGTAGTGTGGGAGTCATGTTTCTAGGTTGGGAAACAATCTCTACTAGTAGTGGGCACCTTGTAAAATGGTCTCGAATTCTAATTTTTGAAAAATAAAAAAGAGGGGGGGCTCCAAAGGGACTTGAACCCTCGACCACCCGGGTCTGTTAGGGGCGCACCGCCAACTGTGCTACGGAACCTGGTTGTCAATCCTATTTGACCCATTTATCAAGGGGCTCGAGTTACCACCTGAAGTTATTCCAAAGGGACAGATGGTAACTACGGTTTGCAGAATCGTAGTGTGGGAGTCGTGTTTCTAGGTTGGAAAACAATCTCTACTAGTAGTGGGCACCTTGTAAAATGGTCTCGAATTCTAATTTTTGAAAAATAAAAAAGAGGGGGGGCTCCAAAGGGACTTGAACCCTCGACCACCCGGGTCTGTTAGGGGCGCACCGCCAACTGTGCTACGGAACCTGGTTGTAAATCCTATCTGACCCATTTATGAAGGGGCTCAGGTCCTTCGGGCTCTATCACCTATCACTATTGACATGCGAGGACACGTGATGGCCTTGGATGTGACAATAGCACCAGCACATGGTACATGCGTTCGGACATGCTTGCAGTCGGCAACAGAGACGATACGATCACTATTTCATCCGCCATCAGCGGATGGGAACGTCGCCCGCATCTTGAATCCGGGCAAAGCCTTTGCCTTTCCCAACCAATCCTTCGACCCGACATTCCCGCGTTCATCCTCTTGCCGCCGGTATAACGAGCGAAATACTTTACGAGAATGTCCCTGGTAAGTCCCATCAAAAAGTGCTATTTCCTCCCTCCCACATCTCTTCCAGCCCTCCGGTCATCATCCTTCTCTCTTCCATCTTGGAAAGTGGTGGAGAAGCGGGAAGATTCAGATCCATCATTCAAACACGGTTTTCGGGGTGCTTTCAGGATGTTAATGGTGGTATACAGCAGCTCCTCCGGAGGCCCATGAAAATTGGCGTAGGTGGAAGAGGGGCTTTCGTGCGTTCGGAAGTCTCCTCTATGGCGAGACTCTCGGCGAACTTCACTCCGCTTAAATTACCATCTGCCGGTGGTGGGTGAAAGTATAGCACTCTGTCTTTCTGAGCGTCCACCACAGCGTTATCTTCACCCCTGTTCCCTCGCGCACCAGCTATATCAATGCCAGAATCTTCACGCCCGATAGAACCGCCGACAGGATAATCAAAGCGTACTCTCGAATGAATTAGATATAGAGAGTACGGGAAACATGTAGAAGACACGAGAAAACAACAGCTCGCAAAAAGAGGGAAAATTACCGGGAAAGGCATTCTCGCAGGTTCTGGTACAAACCAATACCTAACAGAAACAAGAGGTCTATAGCGAGAAGGAACTGTCAAGACTGGACAACGAACCTTTTCTTGGTGTTTCCTTCGCTTTTCGGCGTCGAAGGTTTCTGCGTCAATAGAAGAAGGGACCCGGTTGGACTGGCCGCGGGTTTCCAAGAAAAACATAGGGACTGTTCATGCAGCTGTGGAGCCTCCGGGGGCGGCAGTAGTAATCAAATATATGAATATAAATCTCATAGCCCTAGGCAAATATTTCTTTGCTAATTCTCTCTCAGTTATTCAAAACTATCGATAAGATGAACAGTATTTGTGGTTTCGCGTTTCTTTCCCGGCGGTTGAGGAGTGAAGGAGCTGGGGTGATTGGCACACATTTTCTGTCTTCGGAGAAGCTCAAGCGGAGGTCATGCCTAGTGCTAATTCCGTCTCGGTGGAATTTAATGCTGGCGATATCTCTTATTTCTATTTTCTCAAATGTTTGCTTGTCTTCACAAGTTATCCGTCAATATGGAATATCACCTGATGAATACCGACAGAAGAAGCTAAGATACCCGTGGAAGAAAGGAACGGACAAGAAGTTTATGTAATGGGCAAGATGGGCTGGGCAATCTGTTTTAGAGCCTGGGGATGGGTATATTCTCGCGCTGATTATCGCGTACAAGAGATGGGGGTAACTGTAGTAATGCTATATCGCATCCGGAAAACACTATAGGGACTTTTCCAGCTGTCCATGATTATTGCCAACCCAAACTGAGAAATGATCCGGACTAAGTGACCGTAAACTGATCGCTTAATTTTATTTCGGAATTACAACTAGGGATTCGAAGTTCTGGTAGCAGTTATGTTATTGCGCGAGGTGTTGCTAGCTGGTTGTTGTTGTGGCATGGTACACATTTACAGGGGTTCCCTACGGGATTGCAGTCTCTAGAATAAAATATCTTGTCTCCATCCAGCTGAGGTATCTGTTTGAGAACCCTATGTCCGAGGCTTATACAGAGTCTGCATGTTCAGGTTATTCTTGCCTGTCCCGAGTACTACATGTAATCTCTTTGTTCACTTGCAGTCACGTTCTCTATGTAAGTTGGTGTTCTCTAGCGCGTTGATGCCAAGAATTGTTACAATCAAGATAAGATAAGCTAAGATAAGCTAAAACAAACAATTCCCACAACGGTTCACGAGCACCAATTTAGCGTGAAATTAAGAATTTTATCTTCATCTCACCATCGCTGCAATATGGAGCTGGAATAAACTGCAATCGCTAAATTGTGGACGGGGACTGTCTCTGGATAAATCTAGGGCGTACCAGCCTTGAAATTGAGATATATCTGGTCATTTGTAGCGGGGTAATTGGTCTGTCGTGGCCTGCTGTATGTTTTTTTTGCCCTCCACTTCATCTGCGCAATGAGCTCCAAGTAGACTGTATAGTCCAATGCGCAGGCATACACTGGTATCTATTGGAAATAAAAGAGATTATACACAGTGCTCTCGCTGGCACTACACGCCGCCCCTCCATACCTCCTAGTAGTCGGAGACTCCAGAGGTAACTACATGTACAGTTACCCAGGTCCTTCGACAAGAAACGCGTTTCGTGTTTTCTTTACGTGACGCGTCCGCAGCCTTCTCCACACGTACACAGCTACCCGCCGCTGCGAAAGTAAACAAACAATAGGACAAGCTAACCTGCATTCGGGGAGCGGCGAGGGCTCTTGCCCTCTGTGAGTTACCCTGTTGCATGGACGCTAGCACACGACAATTCCCTGGCCGGCGGCAAGGGCCTCTGCCGCTCTGCCCGTGTGTACGGGGTGGCGGTTATAGAGAAAAGGTTTTTGTGAGGGTAGTCTGGTAATGCCTAGATTTAGTTGGCGAATTCCTGCAACATGTGAAGGATAGAAACATGTGGGAACGAGTAGCCGTGGGAAAATTCTTTCGACTCGTCTTTAATGCGAGAGTTGTAGTGCTGGTTCGTCGCGAAGGTTCGCGCGCAAAAGGTGCGGTGGTGGTAGCAGGGAGATACACTGGCCGATCTGATACTCGAAGTTTCTTTTATTATTTTAGATACAAGAATGTACATAGTGTTCAAGCCTAATGTGCGTCATAATAGCTACTTTATTTTCCCAAAAATGAGCATAGCATGATCAAAAAATGAAGGATGAACTATACAAGTTCGAAATGCGCAAAGGCTGGGTATGTGATCGAAACGGTCGTTGAGAGCATAGGGAGACATCTATCGTGTTGTATAAGAACAGTCACAAGTGAAAGAGCGCGGGGATGTTGGGGAGCTCGGCGGCCACAGATGTGTGGGCCAAGTACCAACCCCCACCAACGCCGCAGGCCCCATTACTTACCTCCAACCTTCTCTCTCTTCACTTCTTTACCTCTTCACCTCGTCATCCATTCGCCTCCTCAACTCCACCCCTCTGGCCCCATACTTCTCCATCTCTCCATCATCACGAAGCAACGTTGATCATCGAGCTCGAACACAAAACCATTTGGTAACTGAACGACGACAAGGTATTTCCAATATTTTCTACTTACCAACTTTTCCCTTGTTTTGTTCCCACTTTGGGCGCGTTTAGTATATGCTAACTCTGCGACTATTTCCAGCCTTTTCGCCCATAATGCGTGAGAATATGCGCTCCTCCCGCCCTGCTGCTGCTTCTGAGCAGCAACACTCCGATGACCAGATGGATGTCGACGCAACTCATCTCAACGATCAAGTTGTCATCGCTGAGCAATCCCTCAACGAGGTCGTCGCCAGACGCATCCGTGACGATGCTATGAACAACGCTCGTGATGCTATGACCGCCAATACCATGGCCGGCAATCATTTTCCTACTCTCGCCTCTGCTGTTCCCGCGAGGATGCTTGCTCGTTCCTCCGAAAAACCGTCGGGCTTGGAGTATCTACTCAAGCAAGCAGACGAGGAGCCCACTACACCCTTCCCTGCGGTCAATCCTATCTCCCGTCGTGACGACCCTGACGGCTCCCCGCTCCCCGCCAGTTTCCGTGCTAGCCGTTCCGGGGGTCCACGCTTGCAGCTAGACCCAAAGGCAACTACTCCAACCCAATGGGCGACTGCACACGGAAATAAGTCGTCGCCAGTCGTGGCTCAGGGTAGTACTACGCCTGCTGATGGAGAACCACACACCCCGGCTCTTCCGAAAAAAAGTGTTGCAGCTTTTAATGCGATTAAGAAAGCTGGCGGTGAAAGATCCGCAGAGCTTGTGCGTCGCACCAACGGAAGGTTCACAACTGAGCAGATCAAGTGGCTCGAGGACGGATACCGTCGCTGTACGAACATCAATAAGCTTACTGAACTGTTCAACGACCGCCATCTCGACGATCGCACCACTCAAGAGATCAGCGACACCTTGTACATTATCATTGAATTCAACCGCGACGTCGACAAGGCCGGGCATACCGATACTTGATGGTCTGGTTGATGCGAAGTCGTTTCTTGGTCCTGTTTTGTCCAGTTTAAATTGTTTGAATTGATAGTCTGAAGGAAGTCGAGATAGCTCGCTGTCAAATTGGAGGAAGGTTGTTGTTGATGAGCTATAGGCTGTGTAGAAGGTTTAAACTGATGTCGTTGCAATGATACCTTTCAGAGTAGTCAAATGAAATTTCTTTCTTAAACCCTGATTACTTTACTCTTGACTGTTATCTGTGATCGTGTGACTATCTTCATGTTTATCTGCGTCTGTGCCTGTGGTTCCTTTCTTCGGTGAAGATATCTCGGTAGCTCGGCTCTGTTCTGTCCAATCGTGATAACTGCTCTATCTAGTATTATTTTGTTAGCATAAACCATTCAGAATGGTCTTTTTGTGATAGATTAATCTCACTGGGATACTAGGATCAGAAAGTTGATCATGTACGTTGAACATTCTTCGAATTGAGTATAATCAGCACACTTCCGCTATTCCTGTCGATGGAAGGTGCAAATACGTATACATATACTCTGCATTTATCTAGCCTGGTTACTCTGGACACGTGGTCACACATGCAGGGCTAGATTCAGTCACAGCTTAATAGGAGTCTTTCTATGAACCGCTGCCAAGATTCTGTTTGCCCAGGAAGCGAGAAAAGCAGACAGCCTATGTGTAATGGCAAGGTGCGCAGGTATGTGTTCATTGCAGCTGATAGACCCGCTGTTAACTTTGCCATCTATGGCCTACACTCAGAGTCCGCCCTCCCAGCCTTACTCACTACGCCTAATCACATGGAAAGGGATAACTTGATGATGATCTAGCTGATTCAGAATGAGATAAATTGGAATACATGAATGTCTGTATATCTTTCTATATAACTAATGGGAAAAAGACTACACTACGCTGAGAAATACTAAGAGACATGATTTCCGTAGATTTGATTTTTCCTTGCCCGCTATCTCTTCCTCCTCATTTTACCTGGAATCCTCTCGGAAGTGTCTCATGAGACGCGCCGTCGTCTCTGTGATAGACTTTTTCTCTCTGTTTACGGAAAAACGACTGTTGAATAGATTTGTTGTAGTGTTCCAGTACCCATTCGGCTTCCGTTCTGTCTGGGGCGGCGAGTTTGTCAACTCGTAAGCAACGAGCCAGTGTGCCTGGTCTATAGTAAGCTCACTCCCGATGGCGATGATTGAGGATGGGTAGTCGAACTGAGAGAAGAAAGTCAACAGCTTCTTATGTATTGCTTTCGGTGCTGGGCGCGGTGCACGGTCCGGGGTCGGGGATTGAGGTGCAGGGGATATGCCGGACGAGGAAAGCAGAGTTAAAAAAAGCTTCTCTCGAATATCCCTCTCCGATTTAACGTTGACTGACTCTTCATGATTGGGGGAGGGCTTAGTAAATTTAAAACTTCTGCTCTCTTCGTCGGCCATGTCAAGTTCCCTGCTGGCCTTTCGTTTCAATTGCTGAGCATTGACTTCCGAAGGCTGAATAATAGAAGAACTCTCAATCTGCTTGACAAGATGAGACCCGCTATTCGGTGATAAGACAGCAGAATATGGGGATATCACCTTTGAAGTGCTAATACTTAGAGCCTGTCTCATTTTTCTTGCCTCGGCGACAGCCAAAGCCTTGCAGATCTGGTCCCACATGATATGCAGAAAGTCTTTATGGACCGGTATACCTAATTCCTCCTTCAGGGTTTGATTGCAAGCGGCCCAATAGGATTCTGAAAAAGCACCTGTGTGGTCGTTCACGTACAGGATAAGCCAGTTGCGAATTTTCTTGTACATCTCAGGGGATGAAATTGAAGTTGACTCCTTGGATGAAGGGGCTGCAGCCAATTTTACGATCGTGTTGGCGGAGTATTTTTCTGGTTGTGGGTTGATATGTCCAGTAGTGGAAGGCCGTACCTCTAACGTTGTGACGGAGGAGATTGCCCTATTTGCTATGCCAACTTCTTCTCCCTTGACTTCGCGGGAGATTGGTATACTGCGCGAGAGTCCGACTCTTTGCCGTTTAGTTGCCGGCGATTCAGTTATCATCTCTCCTTCCTGGTCAGAATCTAGATCAACACATTCGATTCGTCTTACCGGCCTTTTGGGACCGAGGTGTGTTTGCTTAAACTCTTCAAAGGACAGATTGGAAGATTTCCCAGGAGTGAAGCGGAATTTGATTGGTGATCGTCCAAAACTATACGTGACACTACCGGGATGGAATGGAGCGTAGAACGGAGCCTTTAATGGTACAGGTCCTGCCGGCATTATCGGACGTGCACGAACTATACTTGTGTCTGTTATCTCACAGACGTCTTCGTCAGGTTTTTTGATAGGTTCCGGTATTACTGCTTGGGGAACCTTGCTTTTCTCCAATAGGACTTCCTTCGGTGTTATATTCTTTGGACTACTTCCGATGGGAAAGCCGACTCTATCCGGGAGTGACATTGCTCGTCTTGGTCGGACGGACATGGTTATGAATATTTGGTTAAATAAATAAGAATAAAAATAGTGTAAGTGGTAATAAATATTTGATCTGGAGGGAAGCTTGTTGGACCGATTCTGAATTTGTGTTCGAAGAAGTTCCGGGGAGCGATACCCCCCATTCACTATTTATATCACGCTAAGGAGAGGTGTTTTAAGTTTGCGTAGAATTGCTCTGATTCATGGGACAACACCGAATATACTATCGGAATGAGGTATATTTGTCATGCTTTGTCTGTTGACTGTTTCCGTTTGCTTTGTCTCCGAAGGCCAGCGACAGATAGAAATATTGGCTGAGTGTGAGTCGAATTGAGTTCGTGGCTGGTAGACAGAAGTAAATGGGATTGGCTACGGAGGAGAAAATGTATAATTGCAATGCAAATACTTCTAGATTTCTCTAGGATATTATGCTATGAAAGCTACCGGTCGAAGGCAGTGGGTCACCGATTATCACTCGACTCGTCGTCTTTCATTATTTTGTTTCGGATATGATTTTTAGAAGGTAGTAGATATATCTGACGACTTGAATACGTATATTCTTCCTGAAAGATACCAGTTTAATTTCAGATGAGGTCTTTTCAAATGTTTAGCAGATTATTTTCTACTCCCTCATCCGCCAATTCCAATGCTCCATACGCAGAGGTGGCCACCAAGATTCTTATTCCGGGAATTCAATCAGATCTAGACCCGGATATCGTCTTTCCGCATCGTCACAAGACTTTACTAACATTCAACATGGATCATTCCATAGAAAGTTTGCATCACCCCCACGATTCTCGTCCATTTAATCATTTTCGGATCCAAATATACAAATTCCCAACGTCAATGATACGCCTTGACGGCATAGAAGGAAAATGTAAAGTGTTGTGTGAATTTGTGAAGACGGAATAGCAATGCCGGTGTTGGCTCATAGTCTATCACTCGAATATCAGTAGGGGATGAGTCAGTTGTGGGAGAGCGAGTGATGGCCTGCGATTGTCAGTACTTTCCAAGCCTAGTGGTAATTCATTGGGAGGCATTGAGTTGGGGCCGTGTATGTTTTATTATACATAAAGCTAGAAAACTCGGTATCAAACAAATTAGTTTCTCAAATACCTTACCGTCGAAACGGGTATTTTTTTAAGTCTTATTTTAGGCTTAAATAAGCATGATATTTGCCTTTTTTGACGATTTTCTCTTATTGCTTTTTAAAGTCCTTAGTAGACCATGGTTTCGCTAAGAATTAATTTTTTTCAGGCTTATCGAGCTTGATCAGTCTTATTTAAGGTATTTTTGAAAAATAAGGCTGAATAATGTTTATTCGTGAGATCAGCATGATAGCCTGATAGGTATACTTTTACACTTATTCGCCATAGTGAATTTCGGAAATAAAGTTTTTATTAATACTGAATTTAATATGTACATTGATTTAAGACAATCTATTTATCTCCCCGCCTACACACCTCCCTACCTCCCTACCTGCCTACCTGCCTACCTGCAGCTGCCTATCGGCCTATCTGCCTACCTGCCTACCTGCCTATCGACCTATTTCGCTCAATTGGGTGTATTTGGTGCTCGATTTGGTGCTCGATTCGCTGCTGCTGCTGCTGCTGCTGGATTCGCTGCTGCTGGATTCGCTGGTTAGCTCATGTTTTGATATTAATTTTGACGATTGGGAGATGGGGGGGGGAGATGGTTAGGAGAGTAGAGGGGACGGAGGTGATAGAGAGGTAGAGGTGGGGTGTTAATGAACGGATGGAAGAACACGGTTTAATATTTGCTAAGTGCCTAACCCTAACCCAGCCTTAGCACCCGTAAATGCCTATAATCCTGACGAATTTCCATAATGCTTATTTATTTAGTAATCCTAATACTAGTAAAGGTCTTAAAAGAGTCTTATTTGGTGGTAATATTAAGCAAATATCATGCTTTTGCCCAAAACACGCTTATTTTTTGCTTTTTTGAGATATATGCCTTATTTAAGGCTTTTCTACATCTTAGAGCTCAAAATCAGCCTTCTTATTTTACCCGTTTCGACGGTAAGGTATGTCGTGAGCACAAAACCTGAACAAAAGGGAGAAAGACAATGCCGATGGCCGGGAGTGCCAACACGATATATCTCCGGCGGTACAATGTTTTTTTTTACCAGTATGCACATGAAAGGCTCTAGAATGAAGAATTGTGGTGATAATCTGTGACTGAAATTCCACTCCCGGCGTTAACGCTTCTATGAGTCTCATGACTCTCATCCCTAGTATAATCACGCCCGGAAAGAGCTGGTACCCGGCAAGGTATTGCGGGTTCTCAAAAATAATGATAATGGGATGCAACGGGGCAACGAATACCGCAACGGTCACCCAACTCCACTACCAACGAACGACAATAGGAAATGAAATAAATTTTGAATCTCTGTTATTAGTATTTCTTATTATCATTTATCTTAAATGCGTCCTCCTTGTAGTGGGCCATGGTTGAGCGATCGTTACGTTGGTCATGGAGCCTGTTGCGTCCCATTATTTTTGACAACTCGCAATATATAGAGACCTCCTGTGAATGGATAGGCGACAGGTTTTTATCTGTACCGTATACGTACGCAGACGTAGGTAGGCTGACACGCGTATCCTCAACCTTAGCCCAAGCGAAAGTGACGGGATCACAGTTTTGACCCAGGCCTTACTAAAAATGGCATTACTAAAAATGGCATTTCCGTCGATACAGCGCGTGGTTTGGAAGCGCTCAGAAGGTAGACAACATATTTCACTCAAGCTCGACAAGCAATCATCACCGGGAAAGCAACCGAACACTACAGAAGGACTAAAGCAGCACCTATGAGGTCGTCCATGTATAGAAGTGATCTCTGGGTAGTTTTTGATTATTTTGAATGATACTTAATCATATGAAGCGAGGATAGAGCTGTGAGGGAGTCATCAAGTGACCCTACGGGTGCGGTCTTAGGTGTTGTTTTAATATTATTACTACCGGTTCATTTAGTATTATCGATAACACTCTTTAAGGGCCTAAATGTAAGATCTCTAGCTAGATATTGGACTTACAGGTGCTGAAGGCGTGGTCTATCTAGGCCTTGTGCTATGAGTCCCGGGACGGGGAAAATTACTATTTGAGGGGAATTTATGATAGCTTTAGACAACTTCGGGTTGAACGACACAATTCAAGATATTCCCTACAGATATTCACTAATTGATACTTTTACTATACAGAGATTGATTTGGCAAATTTATGGAGATCAATTTGGGTGGTTTATGTGGATGCGCCGGTATTTGTTATTAGAAACAGGTCAATAGTGGGCGAACGTAAGAAAGATTGATCATTATTTGTTATATCCATGTAGTAATGACGAAGATGAACTGAGCTTTAATATGTCTATAGATAACAATTTTACCCCTCAAGAGCGCATAGGAAAGAATGTTGACTGGGTCCATATATATATAGCCCGAAACGTCAAAAAAGTACTTCTCTCCGATCCCAAGATCCATATAACGCAGATAGTTGCGGCATTGAGGAGGGAGTAGAGTTGGACCATGTGGCTTCGGGGGTGTCGGATAATATAGTTCGTGTCCGGAGATGTTATATACCAACTTTCACAGGAGGTACGGAAAAAAAAGGTTGGTAGAATCATAATTCTACAAGTTAGATATCTGTATAAGACAGACAAGACTTATTTGTTGGGGGTGGCAGCGGCCGATTATAATGGAAATATTCTGCCCTCAATGATCGGGAGTAGATCGAGATGGCGATGGACGAAGTGCATATGATGCGGCGTATAAGTAAATGCAAAACCGGAGCGTATCCACCTCGGCAGCCGTGGTCATTGTATAGGTAGCTCGGGGCCGCTGCTAAACGTCTCGGGGTTTATGTTGGAATACATGTTGTCGTAAGAAGATGCCGGCGCTAATAGAATCAAGGTGAACGATGACGCTGCCTCTGGGTTCGCGATGGAAGATGGTAAAAGGTAGTGAGGAAGAAGCAGTAGCGGCGGTCGAGCCGGGAAGGGAAATGATGGATACCAAGGCAAAGGTGGGCGGCAGTGCGATACTAAGATGATAAGGTTCTGGTAACACCAGATGTACTGGAACACCATGTACCACCACTGATAAATTCCCATCTCTGCTCGAGGCCTATGCAAGAATTGATAATATGGTAAATTCCATTGAATTGAGTGTAGGAATACCTGCTTTAGCCTTTCCCACAACGATTAAATCCTGCAACAAGAGACCTTGAATGGCATAGAACGCTAGTGATCACAAGTTTAAATATTTCCTCTACTTCAGAAATTTCTAAACTGACTACGTTTCCATCCAACCACAATCACTGCAAAACACCTGCCGGCGCGATCTATGGTTTCAACCACCTAATATTCCGCCAGTCTCGGTATAGCCATACACTACAACAATTCCCCTCTCCGGTTCCTCTCACAACGCACCATACCTATAAACCTTAAATGCCTGTCCATAATTTTCTGGAGTCAAACTCACAGGCCCGAGCGCGAGCCAAGAAGCTGGCGCTTGACAAAGAGATCAGATAGCGCGAGTGCCGTTCGCAAGTGGATTTCTTAGTCTTATCCCAAGCCCAGAAAGAAGCGCAGAAAGCAAAGATGAGAGCAGAAGCTAAAGCTAAGAATGATCCTAAAGCACTGGCATGAAAGCAAAGAGAGAAAGCGGAAAGGGAACAGTATATTTATGAGGTACAAGGAGACGAGATAGATGAAGAGTGAAGAGCAGATTTGTTACATGACGATGATCTTGAAAGCATTGGTGATCATTCCGGCTCACCTTTGGCAAACCCTTGCTAGATGGGCCGCATCTATCTAGGACTTACTATGCATCTTGTAGTAATCTTATAGTTTACAATAATTTCATTTGACGTAAGAAGAAATTATCGAGCAGATATTAACGGCCTTCTACTTAATGCGAGCGTACTACACCTCCGGCGGATTGTTGATCACAGCTTGCGAGCAAGGCTGTGACTCCCGAAAAAGACAACAAAAGAGAAACCTCTGTAGAGATTATTGGAATAAGTATAGTTTTTACTGGTTGAAGTTGTACGTTATCAGAGGTGGGAAAGAAGGTGGGAGATGGTACGTTGAACTTTATGTATATATATCTGTGTAATGTCAATTGATCAAGGTGGGATATTGGGGTAAAGAAAGGAGTTTCAGTCTCATCTGCGGTGGTGTGATTTCCGGGCCGAGGTGGTCCATGTGGACAGCAGCTAGAATGACCCCACAGAACCTTTGGTGGACGTTTGACTAGGTTGTTATGAGACAGCGCTCTTCGATGAGACCGGCTGCTGTATCCATTGAGGCTGTTAAGGGTGTGAGATCAACATGTATTTGGTATATGTGGTAAATACCTTGCAGAAAGATTGAAGAGGTCAAGTAAAAAAAATGAAGAGGACCAATGATCTTCTCAAATATTGGATTGTCGATCACACCCGCAACTTGAATTCCAGGAAAGATCTATTCTTTGGAATGTGTTTTGTAGGTACCTCTTATGTTTTTGATATTGTTGCCATCATGCATGAAGAAGGGCCGTGCGTGCATGTAAGCCTCAGCACTGCACTGCTGCGTCACTACTGCGTTGGCGTGCTGTGCCCTCACCAAAAAGAACCTTCATAAACCAAAAATGACCCCGCTTTCCGATACAGCGCCATTCCGACAAATAGACTCAGATGCCATTCACCTTAGGCATATTGCGCTCCTTTGGCGCCACCGTCCCTCTCGCCGTCGAGCACGTTCGGATCGATAAACCTCAAAATGAGATCAACATCCATCACGTGACAACATAGTCGAAAAGTGATCTCAGCGACGAGCGCTTTCGGAAATTGTATTTCCTTCTTCCTAACCTTGAGAAGAAAGCCTCTGAGAGTTATTGAGCCTGGTATATGGTATGTAGTGGTCTCTTCTCAATATCAAACAGTCTTTGTCCCGGAGGTGGTGAATAGGAGGTAGTGGACCGGAAGGGCCGTCTCTCCCGAAACGCTCGAAATTACAGATGTATAGAGGATCCTATACGTATACGACGTGATGGAATGAAAGTCCTTGAAAGCTCTGCGCGCTATGAGTGCAACTAATTCCCTCTCCGCGCCCCCACGTTAATGGGGTCGATTCATGGATGATTCATATGAACTCATACATTCGAGAACTATGATTGGCCTTAGACTGAAAAGATTTACGGTGTCAATGAAGACTTTCCATCTCAGAATGGCTCTCAATTGTTACGTTAGAGAAAACGACTGACATGAATAGACAACAAGTATGATTTAGACTCCGAAGCCTTCGAGACCACTGTGTATCTCTCTCATCAAGCATATTCACAGCGAGCAACGAAATGTGCATCAGTGAGAGTAGCTCTCCCCTCTGCAGCCTTTCTTTTCGACTATGGTTAGTCGTTCTAGTTTATCTCATGACATTGGTAAAAGATGTTTGGTAATTGATCTTCGTTGATAGACCGTTACCATGGCCGGTGGGTGATTGACACAAAGTCAAAATTAAGAGGTGAGAATCTAGGCCATTCCTCCCACCTTTCAAGTACATATAGAGCAGAATATCAATGTTAATTACGCAGCCAAAGGGGACCTGTCCGTCGAGGGATTAACCCTAAAACCCAGGTCTATGTGTAAGTGGGCTTTACCGTTCTAGGCCTCTATATTATGATGATTCCCTGGTTCGGAGTACGCTTTTCTTCGCCAGTCCTGAACCAACTCAACTCGACCCCATCAGTTGATGTTTAGTAGCAGCGGTCTCATATATATATGACCATGAGATCGGGTTCTCATTGCGCGATACCGCCACACTGATGGGTGTCCATTCCGCATTCCTTAGGAAGAGTGGGATTCCGGGTATGCAGAGAGCCGCTCATATGACTATCGTGAGCCTTTAGCGCAACTGCGTATGACTTCTTCGACATCGGAGGTGTCTTAATAGACCCGGCTCTTAAAAATCAACCCGGAGTATTCGTAGATCATTGACCACAATTTGTGCTACTACCTCACTACCCCCGAAAGATGGGAATCAAGCTGTTGATGAGCATGGTTGAGCTGGGTTTATTCTCAGTATCATTGGTGAAGGAAGGAAAAGTGACACCCTTATCGTGTCGAGTCTACACATGGTGTAAGATGATAATATATATGGGCATTATACTTCCGGTCCAAGGTCTGGCATTGAGTCTTATCTCAGGCATACAGAAAGAGCTTGAGATCGGAGAGATTCAGCTTTCCGTCACTGAAGGCATCGGGCTGTCATAATAAGCCGAATACGAGCGCTAAATAATCGTGCGGCACCTTATTCTGCCTTCTTCACTCAGACGCCCTGATGGCTGCTGGTGCTTGATAGGATACTGCAGCTGCTTTCAAGGCTCTGTAGCTCGCCCTCTCAAGATTCGACTCGACTTAAGGATCTATTAGACTTATGTTAGATTTAGGAACGGTGCTAAAGCTGTGGGTAAAAAGGCAGAGCTGCAACTGATCTCGATTTGACTTCCGGAGAGACTTTCAAGGGTAGTAACCGTCGACCTTGTGGGAGAGCACAGGGAGCTAGAGGATTACATAGTTGCTTTTGCGAGTCCTCTGCAGCTAGCGCAAGATGGTCAATTGTTGTTGGAAAATCAGCTGAACTGATGAGGTGACACAGCTCTCTTCGTCCTATGAAGCAGAGCAAGGGGGAAGGGGGTGAAGGTTAACAACTAGTTGGTACCAAAAACAGTCCGGAGAGAAAGAGATAATCTGTGGGCAGATTATAGAGGGCGTGGGTGGCGGAAGAGAGCTCTTGCGAGAGTCCTTCCGTCGATAGGACGTCGGGGCGCTGGATATAATAACCGACGGCTACAAAATATGGGAGGAAGTGATTCTCCTTTGTCGAGATTACACTCGTTTTCGGAGGGTTTGGTCCTGGGTGGGGACCATGCCATATCGACCTACTGTTTCGCTTTTCAACAGGTAGTGGGCGAATGACCAGTGAAACATGTAGGGCTGGGATGAGAACTGGGTATCCACCTCCTTGCGGTGTCTAATAAGACTTCAATTAGTCCAACCCGCCTCGGTTGTACATGGCCGGCAGAATTGGCCTGAGCGGAAGAAGAACTGTGGCCGGCATAGTTGTTGTACCTCGCATCTAGATCACCATGTTTCCCTGGGTTAATTGGAGCATGCTGCGACAGGAAAGTGAGTAAGAGGAAAGTGACTTTAATATTCTATACATTACATGGATAAATCTTGTTTGACAATTTATACCATGAAAATCACTTGATTTATGTCAATGATCTTAAGCAACATGTCAATGATGATATTTGTCCATGCAATGTATAGGGTTTATTGGATACTGGGTTATGATATGGCATCCCATCCTGGGATGAGAGAGATTATTCAAGGAAGGTGTGATGTCTGCCTACGAGTTGCAATTGTTGGAGGAGGCATAGTAAACATTCCGTTATGGTCGCCGTTGTCGGCCGGGTACATCAAGAGCGGGACTATCCAATGGGCGAGGCAGGCTCTGGATCTAGAACTGGTGGATAGTTCAAGGCTGCGAGGGTTTGAGGAAAGGATTGGGCGCTTTCCCACATCATTCCTGATTGACCTGCGACGTGAAGGTCTCGAGCGAAATATTCGTCGTAGGCCAAGAGAATGGGGAGCAAGTGGGTAGAGTAAACATGCTGCTTGATACATGAGATCAATATTTAGGCTAGGATTATCTCTACTGAATGTCTCTACTGACTGATGGCATTCGTCAGAGTGGTCGCCTACCTCATGGCTGCAGATGCATGAAGATGCCGCTGATAGGCATGCCCCCATGGCCCAGGATGCCAGTGCCAGAACATCTACGTGTATGGAGGCAAGGCGTTCAGTCTATCCCGCACGGGGAGTGGAGACCCCATCTCGGCACGTGTGTGTCTCCCACTCACGTAGTCGGAAAACTATTTAAGTAGCCCATCCCCACCCACCTCTCCCTCTCATCACCATCACCAACCACCTCTTTCTCAAAGCAAAATTCACAGCTGCGAGAGCAATCCTTCTAAATATCTCATCCCACTTTCACAATGGGTAACCCCAGGACCAAAGAAAGGGCCAATAGGGCTCGGGCAATGGCCGCAGAGGGTATCACCTTGCCTGCTACAACTTTGAAAAGAGATAGGGAGCAAGATCTCAGCGATTCTTTCCAGAAGGTGAGACTAGAGGATGGCGAATCACGTCCTACAAAGCAGCCAAAGACTGCATCTTCGATGTCTACAAAGGCAGAGGCAAAAACCCCGGCGACACCAGAGGTAGAGGTCTCTCCTAGGTCGGTGCGCAGTCAGACTCCAACAACTCAGCTGTCAGAGACTACGACTCCTGTCAACAACAAGGAGGGAAATGACCGTGTAACCCCCAATTTGCTTCGCCTGAAGAAAGCCTATTGGACCGAAAAGAACACCTTTTCCGGTAGGTTACCCATCTTGCTCTTATTTCATATCTTCATTTTATTCTTTCATACTTCCACTCCAACATCAAAATTTATAAAAATCATTTGAAGTAGTCCTGCCATTAGCCCTTGTGCTGTTGGTTGGCAACCTGTCTGCTCCCATTCGTTACAACCTTTTCTTGTCTCTTTTTGTTTTCTCAATTATTTGAGAGGGAACTAGATTAGATTAGATTAAAGTGAGACATGTCTGGCCAGCACAATGCGACCAACCATACATGAAACTATGTAGCTGCATTTTACTACCTCCAACAAAAATCCCATCCAACACTTTCTCCACCTTCAACCTTTATCTAACAAACAAAAAAATCTACTTACGAAAAAATCAACTAACGAAATGACTGTTCCATGGTATTTAGATCCATACAAAACGCCGTACTATAACGATGACATGACAGCAGACCAAAAGAAAGAAGCGGAGAAACAATCTTGTAAGTATTTCTTTTAGTTCTGTCCCTTACCCATGCTGAAGCAATGCTAATATCTTTTGAACTAGTGATTGCAACAGTCGAGGACTATTTCAGATTGGGTTGGAACAGTCATGCCAAGCGCAATCACAACAACGAACCAGTTGATCGTAAAATGGTAGTTGACCGCACCAGAGAACATTTGCGAATCGCAGACAAGTTCCAATGTGAAATCTTTGGTACGTATATCCTGTTTAGAATTACGTTCTGAAGTGATTGACTAACTTTGTGGTTATGACGATAGTTCCTGTCAGTCTTACGCAGTATGAGATAGAGATTTGGAACAAGGAGGTGTTGAATTGGCCACAGAATAAATATGTGGTAGAGGAGACTTTGGTGGTGGATAAACCTGTTCCGTACGTGCACCCTAAGTTTAAGGCGCCTGCCCTGGACAAGGACAACGATACGGAAATGTCGGAGTCCGCCCCTCGAATTAAGAGGGCTTCTAAGAAAACGGCCTCAGTGACGGATGAACCTGTTCCCTACGTGCACCCTAAGTTTAAGGCGCCTACCCTGGACAAGGACAACGATACGGAAATGTCGGAGTCCGCCCCTCGAATTAAGAGGGCTTACAAGAAAAAAGGCTCAGTGACGGCTGAAGTGACCGAATGGGATCGTGACACTGACAACTGCCACTGGGATGGGAAGTCTCCAAGAGATGTAAGCCTAACTGGAGCAATGAATTGGTGGGAGATCGATAATTCCAAATTTCCTGCGGTTCCTTCGCCATCCGTAAAACCACACTTCGCGAAACGAGCAGCAAACATCCTCAAGGTTGTCTACAAAGATGCCTTGAAGGGGTCATTTGGGGCCAAGAGCTCTCCGAACAACAACATTATCATTCCAGGCGACGACGAGAAGGAGAATAATATGCGACTAGGTTATTTCCCTCCACCTGACAGCGATGCCTTTGACGGCCCGCCTCCTGATGTCGGCTGTATGCCAATACATGATCGGTACTCTTATTGGCTCGTTTGGCTTCAGGCCAATGGATATTTAGCAAAGCATTTCGTATGGCTCTGCGGGAAGGATTGCCAACCGCTTCGTCTTGCCTATAAATTGAGGAAGCCAAAGCATAGACCTGCTGGTACCGCCCCTCCAAAGAAGAAGGACACCTTCCATACTACTCTTTGGATGCGTGCCACACGTATGCGCGACCGCTACATGAAGGCAGAGAATAAGGATGGAGTTAAAAAGCTTACCCGCGGGAAAGGCAAGAAGATCAAGGGCAAGAAAGCCAAGTCCAAGGCCAAGAAGAACAAGGGAAAGAAGAAGAGCAGTAAGAAAGATATCGAGGATGAGGAAGACGAAGAAGACGAAGAAGACGAAGAAAACGAAGAAAACGAAGAAGATGAGGAAGATAAGGAAGATGAGGAAGATAAGGAAGATAAGGAAGATGAGGAAGATGAAGTGGAAGATGATGAAGAGGAGGAAGAGGAGGAAGAAGACGAAGAAGAGGAAGAGGAAGAGGAAGAGGAAGAGGAAGAGGAAGAGGAGGAGGAGGAGGAGGAGGAGGAGGAGGAGGAGGAGGAGGATGCGAGTGGTGAAGGTTTTGGTTCCGGAGAAGGTGCTGGGGCGTTTCAGTTCGGATTTGATCCTAGCTTGGATCCAGAACTGGCTCTGGCTCTTAGAATGTCTATGGAAGAGGAAAAGGCTAGGTTGGCGAAGGAAGACAAAGAGAAGGAGGAGGAGGAGGAGGAGGAGGAGGAGGAGGAGGAAGAGAAACTCGATGCGAACAGCAAAGCCGATGAAGAACACGAAAAAACTGAGTATGAAGGAGCAGGTTCCGCCTAGGTCCTGCAAGATCGAACAAGAAAGAAGAAATTTTGAGAGGCATATACTATCTGGTGGAGATGGGCTTTGGGGATTGGTACTGGATTGGAGTGTTTCTTTTGTTGACAATCTATTTGTTGGCTATTTCTTCTCGTTTGGTTGTTCATTATGCTACAAGATTTGGTTACTGGTTTGAGTTTACTGGGCTAAGACTCAGATAGGGTGGATGAGAATTGTTGAGAAAATGTTTGTACTCATTAGTTAGATGGCAAATGACGAATAAGTGCAAATAATTTACTGGCGTTCTCTGTGACATGATCTGTGAACTTCTCGTTCTTCCCTTCCAAGTTCCAACTGATCCTCGAAAAGCAAAGGTTTTACCATGGGAAACACGGATTGCCTCGCTGCTCTAAATTTTCATTGCCTAAAATCAACGGGCTTACCCGTTTTCTCCCCAACCAAATAGGAAGGGTAATAGTTACATGTATCCGTTTCCTTGCCTCAGGAATCTCTTACCATAAACCTAAAGCATCCTGTGCGGGGAGCAAAGCTTAAACTTCGCAATCTCAAATTATCTTGTCAATTCCTATCCTCACTCTGTCCCCATCACATGGGTGTATCTCCATTTCTGTTCCCATGAGGCCAATTGCTACCGCTACAGAAATGGAACGTTACAATCCTCCCCGTCGCTACAGCACAAGGCGTAGCGCTCTATACAGAAATGATTCAGCTGAGGAAACGCTTCGTACTGGTATCAAACTCCACAGAAAGAGCCAGGTACGTCATGTTGCTACCCTTCCCTCTGATGAAATTGTATTGTAACACCATACAGCCAATCCTGCAGCCAACTACAGTAAAGACGAGGATGCTCCCTGTTCGAGAGAGCTTTGGAAGTGTAACTCAGAGGAGCTGCTACAAGATAGAGGTTTATGTCATCCCTGGGATACTGCCTGGATATTACTTGGTGTGATAGATCTTGTTGTCTCTCTTGACAGGATTGGCTAATAGTTTAAAAAAAGTCTCCAGAGACTCGGAATATGTTTCTTACTTTCAGCAAGCACTGCGGTATAAATGTTAGTTCAGTACCTTTCTAAACCGATTTATGATCTTGAAGAGGATACTAATTGAGTGATCTATAGGGCTATAATACAGAAGAGACGCAGTTACCGACTGGAAATAGTACATATACCTTGGAAAAGAATGTAATTATATTGACGGCTGGTACTCCATTATAGATTCTAGGTCACGCTAATCATATAACTAATAAGTTCAAACCACCAATGATATTTGATTTACACCTTAAAGCAGACAGCTATCCAGTTCAGTCTTTATTGCGTAATACGTGTGCTATTCCCTTAAGTGGCGGAGAGGATATCGGGCCAAGAGAAGTGGTGGATGTGGAGGTGCCTTTACCTCCACTGAAACATTACGTTTACAACCGTGATCATGGTGGGGAGAATTATGAGAAGTCTAATTTTGAGAGATACTACAAGGGAGAGTTAATAAGCTCTCAATCTACTACGGCGCGGCCTGCGGAACGTATGGCGGGAGAATCTTGGTTCTTGGATACCGAGTCGGATGAAAGCGGCTGTTCTTCTGACGAAGGAACTATAATTTGGGCGCCCGAAAAAGACAACGTATCTGCCAATGTCACACGATCTCTGGTAACGAGCTCTTTAAGTGACGACGACGGCACTCAGACCTCCTCCCTCTCTTCCTCACCTACATCATTGAAGATTATTCTCAACATGTCGGAAGATATGAATAACTTCACCAAAGTGGTCGGTCAGAATTGCTCCTCTGAATCCCTCCATATTCAAGCTTCACCATCAACCTCCGGGAAGCACATCACGTCGGTAGATAGAGAGGCCTTAGTGATTACAGACATTGATTCCAGTTCTTTCGTATCGATGTCAGTAAATGAGAACGTTGATCTTCATACTTCTCAAAGGCCAAGTACTACAACTACCTGGTGCTCTGAACCGGACTATAAAGGTACCAAACATCTCTATAACACTACAAGGCACCTGTCGAGAATCATGCAACAAAATACTCGTCCGCTCACCCCCGCCGAATTAGCTACTCTCGAACTCGAGGCAATGGTGATTGAAGACAACACCCATCCCAAGCCTCCTAGGAGCAGGAGCTCAAACAATGTTAGCACCTTCTTTAGAAGAGAGTCAGGTAGCAGTACCTCTATTCACACTGCTCATTCCGCTCCAATACCCGCCCCAGCAACCGAAAGAAAAAGAACCTCCGCAGGATTTCTCAGTGTGGAAATGGATCTCAGACTAAGGCGTGCCCGTGCTGAGGTTGATAGCCTTAGAGAGACCGAACAACTTCAAGCCTCTCGTGGCAAGACTCTCAGTCACTCATCCATTAGAGCAGAGAGAGCTGAACTCTCTCAAAGTCAGATTTCAACTGGCTCCCTCAATCCCACTACCCCTACAGTTGATCACTTCCAGGAATACATGACGCACTTTGATCTCGACAATGTGACCAACCCTCCGGCAAAGGGATTTATGGAGTCTGACGACTCATCCGGTGAAGACGACAACGCATCGGTTGGAACCATTGTTCCTCCAAAGCCGACCAAGCCTCGGGGAGAGAGAGTGCAGAGAAGACGCAGGGTCAAGAAAGAAAAGCCGGTGAAGAAGTACATCTTCTACGTTCCTGACAATTTTGAGGAGCTTCTGGCTCAAGCACCAACCGAACCTCCGACAAGGCCTTTGCCTCCCATTCCTACTGAGGCTCAGGCCCCAACTCCACTCCCGAAGGGACCTCTACCTCCGCTTCCAAGGGTAGCTCTCTCTCAATCCGCCGAGGTTGAGGAGTCAACTCCCAAGATTGAAGCGTTAACGAAGGAGTATAGTGACTACCTAAACAACATCAATCGGGATGAGTCAACCAGAGTTAAATGCAAGAACAAAACGGAGCACAAGCCTGGGCTAGAGGCTGATCTTGAAGCATTTATGGAAAGCGAGTCTCTAGCGGCGGACTGGATGAGGGCGAAAAGAAAGATCTAAGACTAGGGACAATGATGTAAGGATGGTTGGGGGAGCCCATGAACTAAGACAGAGATGTGAATGCCGATTAATGGCAGGAGATGTCGCGTCAAGTCATAGCCATTCTTCATGTTATTTGCTGAACATGCGGGATATTGTCACATAGGTCATATAGAAGCCAGGCTAATTCTGTTTTCTTTGCACTAGTTTCTATTAAAATCTAAGTTCTTACACCTTGAAATATTTACATCATAGTTGATGCTCCTCCTCCACCCCCCAAGAGGTAATCTACTTTCTGTGCAGCAAATATTTTTACCCTTCTCGCTATGTAGTGGTTGAGGTATTACCCAACTCATCCAATGTGTTCATCCCGTTCTTTTTTAATTGCAGTTTATGTTTGAAACGAAAAGGACCGCAATTAGGCATATTTCATCTTATGACCTTTAACCCCCTTCCAATGAAATCGTACTCTGGTTGACACTATAAACCACTTCTCTTTCTATTTCACCTTCAATCCAGCGCCTTCCATCAATATAAAAACACAGCACACCAACCCCAAGAAACTCAGAAACGAACAGGAAAAAAGATTATTCAAACCGGTTGGGCCCAGTCGACGCTTTATTATAATATTATATGAAAGCTGATGATCAGATCTTACACACTATAGGGTGAACGCTCGCTAGGTTGCCCGAGGTTGCTATTATCGGGCCTTATGTAAAACATATCATCCTCCATATTTCAACCCCGGGGTTTTGAAAGGAGCAAAAGCTGTGAGATACGAAATCGGTGGATCAATGAGGCCGGTCCGTCATGCACATCTGGCACGGCGCCTTGATACCTGATCCAAGTGAAACACCATTCAGGGCGCAAGAGACAACTTCCATTCCATTCAAGCTATCAGCGTTCGCATCCATCCCATCTGTAGTTCCCTCTAGACGTCTGTTTGGGTCTTCTATCCTCTCGGCGGAGGCTCTGGTAGGAGCAACAGCGCTCTCCGCATCATCATTCCTCGCGCATGTCTCGTAATCCTGTTCGGAATACATAGGCATGTAGCATGAGCGTGAAAGCGAAGAGCTGAAATATCCTCCGGAGTGCCTGACGTTCTCACCGCTTTCAGAAGGTAAACGGGACGGATTCGGAACTCTCATGGCTATTGCCAACGCAGCATCGGAGAAGCTATGTTGAGGAGACTGACACATAGAGACAGGTGTCGTGGAAGACTGGTCACTGAGATGAGAGCGGGAATTCCGGCGGCTATCTGCATATGAGTTCGAATCGGAAATAGTCACCTCGCTGTCTCTCCTAACTTTGACAGTCAAGACCTCTTTCTTCATCCAGGCGAGTAACTCTGGGTCAACCTCCATAATCATTGATCGGTTGGATTTGGTTGATTGGTTGGAAGAGGAGCGGGAGTGAGAGCGATATTTGCGTCCAGTCATTTCGTACATGCTCGCGGCCAGGGTATATTCCTCTTCATTCCTGCTGTATAGCTTTTCGTGAAGCTGGGTATCGAACTCCGTTCTAGATAGCTGAGTGTTCGTAGTCTCTTGAGAGCATGGAGCTTCCTCGAAAGATTTACGTTTATTGAGCTGTCTTGAAGCGAATATCGATTGCATTCGAGAAAGCCTCTTTGAACCCTCGCTCAAGCTGTCCCCGAGATCAGACTCAGTGCTTGCAGGATCGTCAGGGATTATAAAGCCTCGTTGAACTTTGCTTCTTCGGTTCACAGTACCAAGATTCTCGAGCGAGATATTCTTCAAATGGCCGAGGGGACTTGAGGGAGTATTGAGAAGTAGGGGATCGGTGACTATCTGTAGATGAGGGCAGGTCAAGCGTCTAGTCTCATGCTGCGTGTTTTTAATTTGGCAACTTGTATTATAGGAGACAGGCAAGGCTCCAGTCGGTGAAGCACTTATAACGCTCCTTGTTTTCCAGCCCTCATCGCTCGCCGAGATTGACTGATTGGCAGTGGCAAATGACTGATCTGTGAGGTCTTCGATAGAGGGATTGCTCGGGAAATAGTACAGGGAATTCTGAGCTTTCATACGCCCTGCGTCAGCTTCGGTTTCGGGATGTTCGTCGCATTCATTGCACCCTGAACAGCCTTTCGTGAATTCCGAGCGTAAAGATAATATCCCCACAGTTTTAACCTTCCGTACAACACCATTCTCAGAGATGATGCCTCTGCTCGTTGAACGTAGCCTAGGACGAGGTGGGCCCATGGGAAGATAATCTGCTGATGATGGTGCGTGTTGGGAGAGACTTTCATATGTTTTCATTCTCTCGAGGACCCTCCCACTCCTGGTGTAGGCAGATCCTTGCGTTGAGCTAGCGGGTGTAGTTGAATTCGTTTTCCTGTTTCCAACCCCTTCCTCCTCAAAAAGCTCCTCAGAAACGTGTTCCCTCTTCGAACCTTGCCTGGATCGCCTCTTCTCATATTACCTATCGTTAGAAATTTTATTGTCAAAAGGAATCTTAAGCTTACACAATGATCCACAACAAACTGCAGTCCCTCCTCCGAAACAGTTACGTCCTTCAATTGGTAATCCTACAACCTTTACATTAGGATCAAATCAAGTCACTTCCGAGGTGTCGCATCTTACAGCAAGGTTAAACATTTCAACTATTTCCTCATAGCAAATGCGTTCCTCACGAGACTAGAAATTACCAGCGTTAGTTGTGACTCCCCACGTTGTAGCGGAGTCTTATTCCACTTACGAAATTACCAGATATTTGAGGCGAGCCAAATTGCAATTGAATATCTTCCCACGGCATATCCCCAAGCATGAACAAGCACGCCTCCTCAAGCTCTGCGCACTCCTCTATCCCAGTGTCTGCGTCAAGCTCGTACACTTTGATTGATTTCCCATCCGCCCTTCCGCTGAGCGTGAGATCAGCGTCATTTCCCCCCTGATACTCTTTCTCCTCCTTGTCCTCAAAGAGCTGATGAGAGGCCAAATGACGACCACGAAGTGTTGGTGTAACTGCAGAGTCCTCTTCCCACTCTTGGTTGGATATTGGAACTAAATCGCAGTCCGCTGAGGTACAAGCGGGGTTCATTTTTATAGGGTTATGTGAAATACCAGATCTCGAGTAGGAGCCTGTCCGCCGAAGGGCGAAAAAAGTTCTACCTCAGGTATAGTGCCTAGGTTTGCGGAGTTTGGTATTTGAGAGAGAGTGGTAACTATAGGGTGTGTGGGGTGCCTCGGTGGTGGGGTAAAATGTTGGAAGGTGGTGGTTACACAGGACAATTGTGGTCAGGTCCAACATAAGGGCGAAGAAAACACCTGAGTACTCTAAGGGGAATACTCTCTGAATGAAAATATTTTTCCCAGCGTTAGAGCCTTATACTTCTCGGCTAAAGAAAGGCACAACCTCTCGACTTCTCAAGGGCCCGTGGAGTGTTTGCCTCTCCCGAAAATTGAACAACGATGATCTGTAGAGAATAAAATCTAGTTAAAGAAAGTCTGAGTTTCGTCTCACAGCGAAAGGAGATTTTAATCGAATTCCAGTACTTTAACAGAGAAATACATCCATTCCACAGGGGATGTGACATGGCGGCATCATAAAATATCACTCGGCTCCGTGGGAAGTCCGAGCCGCAACATTCTTTTCACCTTCAACGTAGCCACCATCGCGGCATAAAACATGTGTTGAGGAATAATAATCTAGGTTTATAGAGCTTCTCATCCGTGCCAATTAAGATTTCAATGCTCTTGGCATGAACGACCTCACAAGATATTTCGCACTTAGATAACACGCGAGTATATTCATTGATAATCAAGGCTCTAACTCTTCATGAACAACTTACTACCTGGAACGTTTACCCCCTTGGGTTATTAGACCGGAAATGCTTGATATCTACTTTGGTGCTCCCGAAAGCGAAGTGAACTTTTACTCAGAATTGATAGAACACGAAGTCATTATGATTTTGATTAAATTCTTGGATTAAGAACTAGGTTAATATATGGAGCCTACAATGTAAATGAGTTACAATGTGGTGATTTCCTCTTGGGAAAAGTCTCTTTGCGACATGATATGACGACGGTGACAGTACCAGGGGCAATGGGGCATATGGGCTCGTGCATTTATGACAAAGGAAAACAACGTGTAATGATATAGGAAAGTAATAAGTGCTTGGGGGAGGGGACAGTAAATGAGTAACGCCTTAAAACCGAGATGACCTCTTTCTTTTGCTTAACGTTTCCTCGCCCAGGACCGCATGGTCCTTGCCTTCTCCTCATCTGCTCTCCTGGCTACTTCGAATTCATCGATTTCAGCGCTTGCCTCATAGTCATCCTCAGCCTGATCAATCCTGGCATTGTAGTTTCCCCTCACTCTCGCCTGCCAGCTATCAGCTGGAAAAGTACGTGGTACAATAGCAGGAGTCTGAGCGGCGGCTGTGGCGATGTTGCTCTGCGCATTGGTGGCAAGAGAATTGAAGGAAGTAGAACTGGTAGAGAAGGCATTTCTGATGACTGAAGCGACGGGAGCGGCATTATTAATTTGAGGTTGACTGTTGACTGAGTTGCCGCTGTTCCTATACTCTTCCTGGTTGACTGTCTCAGTGCTATCCCGATTCCTGACTCTGCGAGGACGACCGGTCCCCGAGACATCTGGGAGCGCAGGTGCTGGTTCATTGGCGCTGCGATCGATGTCACCGTTGGCAATACTCCCGGTAGCTCTTCCTGCTGATCCGCCGAGAGATTGTTCACTATTAGCGAAGCCCGGACCGGTAGCACGACTAAAGGATCCACCATATGCAGCTCCAGATTTGGTCCCAGCAGGAGCGGGTCGAGTCTTCACCAAACGTCGAGGAGATGTTGTACCGCCCTCGGTAGATAAAGTGGAAGTAGAGTTGGACTTTTCTTTGCTCTTGAACATCCCCGGCAGAAACTTTGACCTAGAACCCGATCCTTTTACGCTCTCTTCGGATGATGAAGTTTGAGAGGGTGGGTGTTGAGATTTCTTGAGTGGTTTTTGAAAAACACCCAGGTATTCTCCGAGATCTTTCGCCTTGCGCCTTGGAGGTGAAGATCCATTAGAATCCATATATGGCGAAGCGGCCTCTGTGGTCTCGGTTTCGGCCAATTGGGTGGGCAATTGCGGGTCGATTCCATTTGTAGAATGTTGAACATACTCACCCGATATATTATTACCGTTAGAGTTATCAGTGTAGCTGCTGTATGGATAGCTTCCTGCCGAGTTAGCTGACTCCGCCGCGTTTCTAATGCGATCCTCGTCGTTAGCCGTAGTGAAGGTGCTTTGTCCATCCCGCCTGAGCAGATCACTCAAGGCCGCGCCTGAAGAATAACCACCGGAGTCTTCCGAACGGTTACCAGTGCTTGGATTGCTTTCTCTGTCCTGAAAGGTACTTTGATCGGAATACGTAGTACCGCGCGTCAGACGATACTCAGCGTCCAATCTAGCAGCAAGTCTTTCTTCATCGTCGGTCATAGATTCCCGATTGTCGTCAGGAAGAGGAAAGGTATCAGAGTAGTCGTCAATGGTCAGCGCGGAATCGGATGCAACACTTGGGGGAGATGCTGAAGTATCAGCTTCGTATTCGCCCGATGTATAAGCTGGTGTAATGGATTGATCCTCAAGACTTTCGTTGGTGGGAGATCGAGAGGTTGGCTCTTCGGGCGATCGAGACCGTGGGGCGGGAAGTTGTGTCTCGCTAGGCAGTACCCAGTTTCTAGGCATTGGTGGGATGCCATCTAGGAATGTCAATACTAGCACGAACGAGTTGGGGTTTTTGTGCAGCCCTCGAGACAGCCTAGCGTCCCTCAACCGGGAATACCTCGCCGGCTCGAGATAATCTTCAACATCTCCATTGACAGCATCAATGGCATTGGTCTGAAGTGCCAACAGTCAGCAGTCTCTCCTATAGAAAGTCGGTACTTTAAGCTCACATCTAGTTCGATATCGAGATACAAACTTTCCTCTTGGATCCAGACGTCAATAATCTTCCATCCCTAAATTCCCCCCCTGTTAGAATGTTTCTCACAACAAAAGCAGCGGATCTTTAACACCTACATGGCTAACAAATAACTCACTGATAAAATTTAAGTGGATATCGAATTGTGCCAACTTTCAACCTTTATTAGCATCACCTCACCACACGTTTCGATGAGCGCATTCTCACCTCGAGATCCAATTCCTCTTTTACCACGATTCCGAGGACAAATCCAGGCGGTACATTATCACCGGTCCTGTGCACAGCACGGAATATGACAAGGCCGAATCTAAGCCAGGTCGGCCTTTGGCCTTCCCACAAAATATGGGCTGTACCAGGGTCGAATTGGGATAGGTCAAGAGGGCCTCCTACAGCAGATGTTCTCTTGTAGGTCTCGAGTATCCATCTTGTGCCACGATCACGCTTGTACTGCTCAAGGTCATAAATGACATACTTGGCTTCCGCCATGTTCGTCATTTTTGATAAACAAACAGCGGTGATGGTGGTAGGATGATCGCAGAGAAAGGGCGATAGGGGAGACGATCGGTGATGAAAATAGGTGAATGGAGAAGGGGTTGAGTGGGAGAAGAAGAAGGGGGGAAGGACTGGGATTTAGGGAATACTACTGCGCTCATTTGTTAATGTTACATGGGGAAATCACTGATCCCCGCGCATTTTGCGAGGATTCTGTTTAGTGCACGCCGAGCCCGTAACTGATATGTTTACTTGTTTTTTCTGTACTAACCTTATCCTTATTAAGAGACCTATTCAGTTGATATCCCCCGGTGTGAAGACCCGCATACAGGAGACTGCATCTGATTGGATAATGTGTTTGTGTTTGATATAGGATGTACTAAAAGGATATATGGATCGAAGTCTGATGATACACGGAACCACTCTCTGAGTCAGAATATTAAAGTCATCATGTTTTGCAAATTCTATGCCACTGCGTACAATCGATCAAGTACATGTATTTCATGGAGGAGGGGTACGATACCGTGGTGTTGTGCCTCATTTTCGCGTAACTGAAATCTCAGAACTGCGGATGTCTCACCTTACCTTTAAATATACATTTTCCAGACTACAAAGATCCTAAAGATTGGAAGGACTTACTTAAAGTGCATCCTTTTACCGTGGTTTTGACATTGCTCTTGACCTCGAGGATTGTGCCACCTTATATGTAGCATATATCTAGCGATGCTGCCTTAGGTCGAGAGCGTATTCTAGACGTTGAAACCTTTTTAGCAATGAATATCAGGATGTTAGCCTTGAGTAAATCAAGCTAGTATCGTGAGGGATCCTTGAAATAAACGCTCCACCCGCAATCTTCCTGGCCCCTTTTTCAATAGATCTCTCTTTGTACTTGACGAGTAATTTATGGAATAAAGAAAGAAAATACATATAGATATAATGATATTTAGTTCACTACGTACAGACGCTCTGCAAAAGTATTCGTGATACCGATTTCGGAGTGAGACGTTTCTCCATAGGTAACCGTAGCGGATCATCAAAAAAAACCCAAGAGAAGACTTTCCCAGTGATCAATGGCGCCCGGAATCAATGAAGAATAAGATCAATAACCTATCTTCTTTTATATATAGTCGCAAACTATATTATATATTTTTCGTTGTTTTAAATCTCAACATTAATAACATCAACATTACGGGTGCGCCACACTGCGCACTGACATAAAAACTAAGTCACGAACACTTTTGCTGAGTTGCTGTACGTAGGCAATGACCGGTATTTCACCTATTTTCAGATTCTACGAATTACGACCCCACGACCGTAATATAATAGTGCCTTCTATTGCTGTTTAATTAATCGAGGCCCTTAGGAGGGATCATATTATTGCCCTGTTAATTGGTTAATCAGGTACTCGAGCTCGTTCACGATATTTTGAGACAGCTTGGCAAACGTCGTATTGTATTAATCAGAGCTCATAATTAAATATCGTCATATTTAAAACACCAGCTCAATCTCCTCCCGATTATAACCTCAGAATAGTTCAAACCCAAAGCCCAATATTCCAATAGTGTAGCACCGAAATCCATAAATCCCAGAAATAAGATAAAGTGTGGTGTGGTGAAGTGAGGTGAGAATAAGACTTTCCTTATCGTGCACGGGCCATCCATCCAGATCTTATCGCAGCCAAGCATACCCGAGATCCAGATTTGGTGAGGCGCATAATGCTGAAGACGACACCTCACCCTAGACTTTTGGACAGATGTCATATAAACCCTTTATCCTCTTCTTCCTTAAGAAATTTCAAGCATCGTCAGTTCACCATCGCTTCCTCAAAGCCCCCGTTCCAACCATGCGACAAGAGAAGAAAAAATCTAAAGAGGACATTTATCCGAAGCTAAAAAGAAAATAAGCAAAAACCAAGCAAACTTATACAGAAGTTTAGGAATTTTCTCTGAAGAAGCACAAGATCGTTCTCACTCATAAAAAGCCAGGAAAAGAAGAGAAGACGGCAGGAAGCAAACAAACTGGCAGTAAACAGCAGGGCAATAGTCTGAAGGAGAAACCCTTTCCAAATCCATGGCGAGGATCAGTGCAAGAACAGAGAATAAAGACGAAGTATCAAAAGCCAAAGACCAAAGAGCACGAAGAGCATGAAAAGGCCAAGGAAGTTTAAGAAAGACCCAAAATCCAAACGCCCAAAGCAAAATAAGAATACATATGTGAGTCTCCAATACTATTTCGTTTTCTCTGGAATATGCCTAACAGTTCCATGAACAGAGCTAGGGAGATGCGGTCGCCTGAGAGACACAAATGAAATACTTGATGAGAATGTTAGCACAGGACGATGAATTGCTCGAAGAAGGAATCATACGAAGGGTTAAATGACTCCAGTTCTTGCCTCAATCGAGGCGAAGAACCTTCTTTAAGAAGGCGAGGATTCTATCACATACGCCCTCAAATTTCCTTTTTCTCGCAGCCACATGGACATGATCCTGAACCTCAAAAGCGTCTCCAAGGTTCCCATCGTCCTCGGTAGAGGGAGCACTTGCTTCGTGAGTTTCGGTTTCGGTCATTGCAGTGGTGTGAATGACAATAGTAGGGATAACCACATTGCAGGGGACGGAGATTTCAGGCTGGTCCGCACTAGGACGAGGTCGAGAATTGAAATACGCCTCAAATTCGCTGTTGGACCTGATCGCAGACTGCCTGCGGTGTCCTCTAACTTCGTGGAAGCCTTTGTCGACAGCGCCTGTATGGCTACGGCGCCTGTCCTGTGCTGCTTCCCCAGCTTGGGTAATGCTCACGAGTAAAATGGAATCTGCATTCGCCTCAAGCTCACGCTTAAAAGCCTGGAAGTCCTGCTCGGAAAACGCGGGATAGCCGCCGCTGCTGGACATCTCTATATATCCGTCAGCGAGCAGGCCAATATTTAACGAAAGAAATAAACAGTGGCTGACCTATTCTTCTGGTATGAACGACGTAAAGTCTTTTTGAAAAACCAAGGATCCTGTCTGACAGCTAGTTCAGCGTCTTATAAGATGCACCAGGTCAGTAAGATGGAGACAATGTGGAGTACACATTTAGTAAGGGTACTCACGACGACTGGAGGTCAAATGGAAGATGAAGCTGTCAGCTTGAACGAGGGGAGGGCTTTGGGGTAAGCGTTATGATCACGCTGAAGAAGTTAGCTGACAGGTACTTGCGGATAAACATAGGAGCAAAGTAGGCAAAAAAAGACAGTGAGCAGAATTGGTTGAAAGAATAGATGTTGGAACAACTATCTATACCTTTGCAGTTGTTACTGAGATCCCTTGAGATTCGGGAGGGATGTTCTTCCTGCGTGGCTTGGAAAGAAGAAAGAAGAATGTTGTGTTGATGGAAGCGAGAGAGGTGTGAAGGAGCTGACTGCCCTCGGCTGGCTTGGCGTATGACTCCAGGGCCTATGTTTCATACCTACAACTGCCAACTGTCCCAAACAACGAGAAAACATTATTTCAATACTAGATATAGGTCTTCCTTGGCAACCTTCTGGTCATTGACGAAAATGACAGGGCTCCATGCCCGGGATGTTCTGATGGACAGGGATTCCTTATCTCATCTACAAGGATCAAGATGCACAGCAAGTTACTCGCGGTAGATCCAATGTCTAGTCAGGCTGAAGGCTGTTGAAATTTTAGGGAGGAATATTTTTTTGTGCCTCTCAGGCAATCCACTTCCCATGAGCTGTGCAGTCAGTATGTTCTTCTTGGTGACTAGCCTAAGATTCTAAGAAGCAGACATCTACTCTATTTTGAGTGTGTGAATCAATTGGAATTCTGTGCAAAACTGGCTTCAAATCTGCTAGATTGCAGAGAAGAAAATACAGCACAAAACCTGATGCAGATAGATATTTACTTTTAAATTTTGCCAGCTCTTACTAATACGAAGACAGACTCAAGCCATCTAACTGAACTCTCCTATATGCCCTAAAACGATTCCGAGTATGTATAGATACGAAGAACAATCATATATTTGTGGAACCAGAACAGTGTAGGACCTCTGTTTAATAAAGGCATTGGGAACCGAGATACTGTTATTTATAGATTACATTCAGCCCGTTTTTACCAAAAACACGCAACCTACTCACTCCAGACAGATACAGTCCGATGTACATTCTATTATAAGAGCTAAAATACACTCACATTGTATCTTCTATCTCTTTATTTAGTATAATAAGAAACAATAGATAGTTCTCTCTAACGAGCTCAGTAACTGTGCAGTTTATTTTGCACCAGTGCCTAGAAAGAGATTTACTACTAAGTATTATCTTCTTTTGTAAACTGTGAGAATTATTGTGAAAGAACTGTTCATTTTCACTTTATATGCTGGTGGGGAAGAAATGAACTGCCAAGTCTTTCCTTAGGCCACACAACAGTCTTCTCAGGCTTGAATTCCGACGTAATCTTTCCTCTCACATGTCGCGGTCAATACACTTACAGATTACACCATATTCACTAGGGCAGATTATTTATACTCCTATCCTACTAAGATCTCACTAAACTACTCTAGCTCTCAATAAGATAGTGCACTATCAAAGAAAAGCTAACGAGGCGCTACTTGCTCTTCATCAATCAAATCACAGTGTTGTAAACATTTCCACGAAGGTAGGATCAAACTTCAGAACTCAAGCTTTATTAGTTTATTCATTTAATCTAAAAAAGGCTGATATATAGCAACGCTCCTCAATCTAATGATTGAATGAGCTAAACTTGCAAATGGGATGTGAAATAAACATCCCCAAAGGAATAAAGCAAAAGGGATCAAAACAGTCCACGGCGAATATTTGAGGAAATAATGAAGAGAGAAAAGAAGGCAGACAGTACAGGTGAAGAAAGACATGGTAGCGTTTAGCTTGTTTGTTAAAATATCTCACTGCAACGAATCCTCCAGCTTCGACCTTAAAACCTGTAGAGAGAGACGTATCTGAAGACCGTTGCAAGTGACAGCAGATATCTCTGTCACATCGTTGATCGTTTCCCTTCCACCCTGATTGCTGTCTTAATAGCCTCCGCCCCGGGGGATACCCTGTTTGTTTGGTATGCCCTAGGTGCGTTTCCTTCCAAAAGCCCTTTCGAGAAACCCCCTAACACCTTTCTTCTCAATGCTCTTCATACTCAAAGACTTGACCGGCGGATCAAACTTCATGCGTCTAGTGCCATTGCTACGCCAGGTCCCAAAATCCCCTCCAAACGCCATATCGTGAAGCCTAACCGGGTCATCGTTGAGCCTCGCAATCGTATCCGCACCCGCAAACTCCGGCTGCATTACCGGCAGCCTCAAGACCCGGCGGGGGTCGGATCGTGTAGAGTCGATATCGATCGGGTCCGCATTAAACAGACGGCTGCCCACAGTGTCCGTTCCATAGCCACTTGGGTGAGCCACGACGTTTTCGTTCTCGACGAGGTCTATGTTGTCGTTCTCGACGAGGTTGATATTGCCGAAGCTGCGGTTCTGCATGAACTGGGTGACTGCTTTTTGCGGTGTTAATGCCTGCCGCACCCAGGCAGGGCTGCCAACCAAGTCTAGTGGGGAGCTAGAAGGAGTACCTGGAACTGTCTGGCTACGTGGGAGGTTGAGAGGGGCTTCCTCGAGTGGGACGTCATTCATGCGGCAGAAGCAGATCTCGCAGATCTCGCCGCTGTAGCGCACGCCGTTGGGGCCGCGGTGGTTGCAGGCTATGCTTTTTTGGAATTGGGCTTGGTTTTGTTGGAAGATGGTGCGGGAGTCGGGGCGGTGGGTGGGCACCGGGGCACTCGGCATGGAGCGGTGGTGGCGGGAATACATGGTATGTGTGGTTTGGCAATTCTGAAGGAGTGTAACCGCGGGGTATAGTCCTATGTTGACCGCATTAGCATGGAAGATTCCATAGAAGAACCACTGAGAACATGCTTCAGGTAGGCGAACACTTGGGACACGTTTGAAAATAGACGCCTCATTGATTTAGCAGGCGGAGGTATCCGGAAATCAGAAGGATTTGGAATAAAAAACCTACTATAGATCTGTTTTAAAACGTTGACCCTCCACAAACCGTAGTGGCAGAGGCCTAGCTAGGTTTGGTGCAGTGAAAAGGAGATGATGAGAAGAAGTGAAAAGACGCCGAGCCAGATTTTCAAGTAGGATAACATGCAGCCTGTAGCGTACGTCAGGTATGGCGTGGTGACCTCTGGTTTCGAATGAGGGGTAGGTGATTGAGTGAGCGAGATTGGCCGCCGAACAGTTCCGCTTATGTATGTGTGGTAGAACTCTGCGGGAAAGAACGAGCCGTTCGCCAGGTACATGAATCAACATCCTAACTCCCGCGTGCTGTTTGGAGAGCGGCAACACCGGGCTCAATGCAGCATGTAGATCAATTTTGGGTAACTGTGGTCCTCAACCTCCAAGAAAGAAATTATGAAATTCTATAGCATATATGATTGATATATCGATATCAAAGTGATCCCGCGATTGTCCCGGCTGTATTATACCAAATGATCAGTAAGAAGGGTTTAACTTGATTGTTGTGTACTTGAGACTTGACTCACCAGGGAAGTTTCTGTTCCACCAGATATATCAATTAAGCAAACGTCGCTCATTTTCAGAGATCAATTAAGCCGCTCGTTATCTTCATTGAAACGAAACTAACACGTTACACAATTTGCCAATACCTTTACCACCGGGAATTTGAGCTATGGTGAAACATGTAGACTGCGGGAGGGTCGTGATGTGATCTGCTTCTGAACTTTCATGTACTTCCGGCCCTTCTTGCTTTTCCTCAAATTGCTACCTTTCGGGGCTACTGTTGTTACGAGCTGTTACTAGGCAAATCATGGCATGTCACTCGGGTCTAGACGCTTGGCACCTGACTAATACCAGCATCATTGCAGGGATGGCAGGATTCTAGGTTCGCTGTTCTGAGGGAAGAAATAGGTCTAGGCTAGAGCTACAGAGAACGTTGGCGTAGACTCCCGATCATATAGTTGCACCTGTTGCTGAAATCCAACACGCAAATGCCATTATGCGCTACTAAAACTCTAATTCGTCTCCCGAGCCTCATCAGACAACGCTGATCTCAAGCTGACGAAATATCGATCATTTTGCTTTCTAAATATTTCAGCCTCTCTAAGACCTCTTTCTATCAGACTCGTTCATGCCACCACTCTATTCACGAACAGAAGTTCCATTCTAGGAAAACATGCGCGCTTAAATTCCAAATATTTACATGAAATTGAAGAGAACCATCTTTCTGGCCCTATCGACTCACTCCGACGCTCTTTCTGGCCTCTTCAATCCTTCGCTCAAGATAATTCAATTTTCCCTCTTTTCGCGCGAAAGTAGCACACTTCCACCCCCACCCTAAAAGAAGCACAGATCTGCTGATGGGTCCGGTGCAGCACAGACGGCGGCCGGGAGAGAATTCGAAAGACGGGAGGGTATTTTTATAGTCCATTGTGGGGGTTGAAGGAGCGTCGCTGTGTACTGTGTCACTTTCCGGAGGAGATAGCATGTTGGTGAGCGTAATGGTATTTTCTATAGGATCATTTACTTCTAATAAATTATGGTGAGCCTGTGATCAATATGTATCAAGAAGAGAAGAAGACTTACCTTCGTCGTCAGATAGGATGATGTCCTCCCAAACATCAGATTCCTCTACAGCGATGCCAACAGCGAGCGCGTCCTTGCAACAGCTATCTCGGGTGAACTTCTCCAGGCTAGATGTGTTCCCTATCCATACACTGATGCCTAGGCCTTCGAGACCTCGGCCGTTCCCCTTATATGACCCTGCAAATATAGGTTCCCAGGCTCCGTCTTCACCCTCGCTTGTCTTGACTATTACGGGCATTGCGACAGCTTCGCAAACCCGGAAATCAGGAGGAGGATCTACTCCTGACAGATTATGACAAGACTGTGATTGATGTATATCGAGAATGGTGGAATGCTTGACCTCATCGGCAGAGATGGTCACAACCTCTCCGGAAGCCAATTCCTCTCTTTCGGTAGCGCTGCCGACAGTGAAATTATCCTCGGAATAGGCATCTTGGAAAAGCTTCCCGGTTTTGCGGTTGGTCTCTGTCCATACGCTAATACCTAGGCCTTCAAGACCGAGACCGCTCTCCTCGTCTGCGCCCGCAAGAAGGGGTTCCCAGACTCCGTCTTTGGTCCCGTCAGCCCCGACCAACACGGGTATTTGAACCGCTTCGCAAAGCCGGATATGGGCATCGTCACTCTCGTTTGCTTCGAAATACTCGACGCCGGCGGAGTCGCTATGAGAAACCTCAACAACATTTTCGGTGCTTACGTCACTTTCTATTACGGGAGAAATAGAGGCGCCAGCACTACCGAGAGAGCGACTTGCTCTCATCGCGACGAGTCTTTCCTTGTAAACGCGGACTCTCTCAGTGGATTCCCGGACCTTTGGCGACACCTCATATGCCGGATTGTCACTCTCTTCGGAGACAGGAAGCACCGGAGAGAGCGCAAGGCTGTGTCGGCGAAAGGTGCGTCTATCGGGGGTTGGTGGTGGACTTTCATCGAAGATCTTCTTCGGGGACGGCTTCCCCATATTGCGGAGAAGACGCTTCTGCTCGCGGGTGAGACTTTGGAAGACAATTTCGCCAGAGGGAGGAATTGGAATATAGAAAACATTCCTCCTGAAGGGTGAGAACTCTAGGTCGGGAGAGGACGACGCGGATTCACTATAGCTGAGTCTATGCGACATCTTGCTATGGGAGGAGAGAGAATGTGGTGATTGCATATAGGTGAGGCGAGAGGTGTGGTAAAATGAAGAGTTAAGGTTGAAGGTGAGTAAGGTAGGTATAACACTGAGTTGAAAGCTGACTTATTTGTGGGTGTTGTTTCAAGAACAGCTTGGTGAGGTAATGGACCCAGGTTTTCCTCTTGGCTACCGTTGGGCACAAGTAGGCAGCGAAATCTGCAACCATTCAACTAGCAGCATACTTAAGGTAGCCGAGGTAGTGCAAGACACCTGTGTACTACTTGCTTCTTTTTTAAAAACTATAGAATCGTCTTGCGTACAATTTACCACGCGCACACTGGTGTAACCGAATCATGGGATAGCACTCGCCATTCATCCTCTACTCCCGGGTAGAGAACGTCTACGATGGGGCAACCTTTCGTCCGTATTTACGATAGAAAACGTTACCCATTCAGGTGTTTCTTACTTGTAGTGACCTTAACCTTCACAAGCGACTCAAGGTGGGGGGATACTACCCTGCTACCTTTTCAGGTAGCAGCGAGTATCCCCTGGCTGAAACCAGGAGCTAGTCGTACCTCTTCCGGAAGGTGAGAGAGAGGCCTCGACGGGGTTTAGTGGAGGATGTGTTGAGGCGACGGGTGGGAGCATGAGAGATGAGAGATGGGGGTTGGGTACATGCAGTAATTACTCGATATCGGCCTTGACTTGCGGCAAGGTGGTAGGAATAATACCTCCGGAAGCGACCACATGCAATGCTCGTAAGAAAGATAGTATGGCTACTTTTTTTATGTATATATACACCTCTACTGGAGCTAGAATGCTCATGCAAATCATCTACGTTCCGAAAAACTCATTGAAACTTTGAGGTCCCGGTTCGGGCCCTTAGTTCATTCGGTAGAGCGTGATTAAGATAAGCTTAGGTCCGCTAGCGAGAGTTCCAGATTTCTGCGTGGAGAATAATACTTGGAACATAAATTAGACGGTTTTTTTATGTGTTATTGTTATCTTGAGCAAACTCTACATTTGCCCATATGGCTGAGCGTGATCGGCACGGAGGCGAGGTTGCAATGCGATCTTTGCCAAGAACGAGTGATCTCCCATGAGTGCAAGGGTGATGTGGTCATCAATGCCCCCACACGCTCACGGACAAAGTTCCCCACCGCTCTACAGAAATATTCATTGAAATGCACGAGGCGAAGTCTTGTCGCCGGTAAACACGAGAGCGAACCCTCGGGTAGGTAAAAAAAGGCCTCGCGGAACCCTAACCCTGCACCTGTGGCTTCACCACCGAGTACGAGAAGGAGAAGATAATCGCAGAAGAGGTTAATGGAGAAGATCGGCTGGGGGGTCGTGGATTTGAGCCCCTCTGGGAGCACAATTTTTTTCGATTCCTTTTTTTTCCCCCTTCCTTTCTGAGAGGAAGGAGTTGGAACTTGAAAATGTATACTATACGTAAAATGCTGACCACATTTAAATGTTGTGGAGACCAAGAGGTTTATACCTACATGTAGTACATGTACAGTGATATCTTGCTATAAGGATACGATTGGGACCGAAATTTTGCATCATCATAGAGAATGATCGCTATAGAAGGATAAGGATTAGGCGTTAAGAAGGTTAACGGGACCGGGCCATCCTATCCTTATAAATAATATGTCCTTATAGATAATATCTTTATAGCGAGAGATAGCTGTAGTTGCATGTACGTAGGTGAAGCCGTGTAGTCCCGTAGATAGTGAGATACGTAGGGCTAAATGACGCTGCGCAGTATGTATGCGGAATGGGGGGATTGAATCGGAGGGAGAGAGAAGAGATGAATCGTCGGAAATCTTTCTGAATAACTGGACCATCTTCGTATGGACATGCTACTTCTCATGTTGGGGAGAGGGTGAAGAAGGAAATAAGTCACATCAGAAAGAGAGTAGTCTCGACAGAATGGCAAATAGACAGCAAAAACTACGGTGCAAGAAGCTCTAAGTGTAATAACTTGTACGCCATAAAGTTTTTAAAATTTACTGGTATTAAATGATACTCTTACTACAAAAATATCGAGTCAAATGATCATGTTTTGAACCTCCTCTAGAAAAACACAAAAAAATAGGCAGGCTTAGATTTCTAAAATTACAGACGCCCCCAAAAGTGATACAAAGAAATATTGTACGCATGTCGTTATTCTAATACGGCCTCATCCCAAGAGATAATAAATACAAAGTGAGGTGTGGTAACAGCAAAATGTAACAATGAAAAAAAAGGCAATCGTAAGAATGACATGGACAACCTCCAAAATCCCCAGAACAAAAACCCCATCTTCCCTAAAGACGTAAATTCTTCTATGCCCTTGCGTTCTTCACATATCCGAAAACACGTCTAATCACCTTTCCAACCTTCTTAGTACACGAAACAACTTGCTTGTAGGGTGGCATGTTAAGTATCCATGATTTAATGATGTTAACTGGTCCTCGAGTGATCCCATTCTCCTTCGCAAACTGAGTAAGAAGCTTGATAGCACTGGTGAGCTCTCCGTTTTCTGAGACTGCTGTAAGACCAGTGATGGTGGAGACACCGGTAGACGATGTAGCAGATGATGTTACAAGAGCGGTAGGTGCTACTACTCGGAGATATGTAATTGTTGGGTGCGAAGCGATGTGGGCGCAGTTGTGGGATCTTGTGAGATCAATCAAGAGGTCGGAGAAATATCGCTGAAGGGGGAGCTTGACAGCGGTATCGCGGGAGTTGGTAAGGATGATGGACCTGAACGCTTTGTAGAATACTTTAGTTGTTCTGGCGAGAATTGATGGTGAAAGTGACTTGATATGCTTGAGAAGAACAGGCTGAATCTTTGAGATGTTGATGGCTTGAGAGAGGTTGGCCTTTGCCTTAAGAGCAATGAGTTGAGTTGAGGATCTCTCCTGGACCTGAATGAGCTGGTTCTCCTCAAACATCTTGGGTATTGTCTCTGCTTCGATGCATTCAACCATTTCAGAAACTTCTTGCACGTAGTCAGGTGCAGTTGCTTGTTCATTTATCTCATTTTGCTCGTAAGAATCGTCTTCCACCTCAAAGAGCCCCTCATTATCGGGGTTGTTCCCAATCTCAAAAACTTTCTTTTCCTCAGTGTGGACATCACTTTGATAGACTCCCACTTCGTCATCGTAGAAATCTTCTTCCCTTTCATAAGCATCCTCAAATTTGCACACATTCTCCTCGATCAAAAAGCCATCCTCATCGTACAACTCAATCATGCAGCTGTCTTGCTCTTCGCAGTGATCTTCCTGAAGCTCGTCTTCCTCTTCCCAGATGATCTTAATCTCAGGCATCTTGGCAAAGTGGCACTGCCAACATTTTTCTGGATCATGCTTGAAGCGTGAGTTGCGATAAGACATGGTTCTGTGATGGTTGTAAAGCGGGCCCTCAGTGTTCGCGATGCACAAGTAGTCATGCTTAAAGCCTCTGTGCTGTTCGAATGGCTCATGCTCATACTCATGTTTGAAGTGATACTGCTTGATCCTAATCTTTCTCTCTGCTACAAAATGCGCCATACAACGCTGAATTGCTTGGTGCCTCGCCCTGTACACATCCATGTTCACGTTGTCAAGAGGGTATGTAAGGTACTGGCCCCAAGATGAAGTACACCTATCTGGTGTTCCATTCCTGGGATCGGGAACATAGATGCCGAGGTGTTCGAAACCAGTGACGATAGGTGGAAACTTCTGACGAGAAGTGCGGGTCTCAATAACCTTATCTACCCACCCGAACCTTCTGCGCTGCTGAGTCTTGAGGTCTGCGAGGTTCTGCGCCCTCTCTGTTTCGACATTCTTTTTTTCAACTTGTTCAGCATGTGAGAGGAGCGCAGGAGAGTCGATAGGTTCAGAGCGTGTGATAAAGGTTGGTTCAGGAGATTCATCGGACTCGTCGCCATCGGAATAATCCGAAGGTGTGATGAAGGTGGGTTCAGGAGATTCATCGGACTCGTCGTTGTCGGAATATTCAAGTTCGAAAACAACCTTTTTCTGACGTGGGACAGGCATGGAGATGGCGCAGCTGGAACGCTTTCGAGTGAAGGTAGCTGGCTTGGGGATAGTTGATTGAATAGGACTAGGTAGGTCCCTGGGAAAGTGATCCTCACTACGGACTTTCTTTGGAGCCGCCTGAACTTGGTTGACAGGTGGAACGGGACGAGGTAATCCCCTAGGAAAGTAATCCTCACTACGGAACTCTTCTGGAGCCGCCTGAACCTGGGTGACAGACTGAATGGGACGAGGTAGACCCCTGGGAAAATAATCCTCACTACGTATCTCTTCTGGAGTCGCCTGGACTTGGATGATAGGTTGGCTCTCGCATTGCTTCGCAGGAGATGCAACAGGCGACCAAGTGCCCAGTGTGATCTGCTCCACGCACTTCCGACGAAGAGCTTCCCTCTCAGCCTCTCTTTCTGCCCTTTCCTCCTCATTCCTTTTAGCTTCATTCGCCATCCTCAACTTTATCAATTCAGCGTTGGTGAGCGATGGATCAGCAGATCCTGCGGAGGTTGACTGTGCAGAAGATGCAACAGACTTTGCGGCCTCGTTCTTTGCTTTCTCCTGCGCAACACGATCTCTTTCCTCGTGTCGTTTCTTGATGCGTGCGGCAGTCTCAAGCTTGATTTCTGCCATTACCTCCTCTGCTGTGGGCAGGACCATAGACATGTGCGCGTGTTTGGCTGCTGCTCGAGCGGCTTCTCTTTCGGCTTTCTCTTTTGCATAGGTGAGTTTGAGTTGCTCGCCTTTGGTAAGAGGCTTAGCCTCGGTGGCATGCTCTTGCTTGGCGGCCGCTCGAGTGGCTTCTTTTTCGGCATTTTCTTTGGCGAAGGCTAGTTTGAGTGGCTTGCCTTTAGTAATGGGTTTGTGTTCTTTAGATACCGAAGTAGCAATGACTTTGCTTTGAGGAAGTGTAGCAGGTGTAGGGCCTGTACGCTTGATCGGGGACTGAGGTTTGCAGGCATGAGTGACCTTTCCTGGGATGACCTTCTTGGGAGAGGGGCAGCTGGGCTTGGGGATTCTTGATGATGGTGTATGAGGGACTTTGTCAAGAATTGGTTCAAGGTTCTTCAACTTGTTCTTGAAGGGAGAGGTGGGAGCGGAGATGAGGGTGGAAGCGGAGATGAGGGTAGGGATTTTGGAAGCGTCGAAGCCTTCAACACTTGTGAAGGATGAAGAGTCGGAGGTAGACGAGTTACGAGAGCCGGTGGAGGTTGAGCTTTTTGACTTCGTTGGAGAATCCAACTGGTTTGACTTCCTCACTGTGTATATGTGTTAGTTCGACCATTTTCTTTCCTTCCTATTGAGAGAGACTATCTCTTACCAATGGCGCGAGGCAGCTGCGTGTTGGCGGACATGTTGATCTTGCTAAAGTCCGGAAGTGTTGATACTGGTGGAGTGTTAGTATAAATTAGAAAAGGAGGACGCGACCCTTTACATACCTTCAGGCAACTTGTCAGAGATGATACACGCTGAGAGCGGTAGAATACTGAAAACTCTTCTTAAAACCACTACGAAGAATGGAGAAGAATCTGTTAGAGAAAAGACCATAGACAGACGTCAATGATTATTATGCAAAGAGATGAGAGATAGAGACGTGGGAAATGAAGTAGAAGAGAATATGATTGTTTAACAGGAGGCGAAGGTTGGGGAGAGAAGTGACGGATGTTTTAAGATCACAATTATGCTTGGGGATGAAGCACAACGTTTGACCTTAACCAATAGTTTGGGAAGAAGTGGGGAGAAGGTGGGTTGGTTGGTTTGTTGTGATGGGAGCAACGCTAAGAGGATTCACCGAGAGGGTCTGGTTGCTAAGACGATACATTGTGAGGTAAACAATGAACACTTTCTCACTATGGCAGCAACCGCAACCACGCCGCGGGTAACTAGAAAACCGCCACTTCTGCTCCGCTGACCTACACACTTACACAGATTTGTGACAATCAAATGGTAGCGAATAGGATCAGTTCTTTGACCGCAGCACGATTTTTCACCATTCTATGTTCCCCTATGTAGGTTAGTGCAACCCAATGCCATCGCTTATTCTCGGTGCGGCAGCTATCACCGTACGACTCCCGAAAGAGGTAATAGCTGCTAGTCCGCCCACACACCTGGTCGTAGTAGTACTTGATCTTGATCACAATCTCCATCGCTCCCTGTACTCTTCTCTTCCGGGTTGGATTCGACCACCGGATAAGCTACAGGTGTCCCATGAGGAGAGATGAAGACTGGAGCTACTGACTGGCATCTTGAAACTTTGATATTACAAGAATCCCATTCATACCACACAGAAAGACAAAAAAAAGGTGATCAGAAGAAGAGGTTCATGGTTATTTGTTTACACAAACCCATTTTTCTTGCCGCGAATGAATAGACCTGAGCTCCACCAATAAAAACACCAAGCCTCAGTTTTTTTCTTTTTTCTGGGTTAGATTTTTCCAATCTACCCGACAGCATGCACACACTCCTGATCGAGTATATCGATAAGATCACGAAAAAACCATCAATACCCAGAAAGCTATTATAAACCTACTTCAGTTCACAGTTAATGAGTGATACATTATGACTCAAATTGCATCTTGCCCTAAACGTTACCCAGTTCAACTCCCTCTTCTTGTAACCCCGAGTTACTCGCCTCATAGCTCTATCACCCAGCTGAGATTGATTATACGCTGTAGAAACCACATTCTTACCCCAGAACACGAGTCTACAGCACCGCGAGTGAGAATCCATGACTCCCGGCGATTGATAGTTCATTAATTATGACTCCCGGCAAAATATATCCCACAAGGACTGTCTGTTCTTCTGCTCTGCGATGTGTATTCAATCACTAATACTTCCGTAAGTAACAGCATGTATCTCACTGAACGATATCTCCAGGTGTAGAGTAGTGTGGTGATGGGTAGAGATGTGGATTGGGGCGGCGGAGTGATGACTCAGCGAGTGATACTCCATGACTGCGAGTGCTAGTCCATGATGATGACTGTACATGTTCCCCAACTTCCTGTAGGGGATCATAGGGATACGTTGCAGGCATACTCGTAACGACAATAATCCCAAAGTGCAGGTATATTAACGAAAGAGAGAGCTTGGAAATGTCGATATAGATCTTCTCAAAATTATTAAATTCACAGCAAAGCGGCAGGTGACAGATTGATACATCCATATTATATCCGGGTTTGAGCAGAAAAAAGATATAAAATACATGTACATGTACAGATCGACATCTACCTGGCCAGGACAGATACATGTAGCCACACCACCACGCCCTACAAGTTACTGCATCCCTAGAGGTTTTGGTTGCAACAAAATTTTATTTTTTACGTAGAGCGTATTTTCTCGATGTTAATCAAACGCAACTGTGATACTCAGCAACGTTAAGTGCTGTTCCAAACTAAAGCCTATTAGGATACTTGGGGAGCGAGTGCTTGATTATGATGCTGACTAAGATGAACCTCACACCCTTGATGCCCATGCGGCTGAGAAGGAAAGGACCGGGAGGTCAATGATTCACCAACAAACTTGAAAACCTCTGGAAATATTTGTATATACAAGCACCATAGCGACACCATATTTCAGCCCTGTCTTCAAGCTAAGATACACTGCTTATCGAGGAGAACCAGTGTTACAGGAAACATGAACACTGCTCCTAAGTCAAAGAATAAGGGTAATACGAGTGATGGGTTGTGATGCGAGTACGGTCGGGTAACGAGGGAACAAGCATAGAAAGGTACCGAGGGGTGTGGGGGCACCGGGTGCAACCACACTAGTATTAGGCTGTTGTGAGGGCACGTTTACTATTGGGTGTCTCACCCGGAACGGAATAGAAGCGGGGCTTATGGCTGCAGGCCATTCTACTTAGGGAAGTAGCTCTAGGACAATAGCATGATACAGCTCGGTTACTGGCAATTGCGGGGTTTATGGTTATGTGTCAGAATTAGAATGGAGGAACGGAACTATGCGGGGGCGTTTTTCTACTGGGGTTATCTTTGGGTTGATTATCTTATTCTATTATCATTATCTCATTAGTATTAGAAAGCGGGCCTTGGCATAGGTTCCAATATGTATAAATAGGGTAGGATTCCGCCTCGTCTTAGTGGCATCATCAGTCACTCAGCGAGCGGAATCCGGTTTACAATATTACAAGTTTAAAAGCTACAGAACTATCGCTTAGCATTGGCATTCCCCAAACACTATATTGTACCTTATCCACTACGCTATTATTTCACCGATTGCATATTATCAACGTCCCGATAAGACAACTACTTGCTTAGACCAATACTTGAGAGTATTTTGTTTGTGGCGGATAGTCACCGTGCGCTCAAGTAAAAGAATAAGGAAGTAGTCTATTAGAAGGACTCTTTGATACCGTATGCATCCCCGAGTAGCAACAGCAGCTATCAACAACTTTACTTGCACCACCTCTTTTGTCGTTCGCAGAGGCAGTGCCGAACACCTCTATTGCGGATACCTTGAATACGCCGGGTTTTTTGCCGAAGCAGGTACTACTTGCACGTTCGAAGAACACGACCCGGAGATCCTCAACTATCCCGAACTTTTCCCCATCAAAGTCACCCTCAGACAGCAATCCTACGGATTAGCCCACTCCGTCCCTTGGTTCGTCGTTCAACCCTGGTGTAGAAGACAGCCACAACTCAGAATTGAGCAACTTAGCGATGTCAAGGGGTCATCAGCAACAAATGGAGGAAGACTACAACATGGAGAGCTCAATTACAGTGAGAGATCGAGGTATAGTCGAGACCCAAGCGAGACAGCGCCACAGGAGGGATCTGGACATGCCAATCAGCGACCTCTTCAGATCGACTCAGCCGGCCGTATCCTATGGCCAACCCCGCTCCCGCAGGCAAGGGGACTACCGAGACTATTCCCCGTACAAGACGCCAATCAGAGAACGATCTTCTATTCCGAGGCCCTCGGTCCTCAGGGGAACGGACGACGACGAAGAAACGAATATGGACGTGGAAGAACGCCGAATCGAGCACCCCTTTGGAGAAATCATCGGGCAGGAAATCGAACGGAGAGGAGCCCCAGTGGTTCAGCAGCTGAGTCGCGGACTTGGAGACCTCACTGTGAGCGTCCAAGACCTCCCTATAATCAGGGACATCACTCGGCAGCACTCCGCGCAGCTCGCCCAGCAGCACGAAGAGCAGACCAAACTTATCCGCGAGTTGCAGATGAAGTTCGGCCAGGACCAAGAGGAACGGGAGCGCCGCGAAGGGATCATTCTCGCGCAAGTGCGGGCAGAGGCGGCCGCAACCACTACGAACCTCGGCCAAGTCTTGGACCAAATCGTTACCACCACTAGGGCCCACCAACAGCGACAGGAAGAGCAGACCCAGCATATAAACATGCTGGCTGACTGGATCCAAAAGCTGCCAAAAGAAGGCCCAGCCCAAGTCCCAGAAGGCGTAGCAGCCACACTGGTACAATTGGAGAAGACCATGCGGCAGCAGGCCTCACTGGTGGACGGTTTCTCCGGAACAAAGACGGCCCTAGAAGAAATGATGGAGCAGTTGAAGGAAACAGCCCGTAAAACGACTGCGGAAAAACCACTGGCCCCAGAAACAGGTGGCGGTGGATCAGGCCCACCTCCTAACCCGCCTCCCCAACAACCAGTCGCCCCTCCAGCCGGCTCCGAATCCAGTGAAGACCTCGAAGACCATGGCAATCCGGAAGGAGGTCAAGGAGCACAAGGTGGAGGTAACGGGAATGGCAATAAGGGAGGTAACGCTCCAGAAGCACCCGGATCATCCCCATCGGATTCCTCAGATTCGGAAGGCGAACGCCGCAAGAGGCTGGAACGAAGGAAACGAAGACACGAAAGGAGGCGCCAACGAGAGCAAGAACTCTCGCACCCCCCTCGTGCCACCGTAGGTGATGCACCCAAAAAGGCCAACATTCCCTTCTCCGGAAGAGCCGATCAAGACGTAAGACTCTGGATCGACCAGATGGAGATTCTAATCAGTCTCCAGAAGAAGGTCCAATGGGATGATGGCACTAAGATTATGTGGGCATCCCTCGAGTTTACCGGTAGTGCGGCAAACTTTTGGCGGAATTTTACGGAGAGGTTAGCTGTGGATCGCAGTATCGGAACCTGGGAACGGTTCAAGCAGGAACTTCGCACCCAATACGGCAACCGCACGAGTCAGGAACAGGCCAAGCAGAGGATGGATAGACTCCGGCAAACTGGCCCAATCGACGACTACATCAATGAGATGCAGAACCTAGAATGGGACGCACGAGTTGGACCAGTTGTCATGAGATCCATGATCCTAACAGGAATAAACTCCTCGCTGGAACAACGGCTCTCCAATGCGATTGAGGAACCAAATGATTTCGTGGACTGGTTAGCCTGGGTACGAAAGGTCGGACGAAAGGACCACGAGGTGAAGGCTCGGAAGGAAATCCTACGAGGTAAAGACACTGCGAAACCTCGTGAGGAAAAAACAGAACGACGGAAATCGCGCAACAACGCAAATCCTCGGAAAACTTTTCCCGCATCAGCCAACAACTCCAAAAACTCGGATGACTTAGGTGTCACCAGAGAAGAGAAGGAGAAATGGCAGAAGGAAGGAAAGTGTTTCCGTTGTGGTAGAGATAACCACTTAGTAAAAGATTGCGTGGCGACGAGTAAAGTCAGGTTGACGAACCTGAAAAGAAAAGAGTATCCTTCCGGGAGAAAGGACCACGGAAAGGAGGGTGATAAGAAACGGAAATTGGGGCCACAAAATGAGGCATTTAGGGCAAGGATTACGAATTTGGAGAGCTAAATTGATTGGGTATTTCTATTTTTTATGCGGTGTCTCATTCTATGTTGTGTTACGGGTTTTATTTGGGAAAAAGACTTTTCTAAGGGATCGAGTTATGTCATGTTCTATCGGTTTTGTTATTTTTGCGCAATTTAAATTCTCTTTACACACATTTTGAGAAGCGGGGTCACATTCTGAAAACACCTGGCGCATAAGTGTTGAACTATGATCTTCATCAACGCTCGAATTCTCTATATAAACCCCCTCGCCCCGCTCTCAGAACAAGAACTATCAACATCAACCCACTCATACCCAAGAACAATCTACCTTACCTTATACTTTCAAAAAACGTACGAACATGTCTTCACACAACCAAGAAACCCGCCTTGAGATTGAGATCTCTTGGAACCATCCCGCAACTAGTACCCAACATGCAGAAACAGTCAACGCACTCCTAGACAGCGGAACAGAGGACTGGGTGATGTCCTGGAACTGCGTCCACCGTCTCAAGATCCCAACTCAACCTCGATCCAAGCCCCTCATCATCAGACAGGCTGACGGTACCCCTATGCCTAACTCCGGTACTCATATCACCCAACCCCTTACTCTCCGCGTTGGCAACCATCTAGACAGAGATATTGTCTGTGAGGTTGGCTCATTCGCAGGAGAAGACCTCGTCATACCACATCGATGGCTCAAGGAGCATCAACCTACCATACATTGGGGTCAGAACAAGGTCACCTTCGACAACATCAATTGTCAAGTGAAGGGATGCTTCAGGACCATGTATGATATATACGAAGAAGACCCAGAAGAGCTGGTCATCAGGCTGTTAAGGACGTCACCCGAAACACCGATGATGATCGAGCAACACCCCTTCTGGGCAAGGGCATTGGTAGGCGAGACCCTCGCTAGTGCTATACCGATGGAGTACCAGGACTTCGTCAACGTCTTCTCTAAGGAGGGAGCCGATCGACTACCTGATCACTCTGAATGGGATCACACCATTCCCCTTATGGAAGGAAAGCAGCCTCCATGGGGACCGATCTATGCGCTCTCCCCAGTGGAACAAAAGGCACTTCGGGAGTACTTGGACGAAATGCTAGCCTCTGGCAAAATAGTCCCCTCCACCAGCCCGGCAGCAGCACCGATCCTGTTCGTGAAGAAAGCCAATGGAAAATTAAGGTTATGCGTAGACTTTCGTGGCTTAAATGCTATTACGGTCAAGAATCGCTACCCCCTTCCACTCATGACAGAGTTGGCCGATTCGACGAAAGGAGCAGAGTTCTTCACTAAGATAGACCTGAAAAATGGCTATAACTTAATTAGGATTGCTGCTGGCGAGGAATGAAAAACAGCTTTCAGAACGAAGTACGGCCACTTTGAATATAGGGTAATGCCCTTCGGTTTAACCAATGCACCGGCGTCGTTCCAGGTCATGGTCAATACCATATTCAAGGATCTTTTGGATCAAGGCGTAGTAGTCTACTTGGATGATATTCTAATATATTCAAAGACTAAGGAAGAGCATACGACTCTTGTGAGGAAGATATTGGAGCGACTGCAACAAAACCATCTATACGGGAACCTCGAGAAAACGGAATGGTACAAACAGGAGGTAGAATTCCTGGGATTTGTACTATCAGGGAAAGGGAACCAGGTCTCGCCTAAGAGGGTGAAGGCAATCACGGAATGGTTACCACCCACCAAGGTCAAGGAACTTCAATGTTTCCTCGGATTCGCCAACTTCCTACGACGGTTCATCCACAGGTACTCCGAGGTTTGTCGACCAATGACCGATCTCTTGAAGAAAGGTTCCGTATGGCGATGGAGCAGTGAACAGCAAAATGCTTTCGACGAACTCAAGGAAAGATTTACGTCTGCCCCAATACTACGACACTACGACGAACACCGTGAAGCGATCATAGAAACTGACGCGAGTGACTGGGCTGAGGCCGCAGTACTCTCTCAGGTGTTCGAGGACGGTATTCTACACCCGGTAGCTTACCACTCTCGCAAGTTCAACGAGGCAGAGGTAAACTACGAGATCTATGACAAGGAGATGCTCGCTATAGTTTCTGCGCTCTTAACTTGGAGACATTGGCTGGAAGGAACGGATATTCCTATCCAGATACATTCGGATCATCAGAACCTACAGTACTTCACAACGACCAAGAAGTTGTCAAGAAGACAAGCCAGATGGGCCGAAAAGATAGCACCTTTTCGCTTCAGGATTCATTACCGACCAGGCGAAAAGAATGGCAAGCCAGATGCACTTACAAGGCGCCCAGAGTTCGCTATGGAAGGGGGAGTAATGCGTGAACAACCCGTAAAACAGTTGCTCAGCGCAGAACAATTTGTCAGAAAATCACGGACCAGTGTAGAAACGGGCCCTGAAATCATTGGCAACCCCGAAGGAGAATGGACTCCGTTGGATCAGTGGTACGACATACCAGGTACTGAGCTGCCTCAGCCGTTACAAGACTGGTATGAACAGGACAGACAATGGGTTCGGAGAGTGTTCCGGGATGAACCTCTCCCTGACGCAAACCTTGAAGTCTTCGGGACAGAGGGAGCTGATGCCGTAATAACGGAGCTTGCCACTGAATGGACCCCGGGATCGAATGAGGCCACCCACGATGGTCGTTGGGTAGTGCCAGGATACGCGGTCAGACAAGTCATTGAGGATCATCATGACAGACCCGTAGCGGGGCATCTAGGAAGGGATAAAACCCTTGAGTTGATCGATAGGAACTACTGGTGGCCAGGAATGTCCACGGATGTAGCCAACTTCGTCAAGACTTGCGATGTGTGCCAGAGAGCCAAGCAACGTCGGAGACACTTGTCACTCCCTCAACCCCTAGAGTTAGCCACCACACCTTGGACTGATATCTCAATGGATTTCGTGGTAGAAATGCCAAAGGAGAAATCAGGATTCCGTAACATATTGGTAGTTGTGGACCGTTTTACGAAAATGGCTCACTTCATTCCAATGACGGGAATCAACGCGGAACAGACCGCTAACGCCTTTGTTAAAGACATTTGGCGCTTTCACGGACTTCCTAGGAGCATTGTCTCTGACAGAGGAACACAGTTCGTATCGGCATTCTGGGCTGCGATTACAGAACGACTAGGGATTCGTAGAAGACTCTCGACCTCGTTCCACCCGCAGACAGATGGTCAGACAGAAAAAACCAATCAGCACCTCGAATCCTACATCCGGGCCTATACCGCAGGAACAGGAAAGAAATGGAAGGACCTACTACCGATTTGCGAGTATGCATATAATAATGCGAAACACTCGTCGACAGGACAATCGCCGTTCTACTGCAACTATGGTTTCCACCCACGGACAGATTGGCCAACGGATGCGAAAATCGGACAGCTGGATGCCAAGGGAAGTACCTATCTGGAAGACCTTCTCCTAGCCCATGAGTCAGCGAGAGACACGCTGCAGAGGACCTTTGATAGGATGGCGTCAAGGCCAGGGCCAGCAGTTCAGCGGTTCCCAATCGGTCAAAAGGTTTTGCTGGATACTCGGAACCTCGGCGGTTACAATAAATGGTCGGATAAGTTTACAGGCCCTTTCGAAGTCGCCGCGGCTGTAGGAAATAGGGCTTATAGGTTGAATCTTCCGGTAGAATGGAAGGTTCATGACGTATTCCACGAGATGTTGTTGCGACCTTACCGAGAGGATCCCAACCCTGGCAGGCAACAAAATACACGAAAACGACTCGCAACACCCGACCCTCAAGAAGTACTCTTGGAGGAGAACTTCAAACCAACCACGAATAATCGGCCCCATACACGGAGTCAAGGGCCAGCCATTGACTCGAGTCGGCCTCCGAAACGACAACGGACTAGGGAAGACTAGCTCGATACCTTTCCTACTCTATGACTTTTCCCAAAGGGTTTTTTTTATCATAGAGAGGTTTTAACGGTCGAGGGCGACGTCTAGGAAGGGGGAGTAGTGTTACAGGAAACATGAACACTGCTCCTAAGTCAAAGAATAAGGGTAATACGAGTGATGGGTTGTGATGCGAGTACGGTCGGGTAACGAGGGAACAAGCATAGAAAGGTACCGAGGGGTGTGGGGGCACCGGGTGCAACCACACTAGTATTAGGCTGTTGTGAGGGCACGTTTACTATTGGGTGTCTCACCCGGAACGGAATAGAAGCGGGGCTTATGGCTGCAGGCCATTCTACTTAGGGAAGTAGCTCTAGGACAATAGCATGATACAGCTCGGTTACTGGCAATTGCGGGGTTTATGGTTACGTGTCAGAATTAGAATGGAGGAACGGAACTATGCGGGGGCGCTTTTCTACTGGGGTTATCTTTGGGTTGATTATCTTATTCTATTATCGTTATCTCATTAGTATTAGAAAGCGGGCCTTGGCATAGGTTCCAATATGTATAAATAGGGTAGGATTCCGCCTCGTCTTAGTGGCATCATCAGTCACTCAGCGAGCGGAATCCGGTTTACAATATTACAAGTTTAAAAGCTACAGAACTATCGCTTAGCATTGGCATTCCCCAAACAACCAGGTAGGTCTATGATTGGTAACCTGAGCACAAATATACAGGAAGAAATAAAACGAGAAAGAGAAAGGTCGAGTACGTTCTGCATAGCCCCACCACACGCCACAAATCCAGTGGCCAGACTAGTAATCAACACGATTAGTACAGTGCGTAACATCGGTGAGTTGGCTGCCCGGAGGTCCCGCCTGTTCGAATATTCTTCTTGCACCGATGGACGCTAGATTGAATCGTGCCCTAATGTCTTGCATGAAACAACCTCGAGAGAGCCTATTTGATGAGAAGCTATATGCTGCCCGGGATGCCTATCCTAAAATAATGTAAATATAGGCAGGCTGGTTATAAAGAACGACTGTTAAATTGATTGACAACATGCTAGAAGTTTAATGGACGTGGGGTCGGAAAAGAGGGAACATATTCAAAGCCAATGGGACTTGTCAATATGACATTCGAAAAGGTTGAGGGGGCTGATATCAATAACCATAGCGCCAAAGCTAGCAAAAAGGAAAGATATGAGGTCTTGCGTATCTGCGATGAGTACAAGATATGCTTGACGTGCATATGGAATCTAATCGCCAGAAGAAACATAAAATAAGTGCTAAAGCTGTGTAGAAATAGTATATAGTCATGGGGTAATGGTGAAGATAGTTGGACCCTTTATATCCTCCTTGAAATGTAATAAGAAGCAAATGAATGTGGTAAGGCAGGAAGTGCCGTAGTAGATGCAGCATATTTAGCTACAGGTCAAGAATTGACCAAATCATAGCCGCCTCGGGTTCCGTTCAACTGAGCTCTAACCAGTGGACGATGAGCCACGAGGAACAAACCTCTGGGTAGGAATGTGCCAACGCTTCTCTCGAACCACCACGACGCTTTGACTAAGGTTCATGACTTTCTCATACATCCAGTCAATGAACCTATTAAAAGAATTTGTGCGCTTCCTCTTTGGCTTTGGTACCAGGACAGGAGGCCTTGATTCGATCGTGATATTTCCAATCGGAATCTCTGGAATTGTCATGGACACCTTGGGTGTCGTAGAGCTCCTGTTGATATTGAAAGGAACGTATTCGAAGGTACCGTAGTTGATTTTATCAGGATCACACTGAATGCGTTGCATATTTAGAGGTCTTAGTTGAGGACTAGCGCATACATCGCGCACGCTCTGGTACGTAGCTGCCTCTTTCCGAAGTTCTTCGAGTTCCGCATGTGTCTGGGCTTGTCCGTCCGGGGAAAAAATAAATTCCGGTGAGTCATCAACTATTTGGCCGCTTGATTCTATCCCGCCTTGTGTATGGTAAATTCTATCTGCCTCACCATTGACACAATTGATATGCTGATTGATTAAATCAAATGGTGGTCTTCCAGTTCCTTCATTAGCCCCAGTGGCTTTGAGACGTGTCAGAATTTGAGCAAGCGATTCCTCGGGTTCTGATACTGCTGTGAATGCACCCGTCAATGTTGACGCAAGGCTGCCTTGTGGTTGTAATCCACCTCTGAATTCATTCAGTTCTTCCTTCCACCGAACCAAGTTGTCGTAGGAATTATCCAACCAGATATCTTCCACCGAATCCGTTTCGGCGGCATCCGCAACGCCCTTTCCCTTTGGTGAGGGCCATCCTGGAATGTCATGGCTCCCGGAAGTAGTGCTTGTTGTTGGCTTACATCGAGCTCTCCCTATTCTGATTCTAGAAGATTCCATCTTCGATTCGGGCTCATCTAACAACTTCGGAAGATATTGTGAACTGCAAATATCTGAATCCTTGTCCATGTTGCTATGCTGCCGGCATCGCGGTGGTGAGCCTACTCTAGACGCACAAGATGGAGAATATAACCTCCTCTTCATTGGACTTATTCGTTCCATCTCACTAAGTGACCGTCTCTTGACAATAGCCTCTGCCCTCTCTCGTTCAACCCATTGCTCATAGGTCTCCGTATTTTGAAGGTGGAGAGGAGCAACGAATGGCAAAGATGGAGGTGACGAAGGCAGATTTTCCTTTGGATATGGGATTGCCACACTAAGATTTGAATGGGTCCTGTCCATTGACAGTCGTGAATCAAGTGTCTTTGCATCACCAAAGTTGGTAACTGTAGTAGACAGAGTCTCTGGAAATGGGTGATTCATTGTTTCCCCGACTTCAGAGGAACAGCTTCCTGTAGTTCTTTCTATTCCCCCATGTTTATGCTGAAAGTTGGTATCCGTACTGCACATGAACGCGTGGCGCACTGGCGTTTCAATCATCTTTGTCGCTGTGAACCCCTTCAACACCGCGGGAATAATTGCCTACTGGTATGATTAGCCCCTGAGGTGAAATAAGATGCATACAAGGTATACATACATACAGTTCTCCCCTTTCTTCCTGAGTTACGTTCACCACCCAAAAGCACGGCTCTCCCACCCTGGTTATCCAGTAAGAGTCTACTCGATCCGTGAACAATTTTTTCCTCGAGTAGGGTCTCTACTTCCTATACTGTTAGTCCTTTGAAACCGATAGGAATTGAAGGTAGAGAGCTTACTATCCCATTAAGACACCTCGAGGGTGCTGAATACTGCCTAGCGGGGATACAAACAGAGCGTATTTGCAGAGAAAGTAGTAAGTGTAACTACCGTCTCTCTGTGCCTAACCCCTCAAGTTTCCTCTTACGTGCCTGGATTCAGATGCGCTGTAGCGGTATCAGAGCTACCCTTTGTGCTTGTGGGAGCCTGGAAGCGTGAGGAAATAGAAGAGGAGTAAATTTGGTGGTCAGCGAATCAAACTTGAATGGTGGGTGTGGCACTGATCCCAAGGAGGGTGCGTAAGTGAAAAGTGGTTCTCCGGGGTACAAATCTATCGGGTTGGTGTTCTGTGTGGGCATGCCGGTTTGGACAAAGGTTGCCCATAACCGGCGACATAACCTATATCGCCGAGGTGAATTAGCTTTGAACGCCGGCGACCTAACTAGCCCGGAAGCCCCCGCGATGAAATACTTACTTCTTGAGCTTGCGGGCTTCTTAACGGGTCTCTTTTGATTATTACAGGTGTGATCTCTGATATTTGATGATTTTTGGCAGATTGTTTGTTGTTTTTCGGGCCCGTGTAGTTAAAAATATCATTGAACGTGATAGAAAGTGCTTGGCTCAGTGTGGCTAGACGACTACCGGGACTATTAGCTGCTAATATGGCCTGAGAAATTTAGTACTGTGTAACAAGCTTCTTGGTCTATGTGCATACATGTACATTCCCCGGCCATATTATAGGAAAACTCGATTGAAGTTACAAAACCAGTTGAAAAGACTTTTGCTAGTGGAAAGAAGAGTTTTTTATGACAAAGAACAGGTTATTGAATAGAATCGTAATTAATTACGCTAAACAGGAGATTACAAAAAAAGGAAACAACTCTTTTTACTAGTAACCCTAACCCTACAGAAATCACTCCAACAGTAGTTTCACGGTTCCTATAACAAAACCATTGTTAAGGGGAAGCCAGTAATAGGGCCATGATCACATTCTTGCGAATGGTGGTCATGGGGCCTGGAGAAGGGTTTGCGAGTCAGGCCTCACTGGTTGCACACCCAGTGGGACCCTCCGCTAGATGGGGGGTGCCGCAACAGCGAAAAGGAAAAATCTGGGACCTAGTCCCTAGTCCCCTCCGGTGCGGGGCGGGTTTTTTTTTCTTCCCCCCGCCCAACTCACGGTGCGGGCCGGGTCAGCCAATGGGAAAAAAAAGAAGAAAGAAAAAGGTCGTCAGGAGAGGGAGAAAAAGGCCGGCGGGAAAAGAGAGGAAAGATGTCTCCCTCTAAAAAGGCGGATGAAAAAGGGACTGAAAGAAAAAGCTGGCCAAAATGGAAAAGAGAAAAAGAGGGCACCAAAAGAAAAAGAGGCGAGTGGTGCCGGTGATTGATTTATGAGAACATCGGCTGTGGGCGAAGAGGTTTATTTATAGAAAAACTCAAGAGAGCGGCCGATTCCCAAATATATAATTATTAAACTCTCGGGAGAAGATATAGTATTAGTGTATACAAGCATTTTCCGGCCTTTGGCCGGAGTAGGAACTGTTATGGCTTAAACAATATCAGTTTACCAACGCTTAAGATCACTGAACCCCAAGATGCCCTGTGCACATATCTGATATACTATTTGGTTGACTCAAGGTATGTTGGAACCAATATCTACTGGCTGACTCAAACATATTTGATAGAATATCTACTAACTCCAACATATTTGATAGAATATCTACTTACTGACAAACATATTTGATAGAGAAAAAGAAAACCCCTCAAACCTGGCCAATCAAAACCTTTAAATAACACATTGCATATCGGTATATCTATATACTTATTAGATATACAAGTATACTGTATACTACATCCATGTGGCGGGTTCCGTATTGATACCATAGATGGGCCTAGGGTTAAAAACTCTTGAATTATCCAGTCATTTCTCCTGCCCACTTACATGTAGTTCTACAGTTATAGCAAGCTCTCTATCCCTACTCCAGGTGTCCGGACCTTGATGATGATATAGTCCCATAAGTAGTCCTCATATCACAAGTATTATCCTCCTAGAATAAGGGACATAATCGATACATTGATGTAACCATTTCTGCTGTTTCCCCAGAGAGGAAAAAAGTCTTACTGAGAGGAAATGGAGACAAAACCAGTCAGAGGTAACGGAGACAACACCGTAAAGCTACATGTACTATAACTCCCCGAACATACCGTCTTCTGAACAAGGTTGATACTTGCATGAGAAGATGAGAAAAGGAGTGAGAGGTAGTCCGTCAGTGTGAGATCTTATGCTAGACTTCTAGATGTTCTCTGGCCTCAAAGATCTTCATCTGTAAGGGTACATGTATGTGAGACCTCCTACTGTGCATACCTACCAGCACAGGAAGAAAACAGACTTTTGCCCTATGACCTTTTATGGATGCGATATTGATAAAATATTATCATTGATACGTTTTGATATATATCTAGAGCGCTGTCCTCCAGGATTAGTAGCACTTGTTTTATTTCGTCTGCCAATCTCTTGTCTAAGTTTTCTGACCTTGATTATTCATTCTCCTCAACCTTCTACACTCTACGTTGGTTTAGCGGGAAATTAAAAACACTTTGCCATCTAAGCACTTTCTTTGCGAAAAGAATTACAGTGCAGATCTTGATCATATGCCTATCACATCCTCTTAATAAGACAAATCATTCCTGGAAGTATTGCTACCACTAGAGTGCGCAGGAATTAGAAAACTGAAGACATACAAGAAGCTCTATCACCGACTATTCTGTCAAGCTGCATTGGGAATATTGCCAACTAGCTGGGTAGATCATTTCAATTTCTTGTGACGGTAGGTGACTAAACTAAATCTTTCTCCACTTTTTGTTTACTGGATATACTAATACTCGTCCTCAAAGATTTTCTTCAGGCCACCGAGACCACCATACAAGACAAATGATACTCATGTTCTTCAACAAGGCTACCCTGATTATTCCCACTTTTTCCCCAGTTATCCACCCACAAAGAAACCCATTTGGTATTTTCCCCCACTTCTCCACACAGATATAGGCCACCCCGAGACACTGCTCAGTTTGTGACATAAACTCCGTCCCACATTTCACTTCTTACGGGTTGGAGTTTCAGCAGAAGAAGAACCTTCCGCATTGGATTTCAACAAATAAGTGTCAGCCGCCACCCCAGTCGCACCTTGCGCAGCCTTCAAGATATGGTTGATTTCAGGGCTAGAAGGACCCTGCTTCATATCGGTAACCAGCTGCTGGAGCTTCGCGAGGCCTTTGCAGTACGAATTGTACCTGCCGGTCATCCACTTCATGTAATTCTCCTCCGGAATCCCCAACTCCTTGAACTCTACCTCCCAGTGATCAATCTCCCTCTTGAGGTCGGCAGGAATGGGGGCTACAACTGTCTTGTACTTGACGCGGCGGCGGCGGGGCTTGGGAGCGGGAGCACCATCGTTCTTCTGACTCATCACATAGTCGTAAAGTCCAGGCAACAGGAAGGCTGGAAGGTTGAGACCAGGTCCGTCCTCTGAGGTCTTGGAGGGAGCCTTGAACTGCTCAGCAACAACGGCGCGGAATCCGGAGTAAATTTCGCTGTTTGTTGCGCCACAGGCACTAACCTTCTCGCGCTTGGGGCGAGTCTTATTGGTGCATGCTGGTTTCGGCGGCGGTGCGTTCAACTCATCCATGGCGTGGAACAGGCGGTCGCGCTCTTTCAGGGATGACGAGATGGTGCTTTGACGATAGTGACAGTCAACCACGCCGCCCATACGTTCGGGCTCCAATGTGCAGTTGAGATATTTCTTGACCAACATATCCAACTCCGCCTTCTTGGCCTCGGTCAACATCTCATCTAGCTCGGGAGTCTGGCTATCGAGAGGCGTGTGTGGCTTATTCTGCTGATGGCCATCGGCAGCCAACCCATCTTTATCCGATTTCTCGGCTTCCTGAGGGCACTGATCATGCTCCAACATTTGGGCTTTCGCAAGCAACTCGTCGACACCAGACATGTGGGTCGTTTGGCGTTGTCCGCTGCGTGGAGTGACTTTGACGCGCTCGGAAAAGGCTGAAGTAGCCAGAAGGGCTTCTTCGAATGTTTCCTTGAAGGGCATGGGGCTGGAAGCTTCACTGTCGCTGCCATAATCGGCACCGTTGGATGAGGTAGGCTAAATATCCAGTTATTAGAAGACGGCAAGAGGGGTAAAGTGATGAAAGGACTCACCGGTTCAAAGAACTTCGGCCCCGATCCACCGCCGGCTTCGCTGGCAGAGTCCTCGTGAGGCAAGGCCTGATTACATTGACAATGAGGATTGGTGCAAACCGGGAGTTCATCAGCCACTGCCGTCTTTGTCTCATCCTCAATTTGGCGAGATTTTCCCCTTTTGTTTCCGCGCTGGCCAGACGAAGTTTTCATTGCCTTTGTTCTCTCCATGTAGGAAGCAAGTGTTTCACGTTTGTCTTCAGTCATGGTGGAAGCATCAGGAGCCATTTTTGATGCAGGTGCAATATACTGGTCTGGGTTGTCTGCTTGTTGAGTTCGGCCTTGGTGGTGTTCATTTCCTGTAACCCGGCCTCTGCCTCGCCCACCTCTGGGACGGGTAACCGCTTTGCGAGCTGTACGAGTTCCGGGGGAAGTGATATCAGATTTGGCAGGGGTTGAATTTCCCTGCTTGAGAAAGTCTGGCTTCTGGGCGTCCACCTTACTATCCCCTAAAAAGTTTGTGACTTGTTCAAGCAACACCTGGTGCAAAGTTTCCGAAATCGAGCACTGATGCTGGTCAATATCGGACTTATCATGGCTTTCGTCCCTCTGATTAAGAGCATTCTGGGATCCGCCTCCTTCACGTACTCTTTTCATGGCAATATCGTAGGAAACCCGAGCCAGCCGGCTCAAATCTTCTTCGGTATAGGCTTTTGCAGTATATGGTGGGTTCTTGTCAACGGCGGAAATGGAATTGGCCGAGTGAGAACATGTGTCTGACCTGCTCACATCCTCCGAAATAGATTGCGTTGAATTATCCCTGGATTGCTGAGCAATGCTCTCACTAAGTTTGATATCAGGTACTTCAACATTGAGGCTGTCCGTAAGCATGGCTCGATCGAAAACGAGCATGATTTCTGCTCTCTCATCTTCACTAAGTGTTGCTGGGGTGTCAAGTGGCATGTAGCGTTTCATATAGGCGATCAGCCACATATACCGTTCCTTGGACATTCCCCACCCCACTGGTGGAAGTTCATCGCTCATAATTCCTTCCTGCCCGCTGTTGCCAGGGCTACCTAAATAACCCGCAGATATGTCGGGATATGCACTAGGGCCAGTTGGCAACCCAGTACCTGCAACGATCATTTGCTCCATATCGTTTATCAGCCTCGTTGTGTCAGCCGCTGACAGGGAGGAGGGATTGACACCAGGCATTACATTATCCATATACGCTCCGAGAAACCTGGCCAGTTCTTCACGACTTTTTTCAGGATCAAACGGTTCCATTTTGGGCCCTTGAATAGGTAACGGACGAGGAGGGTTCGTTTGCCTTCCCGCACGTGGCAACGCTGCTCTGCGCGCTCGTCCACGAACGGATCGCGAGCGAGTGGTACAAGGTGCATCTGATTCCGCTGAAAGTGAAGACCTTTCTAAATGTGGCAGGAGCCCCTGCTCCGCACCACTCATGCTTGTAGTTAAAGCATGCTCCGTACTTCTTTTCATCTGTGTGTCCATAATAATAGGACGCGAAGTGTTACTTCCCAACGTGCTGGGAAGGGACGATCCGGTTTCGACTAGGGAACCCCGGTTTAACACGTTTTGGATAGCTCGAGTCCGAGCCAGTTCCCTCCATTCCGGACCAATCTGTCCACGATCGATCATTTCGTTTATTACACGTGCAGGAAAGCTTGCTTCATATTCAGATAGAGAAGCAAACTCAAAGGAGGTGTGAAGCCTATCAGCTCCATTGCCTGTATTTATACTGGACGCTGGTTGGCTATGGAGGTCTCTCTGGGCAAGAAACGCAGCGGCCCTTTCAGCTGCTTGACGAACCTCTTGAGCGGTCTTCGTATTTGTCAAGGCATTAACCCCGGCGGGAGGACGGGCGGGCTGGCGGGCAGGGGGCATATTCTTGGAATTGAACAGTAGGAACTATTCAATTGAGTTAGAACCTGAGAAAGAACATTGAAAGAAGTACCAGTGTTAGTAATATTTACCTTTATATGATTCTCTGGCCTTCTTTTATATCAATGAGAAGCTTTGGTAGTTTCTTTCCACGATGCTGCAAACACTGCTAAGAAGGACTATGAGGGGTCGAGGTGGGTAAGGGGGGGGGGAGAGAATTTTGAATCTTTGAGGGTAGTTTTAATTTCTTGAGTAAAGAAAGACCTTCACTGATAGGTACCGTGTACTTGACGATTTAATTCAGGGTGCTGAATTTGTAATTACCCACGCTTGTTATCACTCGGTCGAGTGATCTCTTCTGATTGAGTCTATTATCCACAGAAGAGATTCAGAAGAGAAGGTCCGAGCATACACTGTTTAGCTTTGATTGTGTTTGTGGGATGTCCAGGGTATAGCAGTCGTGTCTAACCCTAACCAGTGTGGACAGATGGTCGGGGCTTATGCCCTCCTACTGGGATGCTTTGTGGAACAATAGAGTTTACCAATCCACTTACTTCATATCATATCGTGGCTTTATCTCTCTATGAGTGAATTAATTCGTTCGTTGTTTGGGTATTTAATTATTTATACCAAGGGTTGAATCAAATAGGATGCGAATATCTCCGAACTACATTGATATCTTGGTGTTCTTGAAGTATCTGAACTGTTTGACTCCAAAAAAACGTACATGTACTTATACCTAAGCTCATGGAAGGGTATTCTTGGCTTCTATTAGAGCTTAATATTGGCCCGACTCTGGGGACGAAATATTTTTGGTCACTCGGAACGTTAACTCCTAAACTCTTTAATTATCCCACCATTCAGATTGCATGTTGTTTTGTTCAATATATGGAGACTGCGTTCCATCAGCCTGACCCAGGGCGTGCTGCTCTAGTCCAACCAGCGGAGTTGTCTATCCGGCGAGATCTCCAGTTGGCGCCGTCCAACTAGCCGAGATTTCCCAATGGGCCGCTATTTCGTGAATCCCTGGATCGTTAGTCAGTTGGGTGAGTGTTACAGGAATTACGAGCACTGTTCTAGGTTGAGGAAATAGGAAGAATACGAGTAATGGGTGGTGATGCGGGTATGGTCGGGTAGCGGAAGAACAAGCATAGAAAGGTACCGAGGGGTGTGGGAGCACCGGGTGCGACCACACCAGTATTAGGCTATTGTGAGAACACGCTTACTATTGGGTGTCTCACCCGGAACGGAATAGAAGCGGGGTTAATGGCTGCAGGCCATTCTACTTAAGGAAGTAGTTCTAGGACAATAGTATGATACAGCTCGGTTACTGGTAATTGCAGGGTTCATGGTTACGTGTTAGAATTAGAATGGAGGAACAGAATTATGCGGGGGCGCTTTTCTATCGGGGCTATCTTCGGGTTGATTGTCTTATTCTATTATCGTGGTATTAGTAGTATTAGAAAGCGGGCCTTGGCATAGGTTCCAATATTTATAAATAGGGTAGGGTTCTGCCTCGTCTTAGTGGCATCATCAGTCACTCAGCGAGCGGAATCCGGTTTACAATATTACAAGTTTAAAAGCTACAGAACTATCGCTTAGCATTGGCATTCCCCAAACACTATATTGTACCTTATCCACTACGCTATTATTTCACCGATTGCATATTATCAACGTCCCGATAAGACAACTACTTGCTTAGACCAATACTTGAGAGTATTTTGTTTGTGGCGGATAGTCACCGTGCGCTCAAGTAAAAGAATAAGAAAGTAGTCTATTAGAAGGGCTCTTTGATCCTTATGCATCCCCGAGTAGCAACAGCAGCTATCAACAACTTTACTTGCACCACCTCTTTTGTCGTTCGCAGAGGCAGTGCCGAACACCTCTATTGCGGATACCTCGAGTACGCCGGGTCTTTTATCGAAGCAGGTACTACTTGCACGTTCGAGGAACACGACCCGGAGATCCTCAACTACCCTGAACTTTTCCCCATCAAAGTCACCCTCAGACAGCAATCCTACGGATTAGCCCACCCCGTCCCTTGGTTCGTCGTTCAACCCTGGTGCAGAAGACAGCCACAGCTCAGGATCGAGCAACTTAGCAATGTCAAGGGGTCATCAGCAACGATTGGAGGAAGACTACAATATGGAGAGCTCAATCACAGTGAGAGATCGAGGTATAGTCGAGACCCAGGCGAGACAGCGCCACAGGCGGGATCTGGACATGCCGATCAGCGACCTCTTCAGGTCGACTCAGCCGGCCGAATCCTATGTCCAACCCCGCCCACGCAGGCAAGGGGACTATCGAGACTATTCCCCGTACAAAACGCCAATCAGAGAGAGGTCCTCTATTCCGAGGCCCTCGGTCCCCAGGGAAACGGACGAAGACGAAGACACGAATATGGACGTGGAGGAACGCCGTATCGAGCACCCCTTTGGAGAAATCATCGGGCAGGAAATCGAACGGAGAGGAGACCCAGTGGTTCAGCAGCTGAGTCGCGGACTTGGAGACCTCTCTGTGAGCGTCCAAGACCTCCCTATAATCAGGGACATCAATCGGCAGCACTCCGCGCAGCTCGCCCAGCAGCACGAAGAGCAGACCAAACTCATCCGCGAATTGCAGATGAAGTTCAACCAGGACCAAGAAGAACGAGAACGTCGCGAAGGGATTATCCTCGCGCAAGTGCGGGCAGAGACAGCCACAACCACTACGAATCTCGGCCAAGTCTTGGAGCAGATCGTCAACACTACTAGGGCCCACCAACAGCGGCAGGAAGAGCAGGCCCAGCATATAACCATGCTGGCTGACTGGATCCAACAGCTGCCAAAAGAAGGCCCAGCCCAAGTCCCAGAAGGCGTAGCAGCCACCCTGGCACAATTGGAGAGGACTATGCAGCAGCAGGCCTCACTGGTAGATGGGTTCTCCGGAACAAAGACGGCCCTAGAAGATATGATGGAGCAAATGAAGGAAACAGCCCGTAAAACGGCTGCGGAACGACCACTGGCCCCAGAGACAGGTGGCGGTGGATCAGGCCCACCTCCCCAACCACCTCCCAAATCACCAGTCGCCTCTCCAGCTGGCTCCGAATCCAGTGAAGACCCCGAGGACCAAAGCCTAGCACCAAGAAGCAACTCTGAGCGTAGTAGCCAACAAGGGAAGCAAGCAGGTCAAGGAGCACAAGGTGGAGGCAACGGGAATGGCAATAAGGGAGGTAACGCCCCTGGTGGACCAGGACCTCCAGGATCATCCTCATCGGACTCCTCAGATTCGGAAAACGAACGCCGCAGGCGGCTGGAATATAAAAAACGAAGACAGGGAAGGAGGCGCCAACGAGAGAAAGAACTCTCGCACCCCCCTCGTGCCACCGTAGGTGATGCACCCAAAAAAGCCAACATTCCCTTCTCCGGAAAAGCCGATCAAGACGTAAGACTCTGGATCGACCAGATGGAGATCCTAATCAGTCTCCAGAAAAAGGTCCAATGGGATAACGGCACCAAGATTATGTGGGCATCACTCGAGTTTACCGGTAGTGCGGCGAATTTTTGGCGAAATTTCACGGAGAGGTTAGCTTTGGATAGCAGCATCGGAACCTGGGAACGGTTCAAGCAAGAGCTCTGTACCCAATACGGCAACCGTACAAGTCAGGAACAGGCCAAGCAGAAGATGGATAAACTCCGGCAAACTGGCCCAATCGACGACTACATCAATGAAATGCAAAATCTAGAATGGGACGCATGAGTTGGACCAGTTGTCATGAGATCCATGATCCTAACAGGAATAAACTCCTCGCTGGAACAACGGCTCTCCAATGCGATTGAGGAACCTGGGGATTTCGTGGACTGGTTAGCCTGGGTACGAAAAGTTGGACGCAAGGACCACGAGGTGAAGGCTCGGAAAGAAATCCTGCGAGGTAAAGATACTGTCAAACCTCGCGAGGAAAAAACGGAACGGCGAAAATCGCGCAATAATGCAAATCCTCGGAAGACTTTCCCCGCATCAGCCAACAACTCCAAGACCTCGGAAGACTTAGGTGTCACCAAGGGAGAAAAGGAGAAATGGCAGAAGGAAGGAAAATGTTTCCGTTGTGGTAGAGATTAGAGAAAATATATGTAGAGAAGTATAGTAATTGAGCGTTATCTTTCAACTAACTAAAGGGAGGGAAATACCCCATACTTATACTAAAGAAAGGTAACACAAAACATAGTAAATCATAACCGTATAAGTAATAGAAAAACATGACTAATAAATACCAAGGAAATAATGAGTCAAAACCCATGACTCATAATGACAAATGAGAATCCTCCAATACTATGAAATGTGCTGAGCGTACTATTTCAAGACTTCCCCTCGTGAACCACAGTGAATAGTAGAGGAAAATAAAACATGCTTGCCCTTATCCAATCCCTTTGTAAGTAAATCCGCCACGTTTTCATTTGTAGAAATATATTCCAACTCAAACAATTTATCCTCGTATCGTTCCCGAACAAAATGAAAATGCACATCAATATGTTTAGACCTTTTATGAAAGACAGGATTTTTAACCAAGGACAAAGAACCATTATTATCACCGCGAAGAATAAAAGAAAGTTTCGGTTTCCGTTCCAACTCATGTATCGCATTCTTTAACCAGATCATTTGTCGACTAGTATCCGAGAGAGCCATGTATTCTGCCTCAGTAGTAGAGGTGGCGACGGAGCGCTGCTTATAAGAGCGCCAGGAGATAAGAGCTTCCCCTAGCATAAAGCAGTGGCCGGTAAATGAGCGGCGATCGTCGATGTCAGAGGCATAGCTTGCATCACTGAAGCCGATGAGTGCAGTGGGTGGCGTTTTGGCGTAGAAGAGTGACCAATCGAGGGTACCCTTGAGGTAACGAAGGACGCGATGGACTGCAGCCAGGTGAGCTTTAGTGGGGCAGGAAGAAAATTGCGAGAGCATGGTGACGGTGTAGGCGAGGTCCGGTCTGGTACCGATTACTGCATACATTAATGAACCGATTATCGACTGATAGATTGTTGGATCCTCGATTTTCTCCGCTTCTGTTCCTTTTTGTAGGTGAACATTGTTGTCGATGGGTGTTGCCACAGGTCTAGATTCATCGAAACCGTATTTGATAAGTACACGCTTGAGATAGGCTTCCTGTGATAGGATCACGCCAGTCTTAGTGTGGATCAAGTGGATCCCGAGTGCCCAGTTGGCTGTGCCAGTTTCCGTCATTTCGAATTCTGCGTGGAGTTGGAGGCTGACGCGGTTTTTGCGTTCAACGGACCAGTAGAAGATAAGGATATCATCCACGTAGATGGCGATGACGACTTCCCCTGTTTTGTGAATAAAAACACAAGGGTCGAAGTCCGCTTTTCTGAATCCCATTCTGATTAGCGTTTTGGAGAGACGAGCATACCATTTCCGTGATGACTGTTTGAGGCCGTAGATACATTTGATAAGTCTGCATGCTTTGCCGGGAGTAGGGTAGCCAGGTGGAGATTTCATATAGATTTCTTCCTGGAGTTCGCCGTATAGGAAAGCGCTAGTAACATCCATTTGATCGCATTGACCGCCGGTTTGAAGGCAGCGGGCAAGAAGCAGTCTGATGGATTCATATCGAGTGACGGGGGCGTAAGTCTGATCGAAGTCTTGACCAGGTACCTGTGAGAATCCTTTTGCGACAAGTCGGGCTTTGTACCGAATAGGGTTGCCATCGGGCCCGAGTTTAATTTTGTATACCCATTTGCAGTCGACCAATTTTCGGTGATCTGGTGTGTCAACCAGTTTCCATGTATTATTCCTAGCAAGTGAGTCTAGTTCAACTTCCATAGCCTTTTGCCATTTTTCGGAGTCAGGACTGTTGATCGCTTGGTGATAGTTTGTTGGTTCTGACATGGTGATATCATGCTGAATGTTGTATCCGTATCTGACCGGAGGTTTCCGTTCCCGTAGTGGGTTACGTCTCGGCTGATCAGTGTCTGTGTCAACATCATCGTGCTGGATACGTTCAGGAGCGGCTTCTTCTTCTTCTACTTCAGATTCGTCGTTGGAAATTTGTTCCATAGTTTCTCGGAGCATTTGTTGGTTGAACATGTCTTCGATATCGGAATCTGAGAGTTTCGCAGGTGGTGTTGGTGGACGTGAAGGTGGTTCTTGTTTGATCTCGATTTGTTTTGGTTTAGGGGGTATGTCGGTTTTTATTGTTTCGATTTCTTCCCCTACGGACGGACCTTTAAACCTAAAATGACGAGAGAGAACTACTTTCCTTTGTGATGGTATGTAAACACGGCAGATTTTATCAGAGTCTCCGTAACCGCAGAATTGTCCCGTAATTGCCCTAGCATCCAACTTTGTTCCAGCTGGTCGTGCTTCGACAGGTATATGAATGAACATTGTTTCACCGAAGGATCGGAGATGCCCAATGCAGGGTTTCTTGCCGGTGAGTGCTTCATATGGTGTCATATTCGGGAGTGCTTTATGCGGGAGACGATTCTTGACGTGTACTATTGTGTTGATTGCTTCTGCCCATAGATTCCGTGGAAGATCGTGGTCGAGCAAGGCGGATCGTGCCATTGTTGCTATTGTTCTGTTAAAGCGTTCTGCTGTTCCGTTTGACTCATGAGAGTAGGGTACAGTGAATTCATGCTTTATGCCTTTAGAGGCAAAGAATTGTTGAAGGTTATTGGAGATGTACTCGCCACCATTGTCGCTTCGAAACCGTTTAACCGTTTTATCCAATTGATTTTCCATGTATGCGATGTATCGTTGTGTGGCAGCTGCTGCATCTGACTTCTTTTTAAGGAAGTAGAGGTGAGCGTACCTGGAGTAATCGTCGATGAAAGTAATATAGTAACTAAAACCGCCAAGAGAAGGATTGGAAAACTTGCCGCTCAGATCTGAGTGGATTAGTTCTAGTGGTTGTTTGGATCGCGGTTCGGTGAGAGGAGGAAGGTGTGATTTGGTGGATTTGGCGAGTTCACATGTGTTGCATGTTTCCATGTGACCTGTTGTGGGGAGAGACTTGGGATCGGCGATCATGTTACGTAACCGTGAGAGTGAGGAAGCGGGGAGATGTCCGAGTCGTTGGTGCCAGTCATAGAAGCTGGTAGCGATGGAGATGTGTGCGCAAAGTTCCTTGGTTTCAAAAATATAAAGACCAGTACTGTTTGGGTTAGCGATCCCAACGATTTCCTTGCTATTCGGTTTGTAAATGGTAAAGCCGTTTTCTGTCCCTGTCGTTGTAAATCCCTTTTTGGCAATGCATGACCAGGACATTAGGTTGGTATTGCCGAGTTCTGGGATTAAAAATACGTTCTGCAGAGTAATGGGGCCATGTGATCCGTTGATGGTGACATTTCCAATTCCGGTTATCTGTAGCTTTCGCCCTCCGCCAACAGTAACTGTTCCGCTATGAGGTGAGGGGCTGGTAACTTGAGTTCCGGTCATGTAGTTAGTTGCACCAGGGTCAAAGATCCATGCCTTGTTATCAGATGTGGAAGGTCCTGCAACGAGGCCAAAGCAGTCTTCCATTGTTACATCCGAGGTATCTAAGAAAGTGGTAAGGTCGAAGGAAACCGGCATAGTAAATACATCAGTTTCTTCGAGTGCGGGGAGGCCAGAGAGATCAGGGATCCAAGAGAGGTCTAGTTTTGTGTGAAATGCGGTACCGGATGCGACGTTAAGGTTGCCAGATGCAGCGGACTTCTCTTTGTCTCTGAAAGCTTTGAGTTTCCGGCAGTCTTTGTGCTTGTGGCCTTTTGCAAATTCACCGTTCTTGGTGCACCATGTACATGTAAGATCCTTTTTATCCTTTTTGTTGTTCCGTGCCTTACCGACTTTGTTGTTTCCATGTCCTGGATTTCCTCGCCTGATGTTGTAGGCTTCTCCAGTCGTTTGTCCATCGTTGTTGCGTCGTGAGTCCAGATCCAACAGCTTTTCATAGACGTCATCGAAGGTGACGTTGGGCTTGGTTTGCAGGTTGTCAACGACTGATTCGAGGGATTCGTGCCGGAGTGAGAGGAGTAGGAAGGATGCCTTCGCTTCTGAGACTGATGCGAGTTGGTGGAGGTGGTAACCGAGTGGGTCTTTGGTTTTGTCCGTAGAGTTACTAGTTCTAGTGAGGAGAGATGACCAAAGAGTATTGAACTGGGTTAGATGTTCCTTGATGCCTTTGTCGGGTGTATACTGTAGGGTTACAACGTTGGCAAGAAGCGAGTGGAGAGAAGATACAGTTTTTCGATCAAATCTGTCCTCGAGTTGGGTCCAGAGGTGGTGAGCGGTATCGGCCGGAGTGAGTGTGAGAATGACTTCAAATTCGATATTGGATTGAAGGAAGACGCCCGCGAGGTTATCTTTCTTGTCCCATTCACTGATTTCTTCGGCGTTGTCTGTGGTTTCTTCTTCGTCTTCTTCTGCTGGTTGTTCTGCAGTTGGTGCCGCTGTAACCGTAGTGGTGAACGCAGGACGCTTACTCGTACCATTGACTAGATTCCACAAATCGTAAACTTTTAACATGCGACAAGCGAGGTCCCTCCAAACAGTGTAATGGCCTTGGCCAGACAACTTGCATGGTAAAGCGGGAATTTTTACACTGTTGTTCGACATGTTTGAAGTGAAACGATAGAGTGTACTTTTGATAGTAGAAATGGTTTGGAGTATTTAAGCGTAGATGGTCTCCGGGCTCATAACCTAGAGAAAATATATGTAGAGAAGTATAGTAATTGAGCGTTATCTTTCAACTAACTAAAGGGAGGGAAATACCCCATACTTATACTAAAGAAAGGTAACACAAAACATAGTAAATCATAACCGTATAAGTAATAGAAAAACATGACTAATAAATACCAAGGAAATAATGAGTCAAAACCCATGACTCATAATGACAAATGAGAATCCTCCAATACTATGAAATGTGCTGAGCGTACTATTTCAAGAGAGATAACCACTTCGTGAAGGATTGTGTGGCGACAAGCAAGGTCAGGTTAACGAACCTGAAGAGGAGAGAGCCTTTTTCCGGGAGGAAGGACCACGGAAGGGAGGGTGATAAGAAACGAAAATTGGGGCCACAAAATGAGGCATTTAGGGCAAGGATTACGAATCTGGAGAACTAAAAATTGATTGGGTATTTCTATGCTTTACATTCTATGTTGTATTATGGGTTTTTTCCATGTTTGGTTTTTACAAAGGATCGGGTTATGTTATGTTCTATCGGTTGTTATTTCGCGCAATTTAATTCTCTTTACACATATTCTGAGGAGCGGGGACACACCCTGAAACGTCTGATGCATAAGTATTGTACTATGGCCTCCATCGACGCTTGAATTGTCTATATAAACTCCCTCGCCCCGCACTCAACAACAAGAACCACCAACATCTCACATATATCTGAAAACAACACCCCTTTACCTTACCCTTCTATACATATGAATATGTCTTCACACAACCAAGAAACCCGCCTCGAGATTGAGATCTCCTGGGCACACCCTGCAACTAGTACCTTTTATGCAGAAATAGTCAATGCACTTCTAGACAGCGGAACAGAGGACTGGGTTATGTCCTGGAACTGTATCCATCGTCTCAAGATACCAACCCAACCTCGACCCAAGCCTCTCATCATCAGACAGGCCGATGGTACCCCTATGCCTAACTCCGGAACCCACATCACTCAATCTCTTACCCTCCGCATCGGCAACCATCTAGACAAAAACATCGTCTGTGAGGTTGGCTCGTTCGCAGGAGAAGACCTCGTCATACCACATCGATGGCTCAAGGAGCATCAACCTACCATACATTGGGGTCAGAATAAGGTCACCTTCGACAATATCCATTGTCAGATTAAGGGATGCTTCATGACCATGTATGACATATATGAAGAAGACCCAGAAGAGCTCGTCATCAGGCTGTTGAGGTCGTCGACCGGGACACAGATGATGATCGAGGAACACCCCTTCTGGGCAAGGGCATTGGTAAACGAGGCTCTCGTTGATGCTATACCAATGGAGTATCAGGACTTTGTCAACGTCTTCTCCAAGGAGGGAGCTGATCGACTACCTGATCACTCTGAATGGGACCACACCATTCCCCTTATGGAAGGAAAGCAGCCTCCATGGGGACCGATCTATGCGCTCTCCCCAGTGGAACAGAAGGCACTCCGGGAATACTTGGACGAAATGCTAGCCTCTGGCAAAATAGTCCCCTCCACTAGCCCGGCAGCAGCACCCATTCTGTTCGTTCGCAAGGCCAACGGGAAATTAAGGCTATGCGTAGATTTTCGTGGCTTAAACGCTATCACCGTCAAGAATCGCTATCCTCTCCCACTTATGACAGAGTTGGCCGATGCGACGAAAGGAGCAGAGTTCTTCACCAAATTGGACCTGAAAAATGGCTACAATTTGATTAGAATCGCTGCTGGCGAGAAATGGAAAACAGCTTTCAGAACGAAATACGGCCACTTCGAATATAGGGTAATGCCTTTTGGCTTAACCAACGCACCAGCGTCGTTCCAGGTCATGGTTAATACCATATTCAAGGATCTATTGGATCAAGGCGTAGTAGTCTACTTGGATGATATCCTGATATATTCAAAGACTAGAGAAGAGCATACGACTCTTGTGCGAAAAGTATTGGAACGACTGCAACAAAACCACCTATACGGGAACCTCGAGAAAACGGAATTTTACGAACGGGAGGTAGAATTCCTGGGGTTTGTACTATCAGGAAAAGGGAACCAGGTCTCGCCTAAAAAGGTGAAAGCAATCACTGAATGGTTAGCACCCACCAAGGTTAAGGAACTTCAATGTTTTCTCGGGTTCGCCAACTTCCTACGACGGTTCATCCACAGGTACTCCGAAATTTGTCGGCCAATGACCGACCTTTTGAAGAAGGGTTCCGTATGGCGATGGAGCAGGGAATAGCAAAGCGCTTTCGACGAACTCAAGAAGAGATTCACGTCTGCCCCAATACTACGACACTATGACGAACACCGTGAAGCCATCATAGAAACTGATGCGAGTCACTGGGCCGAGGCCGCAGTACTCTCTCAGGTGTTCGAGGACGGTATTCTACACCCGGTAGCTTACCACTCTCGCAAGTTCAACGAGGCAGAGGTTAACTACGAGATCTATGACAAGGAGATGCTCGCTATAGTTTCTGCTCTCTTGACTTGGAGACATTGGCTGGAAGGAACGGATATTCCTATCCAGATACATTCGGATCATCAGAACCTACAGTATTTCACAACGACCAAGAAGTTGTCGAGAAGACAAGCCAGATGGGCCGAAAAGATAGCACCTTTTCGCTTCAGGATCCATTACCGCCCAGGCGAAAAGAACGGCAAGCCAGATGCACTCACAAGGCGTCCAGAGTTCGCTATGGAAGGGGGAGTGATGCGTGAACAACCCGTAAAACAGTTGCTCAGCGCAGAACAGTTTGCCAGAAAAACACGGACCAGTGTAGAAACTGGACCTGAAGTTATCAGCAGCCCCGAAGAAGGATGGATTCCGTTGGATCAGTGGTACGACATACCAGGTGTAGAGCTGCCTCAGCTACTACAAGACTGGTATGAACAGGACAGACAATGGGTTCGGAGAGTGTTCCGGGATGAACCTCTCCCTGATACAAACCTTGAAGTCTTCGGGTCAGAGGAAGCTGCTGCCGTAACAGCAGAGCCTACTACTGAATGGACCCCGGGATCGAATGAGGCCACCCACGATGGTCGTTGGGTAGTGCCAGGATACGCGGTTAAGCAAGTCATTGAGGATTATCATGACAGACCCGTAGCGGGGCATCTAGGAAGGGATAAAACCCTCGAGTTGATCGATAGGAACTACTGGTGGCCAGGAATGTCCACGGATGTAGCCAACTTCGTCAAGACTTGCGATGTATGCCAGAGAGCCAAGCAACGTCGGAGACACTTGTCACTCCCTCAACCCCTAGAGTTAGCCACCACCCCTTGGACTGATATCTCAATGGATTTCGTGGTAGAAATGCCAAAGGAGAAATCAGGATTCCGTAACATATTCGTAGTTGTGGACCGTTTTACGAAAATGGCTCACTTCATTCCAATGACGGGAATCAATGCGGAACAAACCGCTAACGCATTTGTCAAAGACATCTGGCGTTTTCACGGACTTCCCAGGAGCATTGTCTCTGACAGAGGAACACAGTTCGTATCGGCATTCTGGACGGCGGTTACAGAACGACTTGGGATTCGTAGAAGACTCTCAACCTCGTTCCACCCGCAGACAGATGGCCAAACGGAAAAAACTAACCAGCACCTCGAATCCTATCTTCGAGCCTACACCGCAGGCACAGGGAAGAAATGGAAGGACCTGCTACCAATCTGCGAGTATGCATATAACAATGCGAAACACTCGTCTACAGGACAATCGCCGTTCTATTGTAACTACGGTTTCCACCCACGAACGGATTGGCCAACAGATGCGGATATCGATCGGTTGGACGTCAACGGAAACAACTACTTGGACAACCTTCTTCAAGCTCACGAGTCAGCGAGAAATACGCTGCAGAAAACCTTTGACAGAATGGCGTCAAGACCAGGGCCAGCAGTTCAACGGTTCACAGTCGGTCAAAAGGTCTTGCTGGATACTCGGAATCTCGGGGGATACGACAAGTGGTCGGACAAGTTTACTGGACCCTTCGAGGTTGCCGCAGCTATAGGAAATAGGGCCTATCGGTTGAATCTTCCGGTAGAATGGAAGGTTCACGATGTATTCCACGAAATGCTGCTACGACCTTATCGAGAGGACCTTAATCCAGGCAGACAACAGAATAAACGGAAACGACTCGCAACACCCGATCCTCAAGAAGCGCTCTTAGATGAGAACTTCCAACCAAGTACGAATACTCGACCCCATACGCGGAGTCAAGGGCCAGTCACCGACTCGAGACGGCCTCCGAAGCGACAATGGACTAGGAAAGACTAGCTCGATACCTTTCCTACTCTATGACTTTTCCCACAGGGTTTTTATCATAGAGAGATTTTAACGGTCGAGGGCGACGTCTAGGAAGGGGGAGTAGTGTTACAGGAATTACGAGCACTGTTCTAGGTTGAGGAAATAGGAAGAATACGAGTAATGGGTGGTGATGCGGGTATGGTCGGGTAGCGGAAGAACAAGCATAGAAAGGTACCGAGGGGTGTGGGAGCACCGGGTGCGACCACACCAGTATTAGGCTATTGTGAGAACACGCTTACTATTGGGTGTCTCACCCGGAACGGAATAGAAGCGGGGTTAATGGCTGCAGGCCATTCTACTTAAGGAAGTAGTTCTAGGACAATAGTATGATACAGCTCGGTTACTGGTAATTGCAGGGTTCATGGTTACGTGTTAGAATTAGAATGGAGGAACAGAATTATGCGGGGGCGCTTTTCTATCGGGGCTATCTTCGGGTTGATTGTCTTATTCTATTATCGTGGTATTAGTAGTATTAGAAAGCGGGCCTTGGCATAGGTTCCAATATGTATAAATAGGGTAGGGTTCTGCCTCGTCTTAGTGGCATCATCAGTCACTCAGCGAGCGGAATCCGGTTTACAATATTACAAGTTTAAAAGCTACAGAATTATCGCTTAGCATTGGCATTTCCCCAAACAGTGAGATAAGTAAAATCATGTCCGTTCAGTGAGGTGGTTGGTCTATCACCCCTGAATCCAGTAAGGATACGGTATTTTTACGCATGATAGTTAGGATTTCAATTTAGTTCGGAGGTTTTACATAGTTTTGTATTGTTACAGTACCTATTATATTCTTTTATGGTACTGTGCCAGGCTTTGCAGTCTCCAAGTAAAACTACACCGGTTTCGGCCTTTTAACTGTTTGGTTTAACTATTAATCAAAGCTAATATAGAGGTCAAGGAAGGGATTGCAGGTCACCGACGGAGTCTATTCCTCATATCAATCAAGGACTTTGACCATACATGAACACGATCTTGAGATCTCGCTGAATGGTAACTATCTCACCCAGCTGACTAGCGATCCAGGGAGTCACAAAATAGCGGCCCATTGGGAAATCTTGGCCAGTTGGACGGCGCCAACTGGAGATCTCGCCGGATAGACGACTCACTGGTTTGACTAGAGCAGTGCGGCCATTAAGCCTTGCAGTAACGCAGAGGTGAAGTCTGTCTACTTTTAATCTCATTCCCCAGTATAAGATCTCGCAAAATGTGCAGTGGTAGCTAGAAAAGGGAAGAACATCAGTAATGGCAAACTTTAAACCACCACCGTTTGGAATTACGAATTTATCGATATTCATTTCCCGTTATATATATCTCTCTCGTGCTAGATCTTCACTCCCTTTCCCCACCGCTTTCTTTCACTATATTCATTAGCTCCTCGAATATCATGCACGTGTGGAGTTGATAAGTATTCCTTTTCACCTCACCTGACGGGTCTTGAGAATTTTTCAGGGCCTGCTGGTGGCGGTGATAAAGCGGGGTGCCTCCTCGGCGTCCAAATACCTTATCAAGAGAGTTCACATAATCCTTACTCTATGCTTATAATGTGCAATGTCCATTTCCTTCTATCTCAAACGATTCTATTTAGAACAAGTAGAGAAAAGAGAAAGGAAAATGATTTCTAATGTAAGAGAATATACATGTATTCCACCCGGGAGTAAAGTTAAAGATATTACTGACATACATGTATTCACTGAGTTGTGAGTTCTGTTCCCAACCAACTGTTAGGCTAAATAGTGCTAGTTCCTTCGTTTTTAGACGGAGTATCCATGCGGCTCAAGGCCCCTTTGACAAGTAATACTCTTTAATTTCTACTCCAGACCCAGGCAGCTGATGATCCCATGGTGGCTGAGAATCTTTATTAGTTCACCAAAATCTACATCCACCTCATCTACCCTAGTATGTAGCCTGGAAGGTTGCTTCAAATAAGCATTTTGCGTAAAACGGGCTGCATGGAAGATACAAAGAATCCTATGAATGATCTTGAACCCTAAAGCCGTATAGATCGGTTTCCATTCGCCGTACCCTTTCAAAGGAAGCTTGAGAATCTCTGAGAGGTTAGCTGAGTCAATGGAACTCATGTGGAGATAACATAAGCGATAGTAGTGAGCTACTTGCATTCCAAGGAGCAGAGTCACAAAAGATTTGTTCCCATGACCTATGGCTGAAGATCGAAGAGGTGGTTTAGGTCTTACTTTCGTCAGTCATATGCTCTGGATCCGTCACATGTATTGACAAGACCGTTTGTGTTCCGTGGCGACGAAGAGCGTGTAAACTTGAAGCTCGTCCGCCGAGGGCTGCGGATGAATCACTTCAACGAACTCAACACGAATTAATCCGAAAGTCTTGTTCCCCGCGAGAGAAATTTGAAAAATCAAAATATTTCTGATGCGCAGAAAGAAGCTGACCTTCGCATAAACCCCTGTACGGCAATTTTTCCACTATGGCCTCGTACGAGCTGAGTTTGGCTCGTGTAGCTGTATTCGATGCATCTGAATCTGGATAGATGATATTTCAGTTCAAAGATGCAAGCTGTGATCCAAAGGTCGCGATATTATGGATCGGTGTGTTTAGGTCTGAGCGCGCACCTGTTCTTGGTCGCGACGTTCAGCTCATCAGGCCAAGGCGCTAAAGTGATCTACACCACATCCGCAGAGCCGCATCTTTGTTCCACTTCGGAACTTTTAGCACGTGCATAGATCGTAGTGTCTCATTTTCTCACTTTCGCGTGCAATTTTATTGTTCGCATTTTTTGGAACTCAGTCAAATACTTACCAACGCGAGGAAAAACTAAAGGTACTACGGGCTGAAAAATCCTTACATAGACCCTTCATCTTGTATGGTAAACCAAGACCTGTGTGAGACTCCAGATATTCTAGAACCCAAACCTGTCATTGCTTGACCATCGGAAGGAACATACGCAAATTAACTATGACTTAGTTATGCTTACCCGAAATCTTGTTACGCCTGACCAGTATTACTTACAAAATGCTCACCTGCATTAGATGTAACATATGGAATCATATCCCGACGTCACTCAAGAGGCATCGTGTGGGGGTTCTACAAAGCCGAACGTTGTAGGACTTCGGGACGTAAGTAGTGACTAAAGTCAAATCTATCAATACACCCAGCTGAACTGCCGATGTACATTGAAAGGTAAGCAGATTCTCGTCACCTGTACTACCCTACTGTACCTCGAAGTTGATATAAATAGGATCTTCCGATCTTCTGGACATTTGCCATAGTCCGTCCAACACCGGTACACTAACAAAGCCTCGCCAACTTGATTACTCTTTAGTATCTTGTGTTAAAGCCGATTATTCTATCAACAATCCAAGGACAATATGGTCATCTCAAACATCAGTATTGAAGCTACACAGTTGGCAAAGCTGAATACTCAATATTCCGCGATAAATGGGAGATTACACGACGCCATCAAAATAATCAAAGATAACCCAAGCCCTCCAGAGGAGTACGCTAATGACAAGATCAGAAAGATTATCAGGGCCTTAACGGAAAGCAATATATCATACACATTAAATAACCTGCTTCCCAAGCTTGTCGAAAGGGTCGAACCAACTGGTGTCGACCCGGTCACCTTCAATAATGTTGAACCAACATACCATGACGGAGACGTTCTTGGTATCATGGAACGAAACGCCTTATTGATTTGCCAGTTGCATATGCAGATAAGGGCAGACATGGTCGCATCGAGGGCTGAACTAGTGTCATTGGCATACCAGAAGTTTCGCGTTCGGAATCCGGACTACGATGAGAGGGAGCTTACAGAACCGGTGGCAGGAGTGACCCTAGCAATATACACCCCCGCAGAAGAAAACGTCCAACGCCGTAATTTTAATCTTCACCTCTCCGATATAGAGTTTAAAGTTAAGAGCTCTTTTAAAACAATTTATTATCCCGAGCTCGGCACGATTGAGTTCTTTATCCCTGGTTTGACTGGCGAGCCGGAAGTTGTTAGGGGTTGGTAGGGATTACAAACAACATCTTTTCCGTTATGTACTACGCATTCTTTTCCTTCATACAGTCTATTTACTCTCATACATACAGCTTCCTGTTCGGGTTGTAATAACTGCTTCATATCCTCTGTCGTTTCATTCAGGTTCTTAAATTTCGAAACTCTTATGTGGTCTTCAATCATTCCAGTATATGTAAAGTTTATACATGAATCGAATTATTGGCATAAGAAATATTACATCTCTTACCACACAGACCTAAAGACTGGCGAAGTTAAGTTTTTGTTACGATTGATCATATGAGAATTTTAATAAAATACATGTAGTTGATAGTAAAATCAATCGTTAGGTTAGTGTGACTTAGGTCGTTCGATATTCTATATTGACATAGAAAGGAGAACATTGGGGACCATGTATGTAAAGTCAACATTTGAGCTTACCTTGCTTCAACCTTTGAAGTTCTACATAGAATGTAATTATTGGAACATCAACAATGTAACTGCCGAATAGATGGAAAAGTTACGCATTGTCCAAAAAGGAATACATATATGTAGGTCTAGAGTTATTTCGCAAGAGGTACCTGTAATATCTGCAAATACTAAATGTGACGTTGATGAACTCCTGCGGCTGCTACCGAAACTACTTCCATGTATTCTATGTATATGCACCTGGAGCCCGTTAATTAATATAATAGCATTGTCTAAATTTATACTTTGAGAGAGGCCCTAGATAACATATTGAACGTTATTTTATCTTCAACCCTTCAATGTCATATCTTAAAACCTTCGAATCTCCCTATAAGAACCCCCAGAGCTCCAATCCCCTCCCTCAATAATATTCAACATTTTCTTAGACCATATCACCAGATTCCTCCTCTAGACCAAAACTAACAGCCCAACACATAAACGTCATATATCCAATCAATCATCATGATCGGAAGCGTCACGCTCGAAGCTGCTCAACTGGTTGATATTATCAACTGGATCAATAGCCTTATGATTTCAATCCGTGAAGCTCATGTTATACTGAAGCAAAATGCATCAACCCCGAAGTCCATCACTCAGACTCAATTCAACACAATCTCCCGAGCGATGTCCGACAGTAACATAGGCTGGACGCTCTCAGTACCTGTCCCCGACCTCATTCGCAAGATCCTTGATGGTATTGATATGCGTACCGTGGATTCAGATATCCCATTATTCAACAACGGTCAGCCGCTGGAGATTAGAGAGCTCAATTCCTTAATCATTGTCGGAGTCTATCGTACTAGGGAGACTGCTATCATTGATTTTAGACTCGCGGCACAAGCAACGCTTGAGCAAATGTTTGGAGTTCAAGACCCGGCTAGGGGAACGAAGGAGTCAAATGATCAAACCAAGGTGATGCTTGCGCGAGCTATCTGGCACACGATGTCGACGGAGGAGGAGAACGACCAGCTTCAGGTACGGCTTTCACATATTGCAAAGAAGTTCAAGAGCGCGATGAAGGTCCTCTACAATTCTGATACAGGAGCTGTACAGTATTATAACAATGATCTCCTTCTCTTTTAGCGAGAGTTATCAATGTGTTCGATTGTTTCTTGTTCAAAAGTAACCTTTTTTGCTCGACGTTCATGTCAGCATCAGATTTAACCTTTTGGGTCTTCTTGGAAGGAACATGCTTTTCATTTTTATCTATAGTTTTACCTACTTTACTTAGCAACAAAATATATTTTCCCTGAAAACTTCCGAGTGACTGATCGTTTTTCTTCATTTGCAACTCTTCACGCTTTTTTCTCAGATTATGTGCATTTTCGAACAATTCCAGGTGAATCCTGACGTACTTCAACTTGGTAATTCTGATAACCCGGTGACCCTCACCTCTCCTCTTTTGATTCAAGCAATACATCCTAAGGCAGCATAATATTCCGAGCGAGGGTACAGAACCTTCCTTCTTAATATAATTTCTTCTCAGCTTTACAGCCTCCAAAGATCCAGGAACCTTATTTCCCAGGTGATTTTGTATAACTTACACACCCCCGGTGGCTTGAGCATAACTAGTTCTTCCTCAATCCTCTATAACAGAGAATGAGTGCCAATCATGGGATTCTGCTCTAACATCAAACCCCCTCATAGCTTCTTGATTGTTGCTTGCTTATGATTGTAGTGTGTTGACGCTTCTTAGAACCTTTTTAGATGGTAAATAACTGTAAATTCTCGTTCCTATATAGGTAGATAAATTCATAGATCGTAATTCTCTTAAAGCCCCATTATCTTAGTGAGTATAGTCAAATTGAGGTTACATCGGCAAAGGCGCTGTTCCTTTGCTTACCATTTTCCATCTGGGGGGAAGGGGTGTGGGGGTGTTATATCTCCTACCAGGCTTCACTGTGTATCCTATAGCTTTATTGAATTATTGGAAATTCTAGCTAGTATTGTGGTCTATCATCTTATGAATATCACATTCCTTAAACATGTGTGGAATTATGGTCATGGAATATCACTTGCATTTGAGATTCATATCGAAACTTGAACTTTGGCGAGTCTTAAGTCTTTGACGGCTAAAGGGGACGAGGTCACCCTGTATAACAGAGGAAGGGTATAAAGGAGAGCTAGTTATAGTCAACCGTGTTACCAGAATGTACTTTTAGTATTTGACACTGTGACCTTGGCACGTTCCGAGACACATATACGACTTGCAAGGGCTAACGATTTTTTAATTAATTAAAGTGATAGTTCTTATGTTCAAAGTTCTACGTCTTTAGAGTATTGAAGGGCTGGAATTGCTTATTTTATCTAGTATGGATTGATTTCCTATCCCCGTTATGAACTATTCGGACAGGACCCACCAGATCATTTACCCTTAGGGGGTCAAGGTTCATTCTTTAACTCCGTCGCGTGGGGGGGTGTCGATATCTCTCTATCTTCTGTATACCTACATTAGAATGAGCCATAGCAGGTATTTAAGGTATGCACGTTAGGGATATTATATTGGTCCTCAGTAACAATCTTCCTCGATAGTCGATTTCTTGCTTGTAGCAAAACTTATGAAACGCTCTTTCAGGCATCTTTTCTATCAAGCCTATCAGACCATTATCCAGCTGTTATCGGAGGGTCTTGGTTGTAAAATGCATAATATCTATTTCTCCCCCAGTTTCATGCTCCTTCATCTGGACGCTATGTGTTACATTTTCTAGAAGCCAATTCAACAACCATCCTCCGAACGTATCATGAATGTAAGAATACGAAATGTCCTCGGATTTTGTGAGATACCCGAATAAAAACTCTCGAAAATGAAATAAATGGTATGACTATTATGAAAACCCCACCGCAAAAGCGCCAAATAAGATATGATAACTGTTTTGATCCGTTAAAAAACAAACTGGGTAAAGAAAGTAATTTGGCGTTTTATTGCCTGCGCAGATGTGCGGGAGCTATTCTAAACAAGATGAAAGAGTGACAACTTTTAGAGGAAGGGAAGGGTGTGCCTAACGAATGAAAACGGGAGTTCGAAATTCAAATGAAGGTAGGGATTAAAGATTATTGGGGGATGTGGGGAGCGAGCGAAAGCATTATTTGGGAAACGTAACACCCTGAAAAATCAGAACAGGTATCCGCATGATGGCATTCTCAAAGCTAGCGCCTTCGACGATCTGTGTTGTAGCCGAAATCTCGTTTCCGGAGATCATTCACGCTGGCTTTAACTCTCAAGGAAATTTGTTTAAGCCAAGACTGTCTCTTAGTCTCTTCCATATCCAGAGAACCTTGGATCGGGACTGCTTTTGCGTCTTCGGAAAGAGCGACCACACCTGACTGTCCAGGTTGAAAAACCCTCTCCTCCAAGACCTTGAAGTTTTGTGCATCCGCCACAACCTGGTAGATAGCATTTGATACTGTGGGAAGCTGAGTGGTATCCTGGACGAGCACGCGGTGTAGATCGTGAGTTTGATGCAAGGTGATTAGTGCTGACGGAACCGCTCCCATCGAACCACACTCGCTATTATTTGCAAACTCATCCGTACCTGCCGCATCAGCAGAAAAGAGGCTCTCGAGTTGCGAAGGTGAAGTAGCCATCTGATCTGCTGCTTGGCTCACCCTTTGCTTATCATCTTTCTCTAGAGGGACCCTTTTGATAACGGTTCCAGTACTTCCTACAGAGATGGAGGAAGGATTGGAGATATACGATATGTCCCGGCATCTCCTCTTCTTTGGTTCATCCACTTCTCTCCCATCACTGCCACTAATGAATTCTCTTTGCCAGTTAGGTCGAAGAACGGTCCATGCTCTTGATACCGAAGTGTTTGATCCAATTGTTGTATAGCATGTTGGCCGAACACATCGCCCGGAAGGAGGAGTTGGTATGTCATTATCAATATCGGACTGAGTGTGTTCTGGGCGGTAATATGAGGTCGGATCGGTGGGATCTTCGTAATAGGCCGCAGTTGGTGGCCTCTCATATCCTTCGCTGCTACTCTGGCATAGACGCAGGTAGCGATCGCATCCGGAATTCTTGAGCTTTGAGCTCATGCTTGACATAGGGGTTTCGTGCGTGGTACTAGTGCCCTGAGAGTACTCCCCACTAGCGGCTAAACCGCCGTAGCCGTCAATATCCTTGTCTGCATTCTTCTCGCTCTCACCTGTCGGACTCCCCTCGCGTGGCGATGAAGCACCAACGGTCGCGTCTCTTTCAACGCTCCAAATCGATTCCGCGTGACTGCTTGCGTTGAGGAGATAGTTTCTACCATCGGACCTTTCGGAGAAATGATTTATACTGGTACACAGGGTTGATGCTTCGGAAGATGCTATTGACCCAGCTGACGTATATGGATTTTTAGAGCGACGAGTAAAAATATCAAATAGGCCGATCCGAGAAACCAACTTTTTACATGCCTTCGATCCAGAAATGAAGAAGCGAGCTGTCATTGTCTTTCCCATCGATGCGAAATTCTTCTTGGATGATGGGGCCAACATTGCAACCATGCTAACCGAACTGTTCCGACGCGACCTCATCTCAGTGCTTGGTTTCTCAGTTGGATCAGAGGGAGGTTTTGGCACAGTCCGATGCGATCTCTCGACAGGCAGGGAACCAGCTGCATCCTCCACACACCGATCTGATGACAAACTGCCTTCCTCAACTCCATTACTTACATCATCGGAGGAAGCGTATATGATGGAAAGTACAGATGTTGTTTCCGCACAACTCTCGAGAGTGTTGGACCTGGAGCGTACAGAAAAGATGTGATGATGAGTGGTTTCATCCCTCTCAGATAGGGTTGAGTCGAAGCTCAAAAGCCGTGAAATCTGATTTCGAATTTCATTTGAGTGCCTCTCATTCTCGCGCCAGATGCTGTCGGCATCACTGGGTGTGAGTGGCGGGCTCGGATCGCGCTGAAAGGGACTCCGGAACCCATTGGAGTCGGCGCTCCCGTGGCTGGTAGGTGTGTTCATCACAAAGGTAGTCACTTCTGTCCCGTCCTCCAAATAACTGACTATCTTTTGAACTGATGAGCGTTGGACCGGTGTGAATAATGGCTCAAAGACTCCGCGTAATCGAATTCCGGCTACATCATCACTTGGAATGGTTGAGGCTCCTCCCCTTGTCGGCGTCCTTATCGATACCGGTCGTCCTGGAGGGGGTGGTGTCATATCTTGGCTTAATACTGAATCAAATGATCTGGTACTAGGTACAGAGTGTCTAGACCTCGGTGATACGCGAAGGCTCTGAGGAGAGCGCCGAGGTGTTCTACGTGGGGGTACTAGATCGCCTCTGATGCCGGAAGGGTTGGCATTATACTGGCGACCAAATTCGAATGATCGCCTACCCCGCAAAATGTTCGTGATTTGGAGATGTTTAACGCGACGAAGTGTTCGCCGTGGAGCTGGCCTCGTAACCACCATTGGAAGCTGATTTCCGCCCTGGCCGGAAGTCTCCAGGAGAATGTTGATGATTTTACTAAGAAGATTCCTGGAAATAGGTTATCGTCAGTTAGGGTGTGAGGGAAAAATGACATGAACAAGGGATGTAAATTACCTTAAATGAAGACTTTGATGACGAGAGATCCACGCTGAAGTATGATTAATTCAATGTCTTCGGGGTGCACTTGAGTGAGACAGGCCCAGCCTAGTTATAGCACGATGGCTATCGGAGTTTGTTAGGCACTGGATGGAAAATAAGGCAATTGCTGGCAGGAATTGGTGGTAAATACATTTTCAAATCAATCGGTGCGTCCGTCGCACCAGTAAACAGACAAGGCTAAAAACACAGGAGACCAGTCTCGATGACTTGACAATAGAGAGAGTAGGTGACAAAAGGAATGCACTTAGATGCAAGGGGGAAGAAACAGAACACAAAGGAGATAACGTTGACGGAGATTTGATGACTTGCGTGTAGTCGGTTGATAGCGGGGTGGTATGTGAGAGGTGGAGTGGAGTGGTTGGCAGCACGAGCAGATGTCCTTCAGCGCAGGTCGAAATGCCGATTTAGTTGGCTGCCGCATACAGCGATGACCAACCGCACAAATAATCATCCACTGTTTTTACCTCTCAGTGAAACTTCCTTCGTAAATGTACTCCTCCATTTAAGGGACATATTCCTGGATACATGTAATAATTAAGAGTATCAACGCCCGCATGTACCGCGGAACTGGGTCAAGTTTGTTCTCGCATAACATCAGCCGACAGATACTAAGTATTGTATTGCTTTAATTAGTAATGCCTTTCGCTTCGCGCTCCTGGGCTTGCTTGTCTCCCCTTCATGATTGTTTCCCCGGGGAAGGGGGCATAAACAGCCCCACCCGCACGACTTCCTCCTAGCCCACTCGTTCAACTTCAGGTACCAAAGAAAAAAGAACCAATTTTTCGTTCTTTCTACGTCAAACCTCTGTTAAGACTCTAAGAACGTTCGCGGGTGATTCTTGTAATCATCACCGCCATCACCACAGCCTGAGTCATGGATTCTCGCTCGATCTTCGAGTGATGGTTCATGAATCTCGTTGTCACACTTAAACTGAGGAGTGCTTTCAATGATTTCCACGAACGGTTCTTGATATATTTGAAAGGCTGTGGGATGCTTTATGTTGAGCTATCTCTTCTACGTTCGATTATCTTATTCTGCCTTGTAGGTGTAGGTCTTACTCCCTTCTGCCCTTCTGCGGGGGGATGAAGGACGGGCAGAACAATGGTACTTCACTAGCGTTTTCGGGGGTGTAATCTTTCTCGAAAGGGCGGGATATGGGCTGCTAAGCGGATGATCTGTTTATTCGCAAAGAGTACAGAGAACCTGCGTAACAGACGCTATGTGCTACGTAGCGTTGGACGAAATCCTGTTCTATTTTAATGGTATCTCGTCTATTGGATTGCTGCCTATTGTTAATCCGTATATCAATGAAGAGACTATTATTGTTCGTGGTGGCCAAGAGTAGCTAGAGTGTTTTATTCTGTCTTTTATGTATTTCGATGGGAATAACAATCGCGAGGAAGGAGACTGCTTGAAAATAAATGCCATTAGAGATTACACGAAAGAAGCTTCCCGTTTATTCTCAAGCATCTGAATAACAAATTTGAATATCCTATTTCTTCTTGGTTAGCCTTCTTCCTTTCAAGGACTGTATTTCATCCCTCGAGCCAAGCCGTTAGAAATCAACTCGAGCGTTCCCGTGCTATATAATCACCGTACCACCCACAACTAAACATCTATCTTCCCCCACCATTTTCAACCAATCATCCATCAACAGCAAACAGCAAACCTACTAGACCCTTCCCACAAACACTTCTATTTCATTTGCCACTCACCTTCTATCTCAAACTCAAGCATTAACATGTGCCTCAATATCTTCACCCACCACGGCTGCTTCCACCCAGTCTTCATATCTAAAAAGACCACCATGGACTGTTCCGACACTGTCCACCCCGGAGTCATCCACGAATACAGCGAGTCCCCCTGCGCCGTCTGCCTCGCACCCATTACCGACGACGACCGCAGCCAACAAATCTACCTCGCCGAACAGGCAGTAAGAAAGCTGTTTTACACCCGCTGTATTGACCAATCCGATCATAAATTTCTCGATTACATCCTCGACTATTACAAGTTCCACTCCTTTCCCGGCCATGAGTGTAAGGCGCCATATCACTGCTATGAACAGTGCCCCGAAAAGTATTACACATACTGCACCCGTACTCAGCACGACATCGCGGTGATGCCACCTTCCTTGAGGCTTCAGCTTTATGGCTCTGGAACCTATCTCGACCACGCCGCCAACACCATGCATATCCGCGAGGGAAAGTGTGCTGAGGGAATTTTCAATGCAGACTTGTATCCTTATGCCCACTTGCCATTGGTGTCAAAGGCACGCAATCGTCCCGAGTTCTACCAGAACCTTGCGGCGGTGGATGAAGAGGAGGGTTCGCCGTATGAAATCTGGGACATGGCTTGTCGTGCTGGGTCGTCTGTTCCTGAGATCATTCAAAGTGAGTCTGATCTGTTCGATACTGCTACATGGGATGTGTATGAGACTGATGATGGTGATGATGAAGATGTGAAGGACACTGTCAAAGACAATGGGATCGTGGCCAAGGTTTTCAGGCGCTTGTCGGGGTTCTTCGGAGTTGTCGATACCGATGAGAATGAGGAAGCTTGATAGCTGCTGGCGGAGGTCTACAGTAGGTGAAGATGACCGGGCATGGGATCCTTCAGTGACCTACTGGGCGTGTCCTGTCAGCGGAATGAGCTTTCTTGCAGGCTTCTATATGGTTGATTGTTAGCAGTGCGCTTGCCAACGGGTGGAAAAGGGAATTCGGATCTGTTGCTAGCTATAGATTTGGAGAGATATTTCGCACTGCGTGGAGAATAAAAAGTGATTTTTCTGAAGATTTATAGGCTCAGCACTCTTCCTTGATTGAAGTGAATAGGTGTATGTGATTCCCACCAATGGTATTTTAAAGATCTCGGCTACCGCACTGTTTGCCAAGCAAGCGATATCGGAAGTTTGTGGCGGCATTGCCAAGATATGTGGCGTTTCGGTTCTATAACTGTTACAATCGGATTCATGTGAAAGCCTATATACGGTAAAATAGCAAAACCAAATTAATATTTATTATCTCTGCGACAAACAATGTTGTGTTCTACGATATATGAACTACTATATCTCCGAACTCAATCCTGCTCAATACCAGCACCACCCTACTGGGCTAATCACCTCTACACCGACCGGGCGAGGAGCTCTATAGATCTAACGATGCAGGAATGAGAAGTGGTTATTCCTTCATATTTAATTTGAGCATCTCGGTGACTAACTAGTATTTTGAGAACTACCAGTGGGATACCTCAAATATTTCACAGGTGTACGCAGTTGGAATAGTAAGTTACGATCTGTTCCTTCAGTTTTAGACTTCAGCACGGTGAGAACTCTCCAATTAGCATTAATGTAGTTTCAACGTTTCTCATAGGTATATTTTCGGAAGCCACTAGCACTACAGCTTTTAACTAAAGCGATCGCAAATTCCACAATCTCCCGGAAGATGACCTGCGAGCTGCATGTAATATTAATTCCTCCTTCATCGGGGGATCTAAAAAGCAAATTAATTCTTCAAACCTCCGATAATAAAGGAGTTACTCGTTGCGATTCCTCATTGGTCAGAGTTCCCTTCTCGCCCTGCAATCTACAAAGCTGACTAGATGCAATTAGTTTAATGAGATATATCTGTCAAAAAGCTGCGGTTTCTTCTCTTACAGACCGGACAACCTCTTTCCAATTTCCTAACCCCCTGATATCATCTACAATCCGCATCCGTCACTAAAACTCCATTACCCTTTTCGGGGATCCAATATTTGCACAGAGTGGCTTCTAGACAGTGAGTGATCGAAGTTGAAATATGTTCTTGGTGGGAAAATCAGCACAACAATGTACGAATTCACCAAATGCCCCTTTTACCTAAACATATTCTTCTCTGTCTTACTCAAAGAGGCAGCCGGAATTTCTCCTGACGATCTCGAGTTTCCGACGGCCTGCTATCGCCTTCCACTACCCCACCGCATGTCTCTACCTATAGGCAGAAACGTTTGACTAGCACCTTTACCATTATTCAAAAATAAAAAAGAGGAAATGGCCTCGGTAGTCCGCTTCCAAACATAGGTTAGTGAGCGCAGGCTGAACTGAGGAATTGTTGATTACAACTGCGGGTGCTGTGTTGAGTCCAGCTGAGACTCCCATTCGTGTGGCAGCTGCCAGCTGTGGGACCTTCAGTTCCTTCAATCTCTCACCCATAGCCTTCTCCCTTCCCAACATTTCTCATCCACTCTCCTTCAACTCTATGCACACCCACTGTCTTTTCTTGCCATTTACAACCACAGTCATTACCTTTAACAAAATGTCAGAGTACGGGAAACTCTTCAACGCCAACCCCTACCCATATCCTCAGCCTCCGTTGGAGTCTTCATCCTACTACGGCTCGATTCCCCCCAGTCTCCGAGGGAGCCTAGGAAGCCAGGAGTCTTTCTCTAACTTTAACAGTTTCCGCACGAGTGTGGGAAGTCAAGCCTACGTCTCCCGCTTTCAGGAACATATGAACATCAGCCAGGCACGCTCTCCGGTGCCTCCAGATCTCTCTCCTGACTGGACTGAGACCGGGGCGCTCACAGAGACGATCTCCTCTCAACAGGCGACTGACGACCCTCCCGGGTCACCAGAAATGGAGGAAACTGTTAAAGCCATAGAAAAGGTCCCGACAATCACCTTGCCGGACAACACCGAGACTACTAAGATCGGCGGCTCTATCAGTGCTACATTGAACACAGCTGCTGCCCCGACTCCCGAAGACCCAATTAACGCCTCAATCCTCCGAGTTCAGAGGAGCGAAGTAAATCTACGCCCTCCTAATCTGGCTGGGGATATTCGAAAGCAGACCAGCACTCCAAGTTTCCGGGATTCGCTTACCTCCCCTCCCTCTGAAAGCAGCCGCTCCAGCATTTTTGGTAGTCTCAGAAGGAGTAAGATAACTGCCCCTCCCGCGCCGGTTGATCTCCCCTACGTTATCCCGCCTCTCACCCACATCCAACCACCCGCACCGCCTCCCAAGCCGCTTGCTCCGCCGGGTCCTGCAGATCTTCCATACGTTCTTCCCCCGCTCACCTACATCCAAGTACCCGGTGAACCTATCCCAAGTGCCATCATTTCTGCACCTCCGATGGTCACCGTCACCCAGCCGTCACCTCTAGCACGCCCAGCGGCCAACCTCCAACTCGAGCACACCAAGGATGCCGGAGAGGACGTTCACGTCCCTACCCCAGTCAACCTCATCTCCCAACTCCGCGTCGAGCAGTCTGTCCGCACCTCAACTAGCCGCGAGCGTATCTCAATGGACGTCCACCGCTCCACAGCCCTGCAAATGAACATCGCCGAACAGCGCTTCGCCGCCCGCGCCACCATGACCGACAAAGAACGGCGCGAAGCAGAGAAGAGGTCACTCCGCGTGAAGGCCGAGCTCGACAAATTCAACAAGGAGGAAGAGAAGCAAGCCGCCATTCGCACCAGGAAGCAGGCCGCGGAAGAGCTTAAGAGACTCAAAGTCGAGGATAAGGAGGCGGAGATGGCGATTAGGGCAAGGGATAAGGAGAGGAGGAAGATTAGGAAGCAGTTGGAGAGACGTCATGGGAGTATGGAGAGGTTTGCGCAGAGCGGGTTTCAGATGAAGATTGAGAACTTCGCCAGGAAGATGAAGAGCTGGGTTGGGTTGGGGCCGGATCCGGGATGGGAATAGAGAGCGCGTTACTTCTGGGGCATTGGTCTTTCCTTTCACGTTGTGCTTTCCCGGCAACATTGCTCATCGTCTCTTGTTCAGTCTGTCTTTGCAAATTTCAGGGTCTGTATGAATATGGCTTCATGTCTTGATGATACACAAGTTTAATAATGATACGCACTATACCCTTTCCTTAATTGTTTTACTTATCTTCTTTTTTTCGCGGCGGTTTTGGTTCAGTTTCTCACTATGCGCCATGTCTTTTTGTTTCTCTTTTGTATGTGTTTATTCGTGTTCCTTTATTCATAAAGTGGCAACCGATATGGTAACCGATATGGTTGTTGTTTGATCTTTTTTATACCAACGAATATGGAATATGAAGGTTATGTTATAACATTAATCGAGCTCTAAACTTTTGCTCGTAAAAAAAATCAGATCGGACTCTACCTCCGAGATCTAAGCGGTTACAAAAGCCCATGGCACTTCATGAACCTCTAGTGGATGATTACCTTACTAACGCGAGCGACCTCCCCTCCCGCCGCCGGGCTGATCTAGTGGTCTGTTTCGCCGAAGTCTTCGGAAGTAGGGAGTAAAAGCAAGCTCTTTTTATTGATTTTATTTCGACTACAAAACTTGCGAGCCCTGTTCTTTCTTCGATATCAGGTAGTGGGCTAGGTGGCGTTGCGAGTGATACTTCATGATCCGGTAGTGGCGAGTGACACCGTATGATCCAAAGATCCAACATGACCCGCAGGACTGGTTTATTTATACGGTGCAAAGCCATGTACCTAGCATACTCTAAGTAAGATATCGATAAGTTCCTTATATCTACCCTCCCATTATTCCCCCCTCTGACACAAACCTATGTACATAGACCTCCGACACTCTTGGTCTCCGCCGACGTGCAATGCAATACGAGACGTGGGAGGTAGGTATGGGCAATGGCAAACTATGCGCCATATCCTGTAGCATTTCGCTGCCGCTCCCATGAGATCAAAAGACAGCTCAGCGAATGGGGATGGTCCCACGGGTCGATGTAGTTGCGGGTCTACTTTTCCCTCTCCCTTGCAACGTACCCATGTTCTGATTCTTGCCGTGGACATATTTCTGCTGAATTCCAGTTCTTTGTCTGGCGCGGAATGGCATATGGGGCGCTCAATAATAGGGAAGCGGAAACCTGTGTCCTTGAGCGGTATAGAGGCGAGCGGCCGGTTGGACTAGAAGAATTTGGGAATTTGAGGCATATGGAGTGTGAGATTATTGTTGTGTACTTGGTAGTGGGCGTTCTTCTGTTTGTCTTTGTAATCTAGGTTTTTTGTAGTTAGTATACAAGGCATTCCGTGCGCTCCGCTACAACTGAGGAAGCTGACATTGCAAAGGCCCGCTTCCTTAACTCATAGAAAGGCTCTACGATATGTTCTAAAAGCACTTGCTCTTCCTTTCAGAACGTTTCCTACTTTCCATCGAACCTCCGCCCAATGGGTTCAAGGGCGGAGGCTCTGTAACCCCCGAGAGCGTCGATTCTCTATCTGAATTTGATATCAGTTCTGAATAGTATCTCCGCCTATGAACGTTAGATGAAATACACACCCTTTCCCATCATATGATAGTCCATCAATCTTTCTACCTCTTAACACTCTGAGTTCTGGCTTTTATCTCTGTCCTATCGCACTCCCGATGGAGGGCAGAACACTGATAGCATCTCCATGCTCGTACCTGGTCTCCTTATCCGCGGACCTGGCCATTGGTGTTTACTCCTGCTCTCTAGCCATCGAAATTCAGTAGAACTATCGGTTTTTTTTCTATTTTCTGAGCTGCGACGTAGTTAGATGCTGTAAGAGTGACGGTACAGGACGGGGATGGCGGTGGCAGGGGTTATCTTATTTCTTGACAGCTTCCTGTTAAAAATTAATCTTTTTATAAGTTTCCTCCGGGGTGTAGAAGGATGTACCTTGGAAAGAGTCAGAGCTTGTCGGGGCGTTGCACCAGACCCCCGGGTGGAGTGAAGGAACCAGCATTCTCACGCTGGCGGTGCTATTCACAGCCGACTTCATCGAGAACAAGAAGGTGATGTTAGCGCTGGAAATGGCGCCAACATCGTTGGACGCGGGGGCCATCTTCAAAATGCACCCAGCGCACATTCATCCAAGCTCTGTTAGCATAGTGGGCAACGTACCTCGGAATGTTCGCACCGCGCGGCGGCCCGTTCATTCTTGCGGGATTTGGGTTCCATTCCTGACCAGAGCGTTATTCAATCTTTTTTTGCTTTTTCTTCTTCTTTCTTCTTTTTCTTCCTGTAGTTTTCTGTTCTTCTTTTTTCACTAAGATGACAATTCCGGTTTTGTATCGATCGTCCAGGAAACAGGTTAGCATAACGCGCGCACCCTACAGGTAATTTGATCAGAGACCGATGTAATGGCGGGGGTTACATCCATGATGGCGCTCTGCGACATGGGCAAGTTTCCAGAAGCGGAATTACCCGTAGGTACCACAGGTAGGGGGTACTTCCTGGCACATCATACTACACTCTTCCTCATGGTCGATTAGTACCATATCCCCATTTACAAATGCTCCTCCAAATTAAACCTGGAGGCCCTGGCCCCCCATGTTCAAGTCCGGCACCGCATTTGCAAAGATGGAAAAGAAGTAGTGGCGGAGGCGGTGGTACATGAGATTAAAGTATGGAGCTTAACCTTTACACACCGTGTACATACTTATCAAAAGTGATTCTTTTATATCTGTAGGAAGCACAAAGAACGTAATCCTTGATTTTATTATGCATACTTGTATTTACGTATACATCAATTTGAGAACAAAGCCTTCGATTATTTAGAGTAACGGCTAACGGGTAACCCGTGAACCGGATCAGCATCACTATAAAACTTACCGAGCTCTACAATGGTCACAGTTATTTTCCCTGTTCTTTATTTTTAAGTTATAAAGCGGCAGAGAGCGCAATATTTATTCGTGAAATCTCCCCGCATGTGGGACCACACCGAATATGAGAAAACAAAGATGGTAGGAGGTGTGAAGTAGCAGACTTTATTTGTAGATACTTCACCGTTCATGGAACAGAAGAGCTGAGACACAATGAAAACCTGTACCGTAGACGAACTGAACATGGCAATATAAGCAGATGCATAGTGAATCGGCTGCAGTATCAAGGGTTAAAAAAGAAATGGTGAAGACAATAAGAATAAAAAAAAGAGACTTCGTAGCCCAATTCCCAGGTTAAAAAAGGAAACATATTATTCATCGCTTGGAATAGTACAAGTGAATAGAAACAAACAATACTAACTCATCTTCTTGGATGTTACAGAACGACCGAGAGAACAAAAGAAAATTGAGAAAAGAACGTGGTAAATTTTATTTACTGAATCCGACTCAAAATTCGACCAATTGGCCATCCTACAACGCCAAAATCGCAATACCAAGAGCGAAGAGAGCAATAGCGGAGAGAAGGAGAGGTTGGACACCGCTGGCGGAATTGGCAAGAGCGGTGGGCATCGCTATGGTATGAGTACCATTGCCGGTAGCGGTAGCATTGATGGATGTTGGAATAGTACTAGTGACCATGGTTCCCGGGTTAGCACGATCAATGGGACCAACGATTGTACCGTTGCTGGAGGCCTGGCTAGTAGGGGCTGACATGATGGAAGAAGCAGTCTCGGTAGCAGCACTCGAGGTGTAAGTGAAGACTGCATATTCAAGTTAGTTATCGTGCATGAATATTGTCAGAAAAGAAGCGAGTCATACCTGGAAGAGAAACAAGTTCAGTTGGCAGGGCAATGTCCTCGATGTCTTCCATGTCTTCGATGTTGTCAAGATCATGATCATGATCATGCTCCGGTACCACATTCCCAGTGGAGGTTGGCAGCATCATAGCAGGAGGTTGAGTAGTGGTGGCACCGATGGCAGTGACCATAGTCATCAACACACTAGCAAGCCCTTCGGTCATCTGTGGAAGCGTAGTGTCGGTGATGATCTTCATGCCCTCGGGGGGCGTGAACATGTTGGAAACTTCGGAGGGAACATCAGGAAGCATGAATTCAGCATCGTCAAACTCGCCGCCACTGTTTGAACACTGTATCAGAGAAAGCTGGGAAGAATATCAAGAGAAACAAACTAGCGGGAACAGAAAAGAAAATACCTCTGGGGAGCGGAAATGGCAGGAACAGCGGCCATGAGTAGGGCAGCGAGGCCAACAGTGAGGGTGGAAAATTGCATTTTGATTAAGGAGTGAGAGCGCTTGGAATTTACTTCTGACGGAGATATAGAAAAATGAGAGTGGATGTTTGTCGTAATGAAGTGATTTTTTGTTCGACAGGAGTGTTTGTTTGTGTGGAAGTGAAAGTGGAGAGGGAGGCTTTCTGTGGGGCTTTTTCTAGAGGACTGCTTTATGAGTGGAAAAGGGTTTCCCTATAGCCAGCGTGTAATAGGGTAAGGACAGCGGGCAGTCAATCCGGCCAAGGCCCAGCCGGCGTACATTCCAAGACAACTACTACTGCATGTCCTTTTTTCTTCGGCGAGACTTCCTTCCTTAGCAGTGGTGGATGTTTTCTCTCTTACCCATAACCTTTCAACTCATAGATTGCTCGTATCTCTCTGTTTCTCACGAAGTATCTGTTGAATATAGAAGACATTCGGCCTCCTCCTGGCGGGCTCTTTTCACCCAGCACTTATGAGCTAAGACCCCACCTCCGCCTGCATACATGTACCTGCTAGAGCCTTGGGCATAATTCAGTGATATAGTTCAATTAGACTCTAGCATAACTTGTAGAGCTTATATGTATATGACTTTGGTCAAGGCACAGAACCAATCCACAATTAATTAATCCTAAACGATGATATCACTTCGCACTTGACAGTTCTCCTCAACTGGCCTCTGTCATTCTCCATGAACCTGGCGAAGAGGAAATTGCCGGGAGCAGAATAAATAGCTGCAGAACCTTACTGCCAATGACCGCAAATGAAAATAACCTCATGCGGGGAGCTTCAAGTAGAAAAGGTGAAAAATGTCGAAAGAAAAGTCTGCGTCAACCTGACACGGAGGTCTGTTCCTCTGTTGCACGCCCTGACGTTAGTTGTGGCTTGGCATCGATAATCTTATCTTTATTGACTAATAGGGTTAGGTTTTCTATAAGGAGCGGAAACGGGGAGAATAAAGTCTCTTTGCCAACGACCGCAAGAGGTGTTAATACATGTAGTAAATTAAAACACCCAAGACCGCCCTACATGCATTAGGGGGACCTTGGACTGCATGGTATGAGGAATACTCGTAAAGAATAATTCTAAGGATTGGTATTCTAAGTATTTGACAGTATATTCTGTAGCGGAAGTTGATGGGGACGACCGGGTATAATCGCAGTGCTGGGTAGGGTAGGCAGTATGTTAGGACTTAACAGAATGGGTGAATTCAGGACTTGAATTACCTTCGTTGATCACCCACTTGAGATACCGGCAATCCTTCAATTGCTGATTCAAAAAGTGATATATGATATGCATCCTGCATGCACCAGAGTCTTCGGTATTTTAATTTGCATGTAGTGTTAACAACTCTCACGGTCGTTGGCAAAAAAGACTCAAAAGTACTTCATGTACAGCCACTCTGCAAAAGTGTTCGTGATCCCGATTTCGGAGTGAGACATTTCTCCATAGGTAACCGTGGCGGACCACCAAAAACCCCCAAGAGAAGACTTTCCCAGTGATCAATAGCGCCCAGAATCAATGAACAATAAGATCAATTACCTATCTTCTTTCATATATAGTCACAAACTATATTATTATTGTTCGTTGTTTTAAATCTCAACACTAATAATATCAACCTTACGGGTGCGCCACACTACGAACTGACATTAAAACTAAATCACGAACACTTTTGCTGAATGGCTGTACATCCTGCTGGAAATGCTGTTCATTAATAAAATGACTCATCACCAGCTGGCCACATTGCTTTTCGCGGAAAGCCACTTTCGTTATTAGATAATCTTTTATTTCTTTATTTCTTTTGGAAGATTGTTTATTTTACTTGAGGCTTTCAGTATTACCCTCGTTGGAACGTTATCTGATTCGCTATATATGGTTTTAGACTGCGTAATAAATTTAGGTACTATAAATAGGAGGCCATGTACAATAGATAAATAGATCATAGACTTCCAATTTGCAAGCCGTGTGACATTGGAATATCCCACCCCAATTGACACATGCTTGCAATTGGTCCGTGTTGCCCTGGGACTGTCCGTTTCAGGCTGCGCATAGGTAAATGAAATATGGAGAAGAAATATAGACAGTCCATTAACACGATAACATTGTAAAAAGATTTATAATACATCTAGAAGAGCCCATTTCAATCGGTCATCATTCGATCCCTTTCAACATCTCACGTATCTTCTGCCGCCGCTCCTCTCCCATATCACCCGAGCTAAGCTTCTTCAAAACTTCCTTCGGTCCCCACGACATGTGCTCCTCCCAATCGCTAAGGTATATTGGCTCCCATATAATCGGTTTTTCTATTGGCGGCAACTTCTTCGGCACTATGTTTTTAAACCTGCCCCATGGATACTTCCTTATCTCCCTTTCCGACCGCGGCGGAGGTCTAAGATACTCGGGCATCTTTTGGCTCAATAGAACAACCAGCTTATCATAGGTCTCATGCGTCGACCTTGGCAACTCCCATTTGCCTTTTTCCCGATGCATGCACTGCTCGTACTCGCTTATCGCCGGAAACAGTCCCATATTCATCTCCTTTGTGCGCTGGTTCTCCGGGGTCTGCATTGTCCTCAGAGCGTCGTTGAGGAGCTTTGTTGTGCGCGCGACGCTCCGTGTTTGCTTCATATATTCATGGTGGGTGATATTCGGCCTTGTCGGAACACGCACCCACCATGGGAGGGAGGCGCGGTCAATGTCGAGCTTCTCAGTCCAGGCGAAGTAAGGAGAGATTTCGTTGCTTTGGAGGTAACGGCTGTTTTCATCGAAAGGGGGAGGGTCAGCAAGAGTACGGCCTTTGCCTCTGTCTTTCGGTACGTCTTTGCCTTGGCTTGTGTCGGGGACAAACGCCTTCCCCGAGATAATTCGGGATCTGGCCTCTTTTACTCTGGCTTCCTGGAGAGCGGCCTCTGCTCTGAGCCTTCTTTTCGACGGTCTTTTGTAGGGTGTTAGTGCCGACTTGCTTGGGGTAGCTACTACTGTTCTAGTCGTCATTTCGTCGAATTCCTGGATGCCAGTCTCGGTTTCGGGGGTTTCTGACAGCCGTGAAGAGGACCTACGGGGGATAGAGGTAAGTCTTTGCCTTATACGCTTTACGCGCCGATCAAATATCTAGGATTGGAATTTCATGTCTATTTTAGAACAAAGGATTTATTCTGCGAACAAAGAAACCCGTAAAGGGGCCCATTGTTCTAGAGACCTTCAATTACCGTAACCGGCGATATTAACCACAACAGCTTCACTTACCTTTCACTCTCACAACCGCGATACCTTTGAGAAATCGAACCATCTCCATCTGCAGGGTGGCTGCACTCCATCTTTACGGTAGCTGGGCACACGTCGTCTGACCGTACTCGCTGCTTTGTAGATGAGGAATAGAGCTCCGCCAAAATTCATGATTTGCCTTGGTGCTAGTTTCTAGCTACTGTTACCGATGAGGGGACTTATGTACCTTCTTCATGCTGAAGGACTGTATTTCTATATAGAACCTCTCATCCTCTAGATTCAACTAGACGCCGCGAATAATTGCTATCATACAGAGGGAGCAGAAGGCTTTGAAGTAGGTGTTAGATGGAGGATCGAGTGTGCTGTGCTCTGATGTTGACTTGTCACAGGTGTGGTGGAACTTTCTGCGGCGCTCGCTTTGTGTCTTTCTTTCTTTGTGGTGACGGTCGGAGTTGTTGCCAAGACTTGCGATATACCTTTACACGCGATATCACTGGCTGCAGCGGGGTCCACTCGCAGAAGAACAGAGAAATGCGAGGCCAGAGAAATCCGATACAGTTCGAAGCTAGCAGAGCCACACGACGTCCACAGATCTGTCCAGCAAGGGGTAGAACCTGACAATTATAACAGACGGAGGCACCTCGAATCAAGAAAGAAGGGATAGCAGAATATTATCCTGGGCTTCGATTTCGCTAGTAGAATTCGCCGACGCGGTTTCAATTTCGTTTTCGGGCTTGATGTGCGAGGTCTGTTGTTGTTATGGGGGTCGTTCATGAACGATCTCTCGTAATCTCGCTTGTATTCAAGTCGGCACACGTGTTGATAGAAGTCACTAGTGGAAGTGGTATGTAATTTTAGTCTTGAAGATCGTCCAGAATTGAATGAAAGAAGGGATATTTTTGTTACTACATGTACTTGTATCCTTCGTATGCCATCTGTAATAGTATGATCCCTGTAGGACGTGTATCATGGTTTGCATGTGATTTTTAACTGAAGCTCGAAGTGTTCTGCTGCCTGGGGTTGACTGGTGCAACCTTTCGCCATTACTTATTACCGGCAAGCCCCGCAGAGCCTCAAAGAACAGTAACAACACGCCTTGGCAAAGCACCGCGCTAACGATATTCAGTTTTGTAAATAATCCTTGCCAAGGCTATGCGTTCGTCCCACAACAACCGAGAACTTATGATGCTGATAAAATATTTTTTTGTTTTGTTTATTTTGTGGAGTTGAGTAAGAATTAAATACTTCATGTGTAGGAGCCTCCAGCTGGGGTCTTTTGAGCTAATGTGTCCTGGTGCCTGTGTTCCCGGGGGTGTTCCGCAGGAATGCCAAGATACTAGTGTCTTATTCCATGAGCCCACAAGTTTACCCCGCATAAGAGTCAGGGCAAGAAAATTTGATATCGAGAAACGACGAAAGCACTTTTGATCCGCTCAGTATTCAATCATCTAACCATCTAATCATTCTGCATGACACCACCTCTCCTTTCGCGTATGCGTAGCGATATTTCTTTGCCGACAAGTTGTCCTCAGAGGTAGATGGAAGCATCTCGCATGATCCTTCAATTGGTCAGTATAACATGTAAGATGTGAAAGATGTCCCAATTCTACACCTTAAGCAAGTTTCTCCATCGAAGAGGTCGGGGGTGGACCACTTGGTTCGATTTTCCCAACCTCAGCCAGCCAACCCCAACATTGGGTAACGTAGAGAGAGAGACTACTGCGCTCTATGGAAATTGGTAAAATTTAAAACTGATGGACAGACGTGATTCTGTGTGAGAGAGGATTCAAAGGTTGACGTAGAAACTACAAGTATCATCTAATGTCCTGCACAGTTTACGGGAGTGCGGCGTACTTCCTAGGTTCCTGATTTGTTAGATACGTATTGCAAATGGGGGTTATTGAAGCCACAGTGATCTTTCAATTTGAGGGGAACCGTAGGCTCATATCTAAGTACACATTTTTCAAACCGATAGATGAAAACTACATGTACACAATGAGACAATTGTCGAAGTGAAGATTCATCAAACTTGATCTTACGCTGTGGTACCGGGGCCCGATTTCCTGCGGAAACGACAAAAAAGACACTAAGCCAAGCTGGGCGGGCCCTTCTTCATAGTATTTTTTTAGCGGAACACGTGACGTACTCGGCAGCCTTCAAGGGGGCCCATTCTGGGTGCACAGCTGTATAAGCCATCAAACTAACATGAACACATCTATTCCGCTTCACTGTCTATATTGATCTCTCAATCGTGCTTCGCTGCTCTCAAGGTACAAATAATTACTTTTTCTTATTCCACTTCAACTCAAGGGAACTCCTGAGCCCAGCCAGTATCGAATTTATGTTTCACAAAAATCCTCCTCATCCTCCTTCAGAGGTCAAAAACCTAGCCAGCAAAGATGTTGAAAGGATTATGATAACTGCAAAGAGTTCTCTGCGAGCGACTGGTGCAAATAACGTGGAGAGCCTATCGAGGCACCGAGATCTGGGCAACGGTGAGCAAAGTTGACTTGACTCGCGAAAAATTGGGATGCCTACTAAAGAGGTCACTCTAGATGAGAATCCTCACCGGTTCTCCAAACAGCAACACATGGGACAACCCAAATTACCCAACTACCAAAGTCCAGAGGTTCTCAGGCAACGTCACAAGAACCTTGCCAGTAAGCTCAGAGTTGTACAGGGCCCGATTGGACTTCAAAACGCACATCGAATCTTGTCAACTCCAATTCAGCAGTCTCAGCTCCGTCAGAGTGTTACCTACGACGAGCCTACCACCCCCCCAAATAAAAACCTCGAAGTACATATTCCTGGTAGTGACAGTACCATTGAGCAAGAGTCCCTGGATTCAGAAAGCCCTCCTCCACCCAAAGCTTCAGAACGTCCTCTTATACACGTTACCCGTGATGAGTGGGAGGCTGCTCTATCTCTCATCCTACTTCACCGTAAGTTCACGTAACACTTCAGGCCTTCAGAAAGTGGTACTGAAGACTAATAATACTCGTGTGTTTTAATACTGCTAGAGCATACTACCTACGCAGATGAAAATAATATTCCACGAGAGGTCCTTCGCACCACATACGTCAGCAGGTTCGGAAACACTTGCTCAGAGGATCAATTATCAGAAGCAGCAGCGAAAGCCATTGCAACAATCCCTCCAGGATTCGACAGCGAAGATCTGCGCTGGCTTATCTGGGCGGTGAAGCAAATGGGAACCGTGGTAAATGCTGATCATTTCCGGTTGCTGGCACGTGACTTCAGTATTCGTTACCCAAACAAGCAGGTGACCGCAGAGCAGCTGTACTACAAGTGGGCCACATGGCATGAGGAGATGAGTCGGGCTGATGGGCCTTTGATAAGAGACGAAAGGGTGGCTGGGTAGCTCAAAAAGGTTGAGATTGATTAATGAAGGAATGCGTGAGTGATATTCCGTATCTGAGTGGTCAGGGTTGGACTTTCACCAGCCATATGGCTAGCGTTATCTCAAACTGTTCATAAATGATTTTTCTTTTCTTGTACACAAGCTTCTCTTAACACCTAGTCCTCCGGATGTACAAACTGTCTATACGTTTTAAAGAATGAAGAGGGAATCCAAGATTTTCTTTTGGCCTATGTTTATTGAGTTCATACATGCTCCCACAAGCTTTGCGGCGGAGAGCTTCCGCTTTTGCCCCCGATGGGGGAAGATCAATTGTGTTCTCCAAGGAGTATCTTTGCGTTATCACATGTGCTGGAAAATATTTGCTGGACCTGCATGCTGCAGAGTGAGACTGCAGAGTGAGACAAATTGTTTCTACTTACACAAGGGGTGCACAGAATGCCCGCACGTATGTACTGACTAGCTTATATCCATTGCTCTAGTTGATGATGATTGGGTGAAACTTCGTTTCAAGTGCTCTGAGTCACGAATACAGAGCAATGATACCTCAAAGTATTTCATGCTATCAAAGAAGAGTCACTGATTAAATCCCTTGTAGACAGAACTGGCACCAGTGACTAGACTTATATAAAATTTGGTCTACAGTTCGGGGCGAAACATTTACAGGAAGGTTCTGAGCAAACTCGGAAAATTTGGAAAGTTTCACTTGTTGCACGAGTTTAAATATCAGCCAATCAATTTTTTACAACAACGTACTTGTCCATTCTAAGTTGCTCAGGTCTGTGGAAATGTTGACTGATTTAAATTACCCGGCGCTTACCACCCCCGACCTCTTCATCTCACTCTAGATATTCAAGACAGAAAACTACTACACACCTAAGTTATTCCTTCACAGTGAGATTTTGTTTTCGTCAAGGAAGGCTTTATCAACGTACAAGAGATACACTTTTGGTTTTGTATTTTTCGTGTCAAAGTGTGAGTGCAGAACCCAGCATGCTTCTTCCGAGCTACTTGGTCTGGGAATAAACTAATGCGTAGGTTTGAACATTCAGATTGAGCGAAAAAAAAAAAAAAATCTTTTTCAGCGTATTGCAGAAGTAGTTTCTAGAGAGAAAATCTTACGAATCGAAAGCAACACGCTGCCTGCAAGCACTGTAAAACACTGTACTGAGCTGCCTCAACAGATTTCAAATGTTAGTCACTCATGTGAGCAGGAAGTTTACTCCTAGAGAGTTAACGGCTTTGTGAACAGTTTCCAACCTCATGTCTCCACTTTTCTCTAAACAACCTCCCGCTACAATGGGCCCGCCCGCGAAGCCAAAGCAGCCAAAGTGGACCCTCGACGTTTCGGTCAAAGTCGTCTGTCCCTACTGCCGCGAAGACCCTCCAAATCTCATCGAGGAGTATTCTTGCGGCGATACAATCTGCGGATCATGTGGCCTTGTCATGGCTGATCACATGATCGACGAACGCGCTGAATGGCGCACTTTCAGCAACGACGACTCCAGCAAAGCAGATCCAAACAGAGTCGGCGCAGTCCACAGTGCCTTTGAAAGTGGTCCTGGATTCGATACCAGCATTGCCGATATGAAGGGTGACAGATACGCTCAGGTAATGAAAAGGACCCATAAAAAAATCAGTAGTTCCACTGAGAGCAGGTTCCTCGCTAGGGCCTACGCCGAAATCGAGATCTACTGTGGGAAGAATGGGATTCAGGACGATGTGAGGGATGTGGCAAAGCATATCTACAAGAGTGTCGATGAGGGGATGAAGTTGAACAATAGGTCCGCTGTGCATGAGGCAGTGGTTGCGAGTTGTATTTTGATCGCTTGTCGTCAGTGCAAGGTTGACAGAACGTTCCGCGAGATATTCCTTTTAACCAATGTGCCCAAGAAGGAGATTGGTCGTACCTTTAAGCGCATCGAACACTACCTCCTTAAGTCCAGTGGGGCCGTCCCGCCAGACGACGACAGTACCGCAGTGTCGTGTGCTCCTATGAATCAGTACATTTCTACATCCCACACTGAGGCTAGTAAAATCATGGTACGGTTCTGCAACCTATTAGGTTACGATATAAAGTTTACAGTAGCGGCGGAGGAGCTGGTCAAGAAAATGGCTGAGGACAGCACCTTCTGTGCGAGAAGCCCGCTCAGCATTGCGGGGGGCGCGATTTACACAATTGCGAGGGTTTTGAATATGAAGGTCGAACAAGCAACAATTGCGAGGTGTCTTGGTGTCTCTGTCCCAACTATCGCCTCCATGTTTAAGCGTATCAATGCTCATAAACATGAATTCTTTGATCCGGAGTATCTGAGAAAGATTGGAGGAAGCCTGGACTGTTTCCCTTACCTAGAGGTGGAGCCGGTCCCGACAAACGAAGAGACTACCGTAGTACCGCTCGCTCCAGTTAAACAGTACATTCCTACAACCCACACCAATACTGCAAAAAATATGATACGCTTCTGCAATATGCTAGGCTACGATACGAAGTTCACAGGAGCGGCGGAGGAGTTGGTCAAGAAAATGATTATGGACAGCACCTTCAGTGGAAGAAACCCACTCAGCATTGTGGGGAGTGCGATTTACGCAATTGCAAAGGTTATGGATATGAATGTCGAGGTAGCAAGAATTGCGCATTGTGTTGGAATCTCTAGCGCAACTATCACAAACGTCTTCAAGGGTATCAATGTTCGTAAACATGAATACTTTGATCCGGCCTATCTGAAAAAGATTGGAGGAAGCCTGGACGGCTTCCCTTACATGGAGGGGGAGGCGTATAGGTTTCCTGTGAGTTGAGGGGCATGGAGGGAGAAGGAAGATATCGAACGCAAGTAGTGGGTTTCGCTTGTAAGTGTCCCAACCAGAGCGACTATTTCGTCTGGTGCAAAGTGCCCCATTTGTTTTTTGTTCTTTCAACTACTATGCGACGGCATGACTAACGAGTGCTTTCCTTACGCGCCGTAGGAAAGAACCATAAAAAACCGTACGAGTAAGATTCTGCGCTCTCCAAATATTACGAAAATAAAGTTCTGAATGGGTGGGAATTGGGAGAAATGAATTAAGGAAACAAAGGAGCGAAGGAGATGGTGTAACTACCAACTGTTCTTAATATCCCTTGTAAAGAGTAGCAGAAAAACAAACTCATCTCACGAATGTTACTTTTGTTCAGGTAACTTGGAAAACGGTGTGTTTTTGAACTTCTTCCCTAGAATCGACTGATTTCACACTGAGCTGCCTTCCGCACGTCACACTTCGGATGACATTAATTTAAACAACAATGTAGACTAAGATAATAAATATTTCATGTTCTAATGAAGGGAAAGAAAAAGAACAAGTGAGACTTTGTAAATCAGAACACTCAGCTGTTCAGTTTGGGCCATCGTCTTGCGCTGTAGTTCTTTTTCCTTTTTTCTTTCTTTCCGCATTATCACTTTCTTCAATACCGATCAAGAAGAACGACAGGTAAGAGCCAGAAGACTATTCAATCTACGTCTTTCTGGACTAAACGTCTTGATATCCTTCTCTTGCATCAAGAACGGGGGAGGACCTCGATGCTGCTGGGTTGGATATCCATGACGTATTTTCTTCAAATGAATAGATACAAAACATCCACCTTGAAGAAAGTACTACCACCTCAAACCTCCTCTCCTTAGAGAGACATGTATCCTTGGAAAAAAACCATGCTGCATTTGGCTACCACCCCCGAGTTTTTCTTGTAAATATTGGTGGGGTAAAAATCCCCCTCCGCTCCAAAGAGTGCAGATCCAGCGTCGAGCTCACCAGGCTTACTTTCAATAATCTCGTCCAAGATTCGGTCCCGCGTAGGGCCTATTTGGATGAAGTCGGTAGGAAAGGACATTTTGCTTTCTCAACCAATATTATAAATTTTATAGCATAGCGAGAGAATGTTAGAGAAAGGAGGGAGTACCTGAGTGCAAAGCTTCCGTTTCTTTTCAAGCTCATCATAGAACCTGCCACCGCTGCCAACATCTGCTCTGGTATCAATAGACCTCCGCCGAGGACTAAGGAACCCGATTAGGGGGAGGGGGAGCAGGGCGGGAGTGTCTTTAAGAAGGTAAGTCTGAGATCCATCTCAAATGAAAAATGATTCGATTTATTCTTGTGGTTTAGTGTTGTAGGAGGCTTGCTCATTGCAGGAACACCATCATGAACGATCACTCGAATCCCCTTCTCTGCAACTCGCCGAAAGTTCAACACCCAAAGACCAAGCCCACTGAGATAGCCAATACCCAGAACACACACCTTGGGGGACAACACAGCACTCCTACCCATCTTCATGAATGACAATTCCCTCCCTTGACCCAACTCCCCCACTCTTCTTGATCCCCATGTCACAGCTTGATTACAATCATATCTAACGCTCTTTTATAACAATTACACCCCCACGCTCACTACACCCCCTCCCTCCTTTTTCAGCAATGCGAAACCTCACCGCAGACTGCGCAAAGGTGATCCTCACCCAGCTCACCAACACCAGCTTCGTCGAAGCCTGCGAGATTGCGCTCGACACCCACGCCGACGCCCACTCGCACTCTGAGTCCAATATAAACGACCACCATGGGCATGGGCATGGGCATGATATGATGGAGCATATAGAGCACTATACGCCCAGTATATCGATGAACGTCACCTTGTTTGTGATTGCGTTGCTGTCGTTTCTGTCTTCGTTGGTTATTGTTTTGAGTTGCAAGGTGGGTTGTTGTGCTAGCTGCCTTTGTTAGCGGTGAGGAGTGAGGGGTGAGGTTGCTGACGCGGGTGCTTCCATGTAGTTCATGAGATCTCTGAGGTACTATAGGCACAAGGTCCTACCAGGTATGTCTTTGTTTAGTTCTACCAGACATTGACAAAGTGCTCATGTAAACTCCGAAACAGGCCTGGCAACCAGCGACATGCTCCTAAGTCTCAACTTCCTCTTCAGCACCGCATTCCAGATGAGCGGCCGAGTCATCAACCAGGAACACTACCCCAAGCTCTGCTCCACAAGCGGGTTCTTGACACAGCTGTTTGTTGTCCAAAGTAATTGACCTCCTCCCTACTTTTTTTTTCCTGGCATTATAAGCTAATACCTATACTTCCGGTGAATTGCAGCCGATTACTGGGCCCTAACCATTGCAATTAACACATGGATCATGGTCGGCTGGGGCGGGAAATATGCCAAGTTCATCCGTGACAGCGTGGGCGTGATATGGGCAATCCCCTGGCTGCTTTCCATCACCTGTGCTTCCGTCTCTCTGGCACTTGTGGGATACGGTGATGTTGGCGCCTGTATGTTTCAACTCCTCTACTTAATAAATCCTACCACTTCTTAGTCGACACATATATATACTAACACCCATATAGGGTGCTGGTTCCAAAACGACGGAATGTCTCTCTTTATCAACTACATCCCCCGTTGGACTATCGTCTTTGTCATCATGACAATCTACATCTCTCTCTTCCGATACATCACCAAGTCCTCCGACTTTGACACCGACGATATGGAGTTCCATCGCCGCATCAGGGCGAGGGACGATACGATGGTGCGCGGCGGGGGAGAGAGCTTTGCGGAGGCGCCGGTCAATTATCAGGCTACGGAGAAGGATTTACGTGCTGTGCGTTTCTTTTGCCTTTTTTTTTTTTTTTCTTTTTAGCAATGTTTATCCCGGCGATTGAAAGGGTACTGACGCGAGAAAATAGGCCTCTTTCAGGATGATGAAGTATCCGTTGGCGTGGGCTATGATTTGGATTATACCTACCTGCGTGCATGTCTACCATGCTTCTGGCGAACAATGGGGAACTCCTCAGTGGTTGACTATTCTGGAGAAGGTGAATTCTACATTATATACCAACCTTCAATCCTATCTATTAATTTATTAACCACCCCGGTGTTGTCCAGGCCTGTGTTGCATCCCAAGGACTCATCCACTGCATCGTCTTCAGTATGTACATCCACCCCCGATCTTTAGTTTATATTACTTATACTATACTAGGCTTTACCGAAGATGTCTGGGAGCATGTAGGCGACAACTGGATCTCCATGGGCGGCGTGACCGAGATGGCCTGGAACCGCGAGGTCGACGAGGCCGAAATGTACCGCCATCGCTCTCCGGAAACTGTGGAGCTCCCTCCGATGGCTGGGGGAATGTTCTGAAGGGCAACGGGGGGGATTTGTACAGGTTTTTACTATAGGTCGTCTCAAAGTTTTTGATTTTGTACAGAGTCGGTTCTCCCCCGCCATAATAGTGGTCATGTTCATAATCGTAATCAAAGTCTTTGGAACTTGGGCTGCGGTGAATTGCCTTCCTTGCAAAATGTCAGATACTCTCTCCCACCCCGCTTCTTCCAACTTCTCTCTCTCTCTCAAAAAAAAAAAAAAAAATAAATAAAAAAGAACAGAAAAAAAAAGGGGTTTCTTGAAGGAATCAATCTATGGCCCTACAATACCCGATTAACGCGGCCGGACAGTGGAATTGACACAAGGAAGGTAATGTCACTACATGTACTACACGGGCGGGCAAACATACTTGACCTTAACCCCGTTCCTCCCAACATTTATCAAAGGTCAATGATACAACAGTTAAAAAGACCCTAGGTTTATCTCGGAGGCGGTTGGGTTTTGCGGTACAAATATAGAATTTGTGATGATCTGTGCAGCTACATGTGCTCGCTGTAAAAAAATCACCACCCGCTATCGAGACGAATACTTTGACTTTATAGTTATATCTACATACTTTGAAGCCTTAGACATGATGAGAGACGCCCTAAATACGTCTAGGGTGCGCATAGCTGTTGATCAATTTCGTTGTTGCGCTAAGTGAGTGATACCGCGTGACGCACTTCCGGCGCCCTGCAACACGTGCGCCCTCGTAGGCTTCAATACCATGGCGAGCTCAAAACTCCCCAAACCAAACCAAACCACCATCACCCGTACGTTCCCCAGCACTGGAGCCATAGACCCCCCCCCCAAAAAAAAAAAAAAAAAAGAAAAAAGAAAAGAAAAAAAAGGTCCCGACCCTCGCTCGCTTGACGACTAGAACAATCCCGATTCCAACCTAGCTAGCGAGCGCATGAGGCAACAACCGATCGGGTACACATCCCGATTGCGCAGCAGAAGCAGCAAGTATAAGCGCACGGTGTGGTGTGGGGCCGTCCATCCATTCATCCATGCAGCGCAACCAACCGGCCCACATCGCCGGAATGATGGAGTGTGTGAGCCGATACGGCGTACAGCCTCGCGCCGTTGGGGAACGTGTGCAGTGTCGCAAATGGTGGGTGGTAATATTTGCCTAGCAGATATCATTGGTGGAGGGGACGGTTTGTGATGGGTAGTTTGGGGGCTGTGAGTTTGTCTGTTGTTGGAGGATAGTTACGGTGTGCGGTGGGAGGAACGGTCATATATCAAGATTTCTTTCTCACCTTGGGACTATTAGTTGGTTACTATGTATGGCCTAGATGTGAGAAGGGAATTCTGACCTGCTAGTGACTCACTCGGCTCGCGAGGGTGTGGTTTGCCCAGCTCGGCAGTCTGCTCATTCCGATGTGTCGAGCGCACCCGATGCCGATCGGCCTGTGAATCTGAGAATGTGGTTGATATACGCTGTATGGGTGTCGAGTAAAGAAAGCTGTTGGCATTGTGTGGTGTGCGGTGCGGTCAGAGTGCAGTGCGTGAGAGCGTGTTCCGGTACGGCGTGCCAGGCGAATACGCATCGCCAAACAACACGCTCGATTCCCCCAGATGGTGAAAACCGATTTTCTGTTGCGGATCCTCGATTCGCACGGCGTCTTGCAGCACAGAAGCAGGTTACATGAAGGAAGAATGCATTCCGCTTGCTGCCCATTCCTCGCGGGTTGCTGGCCGGTAAGCGAAGGTCGCAGTCACGCCGTTCATGAGCCGGGCACGCGAACAGTCCGTGGTGCGCGGCGTGCAGCAACAGCAACGGACGGCGGGTCTTGGCCACGCGTGTATAAGAAGCGCAGGGAATCCCCTCGCTGGCCCGCGCTGTCCAGGAAACAACCAACATCGCAGTTCGCCTCCCTCCCTCCTAGCCCGGATCTCCGTCTGTCTCCGGCCAACAGCTCATATCATATATAAGAGAGAGAGAAATATCAACCACCTCCCCCCCCCCCCCCCAGATCCCAAAATGTCAACCACCACAGCAGACCCGCCCGAATGCTTCACCGACGAAACCCTCCACCTCTGGCGCCAGTACCCCGAGCTCAACGGCCGCTCGCGCCAGCGCCCCTCTCCCGAGAAGCTCACCTTCATCAGCGAGGTTCTGCGCGGCGTCTACCTCGGCGACGCCACCTCCTGCAACAAGTCGCACGTGCGCTCGCGCTACCGCATCGCCAACGAGACGCTCCAGTACATCCCGGAGGACGGGCGGCCGCCGCGCACCGTCATCAACGACGACGAGGCGTACGGCCTCATTGTCGAGTCGCACCTCAAGTACGGCCATGCGGGCCGCGAAAAGGTCTTCCACTACCTCAAGGACAAGTTCTACCACGTCACGCGCGAGGAGGTCGGCTGGGTGCTGAAGCAGTGCGCAAAGTGTAAGGCGCGCTGTAAGAGTGCGGAGGCGCCGTACGAGAACTCGCCGGACCCGGCCGGCGATGAGGATCCGGCGATGGCGGGGATGGATGGGGCGGCGGCGGAGGAGGAGGAGAATTACCTCCCCGGCGCCTACACGAAGAAGTTCAATGCGCTCCGGGCGGAGAGCAAGCTGGACGAGTCGGAGTGGATGAACCTGTGTCTGTGTGTGGCGAGAGATGTGAGAGGTCCGACGGGCCTTGACGTCATGCTCGAGAACGAGGATAAGGGGAAGGCTTGGGACGAGCATTTCAGCCCGCTTTGCGACATCTACGCAGAGAGACATTGGGGCACGAAGACGAAGGGCCGGTGGTGGGCTGGGGACCGTGCGGGGGACCATATATTGTAATAATTATCACTACACTCCGGAAGCTAAATGCGCATCTGCTGACACTCCGGCGTTTAGGATCAAGGATTTTCTCCGCCGGCTGTTCATGAACTTCTTCCAGAAAGAGCGCGTCCATCGGGCAAGGATTGCACGCAAGGCAAGAGACCGTCCCAATCACGGCGGGAATCATGTCTAACCTGTGTCTGTAAAACTATAGGCGGCAAAGGGAAAAAGGTCTGATGCCCCTTCCAGCGGCCCTGGTGGTGCTGGCGGTGGCCCCAGCGGCGGTACAACCTGGATGCGCTCCCACCCGCCAATCAAGATCCCCGCGACCCAGCAGTCCCACACAGACCAAGACAACAGCAGCCCCTGTGCGCAGAAGGGCCTCTCCAAAAAACGCCAGCGTGAAATGGACCCAACCTCTCTGCACTACACCTCAGCGAACCAAGTCGACGGCGAGCCAAGCCACAAGAACCCACGACTAGAGCGCATCATGGTCTTACTATCAAACGCCGAAAAAGAGCAGGCCGACGAGCCCCCGCCAGACACCACCACACACACACACACCCGCAAGCGGAACACCGCAAGCACTATCCACCACCACAGCCCCGTCTCCCTCGAACCCACCCCCCACGCCGTCTTCCGCCTCGACCCCATCGGCGCCGTATTCCCACCCATCCCCCCGCCCAGCGCCACCACCACCGCCTCCGGCAGCACCAGCAACACCCCCACCACCCCGCAGATCTCCGACGACCTGCTCTTCATGACATACGTGCAGCGCGACGAGCGGCGCCACGAGATCCGCCTGATCCGCGGCGACTCGCTGACGCCGCTGCCGTTCACGGGCGTGCTAGAGAAGCTGCGCAAGAAGCACCGGTTGGGGGCGAGGCAGGTGATTACGGCGGTGGTGCTGGACTTTAAGGGCAAGAAGCTGTGCATTGAGGCCGAGGACGAGGATTGTCAGTGTGATTGGGAGACGTGGGTGAGGGTTGAGGGCCCCAATGCGAAGCAGGTGGAGATGGAGGTGAAGGTGGCGGAGATGGTGGGGTGAGGGTGGTCTGGTGGTGATGCGGGTGGGGAGAGGGTGTTTTTTTTCTTTTCTTTTCTTTTCTTTTCTTTGGGGTTATGCTTTCGGTTACGACGAGGTGGTGGGGCGTTGTGGGCACCGGCGTATAGGAATAAATTGCGATCCTCTAAAGTACGGTATGGAATGGGTTTGTGATTGATGCCTGCTGTAGTAATTAGTTTTGTAAGACTTACAGCTTAAATCAGAACCTGAGCATTACACCGTAGCAAGATGGCAAGACGTCTCACACTGTCTAGGCAGACGAGGTTTTCTTTTTCATAGAGTGATTCGCAAGTTCGTGGTGGCGGTTTATGGCGCCCTAGTCAGAAGAAGTAACAAAGGATAATGAAAATCTTACGGAACACTGGGGAGTGTGATAGAAGAGAAGTGGTCTTCCCTGTGATATAAATATTTCTTCTTCTTCCTGAGACCACCCAGAGAAATAAAAAACATAGAACACACCGATTTATCCGTCATTTTACTAGAGCGATCAGTTTCAATGGTGATGTGGTCATTCCTTTGCGTTCGTAAGGTGCCTTGTCGTATGATCAGTGCATGTAGCATCTGCTGCGTTCGTGGAAATGTCAGAGAAGGGCGTGGTGACGTCTCACGAGTACCATTTCCCCCCAACGACGCTCCTGAATGCGGGGCAGCAACCTATACACTAACTAAAGCAATGCGCGAGTACTATAGCCGAATGCAATCCTTAACTATATGACTGGAACCTCACGACCACAACTATCTATCATGCTTGGTGCTGAAACATCCACGCTGGCTAGGGGTCTTAACTATGCGTAGCAAAACGTTTGGGAGGTTTACCACAGTGTCACAATAACACCTATCGGTGAAATGATCCTGATGGCAAGAAACAGTTCGAGGTCGATCACTACAACCGGTAACTAAGGTATCTCAAGCTCATGATTTATCCACACAAGGTAATGATTGTGAATCACTGGAAGGAAGTATATCACTGACGATAGCGATAGACTCATGAAACAATTTAAAGAGAAATCTTTGTTTTATAATTAAATTTACAGAAAAAGAAAGACACACCCCCCAGATGCTCTGCCTACACGGCAGACACCACAGAATCTCTGCCTACACGGCAGGCGCCAGAAGGCTTGCCTACACGGCAGGCGCCAGAAGGCTTGCCTACACGGCAGGCGCCAGAAGGCTTGCCTACACGGCAGGCTCCAGGAAATCTCTGCCTACACGGCAGGAGCAAAAGAATCTGCCTACACGGCAGGCGCAAAAGAATCTGCCTACACGGCAGGCGCAAAAGAATCTGCCTACACGGCAGACGCCAGAACGTCTCCGAGCAGGAGCCAGGACACAGGATCCTTTTTCATACTTTAAAGGAACGAATTCCACCTGTACAAACAGAATTAGTATTAATGTTTCAATATTTCAAGGTTATGAGAAGAATAAGACTGACCAAATACCTCCAACACCTCACACCCAAGAGGGGCTTACTTATCCTCATCGTTCGCTGTAGAGTTAGAACTACTATAGGTACGAGAATATAAGGTCCTTTTCGCTGTCAGCCTTTGTTGGAGATGTTCATTGGTAGAGAAACACCTGCTTACCTTCCTATTATAGAACCTAGACCAGGAGGCCATGAGATGGCGGTGTGAAGTGCCACACCAAGAGGCCATGAGATGGCGGTGTGAAGCGCCACACCGAGAGTCACCGCCAAAGCCCAGACTCGGAGGCCATGAGATGGCGGTGCGAAGGTTCCCGCAGAGGGGCGACTGATATGCCCTCGTGAAGGTCAAGAGATGCACACAGACCACCGCAGTTAAGGGGCTTGCGCAGCTAGCTGTTTAAACGTCAGCCAAGGCACAAAAATGGAGCATTGGAGAGAAAGACATACTTTAGAGGTCCACCTCGCGCCTGGGTTTGTGGGAACGCGGGCAGAAAATATGCCCGGCCCGTCCCCAAGGTCCCTGGGATCTTGTGCTCTCCCAACAGAGAGCGAGAGACCACAGAGAGTCTGCGTGAGCAGGACTTCAGTCATGTGTTCTGGATAGCAGTCAATATGTGTCATGTTAAAGCTGAAGGCTAGGTAGAGAGGGGGAGAAATACCTTCCTGGACTTCTTCCAATGAAAAGAGGTCAAGAAAGCCGGAGGACCCTCGTGGAACGCTGAGCTTAAAGAGGACTCAGTCCCAGAGGGACCAGATACATTGCACTCTCAGAGGAGAGGCAATACACCACACGAGGGGAGGGAAGGGATGAGGAGGAGAGAGAGGAGAAGAGAGAGAGAAGGGTGAAACGGAAGAATGAGCCCTCGATGCTGAGTTTTGGGGGAAAGCGATATTCCCATCTCCTTGGGCTCTCGTGATAAATTAAGGCCCGGGAAGGGGCGAAAAAAACGAGAAGGAATCGGTACTCAGAAAAGAGGTGTCGATGTCTCTAGGATAAGAATGATGGATAAGGATGAATAATGGAGAAGAGAAAAAGAAGGAGAAGAGGAGGAAGAGAGGGATTTTATACTCTTAATTTCCAAGCCTACCTTGGAAGCCTACCATATGACCTTCAGGACAAGTATAGCATGATTTGACCGCCGAAGAGCAGGATTTGGCCGCTCCCAAGGGAGGGATTTGGCCGCCTATAGGAGTACCTTGCTAATGAGAAGGTTGGGGGGGGGAGGGTGGGCGGGTATGTAAGATACGGAGACTCTCCTCACATTGTGAAGGCTCGCATATTCACGGCGCCTGTGCTGACAGTGGGTTCAGGAGCTAGCCATCTCTGGGATTTTGTCCTCGAGGCGCACGAGAGAGAGGACCCTTGCTCGGTGCGTGCAGAGGAGCGCTGCGATTGCTAATTCTATAGCGATGAAAATCAAACGGATCGAAGCTCGATAGATATATACCTCTCAGGATTGTGATCTTTAGATTTGACGCTCGGTGAAGTAATTAATCTACGTATATCTGCATTTAATTCATTTCCTACAGGAGGCATTTTAGAACTGAGAAAATCCTCAGGTGAAGGATTTCTATTGATTACATAGTACGATCTCATATTTCGAATCACATTTAGTGGGAGAGAACCACTACGTAGTCATTGACACGCAATGTTATTGCGCATATCGAGGGTACAAGAGATGCCCAGGATATGCATCTGAGATTAAACCTTGTTTGAATATTAATTCATAGCAACGGGGACTGAAAAGGATTCAAGATCAAAGAAGAAAGACATGAATCATGATTTATCACTCGGAGAGCCAATGATGTGTTTTCCTGGTTTGGATTTGTACTGGGGAGCCTGCGGGATTTGATGTGCAACACGAACGAGGAAGATATGTGTTTTGTTTCTTTAAGCGAGCATAGTTCAAAACCGATATTCTATACAATATTCCGTAGTCGGAAGACCGGGGATGCAGGTATCCGCATTTCGGGAGTCGTATTTCCTATTCAACTTCAAAAGAGAGCTCACTCTATCGCTTATCAGAATAGTGCATGGATCTACGGGGTTCGAGCTCCGCGTCCATTCTTGGAAGCACTATCAATCAAGTGTCCAACACTCCCGGAGCCGCACTCACACATTCCGTGTCGATTTCAATGAGCTAGGAAGACCAAACGTGATGGTCGCGGCGATAGAGAGTCCCTACTCTATCTACTTTGTATTGAATCGCGGGACAAACAGCTTAAAGGAAGCATCCGGTCCTTAATAAGATATAGAACCCTCCTCACCTATTCGAATATGGAATTGTGATAAGCAGTGCTCTACAGTCTACTATCTTATGATAGACTGTGTGCTCATAGACATCATACCCTTTTCTTAGCTGCCTATTGACTGTGCGTAAAGCATGTCAATTAAGGGCAAAGGCGAGGAGTACTTTCGAAATGGGTCCGGCCCAAGGTTGGGGTTTATCATTGATCGATCAACACAATGAATTGAGAGTATAGTGCAATATATGCTAGGACCTTAACTAGCCATTACGCTGAGGTGATACATCTTGTTCGCTATAGGTAATCACACACTGCACCGAACTCTCAAAACACCACCGTGAACGGCTTCGCAGAACACAAAGTAAATTTGTATACCCAGGACTGTTCTTGAGTTCAGGATATTAAAATTTATGTACGGCAATCTAGTGTTCCTGCCTTGATTGAAATAGCACTCGCATAGTCCCATGTATATAATGCAGGCTTTATTGACCCCTTTCGCATTCCCGCATCATGGTTAATCACTCGCTTATGGCTGCCCGCTTCGGTTTGGCCTTGGAGTACACAGAGAGATTGACCTATACTACAAGAGATACGTGAGTTGAAAGGAGCACAAAGCCTGAAAAGAGTCTAGGAACAAGCGAAGTAGACGGCATTTTCCGATAACCGGGGACACATCGTTCGGATTTTTAAATAGTATGTCAAAGTCTGTATCGAAGAATTCAAAGAATAGGTATTGGAAGAGCGGTATTCTATAAAAAGAAGCCAAGTTTCGATTGGGGATCCTATATTTCTATAAAGCATGTAGGGGCACCAGTTCGCGCGTGAGAGAGGGTGAGTAGCGGGTAATCCTGAAGTAAGACGATAGCTTCTAGCTCTTTAGTATTCCAAAATCTCTGTGTCATAGCTGGCGTAAGATGTGCTACTCGTACACGTGGTTCTTTTCCTAGAATCTCTGTTTAATGGAAGGTGGGGCGTGGAAGTCTTGTTCGGGGCATTTCCGAGTGATATCTGGTGACTAAACACTGCCGGAAAGGAGTGCAGCGTGTTGAAGGAGGGGCGTGTACGTTGGTTGCATCAGAGACTTTCCATCCTGTCGTTGATGGAAGTGCCTGCGGGGCTCTCCGGCGGGTGATTGAAAGCTGGTCGAGCGGGGGTCCTGAGGCATTGCGACTAGAGTGTAGGACGTTGTCGGCGATTAATGTTGGTAAAGTGGCAATTGGGAAGTGGTCCCACTTTGCTGCTGTAACTGGTAGTCCCCCAACTCGTGCCAACCTTGGCAAAGCCTACTTCCCACCTTTAATCCCATACATCCACAAAGAGCTACCTACCCCCTTCCACAAACAAACATCTCTTTACATCGATCAGTAAACAAAACTTCATTCATCCAATCTCCATCGACTTTCACCAATCAATAGACAAATCTTGATTCGTCTAAGCTCCGTCGACTTCCATCACTTGTTTACACTCAACCATTCAACATCTCCAGTCTGATCACTTCTAAGTAAGCCTAACCACCCCCGATAACCTAATAATGCCACCTTGTCACCCTCTCTTGTACCTTCCCCTTCAACTAGCCGTTAGATCTTATGTAGCAGCACTTTCTGGGGTCTATCTAACATCCACCAGATTCTAGAATCATTTCCAAAATGACCTCCATGTCGTCCAAGCGTATCTCCAATGGTGCTATTATTGATTGCAGCCATCCGAGCAAGCGCTCGGCTTGTAAAAACATCCATCGAGAGACCGATGCCGCTAATGGCATTGCGTTGCCGTTCATCATGTTTCGCCAGCTCCCAGCCAAGCCGGCTGAGACTGTCGCGGAGTATGTTCTTCTTAAACATTGCATCTTCCATCAGCAGCTAACCGGTTTAATGCAGTGTCCCATCCATCTTCGCTTCCACTTCTCCTCCCCCGCCCTCCGAGCCGGCCAAGTTCGTTCCAAGCCCTGAGGCCCTCGAGTTTCTTTCCGCTCTATTCTTCAGGTCCTACGTTGCACCACGATTCAAGGTTCCATTTGGTGTCTACGACCCGGTTGATGCACCCTGTTCTACCTATGTTGAGCCTGAGGAGCAACTATCTCTCCTTGCTCACAAGCTACAAAGCTTTGACATTACTACAGTCCATGTTGAATGGACTGTCATTCAAGTCGAGACTCCAGCTCTTGGCGCTGCGCCATCAAAAAAGAAGCCGGATAGTCTTGATAAGCTGTCTGCTCAGCTGACAAAGAACAGTCTCGAGTCCCTCAGGAAGGAGCTCGCAAAGCCCAACGAAGCTCTTACAACTCGAGTGACAAAAAGAGTGTTCTCTAAACGTTCTCGTCCCCTTGTCCAACTCTCACCTCTTAACATTGCTTCATTGACTGCCATCCATGATGATAGTGCTACATCATCCCACCGGTCAGACGCATCTAGTGTGTTTAGTGATTCTGATGATGAGGACTCTCGCTCTGGCACAACTTACTGCTCTTCCGAGAAACAGCTACTCAAACATGTAAGTTGACGGAATTCATTCAAGATTTCGTGATTGGAATGCTTGTTGACTTCGTTTTTTTATCTTTTAAGTCATCCCTTGTATCTGAGTCAGTTGCATCTTCTACCGCGGATCCAACTGTTCGTGATACTAGATGCAAGAACGAGTCTGTGGAAACTCAAGTAGGCTTCTTATCTCCTCCTACCTTTAAATTGCAAACTGACAGGTGTCTCCTTCAAGGAAGAAAATACCTCTCTTAAGGACGATCAGTGTGGTAATCTCACGTGTAATAATACCTCTACTCGGAAGCCCTCCATCGGTGAGGCTCGGTCGGGTCAAGATGTTGTGTGTGAACAAGCTCCTTACCCTTTGCGTTTTCTCCTTTACTAACTGAGTAATATAGAAGCTCGATCTGAACGTCATACCGGAAAGGTATAATAATAGTATCCCTTCGGACCTCGCGCTTGACGAGGTTCTTCAATGTGTTCCAATCGACCACGACATGATTGCAGTATGTTCATCATTTAATTCACTCCTTTCTCCTTGAACATTGAAACTAATACAATAGTTTTCAAGGACCAGATAACACCACCTTGCCTACATAATAACGACGTGACTGAGGTCATGGAAACTACTTTGATGCAGCATGAAGATCTATCTGAGGCAGAGGTACCATACAGCGAGATTTTATCAGAGGCAGAATTATCTTTTTCAGCAGATATTACACAGGTAGAGATTGGAAGCATCTCTTGATCCTACAATTTCCTAAGACTAATATTAGCTTGCTTACCAGGACGACTCTCTGCTTGATGAAGAGAATCTGGTTCTTTCGCCGCCTGAAATAGCTATCGATCTTGTAAGCACACTAGTTTTCTCTCAAGTGACTTGAAGACGTTGTTCACTAATGTTCTTCCTCAGGTCCAAGAGCCTCGTGTGACGGATATTAGTTTCCCACAAGCATGTGACACCTTTCCCGGTGACACTTATCTGGCTGGGCCGTTCTTGAGTCCGGAAAACAACCATTCCTATACCGAGATTGCCTTTGCCCAAACTACCCCTATTTTCGATAGTGGCGAGCCGTCCACCCCTGTCTGTAAATTGTTTCCTGACTCCACTCCTGTGAGATGCGAGGTTGGCCTTTCTCTATTTGTTTTACCATGTTAACTGGGTGACCGTCTGATATTGACGCGTTTTTCAAATATTTAGCTTCCTACTTGGGCGGTTGACGCTGCGCCGGAATATGAAGACTCTGATGGATGTGACTGTGCAGAAGATTTTGATGAATGTGTCTCTGAGGATGACAGGGGCACTAACGATCAGCCTAAGCTGCGTTCTCCTGTCATGACTGATGGGCAAGAACCTGATGCTCCAAAAGTGATTGCGATTTCTCTTGAAGGTGGAGACAGTTCCACAGGCGTATCACTTGATACTGTAAGCCAATCCTTTTCGATTAGGAGAGCAACGCTAATCCCTTCACATGTGTAGACCTCGCCTTTGGGAGATATTGACGCGGAATTTGAGGCTCGGGGGTGGACACTTGGGGGTAGCTGGCAAGATGATGATGAGCTTGACGACCCTGTGCCGTCTAAGTTACAGGTAGTCAAGCAAGTTATTCCTTCTGCTTATGAGAAATCTCGGTTTGGAAATATTTGCAAGAACCTGAACATCACTTGTGTGAGTGATGGGTTCTATCGTTGGAATCCTGGTAACTAGGACGAGGGGATACCAAGGATGCGAAGGCACTCTCTTCAGAATATTTTTAAGTTATTGATCAGAGTTCGAGTATCAAATCTCCCCTTAAGGGCTTTTGATCTAAATATAAGGACATCGGTCTTCATTTCCCAGGCTTCTTTCTACGTAATATCTATTTATATCCTCAGTCTTTTAATGGAGATTATTGCAGTCCCAGGTTTAACTCTCTATGCTTCCGTCTCTTCATGTGACCTTCTTTATTGTTCCCTTCCTTAATTCTTGGTGCCTCAATATTAAAGGTCAGCAAATAGGTTCAAATTAACTTGAAAATCGGCACATGTGTGTGTTTAGTCCTGTTCCAAACAACTTACAAAGCAACTACAAGTTAACTTAATTCTACCAAAGGCTGTGGACCTCTCAGATTGAGGTTATTTCCATCACTAAAGGCGTCTTCCTTGAATAATACGCCGGGACTTCCAAAATCTATCTCGCAGGAGTTGTCCCGTACCAAACCCAGTTCGGCCTAGCGTACATTTGATCAATTTCTCAATGAAAATGCGGTTGGGTGAACTCGGATCGTCAAGTTCAATAATCAGACCAGGTCTAGTTTGAGACAACTCTCAAGAGGAGCATAATACTCGGAAACTAGCTCTACAGCGTAAAAGAAAGAATCAGATACCTAATACATATTCACCCTCGCTCGACGTCTGAAGATGGCAGTCATTCTGGTTTGCTGTTCATTACAAGTGCCCCCCCCAAACAATCTTGCAGACAAAGCTGTGTGCAAGTCTGCTTACGATCGTTAGTTATCACAACACCAATAGCACAGAACTCTTTCTGCTCATGTCGCTGGAAAGAAAACACACTCTCAAAGTGCAGGTTCTGGAGAATAGGGAGAACTGTTGAGACCTGATTTTCTTCACGGATCCCGCCACCGCAGCACTACGAGCACTCCGTAAGTCTCAATTCAAATAACATACACTATCCAGCTACTAAAAATAATAATAGTTACGATCCTACGCACCTAGAAGCCGAGTTGTCAGAAATCGTCTCGGAATACAAAGAGGGCCAAGACCTCCGATGCCAGCGCAGAGATTTAGTAATACCAGCGCTGCTTCTCCGGTGACCAAAACGAGGGGTCTTGCCATTGAGTAAGGGGAGATCTGAGCTAAGGATTTAATGTAACTATGGGCTCCGGACACGAGCTTGTAACATTTTCGGGAACGGTCTCGTTTGTGTATTGGCTGGTGGAGGGTGGCAGGTGGCAGGTAGTTTTAACCTCAAGACTTGAGTCAAATCTATTCATTTCGATTTTTAAGGGGTGCCCTGATAATGAAACTCTAGAAAGCTGCTTCATCGCTGCCCCCCGGACAGCGCAGAACATGCTTGAGTTCAATATAAGAGTCTCAGCTGTGGGTTGATGGATGTACTGGTGAGGAGCGGCCTCCGGCCGCATATAAAATTAAAAATCAGTTCGAGGAAGCGCCGATATCAAAAGAAAAGTATGTAAAGATCCAGAAAACTCACAGCTCTATAGAATGGTGTTTCAAATTGAACATACAGATACAATGGTATTTCGAATTGAACATACAGCTCTATACAATGGTTCGGAATAGAGATCGATTCCTCGCACGCAGTCGGGGCCGCCTGCCGCTGCGCGGCAGGCTGGGCCCCTCCTTGCTCGCGTGAAGTGTTAGTTTTGGAAGAGCTCAAGAAGAACCATTGATGGCAAGTATAAAGGTTATAACGTTGGTCAGAGGGGCTATTATATATCATGACAGAACTCGTGGTTTGATGCCTTAAGAAAACATGTATGAAAACATGCATGTCGTCTTCCTTAATGCACCGATTCTTTGTGTATCGACAGCTGTAGCCCACCGGACTATACTCTAGAGATGGGAGGTAACTAACCAGCCAATAGAAACCTTTCGTGAGGACAGAGATACCTGACTATTCTATTTAGATAAGATTACAGGTGGAGAAATAAGATATATTGCGCGATTGCTTGTTCAAAGATATAATACTTTATAATTGTTTGCCGTACACTTCCACCAAAACTATGATGAGAAAGAAACCTAATAACAAAAGACAAGAAATAAACCATAGAAAAAAGGTCTTCCCAGCAAAGACATAAATCCTTGCACATTTTCAAAATACCTTCCAAACTCAAGCAACGGTTGAGATCCAAACTACGTTCTCTGATCTTGCCACAGGTCGGAGCTAAGAGTAATCCATCAGTTGATATATCTGGCCATTATACACTAATATCCTAGCCTGTTCATTAACTTCCACTTCCCATGGTTGGGGGTAGACTGTGTGCGCAGTGCTTGCTTGTCCCTCCCAGTATACCGAGTTCCGCTGATAGAGTGGTGTCTCACTATCTGCACGTGCACGGGTGGGCGGGGACACATATGCGTTGATGGGGTGTGGCGATTCTGGTACAGGAGAAGAATTGTTCATTGCTGTTGACTCATCTGTTGCATTTTCTGGCGTCATATCGCCGGGTGGTCCCTCCGAGTGGTCCATATCCTCATCACTAGTATCGGAAGAATAATCATACGTTTCCCCTTCTTCAGATCCCTCCCGAGTACATCTCCCCGTAGCAGCATCTGTACTAACCCCACCTTCTGCTCCGTCTTCATTTGCGTCTGGTTCAGTTTCTTCATCTTCCTCCATGTCATCGTCAGCTATCTCGAGGTTCGAATAGTCAACTCCCATCCCTTCATCTTCTGATGTATCCTCGTCGTACTCCGTGGAACTGTCAAGTTCCATCTCCGAATCATGATCGGGCGAGTTGATAGGTCTGGCTTCACCGTCAGGCGCTGGCGATGGCACGAATATCTCTATTTGAGAACTACCTTGCGGAGACGCTCTCTCAGGGCTGTCCCGATAGTTACCGAATAGAGAGCTAAATGATGGTGTCCGACCGATTGGGTATGCTTCCCAGGTTGAGTCCTCCTGTGACAGAATATAATGGTCACCTACAGAACTGCTGGGATCAGTTATCAAAGTCAATGGTGCATCTTCAAAATCATAGTCCTCTATCTCATTGAGCTCTTCTTGGTTTGCTTCGGGCGTCTGGACCTCCTCGAGACCAGGAACTGAATCGTATGTTGGGTGTTCTGCGTCCCCACTATCGGAATCTTCTAGTGCGGCCCCTAGAAGCTGAGTGAGTTCCTCGTCGCTCTGCCACTCATACCCCGGGATAGCCTGTAGTTTATTCTCTTCCATAGATGAAGGTTCTTGAACATTGCCAGCCTCATGGAATCCGAGAGCCCCTGACCCACCAATGCCGAACGAATTAATTCCGGAGCCTATAAACTGGGCATATTCGCATTCAGCCTCCTCAAGAGCCATGGAGAACAGTGTAGGGTTGAAGTCTGGTGAAATATTATCTTGGGCTGGGATAGTTGCCTCCAGCGCCTCACGCGCTTTCCCTTTTTCTTGTGAAACATTCCCACTAGTTGGTTCCCGGGAGGCACTACTCGTTTCATCGGGGGTAACTTGTGTAGGGTCTTCCCTCTCTGTTGCGTCTGATACTCCTGGTGATTGACGAGAGCGAGACCCCGATGAAGGAGGGGTATCTAAGCTGGTGCTTCCTTCAGTGAAGATAGCGTCCCATTCTTCAGCACTTAAAGATATTTCCGCAGACCCGCATTGTGCGTTATTTACTTCTGCGAGAGGCACAAACTAGATGGTGTACTGTCAGCAGAGCAAACCACGTGAGCATTTGTTGACTTACAATAGGTTCTCCATTGTCCAATGTTACCTCCATGGTACCGCACTGTACTCTGTCTCCTCCGGTGAGTGGTACAACCTAGATAATTCAATACAAGTCAAGGCAATTACCTGGGCGTAGATTTACTTACAGTGAGATCCCCTTCCCTATCTTTTGGGATTTTAAGTTTTAGAGTAACATTTACATTATAGTTTAGATCTGCCATTGCTATAATTGTTGTGTTCGGTATTTGATAGGATAAACAGGTATTCTTTAATTGATTTGGATGTGTCTAGGTGAGGGAAAGATACTTGAGCGCTGAAAGGTTTAATTATTGGAATCTGAGATAGTATCTATTCTGTTTGTGAGTATCTTGTGGTTGAAAAAGATGGGGGTGATGCTACTGATATACTACTCGGAGGGGGAAATTACCACTTTGAATGGTAACCAGATACCAGAGGAGTGAACATAGCTTAAATGATAACTACAAGAAACTTTAATAGTTGAATCTGAATAAATATTCTATTGATTCTTCACCCTATTTTGTGATGTAGTGGTTGGCGGCTTTGCTTGACATCTGGAGTGAAACCACTATCCCGGGTCGGCAGATATGTTGTGTGCAGTACCTCCGCACTTAAAGGCTATCTGTTCCTTCATCGAAAAAATAATGACACATACTCCGGGAGCAATTCACCCAGTGTGTGAGATAACTCTATCCTAGTTGGTCTTTTACTTGATACTTGCGTCGGAGGAAGACCTATAGGGCCCACTGAGGCTGTGAGCTCTATAGATCTCACTTATGCGAAGAAGAGCATGAACTTCAAAGTACCAACGTAAGAGAACTAACTTAAGCTTTCTACATCAAGAGATACAGAATTGTACATACTTCAATGAATGCCAAAAACACGCGGAGCCCACCTTCGATGTGATGAAGACACTGCGTACCATGGTGGTGAGCTGCACAGACTCCTCCGAGACCCCAACCACCGCTTCTTAGGTTTTACTTCAGCGGAACAAAGTTTACGACCGTTATGGTCGCGTCCCGCGGGAGCGAGCAGGTGCTGTAAATATGAACCGTTGCGAGATTCTCGCTTTGTTCTTACAAATAGTTCATTCTCTCTACCATAGTGGCGACAATGGTTTTAATAATTGAGGCTGAGGGTTGAGTGGCCATCCGCTGGCCATGTTCAACGACAGCAGAGAGTAGTCATAGATTTTGGCTCAGTAACAGGTGCGAACCGAACTAATTTTAACAAACCTTTAGGACTGTAGTTAGAGACATAGCCAGGTGATCTAGGTAGGTTATCGCAAATGAATGGTAGATTTAGTTATGGGTAAACGATAAATTTCTGTGGAATCGGCCTGAGGAAGGTATGGTGCGCCCGCTCTTAAAGGTAACCGAAGATTGCGCAAAGTCGATGGCTAATAACGTTTCGACGAAAAAAGTTAAAAAAAATCAGGAAAGAGAAAGTCAAGTACTAGTGATGGAGTTTAGTTCGTTTTTCCTGATTTTTGATATCTATGCTAGTTGTAAAGTTATTAGAGCTTGAAATTCGGTATTTTTATATGTAAAAAGCGCCAAGACTGAGCAAAGTGGAACAGTATTATGCCCATTTATACCCCCTCAAAAGTGAATTGCGGCAGGAAAGCAGCAAATTGGCTAGGAATAAGCCTTCTCATTGGGCTTGGAGTTCACCTTGCAGCCACGATTGTTCCACTTCCAGATACCGCCGTCACCTTTAAGAGTGTGCGCACCATACGTGCTTGGAGACATCGGCTTGGCACGAGTGTGTGTGTGTGACATCATTTCATTTCTGGTTCTAGGTACAGAATGGTCGCATAAAGTATAAACTATGGCGTACGGCTTGGCACGAGTGATTATCCATGCAATTATATATGGAGGCGAGTGATATTAGATGACGGGATATCGTTATCGTGGTGCTGAAAACTGTTTATTTTTTTATTGAGGTGGTAGTGGTGTGGGTATTTAGACTCTTAGAACTCCACGAAGATGGTAAAGAGCGGTAGGAGAGATATTCATGGTACACGAGACGAGGTAGTAATGTAGAGATTCATGAGTAATCACTCGCTTCTCCAAATGACAAATATTACGAAGGCTTAAACCGTTACCCTTTTTGTTGCCCCGCTCGGTGGAGGGGAAGCGCCCCCCATTGACAGATTCCCACTGGTGGGGACAGTGCACCTTTCTTCTAGTACGGTTATACGAGACAGTATTAGCAGTGGCCTGCCCCGCGACCGCGAGTTACTGATCGTGCGGAGATCCATTGATCCTTTTACTCCAATTACATACAATTGTATCTCTCGAGCGCACTCCCCAGGCAAAGTTCATGAGGCCTTTTAATTTTGTCTCTATCGCCCCTCCTGAAGGACCGTAGTTGGTATGTCCAGTCCAAGACCGCCCCCCCCACTCTGCCCCTCCATTAAATAGACCTCGTGATTCTTTTTTGAACTAGTTACCTGTTGGTGATCATCCTATACCCCGTTGATAATTCGTCTCCGCAGTTAAATAAAACGCAAGAGTTTATATACCGTTTGGGGGTGGTACTGCGAGTTTGGCGGTGCATTTTTGGTGGGGTGAGCCGGTTGCCACTACATTTCTCTCGTTGGTATGCCTGCCCGCTACCAACCTTTGGTGGGGTGGGCTGGTTGGTATGCGGGGTTAGAGTTCCTTGCTCCTCAGACAATCAGGTCGATTCCGCGTACGTCAGAAAATAATCCAGTACATGTATTTACTATACTATAAAATAATATGGTCTGAAAAGGTTTCGCTCAACCGGCCTAATCCTACATCCGGCTGACCATGCATGGGGTAGACTAATTGGCGAAATAATGTGCGAGAAGCTAAGATAGTTAAATGTGGTGACGCTTTCGTGTATAATGTACGTTTTCAAGTTCCAAGTACTCCTCACTCTCAAAAAAATATGTCGCACTTCCTACCACCACTGCTGTGCGGAAATTATAAACAACATCGCAGCGCATGTAGATAGATCACAGGTTCAATTCTCTTATTTTATTTTGAGGTTGCCTTTTGGCCTTTATCAATCACAACACACCCTACTACACCCTTTAATTGCAATGAGACTTTTCTGAGGAATAGATTGGAACGGACTGAATCTTCTCTGCGCTTAATAGCAAGCACACCCGGAACGCTAGATCAGATACACATTTAAAAGTCCCGTCTTCTGCCACGGTGCTAGATTCGATGCCGTTTGAAAATGATTAATAAGGTCTTCTTTTGAGACGGAACCCACGCCGGTCATCGGCTTACCGAAGTCAGAACGGTGGTGACTTCGAATTGGAGAAATGTCGCTGCGATCTTGATATGTGCTCAGGGGTATGCTTTGTATATCCAAACCTGATATCTGATGTATACTATTGATTCAAGCGCTTAATATTCTAAAGCCAGCGTGTGGTAGTTATACCTTAATTTATCATAGAATATCATTCATCGGATGGGATATACGGAGATATCTCTCAGAATCGTACTATTCCCCCTTGCGATAGTGGCAGCAGTGGATAAGGACTCCACAAGGAGTATATGTAGGGGTTTAACAGCATCAGCGTTATTCTACTCGATGACATAACCTGAACCTAGCTTGCTTACACGCAATCTGCTATTCGAGAAGTTGGTATGAGAAAGCAGAACCCATGACCACGTTTGTTTGGATTTGGGCTCAAGGATAGCTGATCCACTTATTGAATGAATGCTCATCCTAGACTTGTTGCCCAACCTACGACGTTTTAGGTTTACCCACAGCCAGGGAGATGTGGGTGCCTGGCAATCTTTTGCACAAGACTTTCCGCCTAAATGACGTAATATTTTCTCTTTTACTTTCTCTGGGTGTAGCGGGGGTGATGAAAGGCTGTCTTGTCTAACCCCTGAGTAATAGGTATTATATTGTAAACGTCCGGGAGTGTAGGCTTGAATTCTGCCCCCGTGCGCTCCTGCAACAAGAGGGTTAGTCGAGGGCATATGGGTCAAGTCATTTGTGCTCTCTAGGTATTTACAGCTACCGTTAGAATTAGAAATTAAAGAGTAATCTGTTTTGGTTCTCAGTAATTAGTATGGCTATTACGTCATTATATGTTGTGGGGGTAGTAATACCTATCAGGCATTAGTAGGCTTTCAACGAAATCGCCACTCCGAAATGAATCCAAGCAGTACCTTTGATGAGGCGATTGACTTTCATGCTCGGAAAAATTCTCTAATGTTCTCTATTCTAGGGCTACCCCACGCGGCTTTCTTCTAAACGAATCCAAATCGGAAATACCATTCTGTTGACATGCTCTGGCCTCTCCCATGGGTAATGTAATATATATATCTCAATATAGTTCTTGTCCTTTTCATAGAACTCCACTGTGCGTCGCGCAAGTAGGGTCGAGATTGGTGGACGACTGAGATTTGTTGCAAGAAATTGTGTGTCTGTAAATATCTCGACCGGTGTCTGTGGACAAAAGGGATGATGTCTTGTCTTACAAGATGCCATGCAAAAGACATTGAAAAATCCAGGGCATGGTTCGAAGGGTAAAGGCTAATGCTGTGTTTTATTGTTCGTGTATATGCTGGCCTGGCCCTGAGGCAAACAGCCGTCTTTGATAATCTGTGAGTTTCCTCACCTCATCAGCTTTCGGAAGCTCTCTTAGATATAGAAAATTAATGGCTCTTTCTATTGAGATCGTCCGAGAATTAAGGATGACATCTGTTCAGCACAATAATCATAATAAAAAACAAGGACTTATCAAGAAGGTCTGTTCTTTTGACTACAGTCATGTTGCATGATTTGAGCTTTGAAAGTATCAGCTTTGAGCACTAGACGAGAAAGCTTGACAATTGTGGAGTTATTCTTACCTGATAGAAGAGACCTATCAGCCAAGTATTACACGAAGTTCACGCTTTCTTTAACGCTCAAAAGTTCTCCTTACTCACTCCCGTCACCGATACCATATTCCGTAGATATTAAACATTTAGGCCCATAGCGTAAGACCGAGTGACAATTTTTTCCAGGTGTTTGTTTCTTGGGTACCAGGTGTAGAGTCTGCATGCGCAGTAGGACCTTTCCGGATGTAGCTACCGTACATATAAACTAGCAGTTGGCCACCTCGCCAGGGCGAAGTGTGAGCTTGAATGTGACCAAATTTTGAGAAGGGCGGGTGGGTGTGGTGAGTCCAGTTTTTACAGTACCGATGCCAGCGCCAGTGAGCTGAAGGTATGTGTAATTTAATGGAGTTTGCTTTAATATAAACTTCCAGAATTATATTGCATAGCTATTGCTACCTAGTGTAGTGGTTTAAATGTCTGACATATGTCGAAGTTCTTGGGGTTCAAATTCCAGGCTCGGCGATATATAATTGAGGGCCTCGAAGGTACATCACATTGTCCATCGTAAATGGATGAGATGCCTTGCCACAGAGGAAGAGGGTCGTCCGACTTAGTGTACCATGAATTTATTCCTCTGGAGCTAAGGGCGTAAGGCTCCAGCTGTTTATTCAAAGCTTACTTTCCTTTCGGGGAGATTATGTGATGTGTGAACAGCTGGCGTAAGTCGATGCAGTTTTTTTCTACATGCCGAGTGATATTTCATGACCAACTAAAAAATGATTTTGGATAGAGCCGTTGTTGCAAAACGTTATATTTATATAATTGAATCAGCAAGCTGAAAAATGACCGTAAAACTTTTCCTGAACCTACAGAGAATCAATATCTGTTGGGAGGTTTATTCAAATGTACCATCTTGCTGATGTTCATACTCAACGTTAAGCATGAGATTGTAACTATCAGTATTTATATTGTTATTTTATTCTCTATTGTACATGAATCCAATTACAATTGTGCTAACAAAACCTCCGAGTAAACTATGTTTGTAGTTTGTGTGTCCGTTTCCTACCTTTGTAATACCTTTAAATTGTTGACGTCGATAGTCCTGGATGGTGCAACATATAGGTGACCATGAGTAAATGATGTTGTTCGCAAATCAATACCGACCCCATTAAGTGATTGCCCCTGTGCTTTATTTACGGTCATTGCAAAACACAATCGAATTGGTAGTTGTTTGCGTGTAAGAATGAAGGGTAGTTCTCCTTCTGTTGTTGATAGTTTGATTCGTGGGATGATTTTGATTTGACCATCAAAGTCACCACCCAAGATTCGCACTTCGATGCAACGCCTGGCCATTTTTGTAACCGTCATGTGAGTGCCATTGCATAGACCTTGTTTTGGATAGAGATTACGTAGAAGAATAATCGGTGCACCAATTTTTAATTTCAATTCCGAAGGTGGAATACCGGCTGGATTCAAACTTTGAAGATATTCAGCCAGGAGCTCATTTGATCGATCCGGAGAGCCCTCAAAATCCGCAGTATCAGATAAATAAAAGCTTTGACTTTCTCCAATTATCTCGTTCAGCACAATATCATTAAACTCTGATACCGTATCATTACGTATGGCCAGAATTACACGGCCTGTGAACACTCTATTATCGACATGAGCTTGCTGGATTATTTGTTATTATTTGAATAAATGGTGGAAGTGTTATATATCCTTGTATATCGGGGTTGTATGACATTGCCGCAAGCCATTCCGCAAATAACGTATTTGAAATATTATTCTGAATTCTCATATTTTGCTTCAATGATAAAAGCTTGAAGTGTTGCCACAAAGACGATGTTTGAAGATAGGCATGAACTGTGGCATCCCTGTTCCCCCGTCTAACAACAGGAAGAATTTGTGCGAAATCACCATCAAGAATAATCGGGATATCACCAAACAAAGAATGGATATTTGTATCACAAATATCATTTAGTGAACGGTTGACGGCTTCAAAACAATACTTGTGCTGCATTGGCACTTCATCCCAAATAATAATTGCTGTTTGACGAAGAAGGCCTCCAAGTAATGTATTACGTGTAAATCCGCAGACTGAAGATTCGTTAATAACGATTGAAATCTTAAAGCGAGAGTGTGAAGTTCGATCGCCTGGTAACAATTGAGCCGCAATTCCTGACGAAGCTACACAGAGTACAATTTTTCCTTGAGACCGAAAGTGATTGCACAATGTTTTATAAAGAAATGTTTTTCCAGTTCCAGCTGGCCCTTGTAAGAAAAACCGTGAAGTTTGTTGGGTATTGTTGACACTGTTGACGATAATATTAAAGCAATTCAACTGTTCTTGGTTGAGTTGATCAATCCTCTCAATGCTTAGCATTGTTTCCAAGTCAAGATCATATCGTAATTCAGATACAATCATTTCATTTCCATCGGTACGTCCCCAATCATTGATATTTGTTGGTAAACTATAGTCGGAAAGATTTTTATTAGAATCTGCCAGTATTTGAGATATCAAATATAGACCGTAATCAATATGAGCATCAGGTAGGTCAGGTGGTGTAATTAGTCCTTCGTCATTTAAAATCGCATGTCGTAAATCGTCACAAATATTATTTGCAAATTGATTTTAGAGTTGTAAAGGTTCTGTAACATCTCCGAATAGCATAGCTGTTGCAAAGAGGGTTCGTAACAAAAATCCACTGGAAAATATAACTGCCTGTTGAAAGTATTGAATCCATTCTTGATCATCTTCAAGCAGTCCGAGCGCAAGACATGCTAGCTTAAAGGTTTCATGTACAGTATTGTTGACGGTACAAATATGCTCAAATGATTGGGCACCACGAACAACTGTCAATAATAGATGGAGATAATATTTCTCTCCGACTAAAGGATTACAATGATACATATGGCCAATTGCAATACCGCGTTTTCTAGGTGCCTATTTCCAGAGTTGTGGATTGTAAGTAAAGTGTGGTGGGAAATCCTGGTAAAGATATTGTTGTCCATCTTCATGTAACTGATTATATTCAAAGAATGCAATGAGCGTTGACTTCGCTAACAGCATTCTCTCCCATAAAGCCTCTTCATTGATATTCGCCTCAAAGTATATAGGCTGTTCATTTGGTATATGGATTGCGAGATGAATAACAGCTGGAGATTCCTCATGCATTGAGAATTCAAACAAACGCCAAACAGCTTCTGTTGGACCAATGTATCGACCTTGTAAATATCTTTTGACTTCATTCGAATTTGAATCCACTTCCCGAGTTGTACGGTTGGATCCTTTGTAAATATACTTGTGAATATATTTAATTGCATTGATTGTTGCACATACTTCAATATTTATATGTGCTTTATAACGCCAGGACAAATAAGGATTATAAGGCACAATCAATCTGTTATCAAAAGTATGCATTCCAACGTCTCGTGAACCTCTTAAAGGAACCATAAAGTTGTTACCATCATTACGACATCGATATAATGGGTATCCATCTTCTTGTATAACACTTTCATTCTGAAATTGTTTAGGATACCGTTTGGTGCAAAGTCAAGGTGCATCAGGTGTTTTCGAGATCATACATAGTGAATCGAATGCCAATTCTCCACATGGGCCATGCACCATACATGATTTGATAACAGCTGTGAGTTCACCATCGGGATCAAATTGAGGATCTGGCAATTCAGCACATACAATCTGTTCAATACGTTCAGAAGTCATGAATCTGTCCTCAGGGTTTAAAAATAATAGAAGATGCATATGTGATAAACCACGTTTCTGATATTCAATAGTCCAGACACATCTGAGGTAACGTCTAAAAATATGATTATGTTTAATTTCCGTATTCCAGTAGGTACACTATAGAAGATAGTAGATAGCACATTTATTTATTAAGATATAATTTAATTATTAAGACATAATTTAAAACTCCTACATTTTGTTTGATTGACTGGGCATTGGCCGCTGTTGATTGACCACGGGCGATTTGGTGGGGCGGATTGGTTGCCACGCAGATATCAGGGTCAGGGTTCAACCGAGCGCGAAACTGCTCTATCGTAGTACATATTAGATGAACCTTCAAGAGGGTAACGACCGCTTAGAACCGGTGTTTGAGGATAACCGACATGATCTCTCCCCGTCCAATTTCTTCCAATAAATCAGTTATGTCAAAAATCTCCACTTCTTTCAACTCTTCAGTCAAAAATTGCGACCTCATCCGAAACCGAAACGAGGTCCACAGGTATAGCAAGCGCCATTGAATACGCCAGATCCAGAATCAAGTCAAGGTACATGCCCAAACCCTACCTTGATGATGAGGTACTGGAGGTATTTAAATCACGGAAAAAGGTAGCAAGAAAAGCTTTGGAAAACCCAATACTCCACGAAGCCCGCCTCCACTTGCGAAATGGTTCTAACTGGATAGTTAACTTCATTGGAAGCCAGCCAGGTAGAGTTATTTATTACAATATGGGTGTGCTGATATCAGAAGACGGATCAGTTATGATGTTTTGGCATGTAAAAGTAATAAGATTGAAATAACTGGGAGGGGAAGATTGGGGGGGGGGGGTGGGGGTTCATAGGTACGAAAGCGGATATCACAGATGTATGGGCTGACAAACTTCTGAGGGGTGGTTCAGATCTCATGGCCCATCGTATATGGCCTAACCGAGCTATACGTGTTTATGAGCTTTCTGATCTGACCAAATACATATCCCGAGATATCTGAACCTATTTCTACTGAACCGGATGCGACAAGAGAACAATGGAATCTATTAGGGGCCATTTAAGGGTTTGACAATTAATTTCGCGAACGGATCCAGGCCCTCTGCTAATGGCCCATGACCCCATACATTCGTGGCAGGCCCGGTCCACCAGCGAATGGCCCCAAAAGAATATGGTATCCTGTTCCAAAGCATGGTACAGGCAACCCCAAACAAAATGGAACCGTGACTCCAAATGTTGATCTGCATATTGCAAGCATGCATCAAGATACCTGGAAAGGCCCTAAAAGGAATTTTCACAACTGATCGTTAATTTGCTAAGCGAGATCGCTCATATCTTAAATATTGTGCTAAGCTTCTTTAGTAAGGTTTTCATCTTTGGATGGTGGCTGACGTTTAGTAAACCATATTTTTCCCTTCAGGAACTATGGTTCTTCCAGGTCATTCCCTGGCAGACCGGGCCTGCCATGAATATATGGGGGCCATGGGCAATTTGCGGAGGACCCGGATCCATTGGCGAAATCTTCAAATCCTTGAATGGTCCCGAAAAGATCCATGACATCAGGCAAGAAATATACGCACTGACTCGAAGTACGGTCCACACAGTTTCTTCTTTTCTTCTTGGCGATCGGGCCAAAAGAATCATTTCAGACAGTTGTATACATGCGATTTTTTTTGAAACAAAAACATCTTTCTAAGAGATCGCCGCGACTCCCTAAGGATACAACCACCAGAACCATTCATAAGCTTCTAACGCCTCTTCATCCGTTACCTTTGCCAGCCAGTCTGAGCTCCCGTCGGAGCCATCCTTCTGCTTACCTCCCTCAATTTTAACAGGGTCGCCCCCCTCCGGGTGAACAGCGTAGCAGCCCTCGTGGCTAGCAGCGACGTCATCTTTGGACGTAACTGCGATATTCTCGTCGGTATCCCACTCCTCCTGGGCGGAGTCCCTCTCGTCCTTATCTTCGTCGGCCGAGGATTGCTGCTTCCGTTATTAGTTTGAAATAGGATACCTTCCCGGGGTTTCATACCTGGATTTCTTGGCCTTTGGCAATAAGCATTTGCACCTTGAGTCGTTCTTTAAGCGAACGTACGAACCCCTGAAAGTCGGTACGATGAAGGGAAAACCTGCCAATGCTGGGGAGAAGCGTGAGGTGTAGCAAATGAGGACGCCTCTCGTGTAGGTTATCGGGTAGGTGGCAAAGGTATACATGCTCATATAGTTTCTTAGAGCTTCTGAAGAAAGCTCCGCAGCCCTCTCCAGTGATATTGAGCATTCGACATCTCCTCTCTCTTGGGAGAATGGTGAAGATACCGTAGGTAAGCCATGGCGGACAATCCGCTCTCAAGCAAAGTTGAATGAGGAGACACTTGGCCTCCATAGATCTCTGATTTAAATCGTGAGCATTACAGCCATCCATAGACAGCACCAGCTCTTCGAGGCGATACAGTTCGCTCTCGAAGTCAGGCACAGTTTGAGGCATAATAAAAGCTGATAGGTTCGTACCACCATTAGACTATCATCTTAAAAGCGGAGATTATAACAAGCTCACTCACCTCTGCAATTCAGACGCTTGCCTATGTCAATGGGAGACGGTTATTCGATGGTAGCCCGGCTCTGAGAATATCTGGTTGAGATGAGGAATAGTCTCTCTCAAAGAGGTTTTTGTGGGGAGTAGGTTTTGTCGGTATTGGGGCTTTGGTGCGAAGGCACGCGTCTTGTCTGAGCCAGTTGGATTTCCCACGCTAGCTTGGCCTCATATTGGATACCCAAATAACGCGGTCACATACACCCAATTTCACGTTAAGAGGAGCCTCTAGTCGGGACTGAGTCTTTCAAGGACCTTTTGGATCTGGGGGCTTCTATCAATGACTTCGGCAAACATAGAGGTTCGTAACTGCAACCACTCTCTCTTTAAACAGAGGAATAATCCGTCGTACTTATCAGTTCCTCATCAGGCGTGCGTTGCCCCAGGACAACCTTCGTACGGTTTAACAGCCCGAAAGGGTAAATTTAAAAAAAAATGGAAATTACATTCCGAACTGTAGACTTCGGTATAGTCCTGTGGTTGGTGACAATTGACAAGGTTCGGTGCGATGGGGTATAGAGAATTCTTCCAGGGCCGAAAAAAGCTGAATTACGCCTAGTGTCTTCATCGGAGACAAGGCGAGATCAATGTAGTAAAGGGCGTCTTTCAAGTGGTTATCACTATCTCCAATTGATCGTGGAAAGGATTGCTGAGACCCACATACTTTATCTACAATTTTCATCGTACAGAATCCATCTCCGCTGGTAGTTCAGACCTTAGTGAAACGCTGAAGGTATACGCGAGTATTAAGACCTTTTCGGGGATGCTCCAATCCTACCGGGCACTCCCTGCATACCCTCCCTTCTGGGTAGAATAGTAAAAGGCAAGGGTTGAAGGATTCAGCGAGAAATGCCAGTTGGATTATGCGAGTCCCTGTATAAATATAGATGGGTATTTTTGATAAAATCTATACACAGTTGTCAGGGACTTTGCTGGTGAATTCTGTTTGCAAAGCTTCGGGAGCCTAATAGTTTGATGTTATCCTGTTACGCCTAAGGTCTTCATAGGCTAGACCGGTCTAGCAGTCATTGCATATTCTGTAATCAGTGAGCCCATGCTGCCTATTGAACCTTAAATGTTTTCTTGCCTTCTTCACTACGGCCTATATTCCCAGGATTTCTTCAATTCCATCATACATGTCCCTAACGTTATGGAAATAAAGATACCGGAACTATATAGGTTCTTTCATTTATAGACCTCAGGAACCCAAATCCTCCTCTACTCTAGACGCAATTTGCTTCGACGCTGAGGTGAAAGTGAAGTGGTATTCGCCAAGCGATCATTTAAGTAAGGAAATCCATGCGCTGTCACTCGATGCAGATCTTAACCAAATACTTACTCGGAATATAGCTTGGCAACGGCAAACTCCGGGGTTGAAAAAAAGGCCTGTCCAGGCTGAGGACTTGGGTAGAACTGATCACCAAAATCGAACGCCCTGTTGCAATCCTCATGGAGGACTATTCCAATATCTTCGAAGTGAAGAGATGAACGACTGCCTCATTATCCTCGAGGACGAAAAGAAAGCCACAATTTTTCTCGGCATTACAAAGTCAAAGCTCCGCAACCTCTGGGTTCATAGACAGGTTCTGGTGGCTCGGGGAGCCAGTGGAAACAGTCCATTCTTTTTCATCAGGCGTTGACGACTTCGGAGTATTGGTGTAGGTCACAGAAAGTGTATAGAGTGGAATTAGGGTGTTTTCAAAATAGTCGTGAGAATTGATCTTCAATATTCTTCTAACCGCTGATATAATAAAGCCAGTTCCCTCTTCCATTATAGAAATCTAACTTCCGGTGGTCTGTAACTCACAGGAGGAGATATCATCTCTGCGGGTACTCGTGTCTCCTGATCCTATAGAGCTATTTCGTAGAATTCCCATTCGGCCAGCGGAAGTGTACTAGTTATACTAGGCAGAGAAATTTGGTTGGTTGAGGCCAGAACCAGAAACAAACCAGCAACAAATCACTACAATGAAATGGGACTATAGTCCTATGCTACATAAACTCAAAGGCCCAGAGGTATAGCTCTTGGACGTAAATCATCGTTTTCGCGCAAAAACACACTAAAATTAGCCAAAATTGGCCCCCTCCCTAGGCTTAAATTGTTACCTAAACACCATGAAACTTTCAGGATAGTAATATACACTTTAAAAGAACATGTACTCTGAGCGATAATTTCTTCCATCCAATATGTCGGAAGTTATGTGACTTTGAATTTGCAAATTTTGGGATTTCTCCGAAAATTGCCAAGACCCCAAACAAATTTGAGGTCTTGGCACATTTTCTGAGAAGAACCAACAAAATGCTCTACCATCCATGCTACAATGAATATTTTTGAAATTTAATACTTCCAGATGATTCCCCTAACTATTAAGTTATCTTTTACTGAATGGTATAAGTTATATCTTCGCCACGATGATTTACGTCCAGGCATTTATTTACTATTGGAGTTCTATTATGTTGTTGCGGAACACCTTTCCTAATGGGTCCCCCCGGGCCCCCCGCCCCGTGATTTGCGGGATATTTTATGGTCGTGAGGTATACCGGGAACATCTTCGCCCACCAGCCTAACTGGAATACGAGTCATCTTCTCTTCGGCGATCAATAACTCGAGTGGTGGAGCGGGAAGAGGTGTGATCGGAGAAAAGAATACTTATCAGATCTGTTATACTCCGTTCATCAAGACGTGCATTTGGCCAAGTGGGCGCACTATCGAACAAGATGATGGACGGGACGATCCATTGGCCAAATGGGCGTCTTGCTGGATTGTTGGTCCAATGATCAAGTGGCCATTCCCGAAATAGACTTTATGCTATTTCCTTCCTCCAAATGTGTTAATGAGTCGAGACAATCCAACACTCAAAATCCAATGTCAGATAATTTCGACTCGTTCCTGAGGCGGACGCGTTAATATAGTAGGAGTTACCTATCTCTAAGCTACATATCGACGCTGATCCCCTATACAGAGGAATTGCATTTTTTAAACAACCATTAGATCTAGAGTGGATTGGCCACGCTCGGCTTTCAAATTTCGAGCTCAAATTGTGAGTTCTTCGCAGCGGGGAGGACCCACCTATGCTACGGCAGCAGCTATGGTGCACGCTTACAGTGTTCTTTCTCTCATTATGCGCCTCTGTGACGCGCAATATAAGACTCAATATTTCAGTGAACACCGACATAGGTTAATAAAGTACAAGTACTGCCACAGTTCGGAACCTCAATGTGTGTGTACTTGCTGACTGGAGTAGAGTTATTACGCGAGCTTACTGGATGGAGCGACCTATTCATCATAATATGGGCCTTTTGAAAGGATCGCCCTATCCATCAATCTTGAGGAATTGTGCGCGCACTTGACCAAATCGACGTCTTGGTCAATGGATCAGAACAGATCTAGAAGAAATGGAGTAAAAAGAAGTAACATGTTTCGCACAGAATATGGTTGACATATAGCAGCTTCCAATCTTTGCCACCTATGCCGGCACGGGATATGTCTATGTCACTAGAAGTACGTATACACGTTGTGTAGCACCTATGATCCTATGGAGCCTTAGCTTTATACCAGGAATACATCTCACTTATAGTCTGCCATGATGTCTCCACGTTTAGTGTCTCAAGGAAGCTATCAGGGCGAACTGGGATCCGCTATTTACCGTAAGAGATCGCAGTGTGCAAGCCGGAGAAGAATTTGTTAATATAAACTTGATTTTCTTGTCTTAAATAGATACAAAGTAGGTGTGGGAGTTGGCGCCTCAACCCTCCTACCATACCAACCAAATCTTACGCTTTACTGGCGCCCAGGTTGCTCGTTTCTCTTTCATGCCTTCTGCATGTCTTGGTGAAAGAAAACTCCAGGACTCTCTTACAGGGCATAAGTAGAGCCGGTATGGTATTGAGTAACAAAGGACAAATTCGTCTTCTTTCTGTTCCTTAATCAAATAATTGGCGTAATTAGTTCTCTTTTCTGGTTTAACGAACGAGTGATGGATCCTAACTCACTGAACAAGAAACACGACTATGGATGATATAGGGAGAGCCAGCCGGCAAATGAAGTTGTTGAGACAAGACGGCGAATCAACCCGCCAAGCTGCAACATATTAGCGTAGAAAACTAAAACAAGCTGGAAAATTAACGCACTCTCAAACTTAGTCCAACGCCAGCAGCCCCGACTGATGGTCGGTGTACACCCCTAACATAGATGATCCTGCGTAAAACGTACTGTTTATTAATTCGAATTCACAGTTCAAAAAATGTACGGAAAGCTGTTTTACCTGGATACTCCTCCTAGTGTCTTGCTGTTCTTTCCCAAGTCGAGCTGGACATACTTATAATTAGCAGAGGAAAGTCAGAATTTAATTATTCGAGTGCAGAGGTTGAATTTACCAGAGCCACAAACATGTCCTTTGAGAAGCTTCTTCAAAGGTCTCTCACTAGATGTATGCCCGTCCACACCCAGGACAGAGATCCTTTAAGAAGCTTCTTCAGAAGTCTCTGGCCCGGTCATACACTCTTTCCATTGGGGTGAATTGACACCCCCCTGCAGGTCTGGGTGCCAATAATTCCTTGAACCTCAGCCCGAGTCTAATTCACACTCGTTACTGTTAGTATTATATATAAACCTTTCATGTATGGGGACGTAACTAACAAAACCCCAATTACCCACTGATTAGGTTTTTTCTACTGGTACTAAACGCCTTTGCCCAACAGGACGACTCCTTTCCCAAGCCCTTGGACTTAACCTATGGTACCTTGACCTATTCGCCCCATCCAATGGTGCACTTATGTCGTAGTTGGGTTTGCCATCCCGCTGGGTGTTCCAGTACAGTCTAGATTTTGACTGAATGCGGTTAGTAAATAATAGACTAGCCCGGATTTGGAACCAATTATTACCTACATGTACATGTATGTGCTTGGAACGCCAAGGCAACATTGCACCACGCCTTTCAGTTCCTAACTGATTCGAATTGATGCCACGGGCAATTGCAATGCAAACAAACATGGCCTATTAAGAAAGCGATCGATCGAAGGCCAGAATGTAATGCCTCAGACGCCTAGGAAGGAACCAAAGGTGGTGAGTACAACCGGGGTTTCACAACTCGCAGTACTTATATTGGGATATAAGAAATGGTCAGGAACATAAACCTACCGTGGTTTGGAACAACTACGGGCCCGTTTGTCTAATCACCACCCCCACAAACCGGCCCCATCCTTCTCCCGTAGACCACTGGATCATTACCCTCTTCTTGAGGACCAGCGATATACCCTTTGGGAGGAGGTCCTGAGAGGAATAGTCCAATTACCAGGTTTTAATACCCTCGGTGACAAACATATCTAGCTGAGCTAGAAGTCAAGGTTACTATTAGCATAACCCTATACGAAGTAATATCAGAGGACAGGCCAAACAAACATTTGCTTGAAAAGTCTTGCTCGAGATTAACCATCCCTTAAGGGATACCGCCCCCGTATATCCTAACCGAATAAGGGCCTTGGGTATGGGGGTTTCAGCAGGTGCTGACCCTCCTAGACTAGTAGCTTAGCTGTGGATGAAAGAGCTGAGGAGCTCTGAGCTTTCTTCAATCAAAGAAAGATAGAAAGGAATACCTGACTATAATGGTTTCCTGGTCAGGGTTTTTAAACCGAGCCCAGCAGCAACGGATATGGAACAATTGTTCCTATTTGCCTCCCACCCAGAGAGAAAAAAGAAAAAAGAAGGAAGGAGCCTCTTGGTGGTGAGAATTCTCCACCTCAGGAGAATTGTCCCAAGAGGAGAGAGAGCGGAAGATGGTTGCCATGCTATCCAAAAGATCGTGACAGAAAGGAATAAGGTGTTCCAAGGGCGAGAAAGGGTGAGAAATAGGGATACTATCTTTTTGGGGGTTGGAACCCAGCCAATAAAAATGGCTATTTATTAAGATGTAGATACTTCGTTGCAGGAAAACACGGAGAATCAAACATCTTGCTGGTATTTTCGTGGATATAACTACTACCCACAAATCACAGATAAGGGGTGCGGATAAAGGACGATGACAAGGAGTAAATAACGGAACCATGAGGAATGGGAGTTTATGTTCTACTTATACGCAACTAACGGGTTCCCTCCTGTGCACACCGGATGAGGGACAAGCGTGTCCTTACGGCTTACTTATGTACGGATTGATTTATACTTTCTCAGCAGCCGAGAGGATTGACAGGTGTCCAAATCAACTACTGAAAGGTGTGGGTAACTGCATGTATATTACATAAGATTTACATTTTATGGGATGTATATTATAGGACATGTATGCATGAAGTTCCATGACTGTTGGCAGGAATCTGTATTTTTGCAGGGAATAATGGTATGGTAATCATATGATGGAATGAATGACTCGATTTGGGCCGCATTTTCAGAGCAAGCTGAAGTTCTCAATAGCTGTCAGGCTCTATAGGACTTTTCAAATTCAAGTGCAGGATCAAGAACCCACTTCTTCCATAAGTTTTAGGTGGGGCGATAGGGTATTTTCGAAGTCCGGAGGTCTGTGAGGGAGGAACGTGTCAGGAGGTCTATGTACTCAACCCTTTTGGACTATCAGGCAAGAATGATACGATTCTCATACCGCCTCTCTTTTTGGACACGGCCGGTGATCTTCAGGTATATTACGTATAGTCTTTTCTAAGGTAGTGCTATATATGAACAGAAATAAAATTCAATGTTAAGGGAATGGTGAGTTCGGATAAATGTCACCTTAATTTGTACTTATTTCCCTTGCTCTGGACATCACGCAGCAGACGTATATTTCTTTTACCAGACTTGAGCCTTGCTCAAGAAAACTTTGATTTATGTGCAGTATCATCCTAACTGTGTTGAGAACATGGAGTATTATGATCAGACACCAATATTACAGCTTTCATATTCTGGAATGACTAGGATGTTGGAGAGTCATATACTATCACTCGGCAGTGTTGGTCTCTGAACTTAGGTTGCATAGGCGCGGCAGAAAAGGCCGATACACATGGCAACAGAATATAGAAGGTTCGCCAATGAACGTATGGCGCCATAGAGGTTACATTCGACCGGGATCTCCTATCGGGTGGCCCCAACTCAACCGATTATTCCACACCTAAGTTGACACCGCAACCGCCTCCGCTTTATAATCTGTACGGTAAATTGTGGATTCCAACTCTTCAATGCTGTATTCAGTGCATTCACGTCGATAAAAGGCACATAGATCCGCATCCTCGGCAGGCTTAATGAACAGCTATTTATCATGTATGGTGAGTAAGTTCAGGTGGACACAGCAGAGTCCACTATCGTTCACAAAGGGCACTTGGTGTTGGAGGGGGGGAAAGTCATTTTAGCAGGGTAAACACACGTAGTGTATAACCTACCCTGCCTGCGAACTTAGAGCTCTTGATCGAAAACACCACCCACTCCTTCCGCCTGATCCGCCATTCACTCTACCATAAGACTCGTGCTCCAGAATATGCAATTAGTCTCTTCGATGCACAGTTCACGGCGCACAAAGCAGAAGCTTACGGTTATTATTTAAAGGAATAGTATGGACAGACATATATATACCTCCGGCGCTGGATGATAATGACAAACGCGAGCCCGAAGTGTGACATCTTAGCCATCATTACATATATTGCCTGATCAAGCTTCGGGAAGGTGAGTATGCTCATAGTATCCTCGATTGTCTTAATAACCTATGTGCACAAGTCATGTGTATAATATCAAGTATGCTTCTCCATAGGCTCACCAGAATAATATCAAACATACCTCGAGGAGTTTCATCACGGTTAGTCATATATTCTGTCTAATCTTCAAACAATGTATGTTATCATTCTATGGTCTAACTATTGGTTTGTAGGACTTCGGGTACCTCTTTCGGAGTCGGGGCAAGGTGTACAGCTACGAATCACCTACACACACTCCATTAATTAATTATGAAACGCCCCCTGGAAGTAGGATCGGCATCTTCCGAAGGCTCACAGCTCGTACTCAAATGCGAGTCACTTTCTATGTATGTGGAAGGACAGGAAGTAACTCGAGATTTGTTTATGTATTACGTCTACCCCGACCCCATTGCAGGAACAGAACGTCAACATCTATAGCGACCCGCACTACGAAGCTCCCAGAAAAGCTCAGGTTCTAATCAGAATATTGATTAGAGGGAGCCTCTGAATTTACGGAGTCCACCGCGCACCCAGTACCAACATCGTCCCCTTCCACCCTATAGTGCAGAAACGCCATAGGCTCCCTCCCATCTTTCCATAGAGCTCATTAGAGCTTCATAATAAATCAGGGCTTCCTGACATCTACTTTTTCGTGTCTTATACCTCAACGTCTCTCAGGTCTCAATATGAGTTCAACCTCCGCTCAAGACCCTAGTCCGTCTTCAAGCAAGCGCACCAGAACCCGTCGCGCCCAAGCTCAGAATAGATACGACAAGCCAATTCGCCCCTTGCGCGAGATCGCCCCCAAGTCGTCTACACTCGTAGATGGTAAAGACCCAAGGGAAGGAGCGCTAGCCGAGGAGATTCGTATGATAAAAGCCGCTGCACTTGCAGAGGAGATTCTCAAATTGAATTCAGCGACTGGATCTAAGCTAGAGCTTAATGGTACAGTCACTGATCCTGATCTCGATGGGGAGTATTCCACCGACGAAGAATATATCCTCCAGATTCAAGCTGGGCATAATCTCTCATCCACTCAAGCTTTTGATGAACAATCCGCAGAGGACCTAAGGACTGGGACCTATATGTATCAAAACCGCGTCATGCGTCTAAGAGCTCCATTCGTTCCAGATATCATGGTTACCAACCCCGCCGAACACCTGCTAGTTCCGGTACCCTACTGGGCAGACATACATGATGACAGGGAAACGCCAGAGAATAGTTTGAGGCCATCCCTACCCGTCCCGGGGCCCACTGCTAGCCCCTCCCAAGGAGTTGGTGAATTACGGAGATCACCGCGTCGTCATGTTCGGCGTGGAGCTACAGAGGTGTTGAAGCGCCGTAAGCCAGCCTTGCAGGTTGCTGCCTGTTCTTCAAAAGCCAGTTCCCATATTATCGGGAAGGAAAAGGTACCGGAAGCGGTCTACAATATTGACGACGAAAAGACTCCAGAGGTGCTTCCCGGAGTTGGCAAAGGAAAGGCTTCAGAGGTAATTCTCATAATTGGCAAGGGAAAGGTTCCAGAGATCATTCACACAGTTGACAAGGGGAAGGCTCCGGAGGTGATTCCCATAATCGACAAAGGGAAGGCCCCAGAAGTGGTTCATAGGGTTGAGAAACGGAAGGCCCCGAGCGTGGTCCGTAGAGCTGTAAAGAGAAAGACAGAGGGGACAATTCGCAAAATCGACAACGTCAAAGCCCCCGAAGCTATTGGTGAATTTAATGAGAGAACTGGTACTCATCCGGTTCGCATGCTTGACAAAGGAAAGGCTCCGGAGGTGGTTCCGCATTTTAAAGATGGAGCTATCGATCCCATTCTTCTTTCCAAGAATCCCAATTTTGATAATGAATACCTTTCCCGTGCTCGTGAGGCAGATTCATGGCCTTCTGAACGAGTAGGTAACATGAGGACAGATGAAATGAAATTACACAGCAATTTTGAATTACCGCCAGGAACTAATTGGGAAACACCTACCTTTAACAGTGAACAGCTTTTACCACAAAGTGAAAATGATATCATCGAAGCCCAGATTCGTGCAGACGAAGGGATTGATTGGGCTTATGATCCACAGGAATATAGCTACTTTGACCTTGCTTTCTTTCCGGAACACGCTTCAGATAAGGTTGAAACAGAATCAGAGATGTCGCAATTTTTCAAAAGCTCAATGAACATTAACGAGCCGGTTGCTGGTAGTTCTGATCAAGATGCGACTAATAGGCTCCTTTATCCTCCTCCAAACGACGGATTAACCTTAAGTTCTTTAACAGGCCTCCCTCTCTATGATTGGGGTTTTCAGGAGCAAAATGCCGAGGAGACCAAACTCCCAGATGCCAATGATTTCGGATATTTCCTCGAAGAAACGAACCATGTAGGGGTGATTGTTCGCACCTTCTATCCATATACAGAGGAAGATGATTTGCTGTTCCGTTAGCTTCGCTCATATCGATGGTCTGTTCTACCTAACCCACTTCTATATAACTGACCTGTTAACGTTCATTCACCATTTATTTATGAATTCAAAACTATTTTAATCAATTTCTTTCTAATTCTAGTTTCTTTTCATTCTTATTACTACTTCTGTTTCCTTATTTAGGAATTTCTTCCTCCCTTTCTTTTGGTATAGCTAACGGTAATGCTGACATCCGTACATGACGTTTATGAACGACTGGTGGAATAGTTGGCGGGCTCAGTATTTGTTTTCTTTTGACGGCTTTCTATTCCATTTGCCTATAATCTTCGATGTTTCTTCAGCGGCGCAGTACATATCCTGCTTTTTTATTTTGTTAATGGTTCTACTGCCTTGTGCTACTTAGTCCTTAGTGTCATAATAAAATACCTCAATCACATATGCCAACGTGCCAGAATCGCGTCTCCAAAATCTTCATACATTGGCATTGTTTTATCCTAGCACTAAAGTTTGTCAGACGTAATTCATCGCTTCTCAACCCACCCCCGAATCTAGTCTCCCTATTAACGTGATACTTATGTTGCTACTCAATCTCCATTTAAAGCTCTTTTCTTTTGCTGCCAACGCTGCCTCGGCGCTGTAGTACACACTGGGAAGTACAACCGGGGGTTTACAACTCCTCCGCCTTTCATTAGCCCTCTCCCGAATCTGTATATAAATTGTTACGGAATTCAGGTAACATGTCCCGAGCCCAACGATGATCCTTCCAGAACCAAACTCGCAACACGAAGCTAACCCCGAAGGTTTTCCCATTTCAGTTCCGAGGTCCCCCCACCCCTTGTTCGGAATGTGGGCCTCGATATCCTGGATATGACATACACAGGTATTGAGTGAGGGACTTAAGGAGAATCTCGGTTGTTGCCGGAGAGTTTGCAGCAGCTACTATCAAGGGTGAATTAGAGTTACCCCAGGGCGTAGAGGTGGGTACAGGGGCTTGAAGTCGGAATTGATAGAACTCAGTATCTCTTGCTACTGAATCTGGATATCTATGGTCATGCATCAGGATTACATATCCAAGACGTCATAACGGGCTATAGAGGATAGTTTGAGATAGAGCCTTTGATTTGGAGGTTATATTTGGAATTACTCAACCCTATCGTGCAGATGTTATACGTATCTGGTGATAAGCACACAATATAAAAGGAACCAAGAATCAGGACGAGATTATAACATGATTTTTAACACATCCCGCAGCATGCCGCATTATCTCCGCCATGTTTATAGATCAATCTGCCAAGCAACTCGGAGCAGATTTTAGGATCAGAGGCCTAACTGAAACGAGAGGTGTCGTATATCACCTAACAATTCATTTGTGATTATCTGGATCATATCTTTCCTCTCCGAAATATAAAGATATTGGAAGCTGCAATGTTCATTATCATAATTCTTTTGTATTCTATTTCCAGTAGAAGTTGTTGTCCGTGCACGTTTAAACTTTACCGCTTGGACCCACCAGACCGTCAAGCTTATGAAGCTTATGAAGCTTATGAAGCTTCTCCGTCATGGTTAAAGCCCTATTCATTAATAAGCGTGACTTCCATTCAATCCTAAGTCAGTGCCGCACTCCCACAATTTATATTTTGCCAAATATTCTTCCTCGTCTTTCATCTCCACCTCTCTGAGTAATCATCAAGCAAAAAGCGGTTTCTTTCCTGATCCATACAACCTATAACGATGGCTTCGAATGTATGATATCTTCTCCATTTTCTGAAGCCCTGTCTAATCAAACCTTCTTTATCAGAGGATTATGAACATTGTAGTGGACCGTAATCAGGTGTTCACCCCTTGGTTCCTACGAATGGTCATCGTATGGGCATTCAAGAGCAGTATCTTTGCCAGCATAAAAGAAAGGTTAGCCCAGGGTCTGATCAACAGAACGTCTGGGAAGCGTGTTCGACTCTACATGTTAGCTCTCCCTCCTGTCTCCAACGTATCAGATATTAATGCTAATCCAATGTGCGGTAAAGTGAGTACAAAATAAGGATCAGAGTCAAAGCAAGCCGTGACATCATCACTGAGCCAGTTCTCAAGGGAAAATATTTAAGAATCAAGTTCTCAATGTATACCACGCCGGATGGGACAATGTGTTCTAAGAAGGACCTTCCAAAGAAAGGGAGGGTTGTCACCAAGATACGCCTGGAAATGAACATTCGTGGTGCCGACTCGAACGTTGCTGGAACTCCATCTCAAAATATGCGTACGCCGTGGAACCAAAGTTTTTTTAAACGAAACTATACCTTCCCTCACACTAAGCATCCCCTCCAACCGGACTGGCCGCCCCTTTGTCCCCCCGACAACAAGAGGACAACCGGCAATCAGAAAAACGCTAATACCACCGCCATCGATAACCGAAAGACCAAAACCGCCCCTGCCAATCAGTCAAATACCGATTCTACCACCGCCGGGCAACTAACGATCTGGAAAGGGGTTCATCCAGGAGGAGGGAAGGTAGTGGAGGTCATAGTTCCTTAGGATGGTCGCGGTCATTCCCGCTTCTCACCCCAATCTTGCCGCTTTCTTGCTTCTAGCCACACCGCACACATTAAATTTTCTTTTCATATTTTCTGTTAGTCGCTGATTTCAAAAGCTAAGAACTCGACGGATCTCTTTCATCAGTTGTTGAAAACTTACACTCTTTTTCTCAGTGGATTTTCTTTAAATTGATTTCGCATAATGATGTTGTTGCTTTGATTTTATATAAGCTTGCTGTTCTTATTTGACACATAGGGGAAAACTCTGGTCTGAGACTTACTTCTCCTTTTTTCTAAGTTCTCTTGTCTACTCAATTTCTTTCAATCTCTCATTTACTGAATTTGTGCTGATTCATGGCGGAGAACGTACATTTGATTTGATAGTGGTCAGGACTACATGTAGGGAGGAACATATAGGGACTAGGGTTAATTACGTAACACACTTGCAAACCACCGCTGTACCTAAGCGGCTCTCATTGGTACTCCTTCCAATACATAATAGAATCAATTGTTCTCCGGGCCTTCCGGTAGAGATTACTGAATTTCATAGCATTGAAGTATTAGGTGGGTAGTATTTATTTCTCTCGGCGACTCCATGTGCCATGAGGGGTTTTTCTTCTTCAGATGATACTACTTGACATGGCGACTGTGGTTCGTCTATCTTCCCTTTGAACCTTCGATTATAACAACTTGCAATAAGAAAACTCATTTTCCTCAGCCAAGGTACGACAATAGACTGATGCTATCACCATGGCGAATTAATGCTGCAATTCCAATATCTTTATAAACCATTATTTAAATAACAGGGAACTCTTGGAATCTCCGACTGATGGTTACGACATCACCAAGACTCTCTTGTCTTGTTCTATCCTCACCGGTACCGGCCTTCCCCCCTTTGAGCAGAATAGGTACTCCCCCCCCCCCCCCCCAAATAACTTTATGAAGTCCAAATTTACAAATTCTGTAGACGTACTTCCCACATCATAAGGAACGGCGTGACTCGAGTGGTCGAGGGGAGACAAAACCACCCGGCAATTCAATATTTGGTCTCGGCGGGCTGTGTCATAACGGCACTCCCGCGTTTCGTCTTGCGTATAACAGCCGCAGCCTTTTTATGTCTGTCTACCGTTAACACTTTGAAGGTGATCGCACGTTCAGCTCGCGATCGGAAAACAGAGTTAAAACTGGACATTTGGTGGACAGACAGAGGAGAAAGCGGTCGGGCCGATATGAGCAGAGAACGGGAAAGAAAATGTCTGGGCAGCGAGGACCGGAAGAGCGCGCTCTAAACCGTGTCAGAAACGACGAGTTTCTTCCATCCGTAGGCGCTGGCTAGCTTCGATATTGATGTCCCGCTGAAGCAATGTCTAAAGTTCGGAAGACTGCTACTAAATCATGACATAAACATTTGCTCTATGGGATGACGTCCTGTCCCAGGACCCATGACACAACTCGGACATTCGAGTTACTTGAAAAACAGCTGTTCAATATGATGATAGATCCAACGCGGCTGAAATGCACAATATCGCTCTCCTTTTTAGGTTTTATTTTATAGACTTGAATGGGAGTTCTTGTCCTGGAGTCTTGGCGAAGTCGACGATTCGCTCACAGAAGCACGGAGTATCACTCGCATGGATGACTAACGATAAGTTGAGGATGAGCTTTAGCGTAACCGTTGAGTATCCGTACCAATTTGTTCAAGTTTATTTTTTTTTTCAGTAATGTCTTCTTAGGTCAGCTGGAACCTCTGTAGGTAATATTTCCGGAGTGTCATCAGAGAACTGGACTCCGATAATCTCGCTTCTACTAGTGATAATTCATATTCTATCGTGTGGAGCGATAATAAGATTGTATCGACGTAGAAGCTCGAGATTAATCGATAGAGCTTCTATTCGGGTGTGTTCTGGAAGCGCTTCGCCGTGCTATTTGCAGCAGTGAAGCATTACACTTACGGCTTGTCATCATCCTATCTGCGGCACCTGTTGTTTACCCCTAATCCTTAGGGTTCGCACGAGCCTGTCACACTGCAAACCTGCTGGATCTTACACCGGAGTGCTTCCAAATAGAAATTAGGGCAAAAATAGCAAGCTGTAGAATGTTCTGAACGTACTCTCTCCCTAGACACCCCATGACCTAAACTCCTTCTATGGGTGTGGGTTATGAATATTGATAGACTTGTTTGAAATACACCTTATCTCGTTAGAAAGGATCCTAGGTTATACGAAGTTCCTACCATATCGCCTTTCTATTTTTCTGACCTCATCCGGGGGACTGGCATTATCGAGTGATATTCCATGAAGGAACATTTTTGTATGCCCGACTCCATTTATAGTGTCACGCCTTGGAAAAAGGTGGAAACGATAGTGAAAGCCATGTAAAAGCTCTCCATTGTCTCCGCCGGCTAGGCAGGCGGTACCTGCCCTCTTTGTGTCGGCATTTCATTGGTTACCTACGTCACCCGTATACGTATCGTATGAAGAATATTTGAATTCGTCCGGAAGAAAGATTTCCCATGGCAGCTATCTCCATTGAAAGCGGAAGTGTAAGCACAGGGGGAGCACATATGGAGGTCTAAGTGGTATGCTGTATAGCCCCAGCAACATCAAATCGATGTTTCTGTTAGCGAACAATTGGGGGTGACAGAGTCGACGACTTATCAGTTAGGGCCTAGAGTAAGCGAGTCCGGTGAGAACTGACCTGCGCGAATAGAAGCCGTGCTTCGTTTTGGTGTTACTTTGTTACGGAATGGTTTGTCTCTGTCGTGCCTATACGAAGTGGGTGGAGGTACCAAACGCGCGACCGGCTTCAGTCTGCTTCGGTCTACTTCAGTAGTATATATTCCGTGGCGTATCTTTGTTAATTACAAACATATACCTCGTTCTGTGAACGTAATTGGGGCGCGCTTCCTACTTTAGTTCGCTTGTTTCCTAAGAATAGGTGTTCTTCTCCCGAATGTCTGTTTTGTCACGTCATCGTTGGTAGTCAGCAGTGCTAAACCTACGCTCTGCAACCTCATACCTCAAGCACACGCACACTTCCCCCACCTTATATAAAGTCCAAAGCCACATCCAGAACGCTCACCTATCCAAATAAAGCCGCTCCTGCATGACCTCCCAGACCTGAACACCGAAAGAAAATACACCAACCCAAGACCGCGAAGGTTGACATAAATACGAACACGCACTCGGTCTGAGACCTTTTGTAACTGTATGTCCATGCTTGAACCCTCTCCATATTGTTCCCTGTACCCCTCCCCCCACCTCCCTCGCCCTCAGACAAACTGGTCAATCTCATTTTATCTGGTGGTCGGTGTGAACTGGGCCAAGGGAAAAGCTTCATTGCCCTACGTTCTAACATCTTGTGGTAACAGATAACGCAAGCGATAGTACTCTTTACGCGTATACGACTCTCTTGCAATGGCAGTGACCAAAGGAACCTTGCGAGCTGGTGGAGAACCCGCGAAAACACCCAGAGAGGAGGGCGCCCGACATACATGTACTCGTAAGATACCTGCCAGTAATTTCCAAAAGTGAGGATTACCTCTAATCTGACATAGTGAGCCCAATTGAAGAAATGTCGGAAGATTCGAATTTCTTTTACCTTGAGGGCGGTGAGGGGGTCGCAGCCTGGGTACCACTCGTCGCGGGTGAGCTACTCGGAAAATCTGATCTTTCTGAGGTCTCGTTTGCCGTTCTCACGCACCACGTGATTGTCTTCATGTCGCAACACCGTGAAATCCTATTGGATCCTTCTAAGCAGGACGCCTGCAGACCAATGGTTTATAGGTTCGCCAGACAGGTCATACCGGAGGTATGGGGAAAGTACATGCAGGATGAAAATTTCAACCCACTCGAAAGATTCGCTCAGTAAGTTGCATCTGTGCCAATTATCACCAGGAGACTCCACTAAGATGTGTATTTTTACAAGTGTTTATCGGATCGTCCGCGATCTGATCGAGATGTGTCTTAAGATTGATGTAGAGGATATTCCGACCGAGACCAGACGTGTCGCATGCACTTATCAGTGGTCAGAAACACCAAGCAGTGACGAGCTCCAGACCTCTTTGGGTAACTCTCCAGAGAACCTCAAGATGCTTGAATTCAACTATCACATTCCTATTCCGTTGGAACCTAAGGTTTTAATTTATCGCTCGGATTCCACCATAGCGAAATCGAGGTTGACCAAGGATGTTATGGGGAATAGGTTAGAGAGCGCTTTGTTGAGCACTCTTTCTGATCTTAATAGTCTTCATTCCAACATATTAGAAAATATGCACGGTAATAGGGCACTGGTGCCAAAGGAGAACTTTGAGCCGGGTGAGATGATCTGGTCCACACCACTTCTGGGATTGAACATTGGTGGTATCAGACGCCCTGTTTACGTGGTAGGATTCCTGTGTCTTGATTTCTTGAACCTCAGAACACTTCTCTTTTTATAGTCGACGAAACTAATATTGGTTGGGGATGCTAAATAGGACCCCAAAAAGGTCATGCTACATGATTGCATGATGCCCGTTATGCCTCATAAGAACGATGATAAAGACTTCCAAAACTTTTGCTCATCGGGCACACAGTCCCCATCTCGAGATGACCTAGTAACTGCGATGAAGAGGTTTAAACTCAATCCCGACAGTGCTGGTCCGAAAGGTATCCAGAAAAGGCGCCATATTCCAAAAACCAGATCTCCCCTTCAAAAGATGCAACTTGCGTGCGACAACGCGTGCCAGTACGACTCTGATTTCGATAGATTCGTCAATCACAAGAGTCCGCCGATCAATAATTCCCCAGGTTGTATCTGGTTCTTTGAATAGCGGGATCGCGTCCTAGGTAGGACGGCGAAGTTCAGTGTAAGACTGGAAGTTCTAGGAGTTATCAGAAATGCGAAATTAGAGATATTAATGGCGGGGGGGGGGAGCATATTTTGGAGCGAGATATTATTCACATGTCTTGTAGTGGATAGAGGAGTGGTTAATTATCTTCGTAGTATAGCTCTCACAGTTTAAAGTTGTTTCAATAAATAGTGCACGTCAGGTTTTGGACTGAGACTCTGGTTTTACTATCTCTCCAATGTGCTTGCTCATGGGATGAGTGTTTGTGAACCATTTATGAAGTGTGTGATGCCTTGAGGAATGAGAGACTAAACGATTTAGAGAGAAATTCGTCTAGAAGCATAAGTTGAATGGTGATCCGCTGGTTTGGCCGTGGATCCTCTTTCTGGGATAGAATAGAGAAGTTGGCAGATTATTCAATAATGCTTCACGTGGGTTTGACCAATGAGCCCCCTCGACAATATGTACCACAATCACCAGACCCTATTTCTATTAACAAGAGCCTCATTGAAGTGGATGATACACGGAATCTACATTTATTTCATATACGCAACCGCTAATATCTAATCTGTACTGCCCTTAATTCTGCGAACCTACTAGCCCTCTGATTAGCCAAGAGCGGAACCTAACCCTGACCTCTGCGTGGCAACGGGCTCAAATGCCACGGAATGTCAAATTCAACTGCGGCTTTATACTGGCGGGTATTGCGCACTATTATCAAAATAAAAAAGACGCCAAGCGGTACGTTTTGGGTGGTTATAGTATCTCTTCTTTCATACACAAAAAAAGAACAAAAAGTACTGTGCGGTTCCGGGACGAACTGGCACTACTCCCACCCCTGGGTCGAACCCTGGCCTTCTGTGATCGAAAGCAGGGCTAAACCTCGCGGTGTTCTTGGGCGAGGGCTAAACCGTTAGACCACTCGCCCATGTGTGTTGGTGGCTAGAAACGACCTTTGTGCGCCAAGGATGGTTGGCTAGTTAATATGTACTACAATCCGTTCTTTTGGTGTGCACAGCAGGGCTGGGTGGCCAAGCAGGCACGACACATCACAATACTGGGCAGTCAGAAGTCTTACGGCGCAAAAAAAAGGCCCCATATATAGTCTATGGGTTGAGTTAGATAAGAGGGTGGAAGGGTAAAGTGTCAAGGTCAAATATGTTCTCCGTCTGGAGTACACCAGTAGCTTCGATAGCGTAGTAGTGACATTACTCTCCTCGAGTCAGCGCCCCGTTTCGGCCGCGCTAATCTTGGTGTTGGGGGGTCGCGGATTTGAGCCCCTCAAGCAAGGTTTCCAATGGTAGAAACCGGTTGTGATAGAAGACAAAACTGCACTGACCACTAAATCAAGGAACTCAACCTGTACCAACTGTACTAACTATTTATCTTGACAGTTTTAACTGGTTTAACCGCTTAAACTGCGGTTTATGCTTTGGCATACTCACCGTGATAACAGTCCTAAAAATAGGCGTTGATGTTCTCGGACAGCGTGTTCGAGCTTTGGAACTGACCTGCTCGAGCTCAGGAACTGGGGTGTTCGAACTTACGAACATGAGTTGTATAAACCGTTTAAACCGTCGGTATAACCGGTTGTGCATACCCCTAAACCGTTCAAACCATGTATTGAGGGCGAGAAGAACTGTACCAACTGTTAACTTAAACGGTTCCGTTGAACCGGTTTAAACCATATAACCGGTAAACCACTGGAAACCTTGCGGGCCTCAAGAAGCATATTTTTTGTCTATTTCCTCTTTTTCCTTCTTTTTTTCTGAGAGAAGAGTTTGTACATGAACATTTATATTATAAATGAAAGCATGACCACATCCTGTGGGCCAAAGGTTCTGCTACATGTAGTCAGTAGTATATCCCACCCGCCCCGCAATATAGGTACATACATGTATACATGTAGGTCTATAGAAAAGGTAATTGACACCTATGTTAGGGATCTTCTCTATTTCAGTAATAAATAGCATTCCAGAAATCATTTTGGCATGTAAATAGGATTGGCCCAAAAGGTTTCATAGGGCACGACACAAATTACACCGGTAGTACACAATTATAACAAATAGAGACCGTAGAAGGAAGGAATGTTTAGTGCTGCTGCGAGTGTTCTCTGTGAAAGGATTTGACCTTTCGTCCCCGCATGAGACATAGTACGTACTTAGGTATTTCCTTAGTTTGTTCATCTTCCACGCATCAACTTGTAGGTCCAGTACGTCCCATCACGAAGCCCTACAAGTTTCCATCCGAATCTTGAAACATGCAACTGGTCCACAGCAGCAAGTCCAAACATTGGCAGACTGTGAGATCACCAGCCATCCGATTAATCCACTGGGTCTGGACCGTGCCCAACCACAATTAACTGATCTTCTGAGTACTTGTGCTGATTGGTCTCTGCCAAACCAGTCCCGACGCAATCTCATTATGACCTTCTAGTACGCACTGACCACCTAAATGCTACCCACGGCGCCATATGTCATCGTAGAATACATATCTAAAGTTTAACCAAAGAGATCCTCGGTCTGCTCTTACATCACCAGCCCCGCTCTGGAACAACACTCACACCACTATCACCTCTCAGCGAGAACAGGACAGCCTTCTACATTTACAAAGGACCCCGAATCTCCACTTCTTTCGCACCTCTATCTAAACACCACTCCACAGCTCCAGGTTCACTACACCTAAGATACGACCGCAACGTTTTCTGACTCCATCTTGATTTTCAACAGCCAGGAATCAAAAAGGTCGCGCAATGCAGAGCGAAAAACACGATAAGAAGGGGAAAATGCCAGAGTACTCGATTCCCCAGCAGCAGGAAGACCGAGAGCCCACCAAAACACGTAGAAGCCCAACACATACCTCTCTCTGTAGAAGAAACACTAACATACCTCGCAGCAGATACTGGTATCTATCATTCCGAATCTTCCCGTGACGCTGTTGCAGTCTCTGGTCTTGGTAGTTGCCCCCCCCCCCCTCCCTTTTCCAGATACCTCGCTTCAAATCCCGAAGAAAATTACTAACATAGACCCAGACGACGAAGACAATAGCCTTATCACATATATGACGTTAGCAGTTATGCGTGACCCCGATCTCGATGGTCTCCTCAAGCGATCGGAGACCGACCCTAGCTGCGGCGAAGAGATAAGATTACGCATGATCACGCTCTACCCACGTGCCGGGGGTATTAATGATCTTTTAAAAAGGCTATATCGGTCCCGCATCAAGGAGGAGAAGAAGAGGCCTTGGGCGGCTTCGCCCCGTATATTGATTAGGCCCGCGGGAATAAGGGTGCACCGAACCGTTGGCGGTTTAAGACTACCAAGGACGGTCATAGAAACATCAACGCAGAGAATTGAGAGAAGGATGACGAGGCCGCCGAGAGATCGGAGAAGGACGAGGGGGGGCATGCTGAGGACTGACGAAACGAATATGCTGGTTGACCGTTTTGAGTCACTGTTGTCTTTCCAGGGGGGTGCGGAGAACAGCAGCGAGGACCAAGCTAGAGAGGATGAAATGAGTATTGACTAATACGAGATGGATTTTGGGATAAACATCATCTACTAGTCCCTTTTTTCCTGTGTTTTTATTTCCCGATTTTAGGAGTACTTGGAACGGTTTAGGAGAATCTACAGTCCCCTACCTTTTTTTGTAACGTAGCTTCTGTCATAGTACAACTTTAGGCAAGGCCTCTCCCAGCAATGCGAGATCTACTATCGTTAGAAAGATGTTATTTAATCGTAGTCTCGTGCCAGCCTGTGGTGTGATTCTCCAGCAAACGACGAGCGAGTTTTCAAAGGTCAGGGCACGAGACTAATTTAATTGATATTTAGCATGATAAAAAAAAGCTACTCTCTCTTTAACCATGACTGTAAAATAAGTGATCTGAGTGATGCTGGGATACTTTAGAAAGCCATAGGTCTAGGCCATGATGCGCAACGACCCTTCCGCCCACATTTGCAATCCCAACCTTTCTGATTCCGAGACCCCCAAACCCAAAGATCACGATTGCCATGCATTGGCAAATTTATGAAGACCCGGGACGAGGGACTGGGCCTCTTCACAAGTCTCATCCGGGGTTTCCAGTGGTTCATCGGTTATATGGTTCAAACCGGTTTAACTGAACCGTTTAACTTAACAGTTGGTGCAGTTCTTATCGCCCTGAATACATGGTTTGAACGGTTTAGAAATCTGCAAAACCTGTTATACAACGGTTTAAACGGTTTATACAACTCATGTTCATGAGCTCGAACACCCCAGTTCCTGAGCTCGAACACGTCTGTTCCAAAGCTCGAATACCCTGTTCGAGAACATAAAGAGCGATTTTTTGGACTGTGATTATGGTGAGTATGCTAAGATATAAAACCGCGGTTTAAGCAGTAAAACTAGTTTAAATTGTCAAGATAAACAGTTGGTACAGTTGGTACAGTTTGAGCTGCTTGATTTAGTGGTCGGTGCGGTTTTGTCTTATATCACAACCGGTTTCTACCGTTGGAAACCCTGGTCTCATCTGATACTATGGAAATACCAGTAGACGCCCAGCCAATCATAGTAGATCAACGTATATAATCTATACCAGCTTGCACGACTTGAGAGAATATCAGCCAATTAGAACACTTGGTAAGAGGACAAACTCGATTGAGTCTCCAGCAGGTAATGGTACAACGGACAGAGACTCGAGCGATGAGTAATTATCGATTCCATTTATCTGTACAGCTCTCACTCCTCACAGATACCAATCTTTCTAAACAAAGAAAACAAATAGTACTGCATTTAAGATCAGGCCCACCCCTACGACTCCCACGACTGGACTTAACCATGGATTTTCTACGGAAAGACCAGGCATAACCGCTCGGTTCTGGCAGGCAAGTAAGGCAGAGAACCGATGTATCATTCGCTCATGTGTATTCTTGACTGGAAATGATTTCTGGTCTCCCAGGGACGCCAAGGACTGTCAGAAGCGCTTAGCCCGTTCCGGCGTGAGAATGCTTTGGAACGTCTTCGTTCACATAGCTCACCCAACGCGACATGTCGGATAACCATTGTCCACTACACCTCGAAACGCTATAGTCATATACAAGATGTAATCACTACATGGAGTCAATGCGTCCCTCGTATGCCTCAAGTATCTTGAACACCTTCCTCACGTTTTCGAAGAGGACTCTGCATATGGCGCAAAAGGGTGCCTTGGGGAACGATGCTGTCAGCCTGTCGACATCGGCGAGACACAGTATCTACGTGGGCTTATAGCCATAGAGTCCAGTGGGAGATGAGGCTGTTGTGCATCTTCTTCCCGGGATCAATAATAGAACAAACTTCAGTTATATGTACCGGGTGTTGTCGTTCACCAAAGTCCTCTATCTCCTCAAATTCCCACCTTACGCGATCACCACTGTGAAGAAGCCAGTTCTGATAAAACTCTACACAACCCTCAAGTCACCGCCCCCCCCGCCCCCCCCTCTCCAAGCATCATATCCTTTTCTGCAGCTTGTATCTCTGTGTTTTCGGATGGTGCAGTGGGTCAGGCTTTCACAGCTTAATCCCACGTGTTTCATCTATCTCCTGGCTAGTTATATTCTGGTTGTCAAGCTGATAGTCAAGCACCCACACGTACAAGCCATCAGACGGTAAAAGCATTCGAGACGATTCCCACATATTGGAGCTCTCTGGACGAGGCAGAACAAATCTAGGACTAAGGGTTCAATTGCGCTGGTGAATAAGAATGGTATGTAGTGCAGATATAGTATTCTAGATATCTCCTTCGATATTGGAAGCTGATAGTTAATTAATATTTTCTGCCTCGCTCGACTACCAGTTGACTGTTCAGTCCACGCAGAGTCACTTCTACAAAGGATTGAAGCGCACAGCGGAAAGGTAGACGAGGAACATGAAAAACTGGAGATTATTTGGCCTTGCAAGAGGTAGGAGTGGTGAACTATGAACGACAGGATGCATCAGACCTATCGACACTGCCCCAATATCTCCGGCCAATCGATATCCCCTTAACCTTGAACCACAACGTGCACTTCGCTTATGATGCAGTCCTCACCCGCAGTCGTTTCAATGGAATCCGCAGTACTGGGCCCAATTATCAAATTCCCCGGGAGTTCCGCACAGTCTCTCACAGCCTGAAGCCCCCCCTCCTTCGCCGACCTAATGACAACTGGTCCTCTCTCTACTCCGTCACTTTGCACTGCGGCCACGTGATCCCCATCTCCCACCCTCTCAATTCCACTAGCACTCGCTAGGAATTCCACACGATACTTGAGTGCGGCCTTGACTTTCTTGAAGTAATGCTGATTTTTGATGATCTTGCCCGTCTTTCCCTGCTCCTGCGAAAGGATGCGGATGCTCTCGTTCAAAAGACCCCCAACCAGGGAAGCCCCCGGTATATGGCTACGGAGCCAATCTTCAATCTCCTTCTTTGAAGCGGCATCCCTCCCTTCATCTCGATAGTGCTTCAGAAGGTCCAGTAGATGCTCGTTACTACCTAAACCTTTCGCGATACCTACCCAGATTGTGGAGGGGCTATAACCTAAGAATAAAGGAGATGTTAGTCTCCTGGCAGATGCCTCACGAAGTAGGGAAAGAAGATATACTGGGCTTGATCTTGCGTTGTCGACGTTTTTTTCTTGGCCTAGAACTTGGGAGTTTGTCCTCTGGCAAAATTGGGAGGACCACGGGAACGGGGGTGGGCGTGACATCCGCCGACATTCCGGGATGCTCTGCAGACTTCGACCCTACCCCGGGCACTCCCTTGGGCGCGGTTACTCGCTGTGGCGTGATGGGATGATAATCCGCTGACCTTGTGCTGGTAAGTGGTGCGGCAGACGCAGCACCAGGTGGTGATTTGAGCCATGCGAACATTGTCACATCGATGGGCGAGACATTCTCGGCGGCGACTGCGAGCGGCGGCGGAGATCTTCGGTTAGGCGACCCTCGCTCGAACGGAAATGGACGGTTGGTGGATTCCATGGGTACTTTGAACTTTATAATGGGTGTACAAGATAGTAGTGGTGTTGTGGTTGTAAAATGCGTCTCAAAGTCGATGAAGCGTGCCGTGTTGGGCTTCCACCCATACCACGTGACTTCGCCGACCCCAGCAAATAAATGATCCACCTCTAGGAATAAAATTCTAGTGTATACAGGCTTCTGTACTAGCTTAGGCTCAGCGAGTATGCAGAGTCACAGTTCATTCTTTCCCTTTTTTGAACCCCTCTACATCCTACAATAAATAATGATTAATTTCGTGGTGTAGTAGCAGTTAAGTGCGAACTCCGACCTCCTTCTTACAACATAGACCGGGCCAGAGCTTCTCTACCATCTCCTATCATCAGGTGTAAGCTCTTTTTTTCCCGCAGAGCAGCGAAGCACCCACCCCCCTATGTGACCTACAGTACCACCCACTCCGCATGAATGGAATCGCAGCTTCATAGAATATCACTCGCAGTCTTTTTGCCCGTGCCAAGACTCCGGTCACAGCGGTCATCTTGTGACCGATGCTTTTTTAATTCAACTCTCACACCACCCGCGTTCATTGAGAACCAAAAAAGGAGAATATCTCAAGACCGGCAATCCTGAGAATGACCGAATTCCCATTCCGGATTCCCATTCGGGTATTTTCTACTGTTCAGAATTGAAAGTTCTACAATTTCTACTAATGCGCCGAGGACTAATGAATGACCTTTCGCGCAACAACCGCTCTAAGCGATCGATCGGAAGGTCATGCTTATCGATAAGCGAAGACCTGTAGGAGCCCAAGGTATCAGACCTCGAGCTCGACCTGTGGCTCGACGCTTGCTAGGTTATGTCAAATAAACACCCCGAGGAAGGTTGAAGGATTATAGGGGCTCCGCCGAGAGAACAGCTGACGATGACCTGTGTCTGAATCGGCGTGCGAAACTCCTTAAACTTTCGCAAATCTTATGATGCTCTGATGACGGCGGATATCTTGATGTATATCTGGCCTTACCCCCATGACATCCAGTCATGTAATCCGCGCATAAGTCGAATCTTCGCCTGCAAAAAGAAGACCTGGGCAAATGATCTTCCCACACATGGCTCAGTTTGCAGGTACCTCTTTAAGCGGTTTCAGAAGTCTTCCCTGGCCATTGAACAGGTTTCGATGAATGCTTCCATGACGGAGCTCATCGATGTTCCCATACCCAGGTGCTAGATCTTATTGCGTATGGCAGCATTATGCGACATTCAACCGTGACCAATTGGTGAGAAGGTATGTATATGTCGATCAGTACTACAGGAGGGGAGGGATTGAACCTTGCTGCTGATTTTGATACAGATTGTGGTATGAAGGTCGAGGTATTTATACAAAAAACATGATATACCAAGGATTGGGTTCAAGCCTTTAGGACCGCAATGTGAGGAATACTATCAATTGTGGCCCATGATATGATTCCTTCTTTACACAATATCAGCAGTGGTTCTACGCTCGGAGACTCGATATTTGGCCTAATTTGGGGTGGTAATGCTGATTGGCGCCTTTTACACCCACCTAGTAATGTGCACGAGCCAGATTTTCTTGATGGTTTTGGCAAGCGAAGAGGGGACATTGGCAGCGGTTAGGAAATGAAGGGCTGGACCAGTCCCGGAAATCTCGATACAAGTCTTGTAAGCTTTGCCTTTTAGCTATAACTCCTTGCCCGGGTGGAGAGTGGTTTTCCAGGTTTCTTCGGAACACTTCGGAACAACGCACACGACGATCTCCGAACGTATTTATAATAATTTCTCAGCTTTTCTTATTGGGAAGTTATACACAGAAATGTCTCGAGACTTTGACAGAACTAATCGGATTTCTTGAGGCTTTAAGCCCCGATTCGGGAAACAAAATGAGACAAGATTTGCCCAATTGAATCTATTCTACTGTCGTGCTCATCAGTACAGCGGTAGGTAATAAGTGATGGAACGCCCTGAGGTACAGTTATACCTGCAAACACCGTATGTTGGTGGCGTTTTACCTAAACCAGGTATCACTGTGTCTCAAGCCGTTCCATCACTTATTACCTACCTCTGTACAAACACCGGGTATATTTAAGTTTAATGATAAATCTATTGATCCTTTCAGAGGTGCAAGCTGTGAAGAAGAAAAGAATCTGTTGATATTTCCGTAGTTCTGGACACATGCACGGATAAGCGGCGATGCCGCTCTAATTATAATAATCATATATTAGATAGATTGGGGTATATAGGACACATTCAGTACTGGTGTTCGCGTGTATAGCGTTCTGTTTATAATGTGTCAGAACGGCAAAAGGTGATGATAGATCAAAATACATATAGACATTCGATGTAGATACATATATACCGTTCGTTACGAGTGTTTGAACACGGTGTCATCCCTGTGTGATTATTTTTACTCTCCGACATAGCTTACTCTCTGATTGCACTAACGTAAGAAATATTGAGAAGCCCTGAAGGCGGGATCAAGCAAGGCGGAGATTCATGGGGAGGAAATCGTCGACTATTTTCTTGGAAGAGTCTTCGCACGATGTCTGACTGAGGGGTAGAAATTATGCTTTATAAGACCAACTGTCCTCTTTAAATCCTTTGGATAGTTCAGTTCTCCGCTAAAAAAAGACTTTTTTATGGGAACTATGAACGTCTCCTTTCTTATGGGCCGGACCGCGGGATATTACGGCGATATCTGTCATCATACATCGGTCATCCTTCATATTCATTTACTTAACATCCCATCCTGGTGGTCTATGTCGGGGGCGTACCGATCGGAGAGCTTTCAATTTCGGAAATCCTTCCCTGGAGGTGTAGCTCATCAAATCGCCTCATATAACAAGATAAATCTATTTTTGTCGAATGCCACTCGATTACTACGACCACATGTAAGATGTTTCGGATGAGATTCTTCTTGGCATAGGCAACGGGCCAATTAACAGCAAATGGACGCTCTACCCACAACTCCTCCCCTCCTCCATAAGACCCACTATTATACCAACAGTCAACAAACACAATTGCAAAATCACTAGTTATAGAGGAGTTTAAGGCCGCGTTCTGGCAACCGCTAGTTCAAATATTGTGAGGTTGTGACCTGCCAATGTAGCAACGGAATATGTCAGGATTGCAACCTGGCAGAAATAAAAATTTAGGGCGTGTTCTGCTACCCATAGCACATTAAGCCTTCGCAAGCCACAATGGTGTCTCGATGAGTGTATTTTCATGTGAATGAGAGCTCTAGCAATACAATAGTTGGCGCTGGTGAATTTGATTGTGAATTTGGTGATAGCGCGGTGAGGATCGAGTGATACAAGCTTGAATATTTTGGTCTGAGTAGAATATTTTAGATCGTGATATTGGGACTCTAATAGGATGACAAATATCACAAAAAGTGGTTGCTCGAACACTAAATACCTTCACATATTGTGCCAAGACGGCCGAATATCGTGATATTCGTTGCAACAGGGCGCGGCCTAAGCTTTCAAATCCCTACGATTGAGCCCGTATTAATACCTGAGATAATACAAGATTAGAGCTCACAGATATAACCCCTCTCGACCTTTCCAGATGTGGTTGTGTTGCAAGGCGATTTTGAAGTTGCATTCCCGTACTAAGTTTGATTATAACGCAGTGTCCAGCTAATTTTGGCAACTCGCAATACAACATTATGACCGATCAACAGCACGTTGAAGGCTGTTTTCTGTAGTTCCCTAGAGTCTCCTCCAGATTGATCACGAATACGAATCGATATGAACCAGAGAGAGAACTGATGAGATTATGATGGGTGATGGTCTAGTCTAAGCGTTCTGTGGTCGACTAATTCTAGTCTGCTTCTAGCTATTACGTTTCCTTCTTGTCTCCTGATTACGTCGCTCAGTGGCTTAGCCACAACCATGTGCCACAACGTTTACCGAACACGCCTTCAATGGATTTTCAGGCTAAGAAATACACGACTTTGTATTAAAAGCTCGCAAAGGTTTAAGACCCATCGGCAATACATGCACCTAAGGTCCAGAAAACCTTCGCTCACCGTTCTACACATGCTGGTTACAATGTACACATGCAGTTTCTTGCCAATAACGAGTGATGTTCGATGACTGCACATTTTTCCCCGCCCTTCCCAAGGTTCCGCTCCAAACATGCGGCGGCATCTAGTGCATCAACTGGTGGGAAATAAGTTGGCGGGAACCATAAAGAGGCAACTTTAGTCAGCAGGGTTTAATACTTATGTACATGTAGGTAACACAAGAAACCAAAGCGAGTGATCTTTTATGAACTGGCTGACTAACATCGCGACATACCCCATGTGTTCTTAAGTGCAATACCAGTTCCACTTAATGAGAGTTACCTGTGTAATTCGATGTGCTGGTTCTGAGAAGACCTTTGGAATTATCTGAAGTCGGAGGAAGCTGCAAACTGGTTTTTCTCTCACAGTATATTTAGTTTTTATTCAAGCCTCAGATCTTCTTTTGTCTCGAACCAGACGTTAGGTGGTACAGATCACGTGCCTGAATAATAATAAACTTGGAAGCAAGAGGCTGACGACTCAACCACACGAATTAATTATCAACCACGCTGAGCCTAATTGGGTCTGACTCGAGACAAGATCTTCTTATCGGACCAGTCTGAGCGTAGATATTTGAACAGTGCGGTAGAACAGGAGTTATTTGAGCGTCTTCCAAAGACCGTTGAATAAAATAACTCCGCTTATTTCGTCAGTTCCTTTTAGGAGATGATGTAAAACCTAGAACCCATACGTCACACCCCGAAGCAGCGTTTCCTTCTAGCCAAACTGAGCAACCTAGGAGCCCAATGACACAATCCAACAGCCCCTCAAATTCCACCAAAGACTGGGACCTTCGCTCCCGAAGAAAAATGGTCAAGAGGTAATAGCTTATGCGTACCTACATAGGACTTGACCGTTTTCCCCATGAGCTACCACTTAGGTATATTAATACGTTTTTTGCTGCTCGAGAGGAAGGGCGTTCGGATCGCAAAATGTATCTCATTGATTCTCCCCCAATTTTGTGCTTTTTCTTTGTTGTTGTACGGTGCGGCCGCCGGTCTTAGGTTGTGACAGCTTTGTCTCCTGTTGTTTGATCTATCTCCTGGCAGAATGCGCGCCCGACATTCAAGAATTTTCCTCACTTCGCCGTGCGGTGCAAACATTTTTTCGCATATTGCACTTCCCGTATAAACAACGAACATCTTATGTGATACGTGGCACCCTAACCCCCAAAATCGTTGGTGTAGAGTTCGTACCTGAACCATGCTGAGGCCTCAGCACGCTTGCCCAGTCTGTACCAGGTCTTATTCGGTCATTTTAGCTCAGTTTGCTTCAGCTTTTCCCAAAGGAAGAACCACTCAAAACGGTTGAAAACACTGCAATACTGTGGGCCAATTGGCTCGGTTGCCGTACCTCGCTATCGGACTGGATATCTGGGCATGTCCAGCAACTTGCCTGATGAGATGGCTGGCTCAGTGGAGTAGGATGGTACACCGCATGCGACCTGGTGCGTAGCGTTTTCATCAAAACAACTATAGCGCGTTAGTTTTCAATTTATGATTTGACACCTTATTGCTTAGGAACATGAAAAGACTCGCCATATATCAACCCAGCCCCTTGAAAGCGCCCATCGTGGCCCCACAAAAACGGGTTCGACCCCTCTATTCACTCACCACTCATTGTACTCAAAATCCACATATACAGACACACACACATATAGACACATACACGAAATGTCTTCCATCGCCGAAGAACGCCTTGACGACCTGCGCGAGAACGTGAATGACCTCCTTAACTATGAGATTATCAGTGATGTGGAACTGAAGAAGGTCCTTGACCGCGAGGACGTTTTCGAAGCGAGTACGGCCGACATGCTGGCACATATACCAAAAGCACTGAAGAATGATTTTCTAGATGGGTTGATTGCCAGAAGGAGGCGGCGATTTGATAAAGAAGTTTTGGAGGTATGTAGGTACTTTGCTGGGTGTTGGGGGTTGATGGAACAGGTTTTATCCACCACTATAACGTGGGTGACGGTGGAGAGGGGGCCGCCCAGGTATGGTGAGAATACTGCTGCAGAGTAGGGAGATTTGGCGACGGTTTGAGGTAGTAGGTAGGTATTAGCGAATAGCGAAAATCTGTGTAAGCAGTAGACATTATGTCAAGTGATCATAAAATTTCAGTCGTCCTTCGAACTGAGAGATGATGTAATGAATAACGATTACACCAGATGAAAGCTTCAAGTATAGGAGTGCAAAGAAAATATAAAAGAGATACTTTCATGACTGTGATAAACTCATGGTGGGCGCGGGGAGATGTACCATGCATGGACTCTAATATCTTTCTATGCGTACACAGTAGTGGTGGGTGGCTTAGGACTGGAGGCACGACATCTCAAAATACTTAGATGTAAAAAGCACTGAGCAGTCAGAAGCCCTACGGTGCAATAAACACCCCATATACGAATTCAGTTGGATGAGAGGGTAGAAGGGATGGTAAGGGGTAGAGGGAGCAGAGCGCCAGGCTCAAATATGTTCTCCGTCCGGAGTACACCAGTAGCATCGGTAGTGTAGTACATAGTGACATTACTTTCCTCGAGTCAGCACCCATTTCGGCCGCGCTAATCTTGGCGTTGGGGGGCCGTGGATTCGAGCCCTCCAAGAAGTCGAAGCGGATTTCTTTTTGTCCATTTCTTTTTTTTCTTTCCTTTTTCCCTCCCTCTCTTTTTGAGAAAGAGGAGTTGGAGCTTGCAAGAGCTGGCTGTTACCTTTATGGGCATACCCCCGATGCCAGGCTCGCGATGACTATGAGTTCGATGAGAAAAGGTACATGTATACATACATATTGAGCTTCCGAAAACCTGATGAATATCACCTGAGAATAGTAAGATAATATGTCCGCATACAGATCATTGGATAGTTGTAAGATATGAACCCTGAGTACATCGTTTCTTTCACGTATAACAAGGTTGAGAGACTACAATAGCTGAAGACTTGTGGGACCTAATCATCATGGGATGATGCTCAGCAGTAGGAGGAATGGAAAAGCTTAAGAACGCAGGGTTAGTCACAGAAGAAGAAGGAGCAGTACGTTAGGAGACACGAATTGTAAAAAGCGACTGAAATACGTGACATTGAAATTCTTCAAAGTAACGTGCTACTCAACAGATCCAGATCGGCAAAAAAAAATGATCTCAACCAATCTTACACTAACCGCGAGATATCCTGTCTAGGGATCAGGAAGAGACATCTCCTTGACAGGTACAACCTCCGAGGCAGTGTCAGTCCCTGAACCGGTGTCTTTGTCGACTGCACCAGCATCAAACTTCAAGCCTCCAATGATAGCATAAATGTCATTCATTTCACCAGCACTGTTTGCCCCCGCCAATTCCTGTCGTTTCTGCTTTGCCATAAGACGACTATGTAACCTTATCCTGTCACGCCTAGCCCTAGCATCAACCCCAGGATCTCGCACCTCCCTACCCGCAGCCGCTTCGTTCTGAACGAACTTGCGCTGTCCCGCCCGGCGCTGTTCCTCGAGCTCAAGCTTCTTGTTTTCATATTCCTGAACAGTTAGACTCTCCTCAAAACGTGCCAGGAGCTCCGCCTTGTCTCTCTCAGCAATTGAATCTCGGAGAGCCTTCACGTCGTGACGATACTTCAGTGCTACCCGGAGAGGTTCGAGGGTGTGCCTATCACAAATGGCGTTGAGTTCACTGATGAGATTCGAATCTCTGCCAGCGCCGGGGTCAATTGCAGCGACGGCATTGAATAGTTCCGTGCGACCTTCACTGGTGTAGGAGTTCTTGACTATCTCCAGGAGAGTATCGTCGCCGGAAATCTTTTGGGCAACGCGGAGCAATAGTACACGCCATTCCTCTACGAGTAGTTAGCATGAGTACACATGTACGGCGGGAACGATCTCTAACCTCTCTTCTGCTTTCTGGCTTTTTTCTGTTGTGCTTTGGACGGTTCAGCTTTCTCGCCCGCCTGGTCCCCATCGTTGGCGCCGGAGAGCGAAAGGTCGGTCGCATTGTCCGCCGCTATTTTCCTCGCATGCTTCCTAGCTTGTGCCGTCGTTTTCGTCGGATTATTCCTCAGGCTTGTAGGACGGAGTCCCAGAGGTGGAAAGGTGGTGTCATGGGGGTTTTTATCTTCGCCCATTTCGATGTCTGCCTCATGATTATATGTATGAGTAAGATTATCATGAATTGGATGGATTGTCGAGACATACCTCCGGAATGAATTGCAGCTTGCTCGGCAGCGTCTTTCTTGCGCTGCATCTTTTCTTTTCGAAGCACGTTGCGAATCTCTCTAGCACTCGACGGCATGGTTGCTTTTGTAGTTGTGTCTTTGGCGTTGCATACAGAATTATGATGGAATAAGTTGACGGAGAGGAAAGCATGTGTGTTGGTTACGTAGAGATCTATTTAGCGCGATAGGACTTAGGGTTGGGCCATGCGTTTTGACCCCGTTGTTCGCACTAACAAAAATGTCGGCCGGCTGGATCCGATGACCTTGAATATTGGGATCTCTAAGTGAGTAGAACATCCTATAACAACGTTCATCCACCTTTTTTCTAGTAACCGGAGATTCTGACCGTAGTAAAAATCAAATCAATTGTAAAAGAATACATCAACTAACCGGATTCCTTCATATTGGTACTGAAGTTGGTGTGAATAAATGTAGTCTTTCTGGAGATCTAAATATATCACGCGGCTACAGGCTTTTTACCCAGACCTGAGTTTAATTTGATACCCATCATGCAAAATAGATATCTCGTCTCTGGTTGATAAAGGATAGAGCACGATAGGGACACACTGGAGGAAACACTTGCGGTGATTTAGAAAAGAGTTTCGTGAAAGGGACCGATTCTGAGAATCATTCACTTCTATTTTCCATAATCGCACGGCAGTCATATTAGGCTCTTGAGAAAACGCTCAACGCACTTACCCCATCCTCTAGTTGAACTCACAACTATCTTATCAGCCCTCCATTGAAATATTAAGGGAAATATTTATTGAGAAACCAAGCACACGTCATTACTCAATATGTACCATGCGAATGTTGTATTTTTGAAGAAAAAGGGACAATATAAGACAGCCATTCCTAATGAAAGTTGCAGCTGTACATCTTGTGTCATAATTTATTCAAAACGCTAGTGAACTGTCAGAAGGAATATCTACTTCGTGTACCCTAGGTATCATCTAGAACATTTCATACCCCGCTAGAATGAGGTGTTCGTTGGTAGTTAATTGATCATGAGCCCATCCGCAGGCGTTACCTCTTCACTATTGTATGGAGTATGATGGTCAATGGAGTAGAACAGGACGCCGCTAGCGATTAGACAGGGAGAAGAGGTTTTGCCTGCGCCCGTCAAACCCAATGTTTATAGATGTCTTACTCGTTCCTCCCTGAGCTACCATCCACAGAAGAACGTCCCAAGTTAACACAGGTTATATATTCTAAATTGTTGGGAATACCATAACCTTATAATACCTCACATATTATTCCATTCAACTGGTTAATTTTCCTTGTCTTTGATTTCGCCCATCTTACCAAAAGAAGACGGTAGTGTGGCCCAAGAGGCTGCTCGAAGTTACTAGATACCTGTGTCTCGAGGAGGTTCTGCCTCGTATGGTATATAAACTTCCTCGCTCGTGCAAGGAAGTGACGCCTCGTGGTGCTCCTGCTGGCTCAATACAGCTGGTAGTTCCTATATTTAGACCTACCGAAACTCCTCTGTTTCCATATAGTTCGGCTGGTTTCCGAGGCCTGTAGGAGGCCGAGGGCTTGCCTCGAGCATGCTCGCCTCATCGACCCCCATGCCTTCAGCTCTCTCGAGGCAGAGTCCTTGAGGTGGTCCCGGTACGACATCAACGGTGATATGTACTTTATCAGGTCCGAGTCTGCACGTCTCGAGATCTTGCTGTTCTCCGTTTTCGTTTTTGATCTATATCGCTCGTCAGCTACAGTCACGCAATAAGCCCCAACCACCTGATGTCAGACAACTCATGTAGCAAGGAGTCCTCGCCCATGCAGATCTAATCGTACACTCCGTCCTAGCCCATATAGTTTGTGGTAAACGGAAGATCACAGCTCCATTTCTACAGCCCAAGTCTCCCTACACCTCCCCTAGAATCTAATATGTACTGCCCTTAATTCTGCGGAACTACTCGCCCTCTGATTGGCCAAGAGCGGAACCTAACCCTGACCTCTGCGTGGCAACGGGCTCACCCAAAATGCCACCCCCAAATGCCACGGAATGTCAAATTCAACTGCGGCTTTATACTGGGGGGTATTGCGCACTATTATCAAATTAAAAAAATACCCCAAGCGGTACATTTTGGGTGGTTATAGTATCTCTTCTTTCATACACAAAAAAAGAACAAAAAGTACTGTGCGGTTCCGGGACGAACTGGCACTACTCCCACCCCTGGGTCGAACCCTGGCCTTCTGTGATCGAAAGCAGGGCTAAACCTCGCGGTGTTCTTTGGCGAGGGCTAAACCGTTAGACCACTCGCCCATGTGTGTTGATGGCTAGAAATGATATTTGTGCGCCAAGGATGGTTGGCTAGTTTTGTATGTATTTCAACACAACGTGTGTCGAAATGAACTCCGGCTGAAGCAGTGATTTCTGCATGTTTATAGGTGTTTGATTTTATTAAAGTAGCTACGGAGTACTAATCGAGGGAAATCTTAGTCGAACAAACGCCAGAACGTGTGGCTTTTATAAGCAAGCGACGCCTACCATATCTGGATTAATTGCTGATTTATGCTGTATTTTGATGTTTCAATGAGCTTCGAGTATAATTATATAAGCCGAGGGGCAGAATGATATGTAAGGTCATATGATGTCCTCTTCTTATTGCCGGGTAAGAGAATAACTGTAGATTCAAGCGGTATTTACCGAAGCTTAATTTCGTCCCTTGCAATATGACCACTAGCAACCTCCCTCCCAACCTCATCCATTACCTTCCCCATCATATTGAACCCACATCTTCTCCATATTCACCAAAGATTTTCTGTCACAGCGCTGCTGAAAGTCAAGTCTTTAGAGGTCACGCAGATCTTCAGATATATCGATATACCAAAAGAGAAACAATCGTGCAGAAGGTCACTATGTCAAGAGGGATTGGTAAGTAACAAGAAACCCATTATCATATTTAGCTAGTCTAATAACATCTAATATCTATTGCGTGATAGAACCGTTGCTATATCTACGCCCAATAGCAAACGAATCTTTTCTTAGACAAGATGCATAGCTCCACATGAAAAGAAAAAAAAAAGAAATATGACGCTGTTCGTGGACTTAAAACCTCCAGCCTTATAAAACCTTCTCCTTTGGAGCCTTCGGAGGCCGTCGTACGATATCATCAACAATCTTTAACGATACTCAATCCGAGTACCCTGGACTTCAAGAAAGTTTTGCCATTCCTTGGGTGGATCAGTCACCTTTGGCGAGTCAGCATTTCATTGTTGAATATCAGTTTTTATTGAACTCATGCAATAGTTACATACCGGATCCTGAATGAGCCAGAGGTAGTGTCTGCCAGTGCGAATGTAGCCATCCACGGTAAGCTCGAAGCAGGTGATTGCTTGCCCCAGAAGACTGTGGACCTTCTTCTCGATACTATTAAGCCTCAGTAAGCAGCTAGGAAAACCAAAGAAAGAAAGGTCATATTACTTACGCAAAGATTTTAGCAGGGTCATCCGCAGACAGGTCATCGCTCCAACGGCAAGTAGAGCTAGCCCAGGTCCTGATTGTTACCAAAATCTGATTCAGAATTTTTATGCGACAGATAGCACGATCCTCGGGGGTGGCAGTTTGAGAGAAGTACAGTATGTGCCTCTCACCAACGATAAGGTCATTCATCGAGTTCCAGAGGGTCCTGCATTCATCCCTAGTGAGTCCACTCTCAATGAACAATTTGTACAATGCCTCAGAGGCCATGACATATTTGTTCCTTGACAGAGGTGGTGGGACAGCGTGAGCGGGAGCAGGAGAGTCTCCATCGCCAGAAGTTGACGACTCCGCTTGATTGGGTGTAGACATGGCTACTGTTGTTGAAAGGATAAAGAAAGATGCTTTCTTGCGCTTGTGCTTGGAGGGTAGAGTTGCTTGGAGTTCGTTGGTGGTTAGGTAAAGGATGAAGGGAGTGGAAGTGGGAAGTGGAGGCAACGAGTTGGTAAAGTAGGTGGGATGCTGTGTGGTTGAGTTTTCTTGGCCTGCCTACACACCCCTCAGAATCGGCCGGCAGGTGACGCTACCGACGGTAATAAGCGGGTCACTGGCGAAGGATCGGAATTTCGGCCGTCTACATCCAGAATCTGGCGCTGCCGGTTGTACGAGGAAGACCATACAGCCGCAGGAAATTTTCAATGGCTACATTATGAGAAGGCGTTTCTTTTCAACTTGTACGGGATCAATAATAACCTTATTTGTCGCCCCGAAAGACAACATGAGGTTGATTTTCTCTCTATGATAAAATAAGCACTGGCAGCGGTGTACTAATGGCTCTTATCATGGAATTGACAATTACATATACTTCGTGTCTAGCATGTGGTCACTCTAGCTAGTCGTACTCAGCTCAGCGATAGCTGAGGCCTCCGTTCTTTGCCACCAAATTGCAACCCACCAGTTATTCAATATCGGGAAGTAGAACCCTCACCCACTAACCCACCAAATCTCCTATCAGCTTGGCTTGGAAGCCTCAAATTTGCGGTGCACAATTTCCCCCGAATGAAATATTCTTATATTTACCCTCGGAGCTTTATCCCATAAAACATCTTACATTCACACGACAAAACATTATTATTTACCGTTAGGCAAACTCATATTCAAGTCTTATTTCTCAAGATATAGGGAATTGGCTTCCCAATGCTTGTTTAAGACACGCTCACAGGAAGTGCCCGTGAGGTTGCAAGACAGCGGCACAATGGATGAAGAGTGAGATGTCTCGGGGGTGATGGAAGCCCCTCCCGTTGTGAACGGCTTTGAACCCTGGACATTTGTTTACATTTCTGCCGCCAAGTCCTATTCATTTCATTCTTTTTTTATTCTATTTTTACTTCTCTCTATTTTACACCGAATAGCTCTTTCTGAGGTATGTCAGATTATGGTATCAATCAGGGAGGAGAGTCCTGGCCGCGGCCAAGAGACCACTCACTTTGCCTCATTTTGTTTTTCGCTCCCATGATTCATTGGACCTCTTCCCCCTCCTACACTTATCACTACGATATCTTCTCTGTTTGGCATTTCGTCAACCAGAAAGTTCAACAAGGATATCCTAACCTATCTTCCTGATATTCGATTTCTATGCTTTACTGCTCAGAGTTGTTAAGGATTACCGGAAGGGAATTTAAAAGTTTTGTGTGCACTGACAATCTTCGAATCCTACAGGAATGCAACTCTGTGCCCCAGACACCTCCAATAGTATTTGGCATACAGAGATTTACTGAGATTTTCGATCAGTCAAATTTCCTCTTGTTAAATCTGCAAGAATTCCCTACTGAAGGTATCTCCGAGGTAGAGGAGAGGCAGGAGATATGATCCATTCATTGACCTGTAGGGTTTGATGAAATGATCCGTGAGCGTGGAAAGCTCTTCACAACAAGCCCCATCATCTGAATTCTACGCTGTGTCAATTAACCGCCAAGCACTTTCTCCTCTTTTCCATGGCCGTACTGGACCTCCGTTATTAAGCTCACCTCCTTCGCGGTGTTCTTTCTGGCCTACACCCTGGAGTAACTTCGATCTCTGATATCCTGCTAGCTGCTAGTTGGTTTGGATCTTCATAGACCTTTGGTAGAAGAGCTCTACTCACCATAATTCCTTCCTGCTAAGGGCACTCGGGTTGATATGTGAACGCAGCTACCGGTAGACCCCAAATGACCGTGGTGGAAAATTGATAAATATCTAGCCAGCCTAGGGATAACGAGGTTACTCGGTTTTATATAACTAAGAACAAAATTAGAGTAAGTGAAATCATAGGTGAGTAAGGGGAGGTGAGTAAAGAAAAGGGAAACCGAAGAAGTATGAACACAGCCCTCGCACATCTAGATACTCCAATTAGTCGACAAGCATCTATTGCAGCACTACCTACATCTCCTATCTTATCTCAGTGCATAGCTACCATTACCGGAGCTCGGGATGATTGGCGACGGTTGATGGCTGTTAAGTTTAAGGGGGGAGCCTCGGAGAAGTCAAATTTTCTAATCAGCGTGCCTCACTCTGGAGGTGGAATGTTACGGTGGAGATATTTGCACACCTAGTTGAGAGACGCGCAGCATCGGTATTGCGTTGTAAGGTGTAGCGAGAAGACGCGTATAAGTGCGTGAGGAACAGAAAACAAAAGGCTCCAGAGCCTGCCGACTAGGTACTTTATCATAATTCCCAATTTGGTGCATGCTGATAGAAAAATGCAGATATAAGAAAAAAAGAGGTAAAAAGGCTGGCAGAGCGGTCGGGTGGCTGGCATGCGGGGATCACGCAAGACGTTATGCAAGCTTGCAACGGTTCCTCAGCCACCGAGTGAGAGCTGATGACCGGTTGCCACCCGCCCCACCACCCCGCTCTCCCCGCACTTGTCACCTCAACCACACATCCCACCGCACGTGTCTCAACCCCACCATCACACATTCTAGATACTCTATCACCCAAACAGCTGTTTAGAATTTCAATCAAAGATGGGATCTACATCGCCGCGCTCCACTTGGGATCACCTTACCTACCCGATCCCCTGCAACGAAATAGGCGCCGAGTTGCACCCCTTCCAAGCCTACATCCTCAAGATGGCAGCCCTGGACTACGTTCACCGTCCTCCCCCGCTCACTGAATCTGGCGAGGAGGCGAATTTCTATCTCGGCTTTGAGGATCAGCATGATCTGCTGCTCTCATGGGTCCTGGACAGCGGCTTCTCCGAGCCTATTCATCCCTTGAGAAAGAATGATAATAATCGCATCTTGTAAGTTCTCCTTTTTATTTATTAGAAGGATGAATCGTATGGAAACTGATATCAAGCAACAGATTCGAAAGACACCCGCTCGCTGTTGTCGTCCTGGATACCGCCCTAGAAGTTAGCGTAACTCAGAGCACAATCCGGCGCTTTTCAGAACGTCCCCTTCCTCTTCCACTTGCGCAATATGCCGAGAGTAACAGCGCCGGCCTTTCAGGATTTAGGATGAACGTGCTGTGGACCGCAGCAGAGCGGTATGCGGAGATGATGATAGAGGATGCAGCGTGCGGCGGCGATGAACGGCACGTGATTGGCGAAAACACCTTTTTTGATCGGGTTACGCAGGAGAGACGCCCAAAAGATGCAGTCTATATACAGGATGTGAATCTGGCCACCTTCTGCGCTATCAACGCCGAATTTGAGAAGTATGTCTTCAATAAGGAGAGTAGTTGTGGGTGGTGGTGGGATGAGGAGTCTCACGCAGATAAGTGAGTTTTCAATCATTTTTTATGTGTGCATAGGACGCGTCGCTGACAGGTTTGGATAGGATTCGAGAGCTTTTGAAGCATACGATCAGGTTGGCGCTGGACATGGCATGCAAGGCTAAGGGCGTGGAGCTCGTGATATACCCCTCCACGGTGGCGGCGTCGGACGGCGACAGCTGCGAGCTCGAAGACTCGTGTCTTGAGGAGGAAGACCTATATCTCGAAGATGAAGAGTCTCCAGAGGACAAAGGATCTACCGCAGAACACACAACCGACCATGAGATGCAAGACATCACTGCGGAAGCCAGGATGGGATACAAAACTCAAGACTCAGACTCAGACTCAGACACCGAATCTATGTACGGTTGCTGTCCCAGAGCTCGATCCCGTTCACCCGCCTACTCTCCGCGTGATGGCCCCCCGCATGAGGACCCCGAAAACGAGCCCGACCGAGAAAAATCTGATGCTCAGTACTTTGAAGACTTCACCGGCACCACCTTCATCACCGCCAACACTATCCAACCCAGCGATCTGAACCGTGGTTGGAAGCCGTACCAACCCCCAGTCCCTACTCGGAATATCATGGTTAATGGAAAGTGGCTGTGTGTTGAGGTCCCAGAGCGCAAGCTGTCCCCAACCATCACAGACGATATGCTTCAAGACTATCCCAAGCGCGTACAGCTGGGACATCTTTCCGAGAAGCAGGGCGGATCCTTCGGCCGACCGGAAAGGCGTAGGCAGAACTTGACGGAAAGCGAGATCGACAAGCACATTGAAGAGGCTGCGAAGCCCATTGAAAAGGCTGCGGAGAAGCCAAAAGTGCCAAAGAAGATCAAAAAGAAAGGCTGGAAGGCCGTAAGACGGGCTCAGAAGGCCATGAAAGCTAAAGGTAAGGAAGATAAGGCTAAGCAAGAGGCGGGGGAGGCTGAGGCATGGGATTACAGTGGCGGGGAGGTGCCGGAGAATTTGGCGGAGTACTTTAGAGATGCGGAGAATGGTGATATTGAGAGGGCTGCGGCTACTGGCGTTGCGGAAGGTGGAGGCGCGCAGAATGAGAATGGGGGCGCAAGAAGGATCTGGTTGAGGGGGAGAGCGCCGGGGGAGGAGGATGGCCGCGCACTTGCATACCCGAAGGTTGTTAACCATGAGTTGTCGGAATAGTGCTGGGGGCGCCGATTGTTACAAATTGAAGGGTTAGAGGCTCTTATAAGGAGAAGATACATCGTGTTACTCCCGTTTAGCGGCATGGGCGACTATCAGATCATGTTTTAACATCCTTTTCGTTTTTTCATGGCAGATAATATCTTATTCTTTCCTGTGTATCTTTAGCCCTATCTCTTGTCATATCGCTGTTCTGTTATACCTCTCTGCGAACTAGTCTTAGCTTAATACATACACCAATACTCCATCATCCATACACCAAGTGAATCCAATGCCACAGCTGTCTGGTGATTGAAGCTGATATAAACCAACGTGATAATATATCCCCCGAGCTCCCTCACTTCACAGTTGAGCAAGTAGGACCCGTATTCCTATCCACACAAAAATTAACTAACCACCGCGAATGGCGTAATCACAGTTTATCACTCGCAGCCGGAACGAGTGACGACCTATGAATACATGCATAAGGACAATAGTTTTTTTTTTTTTTTAATTTAATTCATTAATTGCATCATTAAGACAATAGTATTTGGGCTATGGACTATAGAAACCCATTTGCCCTCTAAGAAAACCAGCGGGATGGTGCGGTCTTGGGTGGAGATCTACGGGCTATATATGCTCGCCGAATCATACTTCAAGCAGCGAGTGCCGGAACTTCAACTTTGGCGCTACTTGAAATTATTATTCTTCGCTGTTTCCTTGATTCTCCATATAAACTCCTGACAACTATATTCAAGTATCTGTATCCTAATTTGATACACACATTTTCTACCTCTATATATACAGGCCTAGCCCTCCCTATAACCCCAATACCAAAACACGAAATCATATCAAACCAGCTAAATCACAAATACGCAAAAACAAAAACACCAAGTCATACCAAACTACCCAAACCACAAACAAAACAAAACAAAGCAACAACTAAAAAATGTCAACACACACCTTCACAATCAGCACATACGACATCTTCACCCTCCTCGCCGACCTCAGCACCTCCATTAGAATCCCCGCCCCCATCCCTCCTCCTGGCACTGCCCCCTTCCGCGCGCCCCCAGGACACATATACCCACCGACCGCCCCCGCGCCTGCCGCGCCCGAAACCCCGAGTATATTCCTCCGCCGCCTCGCACCCCCGCATACTGTGTACTGTCCGCCGGCCGAACGCACGCCCGAGCGCTTCCACCGCGTAGTAGCGAGGGTGTGGCGTATTATTATTGTCCTCCGGAGGGCGAAGGGGCATCTGAGGTTTGTGGAGGTGAGGCAACTGTTGGGATGGGCGGAGGGGTGGATGCGGATGTTGGAGGAGGAGGCGCTGGAGGGGGAGCAGCAGGGGTTGGTAAAGGAGCTGGGGGACGGATTGTGGGGGGTTGTGGAGGTGTGGGGTGGGGTGAGGTTGGCGGTGAGGGGATAGGAACGGGTGGGTGTATACGGGGAATCGGGTGGAAAGCGAAGTTCAATTTTGAGTTGGATAGTATGTAGTAGAAGGTGATAGGACGTGGAGTTTGAAATTGAGCACTGTTGCGCAGTCGGTGAAGGCCTTCAAGTGGCGTCTAGTTAAAGTAAGGGTGAAAGAAATAAAACTCTTTGAGATTAGACAAAAACAGAGGTGCGCATCCCACGAACACACTAAACGTGTTCCAGTGCTAACGCAGAGGGCAACTGGCAAAGCGTGACATAAATCCACACGAATACCCCACAAGGGATTTGCCACCTAATGTGGTTCCTGGCAATTCTACCTGAAAAACACCTCGATTGCATAGAGATTGGTAGTTCTACTTTATTTCCTCTATCGATTCTGACTAGTTATACAAAGATCTGTCAGCCAGATACTACAATACAGGATATCAATTGCGCCAGGCCCAAATATCATTATGAATAACCACCCTCAAAGGCCCTTTTCCGGAGGTGCATTGCCATGCTCAAAGAGCCCTGATAGTGATGAGAATAGCTTATTTTAGGCTTCCAGAAACTCGAAATCATATTGCCTCTACCTCTAATAAGTAGCATCAACAACCCCCTTCGTGGACGCCTGACTCCCGCACAACGAGGACGCATCGCCCTCCCCTTCATACCCATCATCCTCCTCGCCTTCGTCGTCTAATTCACCATCCTCGTCATCGCCGTCACCCCCATCATCCCTGTTCTCTTCATCATTCCCGTCCTCTCCGTCTTCAGACCAGTCATACTCTGGATCGGAATGCTCATCACTATCAACTTCATAATAACTCATTCCCTCCGAAACCGCAAACTGCCGTTCCGCTTCGGTCGAAGCCCCCCAGTGAACCGACTTCACACGCTTGCTCTTCCGTTCGTTTGCGGCGTCTTCGAAATGATCGTGCGAGCTTGGGGGAATGCTCTTCTCATGATCAGTTGGCGGAGGAGCGTCACGGCCATCATCACTATGTGTAGAGGTTTCCGAGACGCTGCGGGATATGGTGATGGAGAGTTCATGCCCGATTGTGCTCGGCGGGAATGTGAACACTCGTACGTTCTTGGAAAGTGGAGGCGAGTGAGATTTCGTGGGTGTTATAGGAGGAGAATGGAATTGCATATATGGATTTGCGGCAAAGACGATAGGTTCATCGAGGATATGGGATTGTTCAACGGCGGCGGGTCTTTTCGTTGGCGAGCGGTTGGGGTTGAGGATAGGCTCGTTGGAAAGAAGCAAGTCTCCTTCAGTGTCCGCGGCGGTGTTTTGATCATGGCGAGTTTCGAATTCGCCGTTGTCTGAGCTTGATGTGGAGCTCAGTGTGTAGACAGTCGGCGAGGGTGGCCATTTGAGCTCTCCGGTCATCCTTATATCCGGCTTGGTTAACCTTGCACCTCTCATCATGTATTTCGTGGCCTTGAATAAATTGGAACTGATATTCGAATTCTCTTCAAAATTGATCGAACCCGGCGCGCTGCGTAGAGGAGCCGCAGCTTGTAATTCCCTATCATAGAGTTCTTTCTTCGTCGGCAGCCTGAACCGATACTCGTGAAGTCTGTTATCATGAATTGACCAGTCGTAAAACGGTTCACAGAAAGAGAAATCTCTGTCTTCCAAGTCGGCTGCCTCTGACACATCGCTCACACTTGATTCCTTCTTAACCAGAGGTGCCGGAGGAGCATCATATACCGGTTGTTTTGCTTCAACCACTGGACTGCTGGGCGAATCTTCGCCCTTCATATTGAGTGGAGATGCAGTCGCTTGCTTATCCGGGGAGAAATGGTTGCGCAGCTCTGGTATTCCCTTCTCCAACGGCGATGCTTGAGGAGTCTTTATCACCGTGCTTTGTGAAGAGTTCGTACTCCTTGGCAAGGCTAAAGAATCTTTTGAGCCTCTGATTCCAAATACGAACTTTGACTTCTTGGGCGAGCCGTCATCTAGCTTGAGATCGCGGAGGGCACTGACATAAGACGACGAACATGACGAAGATGGAGGTTTTTGTTGAAACTCAGTGTCGGGATTTGTTCTCCCAGTCATGCCGCCATTGGCAGACGTGTGTGGTGTTTGTTCATAAGAACGCTTGAGGCTTATCCCGTCCGGATTCGAAATCAAGGATGAGATGTTGTAGGTAGGACCCATTACTGTGGCTTTCGACACGTTCTCGTTCCTCCCTGTCTCAAACCACTTCCACGGCTGCCTTGAAGGCCCCGCATCAAAGAGTTCAAAGTTGTAGCAGCTACCCTCGGCGGCTGGTACATCTCGAAACGTATTGGTTTCTTCCATCCTGCTCGACGGCCTGCTGCTGAACATCTGCGAGACTTTACCGAAAAGGCCTGCCGACTTTGTCGCGCCGGTAAGATGGGCGACGTGTGCTTTGACACTCTCGGAGGTGCTCTCCAGGCGTAGAGTGGAGCTTTGGGGGGAGGCGACGGTTTCGTCGTGGCCGCTGGAGCTGTCGCCTGTGGTGGAGGCACGGTCTTCCTCCCCGCCGGATAGGGGGGACTCGTAGTAGGATTTGAGCTCGTGGTCGCGGAATAGCCACCTCATTGGGCGTGGAGTCTTTTGTGGCTCGTCTTCGCTGAGTGCAGCTGGGAGATCTTCTTCTTCGTTGGCGCTGACGTTGTCGAGGTCTGACACGAAATTCTGTTCTTCGACCTCTGGTGGAGACTGCGGGCGGACTGATTCTGAATCATACTTGTCAGTTAATATATCTATGGTAATAGGTTTTGCTACATGTTACAACTGAGCAGGATATAAGGGCAGCCAGAAGAGAAGTTATATCAACTTTTCTCGCGGCGTTTCTTTATGTATGATAAAGAAAGAGTAGTGGTGTAATTATTTTTATTTTGAAAGTAGCCCGAACGTCAGAGTACACCGCCCACTCCATGGTACAGACGAAATGACATTGACATTCTGGCATGGAGTTGGATCTTTTATTACATACCAGCAGGTTTGCCTTTGATGATGCCCTCCCCGTAACTTTCAATCCATTGAGCTTCCCTCTTCCTAATCGCATCCATCCTCCTTTGAATATCCAGTTCACGAGCCTCAAGAGATTTCATCTTTTCGTCGTATGTGGCGGCCATCTCCTTTCGCACCTCATCTCTGATCTTCTCCATCTTTTCCTTCTCAGAGATCTCTTTCGACTGATCGGAATCCTTCTTGATGTGATCGTGCTGTCTGGTGATCTCGAGTTCAGCAGGGGGTGCCTGTGCTTGTGCTTGTGCGTTCTTTCCGTGAATCTTCTCGAAATCCTTCCTGATCTCCGCCCGGATTCGTTCGACCGTTTCCTCATCTAACGAAACAACTTTCGACACCCTCTCGGCCGCAGTATTGCTTGGCGGAGCATAGTGGGCGCGAAGATGACCACCGGACAGACGAATATTGAGCCTTCTCCCATCCTGCGTGTTGTTCCTCTCGACAGCGACATCCACCGCGGGACCGGTGGGACGTTTGAGTTCGTACTCCCACTCAGTCTCAACACTTGACGGGCCAGCCCAGCTAACATGTTTCTTGATTGTGTTCGGCTTCTCGGGCAGAGTGGTGATCGCCGGTGGAGCGGCATTGGAGGACCAGTGCGGGGGAGGCGCTGGACCGATGGAGAATTGGCAGGCGCAGTAGAGCGTGTCGCAGGGGTATTGCGGGCGAGGGTCGACCAAGACGGGTGCTGGATGGTACATTAAGGGCCCAGGGCTGAATAGGGTGCGGTTAGTAAAGTGGGCTTTTTTTCTGTGGGCGGAGTGGTACTTACTAAACTGGCGCCCCGAGGTTGACCGGGACCGCTGGCGGGTGGTACCACAGCGGCATAGCTCAGTGGTGCTGATTCTTACACTCCAGGCTGGCGCTAGAGAAGTCTGTGTGCTTTGGTGGGATGGGTAGTGCGGTGGAGGTGAGGTGGGACCGCTTGGTGGTGGTTTCTGGGAGCGGTGGTGGGGAAGGCTAGCGCGGAATTTCACCTCACCCCACCAAAACACGAGCAACAGCCAACGTCAACCAACGTCAATTAACCAACGTCGACAGCACGATATCTCATAAGGATTCAATATTTTTCCATTACGATCCATGCGTACAATAGGGGCTGTTCGAAAGGATAACCATAGAAAAAGAAATGAGACCATGTTGACATCCTCTGAAACTAGGACCTGCTACAATATTCTTCTCAAAAATCATTTTCTCCTGCAGATACCAAAAATCGCCCGAAAGGCCCGTATGTAAGCTCTTAAGTATCAATTTTGAGACGACTGCTAAATCGGTCATAGGCGGTAGGGCGCTCCTCCCGTTGATGGTTATCCTCCAGAAGGTTACTAGCTTCAATGTGGAAAAGACACTCCCTCTGTCGACGTTTTTATTCCAATGCATTTCTTTGTTCTGCTATGTCTTTATAAAGACGCCTGTCATTATGCTGCCTGAATGACCGGTCACCCCAGGAGACGCGGAGGTGCTGCCACATTTTACAATGAAAGTCACCGCAAGCCTAAAGCTCCGCCCACTCTGGAATCTCACTTGTAACGTGGGTTCATCTCACGAACTGACTATCTTCATCAATCAATACAGCGTAATCCAAGACTCATGGGTTATCACTCGGATATCTCTGCCAAGACACAACGATTTTATTTTCTGTATGGCAACGCCTCTGGGGCTAACTGGGGGGTTCGACACTTCTTTCCTCCAGATCTTCCAAGGAAAGATTCAATACCATAACGCCCCAACTATTTGATAAATTTTCTTGGGATTTCTATTTATAGCATCAAGATTAGTATTGAATCCCCTACCCCCTCTGTCCTCTAAGGTCGGCGATAGATATAGCGAGTAATATGTTGATATTACTTTGAAATAGATACAATATTACACACTCAACGATTCATGTTGATTACACATGCTTTTCCAGGTATCATCTCTGCGCGCCACGCCGCATGAAACGGCAAACATCGATATTCAAGTTGAAACCGACCCCAAACTTGGAACGTCCTTTCACCCATATATAAGTCATTTCTACTCACTCTAATATGAGTATCAGAAACTGCAATCACTATTCTCCGTCAGATTATACACAACCACAACTCACACTTCTACGTCTACAGTATCTACACAAACCAATTATCCCGAAACCAACCAGCAATAACAAGAAATGCGTACCACATACAACAACCCTCGCGGCGCCATCCCATCATCATCAGCATCAATGTCTCGTAGCACCACACTCCCGATTCAAAATGATTTTACAATCTATCAACAACGAGACCGCGGCTCAATCCGGTTCGACAGTTTCAACTCCGAGTCTCTCCTAGAGTCCGAAGCCAAGATGCGCAGATGGCAGATCAGGCGCAAGACACTTATCTGGAAGGTCCTGCGGGCGTTGAGGAGGGCTGTGTCGCTTAGCAGGATGGCGGACCGGATTTTGGACGATGTGGAGGTGGGGGATACGTGGGGGTGCGAAGCTAGGAGTGAGGCGGACTAGAAGCTTGGCCGCGAGGATAGAGATCTGGGTAAGGAATAGATGAGACGATGAGAAGGAAAAAGTAGAGAAATACTAGATGAGAATAATGGAATGAATTAGAAGCGAGTTATTTATTGATGTGACATGTGTTTCCGAAGAACGGCCAGATTGCTGAGTACCGGAGAAGACCCCCAGTACCGATGTTTTTCAAGCGCTCTTGGGTAGATTTTCTCCTCCTAACAAATGGTATCTCGTGATATTGGAATGATATCTATCCCATGCGATTCATACCCGGAAGATAGCACATGGCTTCTTACGGAAAACTTATAACCGCAAGCTCAAAACTCCATAGATGCCGCATGCACGAGTGATAGTTAAACGCCATTCATGGAAAGAGAGGTGAATCTCCCAAGTCCTCTGAATCGCTATCCAAGCTGTTTTGGCGTTTCTTCCAGACTTCCGAGTCCTGCGAACGTCAACAAAAAAGGAGGAATAATACGCCGGGTCGTTTATCGAGAGCGGTAGAGGGTTTTACAACGGGAGCATGTGGACTAGAGAGACTCTCCCTTATACTCCCCACAACATATTTCTTCTCCACCCCAACTACAGGAAAGCAAGATTAGTAATACCATTGATTGCGGAATTTGATAGAACGGAAAGGATTGCGAGGCACAGGTAATGTGTTTCTCTCTTTACATGAATACCTGTCGCATACAATTAGTGAGTTAAACCAAAAAGAAAGAAAAAACTTGAATACATGCACACACTGAGCGAGTGATATTCTGTGTCGTAGGGAGCACGTGAGATCAGGGTTAGGTTAATAATTTCTAGGTGAATGGCGAACCCAGGTCAATAGCGAATGGTAAAACCAGCCAGGGTAAATGGTGCCTGCTCATGCTGTCTCATCCAGATAGAACATACAACTCATCTTGCATTTCTTTTTTTCACCACATGTACTTCATTTCGGACATTTCTCATTCATATTTGCAAATGGTCCAGTTCCGTTTGCCACTGACTATACATGATGTAGCTATAGTCAATCAATGAAGGTTTCCAAAAGTGAGAAGTTAGTAACCGAAAGTTTAACATGCAATAATTTGCGAATTCTATGAAAATCATTGGGAGATTGATTTTGGAAACTGTCGAGCAGCATGAGAGACTTGCATCACCCACAACTCCGCTCGGAGATGGGTATTGACATTATCACAATAACGCTCGTGCATTGAAGCCTCAAAAGGCCTACCACTTCCATCCCGCCCCAAATAGGCGAAAGCAACCGCCTCGTCTCAGGAGGCGAGAAGACCGGTCGTACAGCATGATGTCGGTAACTCAACTGCCGCGACGAGGACCTCGTTTTTCCCTGTTCCTGAAGGAGCGACTATCACAGCATGTTGGGTTTGACGTTTGAGGTAAGACAGTGCAATAACCTTAATTCAACACCACCACCATATTCAATATCCGCGCCATATGATGCTGTGTAAACGGATTAGTCTGATATCTATAAGCTAAATTGCTCCCGAGAGTCAGTGTTCAAGACCTCCGGGACCATCGGGGTTTATGCCTTTGGTTACTGGGAGAGGATAATCTTCAGGAGTGGTGTCTTCAAAGGACATGCTGTGGGCACTGTTGGCATGGGACCGGCGGGATCGGATATTGGTAGCTCTTGAGCGCTTTTCTGACCCGGATAGCGGTTTGAACCGTGAGTTTGGAGCAGAGCATAACCTCCTTTTAGTTGATCTATGAGTAAAAGGCTTCCCGTCCTTTCTCTTGCGAGTTATCGGGACTCTGGTGACTGATAAAGTTCTCGTATATGCATTACTGCAGCGTCCTGACACAGACGTCTTCGCTAAATTACGTTCGAGATAACATTAAGATGCAAGTCTGAATTGCAGCAACTTAGTCAGCATGTCTCTAAAAGCAGTTCTCAAGACCTCTGTGATCCCCCATACGTAAATGAAAGCTGTAACCTAGGTTTTATATCGCTGTCGATTTTAAATTGTAAGTATCAATTTCCTGTTTATTGACTGCCGGAGTACCTCACCTGCTTTTGAATTGCCATCGCCTTGGAGCCTAATATCAGAGTTTTGTTATAAATACATGTACTCCCATGGGCTTCTCGCAGACAGAGTACACCGATGTGCTTGTGACAATTATTGGCAACTCTTGAGGATTCTTACTATGTATTTGAGTGCATGAATGTAGCCTTCATCTCCCATCCTTGGCCTTATTTTAAACTCTCTTCCAAACACTGTCACTAATTAGCTCGAGGTGATACTGCCAGCGTGCCCATTAATGCAGGCCTCTCACATATTAATATCTGTGAATCACGAACAGACCGCTTTTCAACCCGTACAGTCTCATTCGCACTAGTTGACAGGTTCCCGGAACCCAAGAACCTACGACTCAGGCACCTCCTGGGGATGTATTCGACAACTATATGCCCTCGAGCATTCACAACAGGTTAGAGGGAATACATGCAACGTTTATGTGATTCTCGGGAACATCTTGCATGCGAAATATTCGGCATTACCGCAAACTGTCTAACTACATGCGTGTGCAGTACTTCTGTCGTTCAAGCAAACACGCGTGCCAAGACACCCTATCCATTAATAGCATGATTCAACTTTCCGATACATGGATTATGGCTCGACATCTAGAAATACATGTATACTGTAACAAATGACTTTGAAGTCTAGCGAATTGTTGCTGAGAAACTTTTACGAGATACAGCTACCCCTCTCGCCTATAAGGTTTGGAATACGTTGTTAACATAGGAAATAATTTTTATCGGGACCTTATGCAAAAATGATCCAACCTCACGCCTCGTTGCTTCTGCACAGCTACATGTATCAGAACAAGATATACCATGAGGAGATGTATAACTCACCCCGGGAATTCTGACCAAAAACCTTCGGGAGAGTGCATATATTCCCGGACGCGGATTTCACCCATGGGTGCCTGTACACACACAGAGTACGTTGGACTTACGTACGTATATTGAACGGAACCTTCCTCCCCTTGGAGGTGGGAAAAAAAGGCTCGGCTCTCTTAAACCTGGCATTTTTGGCATACCGTCGGCCAATTTCAAGATACTTACTTGGCATTTTAAGCTTCTGCTAGTACAGGACGAATCCCAATATATTCTCTGTATTGCGGAATATCTGAGGATTTCCTATGCTATAAAAGAGGTTCAACCTGCCCCTTCCTCTCTTCCCTTCTCCATCATCTGCTCATCTCAGCATTTCGAAGTTTCTGTCGTCTCAAGCCTTTAACTCAAGCTTCAACTCGATCTCCAATCATCTATCAGTCTCAATCTACACACCCTCTTTCACGTTCTGATAAATCATCTATCACATCAACACCATGTTGTTCTCTCTCATTATCTTCGGATTTGCTGGTCTTATCAACGCCGCTGCTCAAAATGTAAGAAACCAACTTCTTCTTTGATAGAACTCTTCTAATGCTCTTACTATTTAGGCAGTTTGCCTCCCTACTGGCGGCGTTCGCAATACTTTTACTGTTAACTTTGATGATCTCAACGGCACTACTGCCCTTCACCCCGCGCCCACCATCTACGAGGGCTTCAAGTTCGATCCTTCTTGGAACGTTGTTCAGGCTGGTCCGAACATTCCGTTCATCCCGAAGTCTTCCCCAAATGTTCTTGTTACCGGCGTCAACTACAATACCACCAACGCCGAGCTCTCCGTTTCCGAGAAGGGTGACGCCTTCGATGTTATCTCTCTGTGGATGATTGGTTGTTTCGTCAATCCCCGCTATTTCTCCAATGACACCGCATGCCTCACCACCTTCACCGGCACCAAGATCGATGGTTCAGTTGTTTCTTTCGAGAGGCCTGTCAGAAAGACCACCATGGAGATTATCCAGGACTTCCCTGACCGCAAGTTCACCAATTTGGTATCTTTCCATATGAAGAATAGGTGGGAGATTAAGAACCAAACAAGTGGTCATCCCGCAGGAAGGTTCGGAATCGATAACATCGTTATCAACAAGGTTGATCCTACCGCCTCTTGTGCTGCCAAAAAGTATGCTAGGTATGTCAAGTATTGATTGGAGGATTGTAACTTTCTTTTTCAAGTTTCTCTTGATCAATAAAAACGTGTATTTTCCGTAATTTCTTTTTTGTTGTTGTTGAAAATCTTATGATTTTAGATTGCTTGAGCTGGATTGAAAAGTTTGTGCTGGAAAATAAAAAATATTTTGCTAGTTACTTCGTTCTAGTTCTCTCGAGTGTATTATGTGATATGCAATTCGCGGCTCTGATTGTAAAGCGTCCAAAAATATAACATCCCCGAGCTCGAACCAGAATCATGATATATCACTCGGAGTTTATGAACGGTAATTCTGTCACGCGTAGTATACGTATATATACCTGGGATAATAGGACAAGATACTCAAACACAGAAATGCCCGTTAGACAGATCACCCCACGAGAACTATATCTCGCCCATCGTAACGATCATGTATTACACGTATCAACACACTCTCGATCTCGGCTCTCCCCGAATGTTTATTCTCGTTATTGCGCTTTTTTCCCCCACCTGCTTATAGCACTCTTCTATCAATTAACTCCCAAGCCTCTTGTATTCTGAAATATTAATGAATAGCAATATATACATGCATGCCTATACCCAGGCACATATAGGAATCCGCACTCCCGCGCCGTGACACCTTGACGGGTACCCACATACCCCGTGTATCAGTTCGTGATGGATGCATGGGGGTCATCCTGTCTCTGAGATGCGGAACTAAGAAAAGGAAATAAATGTATCTTTCATCTGGTCGCATTGATATAGAAACAAAACTTTTCTTTAACCCGCGATGTCATCGTCGTCACCAAGAATTTATTAATCTAGCCACACAACGATGCTGCGAGATGTAGTGAGGAGTTTTTGAAGGACTGTATGGATTTTGTATGTATTTTTGGACTAGCTGTGAATACTAAAGTGCTCTCTTTGGATTATTTAAGTACCTGACGGTAGGACAAGGATACGGATCGAAAGGGATTCTAAGAGATAAGAGAAAGCCGTGAGGATCTATCTCTATCCATGTACTTTAAATATATGTCGTGACCAGTCTGCATAAAACTTAATCCAGTCAGCTGATCCTCCGCCAAGTTGAATGCAAGGAGCCGATCATCATTGAGTTCAAGTTTGCGCGAGGGAAGCATCAGGGTGCAAGCAGCAAGATACGTGCTGGCCTACAATCTACATCCGAACCAGCGGTTTCTTTCGCCATGTACTTAATGCACGGAACTATGCGAAAGAAAAAGGATGCTGTGAATCTTCTTATCCCCACCGCTTACTCCATTTTTTATCTTGGCAACGGGAGCATGCATGTCAGCCTGTTCCATCCAGTAAAATCTTAAGATGCCTGCGTCCCATCATATACATATGTAGTTCTTTTCTCCACTGTCAAAGGAGCCTTGCAGCGTTATCTCTTCTCCTCTGATGTTGTTGGCTTTTGAATCTGCATCTCAATATCCCCAGCTTGCTACGCCACGTCTAGGGAGAGGGGGTGGAATACTTGGTAGGTGTCATCACCCGTTGCTCCTACAGATTTTCGATCGATGACCAGCTTAAAGGTGTTCTAGATTTGCGGTATATGCGGCCAATCAACTATGGATATCCCCTGGTACCCCAGTCCCTTGTGAATGGTGGTCCCAAATCCATTTCAGCCGGAATAGCTACATCCTACGATCATTCGTGTACCGTGCTTGCTCCCTTTTTAGTGAGGCCTTAACTAAAAATGATGCAAGGAGACTTGAACCCAAAGCTTAAGGCCCTGCCTTTTCAAAAGCCATTTCGATTAGCGAGACTGAAAGCCCCTTTTCCGGCGAAGAAAAGGTCTTTTTTTCAATGAGTCAGGTCTGTGTCTAAGGGATAACGGTGAAAGCTCTATTTGAGGTAGGAAACCTTCAGTATGCTTTACCGGTGATGTTCTGGCCCGAGGATCCGGCTAACAGAAGAGATTAGGAAGCACCGAACTCCATCTCAAGGTTTTACTCTCTCGACATGTCGAAGCCATGACAGAAGAAGCCGTTTTACTTGTTTTGAAGCCATGAAAAGCCAGGGGAAAGACATGTTCGGAGATAATATAGAGAGAACAGAAGGGAAAGACATCGAAAAAGCACCTGACCTCCCACAGCGCTTCGATTTCGTTTCAGTCTTGCCTTTCACCTTCTCCGTCGACCAGCTATATTTCCCTCTCTACTCCCTTCCCTATATTTACCTGGCAAGATGGTTGTCCCATATCACCACTACAAGCTGTCCGTTTAAACCGGAGGTGTGGTCGCTTAAATGCTTAGACACGGGCTAATTATGACAGTTCTTTCGTTATAACAACCCTCCTCCCCCCCCCTCGATCCTATAAGCCTATTGATAACCAGGGTTGTAGTTACTCTTTACCATACCTCGAGCTTCCCAAACCCACTCTTTCACTCCTCCCAGCCAGCTCAACTTTAGCAGGCACGAACGCACGGAAATCTTTGAAGTTGAACCCCATAAGAACGGTCTTGACAGTGATAGATAGACCTGGTTAGTTGGTACCGGAATCTACGTCGTATGAGGAGAGGCGCCTAACATTACCACCTGTCAGCATTTTCAATAACCATAGTAAGAACAAGAGTGCTAGCTAGTTGGCAGGTGAGCACGTACTACTACTTTTTATTCCAGGGCTGCACGTGATATTCCGGTCTATTCCCGGGAAATGGAAAGAACTAAGCATTCAAGGAAGATACCGCCCCGCAAACCGTCCGTTAGAAGTCCGGGAGTATTGAATCGTAATCGTGAGTATTGCGTTAAAATTATTTCTTCTCGCAAGGATATAGGTAACATTCAGAATATAATCCCAGTGCGAGTCAGGCTCTTCCAGGGTTCAAGCAAGACAAGCTGGGAATACGATGATGGTCAAATCTTGCTCATCGGCGAATCAACCCCTTGGTGTACACCTAGTAAATATTTTCATACCAGCCATTAGTCTTTAAAGATTTAGGAGAGATTACTTGAGCTCAATAAAAATATTACCCGCACAGTATTATTCCAATTCAAGCTTTGATTATAATTGTGGTTCTATCGTGTCCTGGCCCACCGCGCCTGTAACGAGTAAATGCGTAGCTTTTATATCTTTATTCGCTCTCAAACTTTACTGGCATAGTGGACTATGCTTTCGTTCCATTCCCAGATAAAGCATCACTTTCTTTACCCGTTTTTTTAATTTCAGTTTTGAAGCCCCCAACCAAAGAGTGAACAGCTACAAGTTGTCAATTCTCTTGAGCATAATTAGATGGGAAAAAAAGGCTAAAGAGGTATTGAGTCTTCATCTCGGGACAGTTGGTCTCGTGTTCATCACTAGAAACACCAAAACACAACGTCCTTCCCATTTCATCTAACAACTTCATCAACAGCATACTCGCATCACCTAACAGCCCTTATAATCAATACCTACCTTCTTCCTCTACTAGGCTTTAGCCACAATTGCCCCCAGGAATAAGATTCTATATCTCTTCCTCCCCCCCCCCTCGATCCCTTGTTACACAAATGCCAAGATCGAGTGATATAGGATGACTCCCGCCATCTGTCTCACTTGGCGGCGGTATGTTTTTATAGCGGGGTGGGTATACTGAGTAATTCGTTTCTCCTCACATCAGTTAATACTAATCTTTTCTCCTAGATAATCTTGATGGTTTGTTTTACTGCAGCTCGTCGATCTCCAGCAGAAGCAGGTCCCACCACAAGAACATCCTGCGCGCGATATATAAAGTCGAACCTGTCAAGTAATTGTGATCGGCATCAACTGATATGAACTACTCTCACATAGTATCAATTAGTTCTATTTGATCCATCACCTCCGCCATGAACAATTTCCTTTCACTCCCCCGCAAGTCCATGAAAAGAAGATCTTCAATATCTTTATTGATGCCAAGACGTGTCTCATCAAAAAATGCCCTTACATACAACCCACGTTACCTCCTGATACCGGATCCGGATGCACATTGAGCCCCATACTCCGCCATGTGATAAACAAACAAAGAAAATCACGGGGTAAATACAAAAAATAATGAACATATCAACCATAAAAAGTCCTGCAAGGCCCCACCCAATCTCTAATTGAGCGGTGTCTGACCGTTCATCGTCTTGAGCCACTTGTCAATCCTTTGAACCTCATCCACGGAGTCCCATCTGTACTCGCTCGGCCTTGTATAGACCACCTGGTCATCCCCACAACCTCCCTTCCACCAACAACCAATACCGTCGGTGAGATATTGTTTGGTCAGATACATCTTAGGATGCCACTTCTCCTTATCCGCAATTTGCTCGGGTGTCTTAGGTGGATGTTCAATGTCCCACTCCTTGCATGAATTTGGCCATCCCTCGCCTGGCGGGAATGGTGGGAATTGAACATTACTACCGTGAACAGGGGTACCGGTGAGCTCATAATCGTAGGCGCGAGATGCATCTGGGTCAATAGCAGCAGAGAAGGCTTTCTCTTCCTGGGGTGAGGAGAAAATATTTTGTTCCAAAAAGGAGAGCCCAGTACCACCACATGCTTCATCAAGTGCCAGAAGAGCAAAGTGACCGCCGGCAACTGGCCGGGCCATGAAATAGATTCCCGGGAAGTCACTGGTTTCGGTGTCGTACAGGTCTGGGAATGGACGATTTGTTATTGTCTCATTAAGCCAGAGCCCCATCAACTCTAAGATCTGCGTACGAGTGTGCTTGCTAGAGATCGCAGCAGCCCAGACCTCCCAATCAGATTTGGTGTAGAGGTGGCGGGTATCCAATGGAAGACCGTACTTTTGGTGAACGGCAGAGTACCAGCGTGACTGTTTACGGTAGATATCGTGGGGAATATAACCGCTATTACCCTTTTGGGCAAAACAAAGAAGGGAGTCCGGATATAGGTTGTATAGCGTGCCCCAAGAACCATAAAGATGGTATGCAAGTTTTGTATGAGATCCATCTCGTGACATGGAAAAATCAATCCAGGCTAGGACATAAGCGTCGCCGACCTTAGTGTAGTAATCGGCGTCCTCAGTGTTGCCCATTACCGACGACAACTCTGCCATGGCCTTGATACCGACAATCGCCTTCATTGCGAGATTGGTCTGATTCTCCAGTCGGCCGGCAAAGTCATCGGTAGACACTGTTCTGCATCAGTAAAGGTCTTTAGGGTGAAGAATTACCGCTGTTTACAACGGCTTCAGACAAAAGCAAAAGAGGCTCACATACGCTGATAAGCGGGGATCAACCCAAATTCCGTCAAATACCCAGTCCACTGCTTCCAGAGAGCATATCTTCCACCCTTATCTATCCATTTCTGTGCCGCCTTCTTCCCTGCCTTTGATCCATCATTCAACGTCTGTACATATGCCAAAGCCATTGCCAACATGTTTCCACACTCTTCCACAGGCATTGGCTCGTCATTTCCATCAGGGTGCCCTGTAGCGTTGGGAAAATGAGCACCAAGATCATGGATCGAGTACCTGCAATTAAATACTTGTTAGCACTTTCATCGATTGGGACTGGGATTGATCTCTCTAATCTGCCAAAGGGGGAAGCCTCACTTGTTTGGGTACAACCCGGCCATCTGATGCTCCAACAACGGCTCAAGCAGATAAGCCAGCCATTTCGGATTTGCATACAAAAAGAATGTGAATCCTGGGAAAATAACATCCACCGTCTGAAAGTTCCCATTACTACTAATCTCCTTCAAGAACAAAATCGGATCCTCGGGAGTGCCCGCAAAAACAGTTGCTCCCATCACCTGCCTCGCCGAGATTGATACAATATCCGCGTAGGTGTCACCCTCCACAGCTCTAGCATGAGCTGTTACCTTGTCCGCAAATGCCTTACCTTGGGCGTAAGCATTGGGATAGTCAAAGTAATGGTAGGAGATCATATCAGTATCTGTCGCGTGTTGAAACCTCCAAAGTGGCCTCATCTGAGTAAGGCCACGAGCAGCTGCAAACTGTGTAACAGGATCTTGGATGAGTGCAACAGTGAAAAGCACCGAATCTGTCTTGGTATGATTCTTCTTGCTACTCAGTGCAAAGTGCTTGGAGAACGAGAAAACAGGTTCCTCATTCATGACCTCACGGAAGCCGGTATCGTAAGTATTTGCGAGTGTTGCGTTTCGCGAGAACCGGCGTCGCAGGGGTCCAGATACTCCGGCCTCGTATGTGACAGTGGGGTCCTATTTATGTCAGTAAAATGATTAGAAAGGGTTTGGCTATAAAAAATACCTGAGGACCAGTGAAGTGAAGCACGCCCCATTCAGCCCGATCGCTAATTTCGGCAAAGGTCCATTGATCTTGCTTGTGAATCGACCATGTTGTGAGATTTTCGCCCTTGGTGAGACCCCATTGAATGATCGCTTTGCGTTCGTGTGTGACCCAAACTATAGGAAGTAAACTTCAGCTTTTGTTCTTTAAACGAACCGCGATGAAGCGCAAAGATCAAAAAGGTTTGGAAGAGTACTTACGTCCGTTCAAATCAACGTAAATATTAACATCCACTTGACCCTCCACAATAACCTCCACATAGCTTGCCGGGAGTGCCTGCCTCTCCGTACTCTCAGGAGTAATCGGGCTAGTAAACATCAACGTCACAAGGACATCTCCCGACAATGGGTTTGGAAGCGAGTAAGTCAAGTTCGTAGTTGAAGAGTCGTACTGAAAGCCCGTGTAGGTCGGAAACTGAACTGTGTATCCATCCTTCGGATGTGCTGGGAGTAGTGCGTCTTGCGGACGTCCAATGAGAGGGTAAACAGTGTTTGTGGCGGGTATTTGGGCCATCACCCCGAACCCAATCTGCCGGACACTTCTGTCAGTTCATCTTACAGAGGGTAATTGACTTGGGAACCAAACCTCCTGTCCATGCCAGAATATTGGCCAGCTATCCCACGGATTGTGTCGAGCATTAAGCCACAAGCTAAGGTATGGATTCCGGACGAAGAGAGGCAGTACTGGGGGCTTGGTGTATGAAGCTGCCGATAGGGAGCTTAGAGCTGCTACTGAGAGCAGTAAGAAAAGTGATTTCATCCTTTGGGCCGTATTCAATTTGTTTTGAAGAGTTGAGCAATCGACTGGTGATTGCGACGAAATGGACCGAAGAGAGCAAGATGCGGGGAAGCTAAGAGGTCAGTTTTAAAGTAGTTTTGGAGCTAACCGAATCCTTGGAGAGAAGCTTACACGAAACAGTGTGCGGGACCAAAGCTGATCAGGAGCTTAATTTCCCAATCCTCACCACCTCAGAGCAGTTGGATTTGCTGTGATAGACAAACAAGCGTCAGCTCCGCAGTTTCTCCTCAGTCACGATATCGCGAACGAGGTCCGAAGTAATACCGCAGACGGCATAGGTTGAGGGAGGAGCACATGTTGTACGCCGCAGGGTTTGTTTGTGTTGTGAAGATCGCTACCTCTTCAGGCTACGCCGACACCTAACCCTGACATGCCCCGCCAAAAAATGTGGACCCTGCTCATCTGCGGCTGCACCATTCTCATGCAACATGCAGATTCATATGCACCCGATCACACGGGCAAGGGCTCATCTTCCAATGAGAGTGCGCACCGTAGATCAGGCGTTACTTTGGGTGGCCGGTTAATTTACCCGAGCTCGTGATCGGTTAGCTTCGGAGACTTCCAATTTGCGGGGAAGGGCCCGTCTTGTCCGTGTCCGAGATCATTAGGAGCGGAGTATTTGGACGGCATTGGAGGAAGTTCTTTGGGCCCTCAACGCTCTTCACAATTATCCCAAGAGTTCTTAGAGGCATGCATTTTGTTTCATTACCACGGTCGCAAAACGTCATCTGCTCTTAAGGGCTCATGATCGTAACACTTTCAACTCTTGTACTACATGACGTCTTGCATTATAATATTTACCACACCAACCTCAACACCTACTCAATCGATATCCATTCTCAGCTTTGCCGGAAAATGTTTCATATTTATTTCTTTTCTCCGTTTGGGTCCGGAGGAACTCTGGTCGTTCTAGTCATGAGTTGAATCCTTCCCCCGCACATTCTTGCAAGCTTGGCGATGAATATCGAGTGATAATAGATGACCGGCTGCATGGCTAACGGTGCGCATCTAGTCTCCCGACGTACTGCGTTGGAGATCAAAGAGTTACGGAAGGTACAAGGTCCGAAATATAAACTTCCTTCTTCTTCCTGACAGTTGATTGGTGATATTCTACCCAGGTGCGGAGGAAGAACGGCATTCTCCGATCTAGGACTTATTATTCAAAGAACCAGCTATAATAAGCAAGACTATGATTAAGCCAGGTGTGGGCGTGATGGTGTGGGCATGATAACTGGCAATAATTAACGTACCGATCAAGTGACTTGAGTTTAACTCTGAAAAAGAGAATTAAAGGATAGAACTAACTTATCGACCTCGACCGCCTGAACTTCGAAGCTTCCACGTTAATTAGAGGCTTCTTAGAAGAGAAGACATCATCTAGTAAAACGTATGATTTAAAGTTTTTTACCCAGTATTTCTAACTCCCACTCTGAAAAGTTGGCCTGCTCCCCTGTAGGATTGTCAAACACAACATGTAGATCATAGTTGATATCTGTCATTCGGGGTTCTAATTCTGAGTTGATACCGTCTTGGAGGTAAAACCTGCCTAGATGATTTACAGCCATCCGCGGCCATGTATCCAGCACCTGTTCTATAAAATATCAGCTTTCATCCGAGATAGGACGCATTGCCAGATACACTTTCCTTATAAACAAAAATCCTCACACTTAGGAAACTTTGATGATATCTCCATGAATTCGTCGTACGGTAGACTATTATCGTCAGTCATATTTCTCGATCAGATTGTGCATCGGGCATTCTGGTAGTTTATAATATCAGAGCTTTCCACCACATTTATTCACAACTATTGTCGGGTGAGCGGGTGCTCCGGCCAACAGCCGCACTGATATTAAGATCGGTTTAATTCCCTTTCATCCTCAGTTAGGAATTCTGAATCGGATATGAAGTGGAAGCTTGTTGTCTCCCTGTAATCATGAGATGAAGAAAGGATACAACGGGAGTGACAAATTTCGCTTGAAAATAGCATGACGAAAGACGAAATACACTGTTATCTGTGGAAGAGTAGTATTGAGACCAGTATATAACAAAACATATACCTTACAACTTTAAAAGAAGAGGAGTATATATTCACGTAATACCAAGCCAAGGCAGCCGAGCTGTCCAATCAATATGACGTTATCCTCCCAACAAACAAATTTTATATAAATCCCGAAAAGGATATCATAAGCCGTGTCACGTGAGACGGCACATTCAAGCATGAACAATTTAGCAACCCTTCTTTTCCCCCGACATCCATAATTCAAGAAAAACTCGCTACATTTAATGACCTCTGTTAGTACTCGAATCAACAAAGCATTCAACCAAGCAAAGGGAAAATACCTTCATATCAATGAATTCAACAACCAGCATTTAGAAACAATTATCAGTGGATTTGACAACCAGGTATCGGAGAACAACCACCAGGTTGTGAAAAAAAAAAACACTACTAGGTTTGACAACTAGTATTTGGAACACAATTGTCGGTGTTGCTCATCGTTGCGGAACATTCTGATCGGTTCTTGAATACCAGATGATAGCTATCATCGATTAACAAAAACGCCAGAGGGTTGAGATATAACGAAGATGAGATGATCGACTTGAGGAAGTATAGATGATGGGTTGCTAAAAGATCACCAATTAGCATCGTCTCAGGCGGTATTTCTCACCGAAGGAATATTAACCAGGAGAGTATCGGTAATATTAGCTTCACCATATCGACATTTTTTTTGTAGATTCATAATTTTATCTAACTTTGGTCAGCCACAGTATAATGCCAGATGTTGCGAGAAGGATAAGGACAGACCTGGCAATAAACAGCTCTAGCACAACGAACGAACTAAACCGGGCCTTTCCATTTCCACAATCAAAGAAACAAGAATCAGAAGAAATGGAAGAAGGGTGCGTTATTGACGGTCAATGATGAGTGAGTTTGAACGTCCGGTGCATGTATTCGAAAAATTAAAACGTTGACATATACGCTCAATATAGAAACTGCAACTCCTATGGAGCTCAATGACCGAAAAGTTGAACCATAAGATCGAACCTAAAGAAATATCATGATTTGGAATTTGTTCCATCACGTTTGGAGGGTCCCATTAATCCCATCTGGATGGCCGTCCACCATTTCCACTGGTTGAACAATAACGTCGACCCTAAAAGGGCCGGATGGGCCCCGGACGTTTTTCTCCTTGGAGGTGACCCAACGATCACCTCTTCGTCCTTGGGGACGACTCTCGGGGCTGGGGGTCTCACGATATCAATCGGAGCGGATGGTGTGTCAGAGATCGGTCCCGATGGGGGGCGAATCGGTCGAATATGCCAATAAACACTATGTGGGTTCCAGACACATAGGTTCGTTCTGTCGATGTCAGGAGGATCACTGTCGGTCATATTGTTTATGGGGCACGGCAGTGGATTGGTGTTATTTTGATAGTTGGAATTTCGGTAGAGTCTAATGAACACCGAAGAAATGAGCATTACCTTCAAGTGGTATAAATGAGGAGACAAGATGTGGTGGTGGTGAGGACGAGAAAGATCCGAGATTGAAAGGAGTAGGAGAGAAAATTTCTACCAACCTACAAAGGTTTTGACGTTGATATATCTGATTCTATGCGAGAGGTTCTTGTCAGAGTCATAGGCGATGTGGAAGTTTCTGGCTGAATAATTTGGAGAGATGATGTCCCAGGAGTGAAGAAAAAATCAGGCGATTTTTTATGTCAGTATATGCTGGGAAAGGATAGCATACATGGGACGATGAGGAACGAGGTAGGGGAGAGAGGGAGGGAAAAGGAGGGGGGGGGAGGGAGGGCGTGCCGAAGGGAATGCCATTTCGAAAATAAGGTTTGAGAAACGCAGAAATGGACTCATCAGGTCTATGAAGAGGCAGAGATTGGTACAGAATTCTTTTTCTACTTTTTTACTCCTTCAAGCTACATATAATAGCTAAACTAATCAAAAAACCAACTGCTTAATGTTGCTAACTCTTATTACTCGAGTGATAGTCCGTGATCAATCGCCGAATAATTTCCAAAGACCCTACTCGTTGAAAAAACCTGTACAGTTTATATTAATTTTATTTCGATTTCTTCGACTCATAGCGAGAAGGAATCAACTCTGAGTGGGCCGGCTGGACATGAAAAAACGAAAAGGACAAACATATAAAGCCCCACCCAGCCCCCACTGTACGCTTCCCCGCTGGCAAAAGTCCTTTCGTCTTTAATACCGCTGTTGGGCTATAAGCTTCAAATTGTTGCTGATAAGCGATCCCACGTAATAAGAGAAAGCTCAATTGACTTACGTATCCAGTAGTATACGTACATGTTACTTCCCGGATTTTGTAACGTGGCTGTACAGCAAGTAACTGCTATGCGAGACGGGTGGACCTTCAGGAGTAAGGCTCTGACTCCTCACGTCCAAAAAGCGTAGAACTGCTGGGACTAGGACACGATATGTTTGTACGGGTACCAAAAGTCATAGCTGCTAAATCTAAGCATACATATGCTAGACGAGCAGCATGGTTGATTTTGGTCGCATTTGCATGATCATGAGTTTGCGATGGCCATGTAGTTCCTGGGACCCAGCTGCGTACATATATATGGGCTCTTTGGGATAGTGCTGGTTTCTTTATTAGATGAGCTCGTTTTAGACCTAAGATTTGTTTCGTTTCAATTTAACAGATTTTTTAGCGTTTCACGAGTGATACTTCATGATCAGAGTGAACGGCGTTCCCGCCTAAACGAGCCTAGAGAGCTGATCTGGATACATCTACAAGAGTATAGCAAATCTTTGGTACATACATGAAGGGAAAAAAAAAAAAAGAAAAAAACGTCCATATTTCCTACCCAATCACTGTTTTCGGGTGTCCTCTCCTTCCCCCGTCCCTGCATGAATTAACTACAATACCGCCATAACTAGAAAAATTGGCTAGATCAAATTACTTATATGGGAACTTCTGATGCAGATCGATGACATTCAACCAATCACTTAAGTGGTAATCCCTAAACGAAGATAGCCAATTTTTCGAGTTTTGGCGGTATGTATCCGCCCTCTCGCTGGTGGAAGGGGCAAAACGATCACATGGAAGTGTACCTTATATGCATACAGAAACATAAAGCCTCTCACACGCACTCCGTTATCAGCCCAATTTTCTCGGTAGATTTTTCTGTGTCAGATATAGCAATGCTGCGGCGTCCCCCAAGTGTCGGAGACAGATAATCCTATCGGCAATACCAAGAGCTCTCGCGATCTTACGTCTGTGTTAATGCTGTGGAGACAAATTCTGGCCCTGCCCCTCCGTATGGTCTCAACTCTGGCGAACTTTCAGAGCGTTAATTCCTATATTCTCTTCAGACAAATCATGACCCGTACAATGTATGTACCTGCCAACGAGAAGGCCCTATTCATGGACAGCTGTGGTGAACCTTGGGCTCTAAAGGAAGAGAAAATCCTAATGGGTGAGGGGAAGAATGAAAAGGAAAGATTCCCTTGGTAGGTCTTGGCGGCTCCATCATGTACTAGGTACATATAATGGCTTTGCGAATAATATTGTGACTAGGGACGGATACCACCCAGCCTCTCTCGCCGTTTCGATGCGCGGTATACGGAGGATTAAGAAAATCGATTCGAGATCTAATCTTTCGGTGTTAGCAGCTACGGTACGATTCAGAGGTGTATGCGATCTTCGGAGGTGGAACTGCACCTATGCCCTTCCTCCGCTTCCCGGCCAGTCTTAAGCTACACCGGTTTAGTTGAATGTTGATGCTCGTGTAGAAGGATACAATCTTAGGGCGTGCGGATTGGAGGAAATATCTGGCAATTAATGAGGACTGAGGAACGTAACCTGCCCTCCATGATCCCGATCGATGCAAACAGAGGCGAATTAACAGAGGAAACCTCCTCAAAGTACCCCCGGCTCTCGAACGTATGCATCCCCGGTCCTGCTCGACCGGGGAGAAATGATGCCCCGAAACCCCGCTAACATCCGTACAGGAATCTGTGGTGAGTACATGTACCCACAAACATAGAGCCACAGCCAAAACAACATGTTGGAATTAGGAATGTTCAGCTTTTCAATGATTTATGGCTATCACACGCAGGAAATACGCAAAGGACAACTAAGTACGATATATTATAAACACACTTGGTACGGTAAAAGGTCGTCTAGTTATTTATTTCCCTTGACTACGGAGATTTTAGAAAGAACATAGCACTTAAAAGAAAGCTTGAGTATCACAAGCCATCAGCCGCTCCATCGATATTACATGGCCCGCCGTGATTGTCCCATGAGTAACACCTGTAATATCCGTAGACTCCACTCGTTCGCCTCTCAGCCTCCTCTCTTCAGTCTCTCTCATCAAGGCATGAACTCTCAATCGCTCCGGGATAACCCTCTGTCTTTTTCCGGTAATCTTCCAACCATTCAACCTTTCCACCCCCAGTTCCTTTAAGGTTTTCCTCTCAACCAAGCTATAGTCCGCCGGATCCTCCCTATCGTAGTTGAAGGGCTCTTTCATACACGTTAACGGATTTGTGATGATCCTAGGAACACGTAGACAGTTCTTTGATACTGAATGAAGCATCAAAGGATGCATCAATATCACGTCTCCAGTCTTTCCCGTCATCTCATGGAACTCGCTGCACTCCTCTTGAACCCACTTCTTGAACCGGCTGAAGTCTGGACTTAACTCTTGCTCCCCCACCGGTACCATCCTGGAGTTCACTCCTTCAGGATGCTCCCATAAATGTCTCGCCACAGCTCCAATGCCGTCTGTAGCGATGATCGTCCCCCCTCCATTGACCTCAATATCTGAGAAAATGGGTATAACGAGTAGTCCTTGTTCCGGGGAATCTAAAAAGTGCACGAAGGAATCACCGTCGCAATGCCAATTTTCTAACATCTTTGGCGGAGGTGGCCCATTTTTCTTCCACTCCTCGGTGCCGAGGTTGACAATGAAGCCGTCAGACCAGAGCCCTGACTTTGGGTGAATTCTGTCTTCGCCGCCGAGGAGCTCGCACATGGCACCCCAGGCTTTGGGGGAAAAGGTACGGACGTGTTCTCGGTTGTGTGCGGGCATATTGACGCGCTCTTGGAGCCAGGTGGACTTGTCGGTGGGAGAGTAGCCTAGACGATCCCATAACTGGGCCGACCAAGAGGCAGCCTTTTCGACACTAAAGGCCTCTGGGATACGGAGGTAGCCATATTTCATGAAGTTTTCGACTTGGTCCTCGGTGAGGAACTTGTACTGATTTGGGGTCATATTGAAATATATGAAGAAAAGGGCAGTGGGACTTAGAATATAAATCGAATGGGAAATTGTCTGCGGTGAACAATGAGTGGAAATGGCCAGCTTTATATACATATGAGGTTCTCCCCTTTCTTGCAAATAAACGTAGGTACATGGTAAATTTACTACAGAGAGATCGAATACTAACACCATTGCTTTTCTAGACATTGACGCAAAAATGCAGTTTCTTCAACTCTCGACCAACATCGAAGAGATGGTCTATGCATGAGAAACTCCTGGCGCTTCTGCAGGGAAGCAGCTGCAGCAGGATTTTCAGACAGGATTCCTAACCTCGGCGTCGATTTAAGATTTCCGGTTGGTTGGCCGCCGAATGATCTGCAGATCTACTTGACATGATTGCGATTGAAAGCTGAACAATAGATATCCTACGACGTAAGTGGTAGTACGAGCCGAAATGATAATATGGAAATCGAGTCTTTTTTCTAGAGTAGATACTCTACCGGAAAGTCTAAAGCGTCTAAGACTATTGTGCATTAGGTTGCATATGACAGGTCAGTTTCTAGTCAAGGACGAAATTTTTTGTTCTAGATCTTCAAATGCTGATGCTTAGGAATGCCATCTCAAAGTACGTCCCGTACCATGCGGCCAGGACTCTCTAAAGCATGCACAATGGTCTTGGAACTTTTATTCGAGAACCTTTCTACGGTCGGTAGCTGAAAGCTCCAATACTTTAGATCACCGAGGATGAAAAGGCATCTTAGAAACATGGGAAAACTTTGGGTATATAGGGGGCCGTTTGCCGGAATATTCGGGCCGCTCTCTTATCACCTCAAGCGGTACTGCTACTTGGCCCGTAGCAATGACACCTTATCTTTTGCACTTTGAGTAATACATATTTTTCCATCTTTTGCACGTTTTGCGCAGGGAGCTATGCGCTGTCGATCCTTGTAAATACCTGCAGGAAGCTGACGTGAAGTGCTTTTTAGCACGAAGGTGTGTCACTTAAAACTTCATGTCCGTCATCCGTGGTCGACAGGGGTTCATATACATATATGCGAATAAACCAAAGCGTGATATACGGTGAATCATGGGCGCGGGCGAAGAATGATTCCTTAGGCTGCTACATAAGGTCTGGTTACGACGAGGGACACTTGAATCTAGACCAGTCCGAAGATCTTGTTGCACCTCTGGAGCATTACTTTAAATAAGGTATATATATACATGTATACTAGCAGCTGCACATAGCATATCATTTGCCGACCCGGAACTTGAAGCCTTTGCAATTGGCTGATCTAGATGGAGATGCCACACCAGATCTATGATGCTATCAATTAGTAAACCCGCTAAGTGGATGTTTCATCTCAGGCACAGTCGACTCTCCCTATAACGGTACTCTCCATAAGAATACTCGTCCTATAAGGGTCCCGGCCTGTATCTAGGCCATTTTTTTTTCCAGTACTGTCCCATTCGCGGACGCTACCCATTCACCGGAAGTCCATCGAATGGATATCATATCTGATGGACGCTTTGGATTTTCCGGACTTCTGCTGGACGAGCGCCATATTCATCGGACGTTAGATCTGTGGAATCCTGCAACCTATACATATTTTGCAAGAAGAATGTAAGGCCCCTAGATCAGTTAATCGGAACTCTGTTTAGATATTGTCTTTAGGCATTTTGTGCAAATGAAATAGGAAGCCGAGATGAGAATTTTACAAACTTTAAACTCAGTTTTGAAAACCCCGGGACAACGGAATATGCAATTTCTTCGGCATTCCGAGACTGTTTCGTTCTCGTGCCTTTTCAACATTCTACAAAATCCTTTCTTGCGAAGTCTGCACGCAATTAGGTAGGTTAGCATTCACATACAGACCACCACGGCACAGGAAAGCATTGTATTTATTTTAATGATAAACAGGTGTTAGGAGCGGCGATCCAACACTGGGGAAGAGAACAAAATTGGAAGCCTGAAAGGAAGAAAAAACCGTTTCGAGATCTGTCTAATGTCACTGTACTGTAGCTACGTTATATAACAAAATTTAAAACCTCCGGTGAATGGGCAATGGGATAGAAAATATACTGTTAAGGGCAAATGCTTGTATTTTTTGATATAAAAATACCCTTAGGACATGCAATTTTTAAATTCTTTGGTGTGTTACTGTTATAGGGAAGTTGACTTTTGAGCTCGAGTGGAAGCACCCTTCGCCCCTAAAAAGTGAAACCATTAGAGTGAAGGGACCGCTAGCTTTTTACTCTACCAGATCATTGCACGGTGGAGCTAGCGGCTCAACTCAGGATTTATGGCCAGTTGTCCTGACTCGGGTCAATCTGACAGGTTGAGCCACTGTGTCATAATGTAGAACCGGACCACGGTGTTACGCTAGATCTAGGACTATTCAACTGCATGACTACATGTAGACCTCCTAGACTTCTAATAAGCCATCCTCACCTCTTGAGAACTGAACGCTACACAGCACTCAGATTTAGGGTTCGAGAGGCAGACGCAGCAACAACAACGCAAGACGGCGTGAGAAACGTTTCGAATGGAATTCGCCTTGAACCCTAACCCTGAACCATATGGGTGACTCTTCTATAACGGAACGATATCACGGGATTTCCGTACCCTTCGAGAGAGTCGACTGTGCATATATCAGATACGCAGTTCTGATCGTCATTTATGAACCTTCATATCAACTACATGTAAGGATCAGAGAAATTGTTGAAGCTTCAAGATTGTACCATTGACTTCTGTTATAATCTAGCAGATTATCTCCGCATATTATATTACTGTAATGGCATTGGAAAGTGGGCGACTGTTTTGGGCGGTTTTAGACGTCATATCGTGGTCGTTGAAGTTCAGGTAAGTTAGCTCTCTGGTCCATCGTGAGCGTCATGGGTCATGGATACGCAATCGACTGGTATAATGTTATAGGAGGAGGAGAAACCCCCACCAGTCTTTCTGCATCTCAATTCAACTTTGACCTAACAATACTTTTTTTCTGAACGTCCACCGTTTTACTCATACTTTTCTGAATATTAATCGCACTTCAAAGGCAATATCTTTCTGCACATCGTCCAACATTAACCATCAATATCCCTCCGCACACCACTCCCTCCTCCCCCACGATGTCCCAGCCCCCCGCCCCCACCTCCTCCTGGCCCTCCCCCAGCCCCTCCTTTTCCGTCCGCACAACCAAAGTTACCACCCCCGCCTGGCTCCTCACCCTCCTCTCCCTCCCCGCTGACTCCCGCGTCCTCCATGTCAACACCGCCCTCACCGCGCTCTTCACCCCCCCGACCTCCATCATAACCATCACCTCCCCCATCCCCCTGCCCGCCAGAATCTACGGCCCCGATTCCAAGCTCGACCGCATCACATGCCGTCTCAGCAACCTCAACACCGGCTCCATCCGCAACTCCACTGTCGTCCCCGGCCACATCACGCTCGTCCTCCACGACACCACAAAAGCCACCCTCATGGCCGCGTACGACTTCTTCCTGGGCTCGTTCCCGATGATCCACGTCAAGGCGCCCATGAAGGAGCTTCTCCGAGCTGCCTTCAAGTCCGCTGTCGACAAGCTAGGCTGGAAGGTCGGTATTGAAGCACTCAAAGCTTGCGACTCCGCGGGCTGCGCGAACCTGAAGAACCTGTACAAGCGCTTTATCATGGAGACGGGGTATGTCTCGGAGAATAAGTCGCCGTCCAGACCGCGCGGAAGACCAAGGAAGTATGCGGAGATGTCGAGGGTATTTGGGGAGGACTATCCGAAGGGGCTGCGGGAGCTGGTGACGGGCGCAGTGGAGGAGGTTAAGGCGCTTTTCTCGCCGTCGCTGGTGGGCGGCGGCGGAGGGACGAGCGTTAGGGTTAATATTTGGTGTGTCAAATGGAGGGTGCCGGCGGGGAAGACGAGGGGGGGGAAAGAGGTGGTGGGGGAGGCGAGGACGGGGGAGGAGTACTTGGGTGATTATGCGGCGGGGTACTTTATTGGCGCGGCGAAAGGTGGGTGGATTCTATATCTCCCTGTGAATATGGGGTGGGGAATACTAACGTATATATAGGTTCCGCGATGCCCAGCACTAGCTGCGAAGACTCTAAGACAGCAAATGCTGTGGGCGAGGGGCCCAAGATCGTCGACACCCTGGACCAATACTTCATGATCAATGACATTTGCCAGGATCCCAATTCCAATGCAGTCGCTGTTATCAATTAAGACAATTTTCCATGATCCAATGGCATTTACTCAGTTGCCAGAAACCTATTTTTCATATCTCCATTCTTGGAAGATATCAAGACATCCAACGAACCAGTTGGGGTTGAAGGTGTGAGTTCCCTTCAAACCCAGGAACAAAAGTATTACAAAAAGTTATATTTAGTCCATGCTATAGGTAGCCACCCCCCCCCTCCCCTTCCTTTCTGTTGAGCTGTTTGAGGGTGTTAACAAAGCTCAGTTTTAAGAGTTTAGGGATTGAGAGTTTTGCGGGGATGAAGGTGTTGGAGTAATAACACTAAGTTTGTACTCCTAGTCACACTAGAATGAGAAGAATCATTCGTTGGAAGAGAACATGCGATATCTCTGGTGGTATTAATGAGAATCTGGGGATGTGAATTAGGTGTACTGTAGAAGGTAGTTTTTCAGGTCATTAAAACCGAGAAACAGTTTACCTAGTTTTCTATAAACATGTTTTATGGGCTTCTTCGTAGCTTGATGGGCCATGATTATTAAATTTAAATCGTCAATATATGTGCGCTGGTGACGGGGCCGGGGGTCTAAGCAAATACATGTGTATTCACAAACTTAAGTAATTCAGTGTGTGGAGCTGTGCCGTGCACTTTGGTGCCTGCAGGGGGGTACATGAACACAGAACCTTATGTCTAAGATGCAGCCTTTTATTTTAGAAATAAATAACATGCTATTGAGGTGTTCCGTAAAAGTAAAAAGTTGTGAAACCGAGTCGATGGGATATATACTGCCAAGACCACCCGGAACCCTAACCCTGTCAATGGCAACATACCACTGATGATACCAGTTAAAGGGCTTCATGAGCCAGGGTCCCATCGTGTACATGAATGAAGGGGACGGGGAATCTAATGGTAACAGGGCTTCTGTCTGTATATCATCTGGGAGTAAAGCGAAACCGTAGACCGCTCTGTTGCTTTTTCTCTCTGATAAAGACGTACCCATACCGGCAATGCTAGATGAAAGTAGTACATAGCGTCTGCGCTCCTCAGCTCTCTATAACACGCTGATTGCAATAGGCTGCCACTGAAGTTACATCCAACACTACAGGCTCGTGGGCTTTTAGTATTTAGATATATGTACTTCAATTCGAAGAGGTGGCTATGTATATACACAAAACTACGTGGAGCAAAAGTTGAGTGAAATAGAGAGCTGCAATTCAGCCAACCGCCAAATTCACCTTATTCACTATCCGCCCAATAGTGAGTGCCAGTCGACGTCTGTGACCCTAACTAGTTTTCCTAAACGCAATTCTGGAGTTGGAGGCCGGGGTAAATGACCGAAATAGCAAGTATTGCAGTAGTGCGCAACGGGCTGTGGAAGCTCCTGCCAAGTATGCCCCATGACCGCACTGAACTGCACAGATTGATCTCCATATTATAAAATCCGATCCTGGCAACTAATATAGTGCGGTATGTACAATCGGTGGTTAGTAGTATTTACGCCTGTTGAGTGCTTCGAGCGAGTGTGACCAACGACTTCTGGCATTGTTGCTGTAGGCTGCGGAGGGAGCTATTAAGTTCCCTAGAAGTTAGGAAAAGCTATCATTATCGGCCATGCGTATTTCGGTAAGTCCAACGGGAGATCAGCATGCCAGCAACCCTATAACCGACATGTCTAAGATCCGCGATCTTGTACGACCTCACAATCATCAACCCACCACTATCACAACCATCCCTCTAGCTATCACACCACCCACCACCATCACCACCACCTCCCCCTCTCCATCCACAACCACAATGGCCCCCCTATCCGCGCAATGGCACCCCCTCCCGCACCTTCCCTCCATCCCCCGCTCCTCCCACACCCTCTCAGTCCTCCACTCGACCCTACACCACTTCTCCGGCGAATCCCACGACAACCGCCCCCCCTCCGGCGCCGAACTGCACCTCCTCCCCCTCGACCCCAGCGTCCCCCTCGCCATCACGATCCTCGCCTCGCCGTCCGGCCCCTCGCCGCGCGTCGACGCGGCCGCCGCAACACTCAACGACACGCTGTACGTGTTTGGCGGCCGCGGCGGCGCAGACATGAGTCCGCTCGAGGAGGGCGGGCGGCTGTGGGCGTTCACGGCGGGCGCGCAGGCGTGGGAGGCGGTTGATCCGGCCGACGGCGGGGAGTTCCCGAGCGCGCGGGGGGGGCATGCGCTCGTGGCGACGGGCGGGAGGGTGTATGTGCATGCGGGGGTGGCGGAGAGCGGGATGCTGGGGGATCTGTGGGCGTTTGTGGTGGCGGAGCGGAGGTGGGTAAGGTTGCGGGATGCGCCGGGGGGGGAGAGGAGCGCGGTGGGGATGGCGGTGACGGGCGGGAGGGAGATTTGGAGGTTTGCGGGGTGGGATGGGGAGAGTGCTGTTGGGGGGGAGGTGGGGGTGTGAGTTCTTTCCTTTTTTCATTGCTTTTTTGGTTGGTTGGTTTTGGTGGCTGTGGGGGCTGGACTGACGGGTGCGTTAGATATGATATACAGCACGACACATGGCGCACGATCGAGTACCCGCCCGAGGCCGGCCCAGCACCGCGCTACTCATCGTGTCTCGTCCCGCTGGTGCACCCCGCCACAAAGAAAGAATACCTCCTCACGGCCTTCGGCGAATCCGGCGAGAGCGGTGACGAGGTCGTCAAATACCTGCAAGACATCTGGGCATACGACATCGCCGCGGCGGAGTGGTGCGAGGTCATCACGACCGGCGAGAAGCCTTTGGCGAGGGGCCGGTTCGCCGCAGCTGGGAAGGGCAATCGGTGGCTTGCAATTCAGGGGGGACTGGATGAAGAGGGCGAGCGCTTGGGGGATTGGTGGGTTTTGATGCTGGAATGATGTAGTGTAGCTTTGGTGAAATGAATTTTTGCTTTGAAATCGCGAAATAAGACTCGAGACCTCCGAGTGATTCTCAGTGATCGGCACCACCTATGTGGCATTGCGGGCAAAGCACCCTCAGCAGTGACGGAGAGGAAAAACCTGAGCGTGGTGCGAAGAGGAATGGGGTCTTTTTTTTCCATATTTGCCGTAGATTGCACTGTTCTTGGGACGTCAGCTGTCAATAAAGCTCATTGTTCCCCGTGGTCACGACGTCAGGTCAGCCAAATAGTTGTTAAAAGTCTCGAAGTGGAGAAACACCAGGGGAGCAGGCTTATGGGCTATACCGCTCATCATTGAAACATCTTTCGGCGTTCGAGTGTGTCTCATACGCTCAAGATTACCAATCTGCTCGAAGTTGACCTATCCCTGGAAGTCCAGAAGGAGTGCATATCCTCAGCAGCAGGCACCGGAAGTGATAGTGTTCCGATACGATCTAATCAAGCCCTTCACCCCTCTCCCGAACGTAGAAGTCAGCCATGTGGTGCGTAAAGTGGTAGGTGTCGTTGTGAGCCTGCGAGGCTTCTAATGCAGCCAATACTAGTGCACCGCACTAGCCTCCTCATCTGCCGCCCCGCTCAAGTATACGTTCCCGCGAATGCACAACATCGGCGAGTGGTCAAGTGGGTAATACATGGACTGCTCGCCAGGCTAGACACCGCGTGTTTGATCCCTAGGACCTGGGTTCGAACCGGGGGTGGGAGTAGTGCAGTAAGGGGCACAGTACTTTTTGTTGGCAGTTCGATGGAAATGGACGCCGGAATAGGCTGTTACTCTTTGTTTTTTATCTCATAACGGCAGTCCTGGGGACTCGTAGTTGAGGGCGGCATTTCTCGTAGATGTCGGGACTGCGAAGCCTTTAGTTGTTATTCATATAGTACTCATATCGTGATGCTGCTAGGGATAGCCTTCCCACTAGTTTCAGCACCTCCCCCAGGTATAAGTTCCCGCCCTTGTAAATCATCGGCGAGTGGTCAAGTGGGTAACACACTGAGACTGCTCGCCAGGCTAGACACCGCGTGTTTGATCCCTAGGACCTGGGTTCGAATCGGGGGTGGGAGTAGTGCAGTACGGGGCACAGTACTTTTTGTTAAAAGTCTGTAACCAGAAGTAGAATAGCTTGTTAATCTTTTGATGATAACTCAATTCCTGATGACGACGCTGCTTCCGAGAACGGAGTGGGGAAGGTGGTCTTGAAATAGTACGCTCGGCACGTTTCATAGTACTGGAGGATTCTCATTTGTTATCATGAGTTACGGGTTCTGACTCATTCTTTCACTGGTATTTATTAGTCATGTTTTTCTGCTACTCATACGGCTATGATTCATTATGTTTTGTGTTACCTTTCTTTAGTATAAATATGGAGCATTCCCCCCTCTAGTTAGTTGCAATAACACGCTCAATTACTACACTTCTCCACATACATTTTCTCTAGGTGGGCTTTAGGTAAACCTTGTTTCAAACGTAGGGTGATAATAGGTTTCTCGGTAGATACATGTAGGTTGACTTTGACGCCTTATTTTATGCTTAAATAACGCTTGTTGTATGTAATCCGATGATCTCGATAAAGATTTGGTAATGATGTTACATATAAGCTTTGGATCTTTTATCCGTATCGACAGTAACAGAATCTGTAGGATGTTTTAGGGCACTCGGGCTCTACTACTATCCTTCACCCGATCGCGAAGGGCTTCAATTGATGGTGCTCTCGCAAGCGGATATATACTGAAGGTGTTATCAAGTTGGCAATGCATATATCGATCATCGCCTCGTATTTTCTAGAGGAAGCTCGTGTATACTGAGTACTAAGTACATCGTGGCGTAGATGTGCCCCTACTAGGGAGTAATTTATGTTGTGAGGCACGCTTTACGGCTCCAGCGGGGTACGGAGCTCTACCGATGCCCGATAATGTCTATTTGATCTATACTTATCCACCCCCGGGAAGGCTCCTCATGTGGTAGTGATGTGCAACTATCGGCGAGTGATAATCTATGATTAAATATATAAACCCGCCGGGAGCTTGGCCCAGCCGGAGAGTTCTCCCCGCGTCCGTAAGAGGGCTATTTTTGAGGGCCTTGGAAGAACGGCGAAACGGCTCAAATTTGGGCGAAAGAAGGACAGGGCTTCCAGGTTTCTGGCGAGGTGAAGCGAAGCCCTTGGGATTTTTCCCTGTCGAGGAAGTCAGCCCCCAGACATGTTAAACAACCGGAGAAGTACGATACAACTTTCACTGAAGAGAAGACTTTACTGGCATATACGACGAGCGTCAGCCGTGCCTGTTCATATAAAAGACCTCCCCGAAAGTAAGCCCAAATCTAGATCCTGATCACCATTGAACCAGGTAGCCAGGAATATTCTGTTTTTCTAGCAATTGCAAGGGTAGATCTGAGCAGTGAAAAATGAGGGATACAAGGGCGAGGATACGAACGGTATACAGTGCTCCTAGGCTGAAATTTGATTTTCCAACTTCCAAGATGAGGAGGTGAACTCGGAGGCTGTTTTGCCTAGGCGTGAGATTATGTATCTCTGCCCTATCGTCCTGCCGAGGCTTTCGATAGTCCTACGCACAGCCCCCAAGTATACTCGAGCGGTCATATAAATGAACGTAGCAGTGTCAGCCTCTCACGCACTTGACCTAACCAACTGTCGCTTTGGAATTTCCCTGTAAAGTAAGGTTGGGAAGGTTGTGGTGTCGGATAAGGCTTGCGAAAAGCTATGGTCAATATTCCAAGGTTAGAATATCTTATCAAACGTGCTATATGTCAGCTCTGGAATGTTTTTGGATGATGCGCAACTACTACCTGTTACCAGAACGTCCAGGTAGCATGAATGCTTGCACGTCGGGGAAGAGAACTGAAAGTGCCCACGCACAGCCACTACCTTGCACGGGAGACACTTTCTCTTCTGTCGCAGTAGGGAAGTAGGAGAGAAGAAAATAAAGAGGACGGATGGTGGTTTGTTAGCAAAACCTATAGTCATAGGCAATGAGGCAGTGTAGTCCACAAGAGATTTCTAGGTGAAGAGGGGGGAGAGTATCGATTGGCCTCCACCTCGACAAGAATCCCCGCTGGCTGCCTCAACTCCGTCGATGTTCCTGGAGACCTTGCAATTGGCTTTAACTGACACAGGCTGCGAAATGATTACCAACGACCAGTACGAGAAACAACACTAGAGACAAAAATTGAAATACGTACCTCAATCCCCTATTATGCCTTTCGAGAGAAAGAAGACACACCCACCGGAAAGGATCTGAGCGCCGCAAGATCTTGCGGCGAGGGTGTTGTGGTGTCTTAAGGTACGTTGCTTTCGGCTTAGAGAGGCAGGAAGCACCTCAACCACATAGACTGTGCTGGCTGTATAGGGTTTGAAAGTGGTGCTGTATCTAGACAGGCCAGTAGTCTCGGTGTATTATCCACTAACCACTCGCCGATATTTCTCACTGTCCGGGAGTTATACTTGAAGGTACATAGCTGGCGCCAAGATACGATATAACCCTAACCCTGTCGCTCTAAATGTTCAACACCCTCCAATTATGAGGGTGCACAACCTCCGGCCGGTCAAGATGTAGAACTCCAGAGTTGATACCGATAAACGTTCTCTCCCAATCCCTCCATCCGTATCCAGTAGAAAATCTTTACTAACCGCATGTCAAACAAAGGAGTAAAGGGGTTACCGATTTCCGCCTTCTTTCTCACCAACCACACCAGGAATCACCATGACCAATTTAATTAATCCAGGGCCACGATTGTTGAAAAAGAAGATGGGAGGGCTCACAACTCGATACATTCGTATTTAGTATTTCTCTTTGCTACAACCCTAACCCTATCTATACTGATCTTGATTTTACTCTTATAAATGACGTTCAGCTCGCAGCAATGAGAGACCTTTAGCGTGATATACCAAAGAAGACTTCTATTACTTGTCAATTCATCTCTGGATCGTTGCGGGTTCCCTAACTCACTATCAAAAAGAGTAAGGAGCTGGTAAAAGAACTCACCATATGTGTACGAAAAAAAAGAAAAAACGAAAAATGACCGAAAAGAAAAGGAAAGAAAGAGGTTTAAGCTCGCGAGTCGAGAGAGAGAGCAATGAAAAAATCGTATAAAATTATTGCTCAAATAACCCTAACCCTGGTTTAGGGGTTTGGGCGAGACCAAAATAATAACTGCTTCTGAAAAGAAACAAACTTCTAGTGAGTAGCCCAAAGGTGAAGACGGCAAAACAACGAGGGAAGAAGTATTCTTTATGTGCTGGTGGGACTGGAGAATGCTACATAAGGATACAAGTATATTTTGACGATCTTTCGTTTTGGGTGAATTCGAAGCTGAAAAACCTCGTGTACTAAGAGACCGGCTTAGACCTTAGTGTATAATCCGGTATGGTTTTGAGAACTTTCCGGGTAATAGTGTCCTGTCCCATTCGCAAACCCTGCCTATATATCGGGCCGTCGCCGGTCAATGGGGTGTGTCCAGCCTTTGGGTTGCCTACTCATATGTCATGCCAATGGGACAGTTAAAATAATTAGTCGGACATGTTTTTGATGGATGGGTCGACCGAAAGACCTGACTCAATTGGGCATTATAACCTGGACACTTGTCAGCTTCGTGAAAGATCTCTATAGAAAGAGGTTTCCTTCGTTCACCACAACAGACACATCTCTTCTGCCACTTAGACGAGACTTGACGTTTCGTCTAGCACGCACGCACCTGGGAATTGTGAGTCGAGCCGATTGTCTTTGAGTTGAGCCCATTGTGAGGGAAACTTCAACGAACCGGTTTCAAGTTGGGTTATATGATCATGAGCTTAGGCTGCTTCTAGGGTGATCCCGATACAGTGTCCATTATTTGGGGCCTGTGAGGTTTTTACGCCTTTTACGGGATTGCTGACACCCCGTAGTATCGTGGACTGGCCAGCGGGATCGCGAAAGGCACCTTAGTAGCATATAGAGTCAAGGTACTGTGGTATAGACGCCCTACAATGCTACATATTGTAGGGTCACAAAATTAACCGATCACTGGCACCCTCGTGAGACTCATAGCAACCAAAACCGTCCTACGAAGAAATCTCACATCGAGACCTTAAAGGTCAGAAAGATAAGCCTATTCCTGGCAAGCATCTAACTCTATTCATGAGAGCAAAAATTACTCAATTGCCATCCTAGTTGTTGAGTTATTCTCACTTGAAGTTGGGTTTGACGTTAACGTTGTCGTTAGTGATTGGTTAATTTTGTAACCCGACGGTACAGCTCCCAAGCAACTTATATCCGAACCAAATAGACCGATTTACGAGGAGTAAGGGACCTACCTCCAATTATAATGGTTACTCTAGCTGCCGTACCGTACACACGCACACAGGTGATGGCTGTGAGACAGCGATTATATTTGCCTAAAGGGGTCGATCTTACGACACTTGGAGCCCTTGCGCAGTATAGATATCGTGGAATAGTAGGAGATCACGCTCCAACATTGGTTCCCAGCTGCCCGATGTAGTTTTCTATGACTGTTTGGTATAGAGGTACTCTGATTATGCTCTCCAATGAAAAAATGCGAATTATCATTGCACAAGAGATTATAGGATGAGACCAAGTAGAACGATAGAAGTGATAGTTGCGATTCTGGTATATAAAAGGCTATGCTGAGATGTATCATAGGTAGTATTGTAACCTTGGATCATCAAAAATGACACGCTTGACAGAAAGGACGGGCGAAATCAATACTCCAACACGAAGAACCTTTAAAGGACTCACACAGAGAGGTAGCCCCAAATTGATACTCTTGATAGCCGTTCCATCACAACTTTTCTTCCTCTTTCTCTTTAGAAACGCGCTTGAACTTCGCCAGGTACTTCAATATCACAGTTAGTAATTATATCCCAGGCTTATATATAGATACGAAAATAGATAGGAAACTTACATCATTAGTGACCATGTTCCACAACCCTTCGTGTTGAGAGTAACGTCTTGTATCTACCAGGCCCATTCCAGGTTCAAGAGGGGTGGCGCGAAGCGGTGTAACAATACGAGGCCCTGAGAAACGGCTTGGCCCAGCATCCAAATCTCTCCAGCGAGACCTGTCGACAGTGGATAAACCGGGGCTCCCAGTCTGCTCCTTGATCCATAGGTTTCGTCTTGTGTTGTCGCTATCCATAGACCCGTCTGAAGACACTGAACTTTCATCTCTAGGTGTTCTATTCCACGGAGTGGGGTCCGGACTCAGCGCAACTCCATTGGGATGGATTGGTGCTATTGGAAGTTCATACCGCGGAAACGCGATATCAGGAAGGTAAATATCTGCGTCGGGGTCCAATGATTCGTCCGGGCTTTGTTGGACATCCTTGTTTTGTTGGACTTTGAGAGTGGCTTGGGCTGATTCTTCCCTCGTAACCTCCACCAAATTCTTTTGTGCCATATCCTTCAAGGCCTTCTCCTCAGAAACACCTGCTTTTTCCAGTGGTGAATCATTCGTGTTACCAAGATGAGGAACATGCTCGACATCAACCTCGCCATCAATAACACCATCTGATGTAATGATAGATTGAAGGCCCGGCTCCTCAGAAGAGGAACCTTCTGGGTTACCAGCAACGCATTGTTCTTCTTCCTGATGCTCAATGCCTTGTTCGTTGAGACCAGTAACTACAGGAACCTTCTGTGGATCATTACCCTTAGCAGAGAATATGCCGTCCGCCGCACCATTAATCACCAATACAGGTTCGTTTCTGTTCAGCGGTTTACAACTATGCGGTGCGTTTTCGACACCTTGCGTCGTCCCTGGCTGGTGCAGTTCAATCTCTACAGGTACGTTTACCTCTTCCTCAAGATTTTTACCGTTTGATAAAGCGCCCGCATCTTTCGGTTCAGATTCATGCAACTTGCTTTCCACTTCCTGGAGTATTCCCGAATCCGCTTTTCCAGATTTCATGGATTTGTCTGGCTCTTCCTCCAGAGCCTGGACGGATAGTGAATTATGTTTTTCAACCTCTACGGGATTGCCAACTTCTGGCTTTTCTAGACTACCCTCTATGGAGGCAGGAGCCGATGGACTCATCAATGACAACGCCCCCATGCCCCCTTTCATCCTCAGGTCGTGTTCAGAGTCTTCGGTTATTGAAGGAAACGGGTTATCATCATCATCAATCACCACAATTGATGTTGTCGCCCTTGAAGACCCGCTTTTTGAAGCACTGGCATCCAAACTGGCTTTGGAGGGCCTCAAGCGCTCTTCCTTCTCTGATTCGCCAGTTGACGCGCTTTGTACAGAGCTATTAGAGGAGTCCTCCGGGTCACGGGTGTTGGCGAATAAAGGTTTGAGGTTCTTTCGACAGTACTTAAGACCGGATCTCTTGGAGCCCATGGGGCTCCGGAAATCAGGCATAGTTTTTAGTTTCTCGGTCATCCACGCCGGGACCGATACATTCATTTCTGCTTCGAATGTGTCTGTTGGGCTACCATCCAACTTCTGCTTTTTGGTGAGCTTTGCCGGTGGAGACTCCCTAGAGAGGCGTTTTTTACGTGGTATAACCACTGGCTTTGTGTTGCAGGTTTCTAGCAAGTCCGGAGTGTTGTCTCTAGCCCCAAGGTTATTGTTGCTGATCGTCGCCAACGCATCAAGACCCTCCTGGTTTTCAAACACCGGAATATTGCCAAGATTAACCGTTAATGGTTTCTCCATAGCATGACGCGTCTTCCTAGGCGTCAAGGTTGCTTTGGGGATCACGACCGGCGCGGGGCTAGGGATCTGTTGTATATTATGAATGCACCTTATCTTTTTCGATAATGATTTCACGGGTCAGGGGAAGTGCGCGGAGTAGCAGTGGAGAGGTTCACGTACTTTTTTGGTCCTGCAAGGCTGGCACGGATCTTTATTTCTGAACACCATTTCTCCTTTATTCCCAACTACAATTATCCTTCCGTTCTTTGTTGATCAGGTGACGTCACGTTGGGTTGAGAGATCAGTTTGGAGGTTCCGTTGGTGTCGAGAGTCCTTCGCGCGACAACAAACAACAAGACTCGCTGCGGAAGGGGAAGAAATTGTGATGGAAGAGAGAGCGTCGTGGGTGGATATCAAATGGGATGTGAGTAAGGTGTGGTGTTGGTTGGAAAATCACCGAGGACGATCTTCGTGTCGCCGCAACCTTAATTGGGGCTTAGGGTAATTAATTTTTTGTGCGCCACAGTACCTACATGTTTACAATAGAACCTACTAAGTACATGTAGCCCTACGGAGAAAAAAAACACTTTTAGGGCTCTAAAACTACATGTACACACCATCTCCTATTTCAGAATTTTTCCATCTTTCCTTTCCTGCTTGTGGCTCCGATACAGAAAACATCACCGCCAAGTTCTTCTCAAGTGGTGGACACAACGTGCGCCACTTACAACCGGCTGACTCCTCGCTCCGAATATCTGGACCCGCGGCCAATCTGATGAGATCTGATCGGGGAACATATTTTGCTGACTGGCCTATTTCTGCAGGGGGCACATGTGCCACATTCCCCGGACTGTTAGGGCTTAGGGTTTCAACGATCCCTTAACATACCTATCTGTTCATAGCTGGAAATCACAATTTGCACTTCCATCTCAAATTGGTACCCCGACCTGTCAGAGGCGCTCTCCTAGGCTTCAAAAGTAATCAGGGTGCTCCGTAGCTCGGACCGAGCTATCATCGCATGTACCGGTGGAATTAAGGGCACGGAAGTTCCATAGCTCGATGAGCAGACACAAATAGAGCTTCAAATTCGCTCGAAAGTTTCTCCTAGAGCCTTCAAACTATTATTTTTGCTACTACGTAAGCTCCGGTAAACTTATCATACTGTAAGTGCCTCATCCTTTGTATTCATTCCCCTGGAACTCTGTCATATCATCTTGTTCTACCTTCAAATCTTATGAACCCTTCAGTGCCGTGCGTTTTATGGAAATCAACGTCATTTATCAGCGATCTAAACTTATAATACCTTTACAGAGTATCCGACGCTAACTCAGACGGTCCAAACAGGTTCTTTTCAACCCTTCGAAAAACGTTCATCCACAGGGTGCCCGATGCATATATCGTTGCATGTTACTCAGGTGCGGTTCATTCAGAAATCCTCCTAAACGAGCCGTCGACACAGGAACGTGTTTGTTATATCGGCTGTACTTGCGTCATGACTCGAGTTGACCCGGCGAAAGAAATATAATACCCAACGGCTGGAAGAAGAATCGCTTAAGATGTGACATATTAGGCTCCTATACATTCAGTAGAATGTATATGGCTGGGAGTGGGTGTTTGGTCAGGCTACCAAGATAGACATTTGTACTCTCTTGACAAATCATTCCTCAGTAAACCCCAGGGTTCTCAATGATACATATCGGTGTAATTTTCGTGCCATATTGCACCAACTGCGATGTGTTCAGATCATTATCGAACTGCATGATATTTTGCGAATGTCTTATTGTACTAACTGTGATATATCATAGTGGAAGCGAGTGATGTCTCATGTTGCGAAAAGTATGTCTGAAGGATAGATCCAGCTTAGAGAAAGCAAAAAAAAGGCGGATAGACTGTTGATCCGCGCGCCAAGACTCTGTCATGATATTATCGATACAGATATGTAGGATACCATTCATACTCACTATTACCTAAACATATCGTACTTTACCCACTGTACCACCAGAGAATTTTATCGATACATATCCCCATATCGGATTATCGTTGAGAACCTTGGTAGACCCGCTCACTCAGGAATTTTCCCGAATCAACCATGTCCTTATGTGAACTGGGGTCGAGTTCCAAGCTATAGGGCCCGTATTCATGCTACGATGAACAGTCCGAAAATCTATTTTCTCTCAGGCCCCACCCAATCTTGAGAATGTTGGCTACAGTCTCAATATCTATCAATTTCGAGTGTCAAACTGATGAGCCCTGTCAAAGAACAACCAACGGACGGGGAACCAGAGAAAGCACCATACAGACTAGAAACGTCGCAAGGGGCTACTGATGAGTGGATTTCCGTTGAGGGGTTCTCCACATGGCTCTTTTAACAATTTATTTTGAGCCGACCGAGTAGATGCCTTTAATTAAGCTAGGCGAGCTTAGTCTTAGGGCGCACGATAGAGAGAGCAATCATAGTATAAAATATCTGTTTACGAGAGAGACTTCGTCTCCAATTTTGAACTGCCATTGTAGGGCTCATTGAAACAGCAATATGGGGCAGCCTTTCACACTAATACTGCAGGATAGATTTTAAGCTCAATCACCCCGTTTGCACTTGATTGTTAGATGCGATAGCCATATTTAGTAAATAGAGACTGAGCTCCCGCTATGTTCAAGGAATTCGCTTCCAGGACCGCTCCGTTAATGGTTGTCTCCTGAATGGGTAGTGTTTGAATGAGAAATGTTATTTTTGCATGGCGACAAGCACCAAGGACCTGCTCATGGGAGTGTGGTGCTTGGTGTGCTTCCAAGGAATCCTTATATACATCGTGGAAGCACTACTTGAAGATTTATATATTTATAGCTTCCTCTAGGAACAAGGAATAAAGCGAACACCCTCGATCATATTAGCTGATTACAAGAGTGCCTCGAAGCCTAAACACACGTAGACCCTCATTTTCCTCAGACCTAACTTTATCTGAACCGTGATCGCGTCCTTGTTGAGCGTTTTTGGGGGTATTGGTTCACAAGATGTCACTCGCCTGTCTTAGGATGGACAAGCGAAGCCGATTGCCTGATTGGTTGATTTCAGAAAGCGGGATATTACTGGACTTTACTCTCGTCTTGAGAGGTGTCGTGGAGAATACTGAGTCTGTATGTAGCTGTGGAAAGTGTAGTGTGGTCGTGTTTAAATAGGTGGGGTAAGGAATGAGAATTATTAGCTAGTATGCCGGCTGCATCTGATGATTTTACAAAGAATCTCCGATTATCGAGTAGAATGTGTGAACAGAGACGCTCCGCGGCGCGTAGAGTGCTCACACGCACCGAACGCCGGAGAAAGAAGGGGTCGCGGGTGGAACTGTACAAAGTTGCCCACCCAAGCGCCCCAGCTCACCACGAAACCAATGATTATTCAGCCAAATCCACCACAGCCCGGGAGAATTTTCCGGCGTAGTCTCTGACAGTCATTCCTTGGCACATATAAATCTCGAAGTCGGTCCCTTTTACTAGGTCAACTTAGAGGGGAGAGCGAAGGGGATCCCGGAAGGCGGGAGGAGGAGGGGGTGCCGAAGGCACCCCAATATCGAGTACCCCATTATTATTGATGAAAAGGTTAATATATATTTATAATCCATAATTATAATCCATGTAGTCGCAAGGTAGGCTTCAAAGAAGAGCAGAAACATTGGGGGCCTAGCTAGCCTGCTGGCAACCAGTGCACTAATATCCCTATACTAGCGGTAAATGAAGTATCTGTCCGACCAATCACAATAGCGGGAAGGTTCCCGATAAAGTTTCCCGCTTGTACGCTTGTTTTTGATTGCTCGCCCGTCGACCCATTGATTCTCAAATGGCATAAACCGATTTGGAACGTTTCAAGCACGGCAATATTGATTTGTAAATGAATGAATGTCTCATTAGGATGTCGAGCAAGACATGGAAATGATAAGGTGAGTAAAATACATGTAGTGATATCGCGCGAGGTTTTAACTTAAGCGGGTGGGAGATTATACGACATGCACATGTATACGTATCCTATCTTGCTGTCCTGTTTCTTTCGTTAAATTCGCACAGTTTCTTCTCCTTCTTCCTTTCTTGTACTTATACAATACCCTGAATTTCATTCTGCTTCATCTCGAGAGGACAACAACCATGGCTTAGGAAGAAACAATCATTCTATCAAAGACCGTAAGTGGCAGACAGTGGAATTGGAATCTAACTATGTTACACCCTTGCTGCTCATCAAGCCTCGCAGTATGCAAAAAGAGCCGCTACTCCCTTCTGTTTTCCTCAAACCCGAAAGTTAATCTTCACCGGCTCCATCACGCCATTCAACTCCTCCGTAAACTCCTCAATCTTCCTATCCAGCTCATTCCCCATCCACACGAATCCCACGCCCCTCATCTCCACCCTCGCCGCCAGCCTATCCCTCGCGCTAATCGCCTTCCCCACATCATCAAACTCGAGCGCAAAATCCTTGTCCACCGGGCCCTCCCTGATGCGGATCACATGGCAGAAACGTGGATGGCCGGTCTCGGCAATCCGCCACGCACGCCCATAACCAACGTTAATCGGCACCTTATTCAGCCTTAGGATGCGTGTAGCGCCATTGACGATTATAGCCTCAGCGATCTCAGCACGCATGGGGCGCACGCTGTTGTTCATGAGCGTGTCCTTTACCTCCCAGTTGTACGGGTGGGTCGGGTGGTAGCGCATATACTCACGATACGCGTTCGCCATGCCCTCGTCGAGGAAGTTGATAAACGCATACTTTCCCAGCTCGTTCCAATAAACAGACTCGACCTTTGCGGGGGTGACGCTGCTGATGAACTCGTCGATATTTGCGAGGTCGCGCTTGAGGCGGAGGAAGACGGTGCGCGGGCCGGCGGACGAGGAGGTGACGAGGTGGAGGACGGCGGCGGATTGGATGTGGAAGCAGCCGGTGGGGAGGACGACGCCGGAGGTAGGTGGTGGGGGCGTGCGTGGGCGATAGGCGAGCTCTTCGAGTTGGGCGATGCTGCTCTTGGTGACCAGTTCCAGGTCGTCGATGGTGTTGTCGAGTAGGAAGGGTTCCCAGATTATCATGTCGCGGAGCTTGTTCATGAATTTACTCATCTGTAGGGGGTGTTAGTCGGGTACGAACAACGTGGGGGGGGGGGGGGGGGTTACGGCTTCTTCCTGACGTATGCTTTCGGCCTGTTCAGCTTGGAGAAGAGCATCATGGTCAATGGCGGACTCGAAGGCCCTGCCGGTATTACGCTCGTTGGGGACAGCTGAGGCGCCGTCGTCCTCGTACATATAGTCGTCCATGTCTGTGTTGCGTGGTATGACAATGGAGAACAATTGTTGTGGGGTATCAGGAGTTGGTAGTAGGAAGACGTAGGGTTGGTGTTGGGAGTGGAGGTGGTAAACAGTGGGCTTCTAGAATCATGGAGTGTCACTCGGAAACCTTGGGTGTTCGAGGGTTGGGTGATTGGTTGCTTCATGAGGGTTGGGTAGAGGTTGTGGAGGGAAGCCTTGTGGTGGCTTGGGTTTTGAAGGGGGATACTACATATGTCAGTTTCGTCTCCTCTCCTTCTCTACTAGTATCCGGAATTACAGGATGCCGATTGTGAGGATGATGTTCTACCGTGGGTCTTGAGGGCAGGGCTCAACACATCCTCTCTGTCTCCCCAACAACCACACACGGAGCCCACACCCAACATCGCCAAAAGTACCTGCGAGGATAAATATATTAAGACGAAGACTTTATCGGCTTTATTAATGAATCAATTGATGCGTTTCTCGGGGACGTTAAATAAACATAATTTTTGAGTGATTTACGCTGAATCCTTGATGCTCAACGAGGGTACAACCCTACAACCCTACAACCCTGACCCTGACACTTCCCCCTTTGTATTCGCGCGAGTGATATCCGTGCTCCCATTTTACGGTCCTTGAATCCATCCTTTTTTTGAGTACATTCCCCGCAAGTACAGAGTGATGTACATACATTAACTAGCCATTGCTCCTTAATTCTGCGAACCTACTCGCCCTCTGATTAGTCAAGAGTGAAAACCCTGACCCTGCATAGCAACCAGCTCAACCCCAAAATGCCACCCCCAAATTTAAACTGTATATCAAATTTGTGTAGGTCTTTCTTTTCTTTACCTCCGGAGACTGAATAAACATTTACAGAGTATTGAGATATCCTCAATGGGAATATATAAAGAGAGCTATCATCATCAACGGGATATCAAAAGCTATTTATTCACGGGGTAGGGAGGTGTTCTATCTGGGTATGTGTATTCATCAACTGGGAACAGGTTCGAAAAAAATCAAGAGGTCTCTTCACTGGCGCGGGAGGGGGGCGGGGGGCGATCTTGGACTGCACATGCGCAACTGCGGTCCTTCAGGAAGACAGAAAGCCTCATGAAGAGGTTGTACAATTAATTGGAGTAAAGGGATCAAACTAGCAACTCGCGGTACTCGCGAGTCCCCTCCACTGCTAGTGTTATGTACTACATGTATTCGAGGGTCACGGTGGAGGATGGAAGTATGCTACCGACTCACTAGCGTTCATGGATTTATAAGGGAATTAGAAAATTACCTACCATCAACCACTTCCTGTGGCCTAGCAAGCTGAAGTGTCGCCCAGAGGGGCCGAGTTCGATAGTTCGAACCTCCCAGACTTGGTGGGAAAACATACACTGTGTGACTGGGTAAAGGAGCAGAGCGGGATGCCTCTCCTTTTTACTGCTTTGGACATTGGAACACGGAATTTCCTTTTTTTTTTTTTTTTTTTTTTTTTTGCTCCGTTTTTTGAAACTTTGAACGGCACCCACGAACTCCTCGAGGGTCGTACTGACTCGTCCTTTAAGTACAATCCGTGGTTTTGGCAAGGGCGCGCGCCCAATGCCGTCATTCCCAATTTTTGACACTATGTCGCAGGCCCGCAACCTAATTTAGACGGGTGTTTTAATTATATAGTCCTAATATTTCGAAGTGAATAAAGAAAATGTAAGTTATATAAAGTCTTTCCATTTCCTGTAGAAAGAGTTATAGCTTAGTGCACAACCTCTACTTTTGTAATGTGTAGTAATTTTAGCGAAAGTCTTTTAATTATAAAGTCTTAATATTTCAAAGTAAATAAAGAATATGTGACTAATATAAAGCCATTCTATGCATGTAGAAAGAGTTAGAGGTTGATGCGCAAGCTCAAGATTTGAGGCCGTGTGGTGAGCTGCGCTGCACTTTTTGCCCGCGCAACCAAGCAACGCCGTGAATCCCAACTTTTGACATGATATCGCAGGATAGGAATTTAATTTAGACGGGTGTTTTGATTATTTTTTCTTAATATTTGGAATCTAATAAACCTATACATGTATGTATTTTAAGGCTCTGTAGGAGACTTGGTTGCGTGGCTATGTAGCTGCACTCGTTACTACATGTAGCTGTACCTGAGCTGTTCCTAGCTGCAAGCTGTCTCGCTACCTTTACCACCACCACCACCGGTACTGTTCATCCCATTCGCTACCACCATAACTGAGTCTCATCTCTGCTATCTGGGTATCTATATGAGCTGTCTACTATTACAACTGATAGTTACTAGCCTGTCTGTAATTGGGTGTTGCAGTGCCGATCCCAGCCAACCAGCCAAGATGCCCGAAGCCTACACATATTATGATATGTGGAGAATGATTTGTGCCCAAATAGGCCCTGGCACCTATCATTTGGAATTGCATTCTATGTAGTATAGAAAAGATGGCAAAACAATCCAGGATTCGCACCTGCTGGAGGGACTTCCTCGGGACTTTTCATTCAGTGGGAAGGATGTCCAGTACTGGGGGAAGGCTTTGGGAGTACCTTTGGGGGGAGATATTTGGTTTAGGATCCAATTTGCTCTTCATGGTCATGGCCTTCCTATTACTTTATCAGAGTACAAGAGCATCATTATCTCCTGAGAAGGGTCCGGTCCTCATACCTCAATTGCAGCAGCAATTGTTGGAGAGGAAATGTGCATCATTTTTGTGGACAGAAACAAATTAATGACTCTTACTGCTGTCAAGATTACTGATAAAACTCCCTGGTATGACTCGGGACTTGCACCTTGCCCTATTCAAGCTCCCGAGGCTTTTGAGAATAATCTTAGAAATTCCAAAGATTTGAGATCCCCTGCTAGAAATGGTTCCATCTATAAAGAAATGACTAATGCAACAAATAACAAATTCTGGAATGGGATCGGGACTTCCCATAGCACTCTAATATGCCCAGATGAGGAAGAGAACATGATTATGTGTAAGCAATGGCGGAACTGGGAGAGTAAGCTAAAACGTAGCTTTTAGGAGGGTGGTAGATATTAGGTTTCATAATGGGGCAACCTTTATTTAGCTTGGTTTTCCTCATGTTGTTGTCTCTTCTTCCTCTCCATCATCACAATAAGACACGATAGAGACTCTTCTAGGGCACCGTCGATACTAGCTAGAGTCATGAGCTTCCAAAGTAGGTCATTGTCTTTATTTAATGTTTTGCCCTTTTATTTATGTCGTGACTTCGTGATTGATAAAATTGCTATCTTTCTTCAAGGGATCGCTCGCGAACTTACAGGCCCGATAGCTATAGTTATCTGTGCTAGCCTTATTTGCACCTAGAATATTATTCTTCGGGGGGAATCAAAAAGGGAGATAGCCCAGCTAAACCGGATAACCCAAAGGCCAGAGGCAACCCTCAGAACGAAAATTGACGAAGTAAACGCAAACCACACAACGGAAGTTGATAGAGTACAGGCAACCACCGTTGGCTGTGCCATGGCTGCTCTGGCCTCTCCATCAACCGTCCTTATCCGTCGACCGTTTGATATATCGAAGGTCCACTGAAAAAGCACCGTCTGTCACCTCGTTCCAATTTTGAGAGTATTGAGCTGCAATCCAGAGTGGGTGAACGTACATTTCTGTAGGATATCGGGGTACATATACATATACAACCAATTCATTGGGGTGTATCTAGGACAGAGAATTGGTTTCGAATCTCCTAGGTTTGCATAAGATCCTTAAGGGAATTAATTTGTGGAGGATCGCTGACCCGACCTAGTCATTATTGTCAGTGTTTTGCTATTACACTCACCGAGGACCTAAGTTGGCCAGTGGTGTACCCTCTGTCAACTTCCGATACAACGATTGGTCAACAGATAGAGCAAGTAATTGATAGATAGTTCGTACCCTTCGTCAACGTTGATGTTCTGTGCTATTCGTAAACCCTGCCTATTGGGCCGTCGTACGTACAGTGTGAAACTAGTTGTGTAGAGTGAAAGAGAGTTCTGTGGCGATGGATAACGTCGGATTATGTGCATATATATTGAAAAAGGTGGGCTGTGTGTGAGTAAAATAAAATCTAAAGCTGCGGTGGAAGGAAATTATTTACATTACCAACCACCTGTCACGTACCCACCACCTCACCACTACACAATCGAGTTAACACACCTTCATCTCAACCGAACGATTTGACAACCGCAGTTTTGTAGTCGCTCAATTGCTTCTGAACGTCTAAGGATAGCTATTCCACTGGCTAGACAGTGCCTAGCTTAACCATAGCCCGGGTAGTAATCAAACTGATTCTGCTGGGCCTCAACTTGTCGTTTTTCTAACCCTGGAGCTAGAGATGAGGCTGCACGTTCTAAGGACTACCGGAAGTGTCAAGAATTGGTCTACTACCACAAACTGGTCTCTTTACGAGCGATAATAGAAGATGTTCCCTGTCATTCGAACGAGCAATGACATATCTCAGGGTCCGTATATCTAGACGAATTCTGTTATCGGTAAGTAGTCATTGTGTGTGTGACCGGCCGGCATAAACATGAGTTAAGCCGATGATAACCCTCTCAAGGACGGAGAGCCCAGCCTAGCGGTTATTGCCGTCTTTAATTATGGGTGACGATTTCGTTTCCCAGCAGATTGAATATGAGAATGTAATCAGTGTAAAACAGTGAAGTAGGACACTGTATACCTGAACAAATCTTATGATGAGGAAGAAGCTGGATCCTTTCGTGTTTTCCAACTGTGTCACCAGCAGTCTAGCTACTCTCTACCACGCCTTTTGTAAGCTACTGATCCAGTTCCTAGATACGGTGGGTGGTTGCTGCTGTGCTGTCCAAGTACAAGTGATTAGAAGCGGTGGACAAACTGAAGGGTGATGAATTGAGGGGTGTAGAGAAGTACATGCATATATATAATACCCAAGCAAGCGATATTCTCCCTGAGGCAAAGCTCCAATTCCAAGCTGTCACTTATCAAATGTTACCAACCTAGCTCACTATAGCACCGAGCTTATAGAGCTTACAAGTATGTAGTCAAAACTTCCGAAATTTCGGCCCATTTTCCCTTTAAACACATACCTCACACTGTCCTTAGATGCCAGTTTGGACGCAAGGTCATGTTGTCAAAAGATAGCATAACTAACCGAACTTTAATCTTTCTTTCATTCATTGTTCCTAGTTTAATTTTACACGCAAATTTACTTATCCGGTGGTGTTGTTATGTCTTTAGAATCATAGAATATCACTCGTTTAATCCTTCCCCTAATTATATTCCCCTCTTTCATTATGCGAGATACCAAGTAGCTTTCCGTATTTAATTCTAGTTTATTCAAAATATTCTACTATATAAAAGATAAGGGACTCGGCTGTTCAATTAATAGAACACGTTCGCAGCAAACGCCTCTTTCTCCACCTGTCATTCTGTGTTTGGAATTTCCACCACCTACATATATACCACTTCGATGCCGCATTCGTAGCCTTAAGTCCCAACTGCATTAAGTGTAACTGATCACATACCCCACAGTCTTCCAACACTACGTTTCGCCATTCAGTACCATTATTACCGTATACCATCAAATTATTGCCATTTATCAACGATGAAAAGAAGCGAGATAACCAGCTTGAGAGAGGCTTTAGCTGAGTCGCATAGTAACCTACTCTTCATCGAGACAGTAAGTACACCTGCGGATATATTCGAAGAACTAGAACTGACCACCACTCCCTCACAGCCAGAAACCTCACCTGATAAGAAACCATCAGCAGTGACTGGCACCACCGATAGTAACCCACCGGGGTCCACATTAACAGCACCTCCCACACCTACATTATATGGCTACTCTAGGCTTGAATCATCCGAATCAGACGATAGTAGCCCAGATGAAGTACCTCCTACCGATGGTCATACGTCCCCCGCGGAAAACCCCCATGAGATTGTTACTCCACCTAGGCGACGCGACCTCACAATTGGTGTTGAGCTGGAAGCTATCATCGATAATCTCACACTCGAAGATGGTTTGGAGGTATATAGGATTGTTGCAGATGCCTTGCATCCGCTGGCCAAGGAATTAGGAACAAGTGTCGCATATCAGCGCGGCCTAGAGGCACCAGACGTTCCATTTCTCAACACCCTCTTTCAGGTTATTGATGACCTGAGCATCGAGACAAATATAAAACAAGACTCTGATGTTGAGACTTCTGTTTCTATTTGGGAAGCATCAAACTCTGCAGGGGTCGAAGTCATCACTCCAATAATGAGAAATGACGAGTGGACCTTTATCGTCCCGGACATGATGGGACATCTTAGAAAGTCTCTCGACATATCTTTTAATCGTACTACAGCTCTACATGTTCATGTTGGTATCGGACGGCCCTACACTTTGAGAGATCTGAAACGCGTCGCAAAGGCTGTTATACTTTTCGAGGATGCCATGAATACATTGCATCCACTATACAGAAACTTGCGTTACACGCTACTTGGTTCTCATATTCTTCCCTGCCGCAAAGGTGGACATCTGAACGGACTTAGTGATTACGATATGATGATGGCACTTGAAAAGACAACATCGATCGCCGAGCTTATCTATACGATCAACCCGGTTCCATATTTCATGAACAACGCCAACCATACACCTTTTTCACACTGGAAGGGCTATCGTTACAGTTTTACGAGTATTCCTACCTTGGGCACAATTGAGTTTCGGCAGGCAGCGGGGACTCTCAACGGTGAGATGGCGGTTAACTGGATCAAGAGGATAGCAAAGTTTGTGATCAGTGCTGTATCAACATCGGATGATACGCTGGAAAATTGGGCAAAAGCAGGCATTGGTAGGACTACTGATGCTTATATTCTTGAAGCATTCGGAGCCCCGGCACCAGTGGATATGTTTTCGACAGAGCTGGAGGAGGCGGAGAAGACTGTGGTGAACCTCCACATCTAGATTATTGTAGGGATAGTTTCAACTTAGTGCTTTGTTAGAGTTTTTCTTTCTTTCTATTCTCTTTCCGGTTATGATTGTGCTTCATCTATAGGAGCGAGGGGGCCTCCAACCTGCAATCCCGCTTGTCGATGTACGGCTGGGGATATGAGGGGTGTGGCAAGCAATCATCTAGTTCAATAACTTAGAGAATAGCAACACAATCAATTTATGATTAGAAGATGTGGTCGTAGATGTCAATCGTTTGAAGAATACATCTCCCAATTTAATTGTGTGACCGGATAGCATACAACTGCAATGAGCAGCTGCAGAACGGGGAATTTAAGTGGGTGAGATTACGTTAACGTAGCTAAATCATAAACCAGTGAATACTATATACACATCCACACCGACCACTCGATTTTGTAGGTGATTGCAGATTCTTAAACTAGCGCCTAAGGCCACATATACAATATCTTCGCTCTGAAAGAAAACCATACTCCAAGCTTCTTGGTCGTGATGTATTGATGCACCACTCCAAAGAGGTCTGTCTCTTCCATGAATATTCTCTCAATTAAGTCCGCACTTCCACCCCCGACCCGAAGACATAAGCTGCAACTCGGAAGCGTTCAAAAAGATGATACAGCACTCCTGTTTCTAGCTCCCTCGCCATCCTGCGTCATCAAAGCCAGCAGATATATAATATATTTTGGCCTTTGTCATGGTAAAGTATGGTGGGTTCCCCGCGAGAGTGCCTTCAGAGCAGCGGAAGTGGGGCCGGCGGGTATGTTGACTCCGGGCTCACCCAGCCTCTGGCACATTCTTCTGGGAGGATAGTGCGCTGCTGGTGATTGCGGCTTTGACTGTCTCTTGTTTGCGATGCTACTTGTCGTTGTGATTACAAAGACCGTGACTCCACAAATAGATAGAGATTCTCCATCAATTTTTAAGATAGCTTAGGGTATTGAGAATGGAGTGGTGATAATGAGATTTTAAAGTTGTGGCGGGATCTTAATTCGTGGGGTTACAGTTAATACTACATAATATTCCGTTTTTGCGGGCGGGATCATGAAATGTCACTCGATTTAAACACCGACGAGATTTTTGCGCCTACGATACTTGATTGATTGGTTTGTAGAGCTAAAAAGTGGAAAGAGGATAAACGGGAATATTCCGAACCAATATACAGCGTGGGCGATTGGGGTTGGGCAGGCGATGTCTTACAATATATATAACAATAATCTTTTCAACTCACTCTACAGTTTGCATAGCACCGGGCGAATTTATGACTTTAAAATGACTTGTATTCTTTATTGACAAGACAGAAGAACGGAACCTCGTTAAAAACCCTGTGGGAAAAGAGCGAACCGACTTCTAGAGATACAGGCCACAACAAGTACATTTCAGGAACCCCATCTATCATAGATGGGTGATCCATAAGACGTGATAATGGTATGAGGGGGGAAATAAAAGATATAAAAGAGATGTAAAACAAAGGAAAAAAGGAACCCCATCTATCATAGATGGGCGATCCACAAAACATGATAATGGTATGAGGGGGGAAATAAAAATATGAGAAATATAAAAGGAACCCCATCTATCATAGATGGGAGATCCACAGGACGTGATAATGGTATGAGGGGGGAAATAGAAATATAGTAGAAATGTCGAGTAAGGAAAAATAAGAAACAAAGGAAATAGGAAAGAAAATGAGAAGACATGAGACAACAACAGGAACCTCGTTAAAAAACCCAGTGGGAAAAAGAGTGTTCCTTACAAAATAAAAAAGAAAATGATTGAAAGATAAACGAAAATAAGAGAGAAATGAAAAACATATAGAAAGAAATCTTTCTGTGGGGGCCCTCACCACCGCCGCCCCCAAGGAAAGAAGGGAAGGAAAGGAAGAGAGGGCGCGAAAACGGTTTTGATCGTTCGGAACGAGAGGAGGGTAACGTTATGACACGCTGGCGAACTCTGAAAGGCCACATTGTTTATTTATGTACGTGTTCAAACATCTATTTTTGGATCCCTTGAGCCGGACACACTTCATGTGGACCCGAGTTCAACTTTACATGTCTTTCGCGAGCTGCAGCGTCATAAGAAAACAGCCCGAGTGCGGGCCTGATATCAATTAACTCTTTTCTTCATTCCTGTATTTATAATGTGTAAAATAAAGGCTACTATAATTTATATTGTTGCTGATATGCCTCGGGTGGCAATCGATCTATCCCAAAGAACCGCCTGCGTGTTGGCTTTGCTGTATAAAAAGCGGATATAGTCATCTTAGTTACTTGGTGAAGATGGATTAGTACAACGGTGAGTGATATAGATAATTAGTATAAAAGTGGACCGGAATTGGTTCAGATCCTTTTGTTGAGAGGGCTGATTTGCATTCGCCGTTAAACGTATGTACTAGGGTTAGGTTTCCATCATTGGCATCATGACACGTCACTCGGAATGCTTGTTTTCTTACCACTCTCAACTCATCGCACCCCTTCTCCTCAGTATTGGCCCAAGAGCCTTTCTGGATGACAACGTCCCCAAACAGGAGATTCGCGAGACGGTGAAGACGTGTCTCATTTCCTGCATGAATTAAACGCGGCAACTAATAAATACCCTCTCTATATATATGTTAGTCGGTCGACACACCATATCGCATCTCATGGGTCGAGAACCAGCTCCCCACCTCACCAGGAAGAGGCTGCACCCGCGTTCCTGAGGGTTACAGGTCTCTGCTCTTCGGTATCTTTAGAAGTGGAAATATGTTTGGGAAAGGATATCGAATCCGGAAACCCCCAAGAACTTTACGTATATGGGCTCTCGATTGATTCCTGTCGAAGAGGATCTATAGTAGTTTTTTTCCGGCCGAACCTGTAGCTCTATGAATTGGATGGATGGATGAGGTTACGTTGAGGCCCGCAATCATGGTAGAAGGTTGGTCTAGATCTTTGAAACGGTCAAGTCGCCCGGCAAGGAACTGCGGTTTCAGTTTCGCGGCAACGGTAGATTATACAGTGGGGCTTTCAAACGGATTACAGTCTGCGGACCGGAGCTTTCCTTGATATAAATGGTTCGGAATCCCATAGTACACAATCACCCGCACAACTCCTGCCTGCTCCATTTCGGTGGCTTGTCTTGCTTGTCTGAACGTCAGCACCTGTAGATATTACAAACAAAACCGACCAGGTGTTTCAACAAACACCAAGAGTTCAAACAAAAAGATTGCCTGTATACATACATGTATACACTCTACACTTTTACTCCCCACATGTCACTTGATACAAGAAGCGACGTCGACCATGAAAACGCCCCCCCACCGAACAGAATATACACTACAGTTTTCATGGGGTCCATATATACGGCCTTGACACAAGAAAAGAAGCACCCCAACTGCTATCCCTAGGGATATATTTATTCAAGTCCCCACCCACCCACACTCTTGATACCACCAGCTATATAACCCCCCCACCCTACACACCTCAACCACCCCTACACACACATACACAAACACCCCAAAACCACCAACAATCCAAACCATGCCCAAAGCACTCTACAAATGCCCCCTCGCCGACTCCTCCTCCCCTTCCCCTACCCCACCGCCAAGCCGTACCCGCCGACTACACCGCCGACCCCCACGCCCACACCCGACCATCAACTGGGCCGCCGCACGCGCACAGACATACTCCTTCCTCGCCCAGACGCTGGCAGGGCTTGCGCTCGGGTATATACTATTCATACTACCGTACGCGTGGGAGCGTGTGCCGGACTGGCAGGGGCTTGTGTGTCCGGCGCCGGGGGTGCGGAGGGTGGTGTGTATTGAGCCGGGGCGGGCGTGGGCAGGGCCGGAGAAGGTGAAGTGGGAGGATAGTGAGGAGGGTGCTGTTTGGTGATGTGGAAGGCTAGCTGGAAGAAGTGAGAGCGGTCGGTTTGGGTCTGGGTTAGCTGGAGAGGAGAGGTAGAAGTCAACATGTCCCGAAATAGTTATAAAAATGGTTTAAATTACTGCATACAAGACTCGCGAACCGTACAAACAAGGTGCAAACAAAAGTTCAGATGAAACAAAAAAGGGGGGGCGAGGAGGGGGCCTTCAGATAAAAATTATAGCTCTCAATTTTTTTTGATCATTGCCAACCACAGAGACCCAATACACAGACTGGCCGAAAAACCAATCCGCGCAAGAGGGCCCCGGGCTAACAGTCAGATTTGGCTTTTGATTTTTTGTCATCACCAGGCAAGGTTTGTGCGTCGGGCCGCAACCCACGCCATCTCCATCCCCGCGAAACCCCATACCCGGCGTATCGCCTATAGTACTCGGGCACGTCGAGACGTGACAGAGAGAGAGAGACGCTCTGTGTACCAGACAATGTCCAAGTCAGCGGCGGAGCCAGCCAAGAAAGAGACAGCAGGAAGGACGAGAGAGGGGGTGGGCATACCAGCATCAGATTGAAAACTACATACAACACCCCATCACCAACCCACCAGCGGCCGCACCACCGTATCCGCCGCCAGGTCGCGGCCCGATCTGCTCTCGCAGACCAAACCCGACCCTAGGCAGGCAGACGCTGGCTGCGGCTACTCAGGTACAGGTCTCCGCAGGTCTATCTATGGGTCATCATCACATGCCCTCGCGCCCTCTCTTCTGCCGCCGCCGTCTCGCGCGCCCTGTGAAGAATCGGGGGGACGGAGCGGCGGGGCTGCGGCTCGAGGCGGACACCGCGACGGCGGGGATGCTCTCCGATTTCTGTTCGTGGTCACCCATGTGCGTCGGCTCCGCTGGGGAGCGACTGCGGTAGTGTGCTCTCTTTGTGTCGTCACCGAGATCCCCGTGTCTGTGTGGTGGGTTTTGTTAGATATGGAACTGGAGGGGTGGAAGGGGGGGGGGGGTTCTGTGGGGGACGTACCGTGATGCCCGGGGAGGGAAGAAGAGTAAGGGAGAGAGAGACGCGTTGATGTTATATCTACCGCTGCCAAGACCGCAGCATCGCGGCAACCCGGGCTGTCACGCTGGGTTTGCTGTACCTTGCACTCAAACTCCGGCCCACACCATACTGGCATATTCTACAACGTCTCTCTGCTCCCAATGGATTTATTCATTTCGCAAACTGCGGGTATAGCATAGCTATATGTTTGTACACAATTAATTCTGGCGTTCCCACCGCTGCCAGATCACAAACTCAACATCGCGGCATGAAGCGGATGCAGGAGCTACATGATGAGCTCAACCAAGGGCCGGTCCGGTAAGGGCCCAGACCGGGCTTCTGGGATTTGAGCTTTATGCAAACCACCAGAGGAGTAGAGTAGAGCACGCTAGTGTCGAGATATGCACGTCTTGTGGTAGGGCCGAGATGCAAACTTGGGCTTCTAGGGAAGTGGCATCTAACCACTCGGGTCCCTTCAACATGGCTGTGATGAGGAATTGAGTTTTATAGACAGCTTTTAAACTTTGGGAGGTAAGACATACTTACTCTACTCGTGTACCTACTAGAGTTTCTGGATGGGGGGTTTGCGATTGGCTGACATCGCTCCCGTACCGTGTAGAGTAGACAGGTCCAGTGCAATTCCACGGCTGATATTTTGAGCCATGTCGGACACATTCTTTGAATTCAGACCTGGAGAGACCAATGCTTCCCCGGGCGAACCAATCCCACGCCAAAAACACTCTCACGACATCTGAGCATTTCACAGCAACACAGACACCCTTTCCTCTTCGCCCACACAACATTATGTACTGGATATTCCATTTCAAACCCCTATATAATTCTAAGCTAAACATTAAGTGACCACCAGGGCCTAAATATTTAAAATCCACAGCCGTTCCGTCACACCCTCCTACGCAACCCACCTCTTCCCCGCCGCCCCAACCGTCAGCTTCTGCGCCCCCGCCGGGAACGTGCTCTTATACATGGGCCTCTCCCCGCCGCCCTCATACCCGCTCACACCAAAGTAGTTCGGCTGTTTCCCGCCCGTGATCTTGCCCTTCGTCGTCCCGCCCACCGCGCAGTTGAACGTGTTCATATACTACCACCAATCAGCAATCATTCACCTCCGCATCCACCTGAAGCCAAAAACTTACCGACTCGTCCGCGGCAAAGTCCGGATCCGGGACCCAGTGCCACGCACACACGCAGCTCTCGCACGCCGGCAGATTCGCGGGCACGGCAAAGTTGTGGTTGAACTTGTTGAACGTTGGGCAGTCGTGGGTGACGGAGAAGACCACAAAGTCCTCCGGCTTGGGCGCTCCTCCAGAGCTATAAGCAATCGACAGTGCGCAGCCGCCGCCGCCGTGGAAATCTAGCACACACACACACACAACATCAGCCTACTTCCTTCCTTCCTTCAGACTACTCTAGGGGGGGCATGAACATACCAGCCTCAGTCTTACACACGCCCGACGCCTTCCCCGGCTCGCCCGCGGCCTCGCCGCACGTGATGGGGAACGACGGGTTGCTGCCGGGCGTGAAGGTGACGACCTCTTCGGTGTCCTTTGTGGCGCCGTGGTGCGGCCAGCTGGGGCCGAAGGCTGCGTTGAGGGGTTTCTCGAGGTCGCCGCCTTGTGTGGCGAGACCCCAGGTCGAGGGCGTGTTGAAGATCATGTGGGCGCTGGCGGCGGGAGCGAGAAGGGAGAGCAGGAGGGCTGCTGGGAATATGGGTGAATGCATGGTGTGGATGGTGGTGGGTGTACCGAATGAGTGGGTGGAAATGATTGGAAAGACAGAAAGTGGATGAATGAACGTAAGTAGCAATCAATGAATGAGTGTATGGGTATCCTATCAAAGGGCCTCAGAAAGAAAGAAAGAGAGAAAAAGAGAGAAAATAGAGAATGAACTAAACACAGAACTACTGATACTACCCAGAATGAGAATGAAGAAAAGTAACTCCAGCAGTGGCCTGATAGTCTGGTACTTATACACCCCACCGATACCCGAGTTGCAGGTAGCTATCATTAACCTTCAATGTTACTGATCCGCCCACCCGCCCACCCCTAGCCGGTAGGAAATCGAAGCGTGCCACCGTTTTTGCGGTACCGGCCGGCTAGCTACCGAGTATACACTCTGCTCTACTCTATTCTACATCCACCCACTGACCTCCTCCTCCTCCTCTTCCTCCTCCTGCTCCTGCAATCATTTACCGCCCCTCCTACTACCTGTCCCTACCAATGATTACTCCACACCCCACCCACCCGCCCGGCACCGTACCGCTCAGTCCCCTCCAAAGCCCTACCTTCTCTACCGGTTTTCTTTTTCCCACTGCAGCGGTATCCCAGAATCGTTCTTTTTTTTTGCTGTGTAGCGCTCAAAAGTGTTTCTTTCCTTCCGGCCTTGCTTGCTTAGCCGCCTCTGCTGCTGTCTCACCGTGATACGGTGGCATATGTACTCTACTGCGTAACACGAGATTGTGGGTTATCATTGGCGGGGCTGCATGGCTTGGGGTCTTGGTATCTTGGCGGGCGGGCGGCAGCGAGTTCTATTCTTGCTCTACATACATTACTTGTTTACCTACATGTAGTATGGCGATTACATAGATACATAGATAGATGTAGGTGTATCTATTTACTCAACATGGATATCTCGATCTACTGATCCACTCCACGGATCCCTCTGTAGGTGGCGATATGTACATAAGCCTATTCTCCCCATACGTTTTTTCCTTTTTGTTTTCTAGAAACGGGGAAAGTTTTAGCGCCAGGGGGTGGAAGTATCTAGAACTGGCGGGTTTCGAACTGTCTGAGTGTCCGAATAGTGGGCCCGAGCGGATCCGGAGCGGGGTTGTGTTTTTTCTCGGAGGTTGTGTTTTTTCAGCTCCAGTCGACAGATTGAGGTTATAGAGTGGGTGAGGTAACTAACCCTAAACCTGGCACACTTGGTGCTGGTATGTAGGTACTTGGGTTATCACTCGGTGGTATCCCTGCTATTGTGACACGGCAGCCATTTCTCGGCGGGTGCGCTCTTTGCTAATGCTTATTAGTGACATGAGAGGGTTTGCGGGAGCGGGAAACAAAAGGGGAAGGGTAGGTCAAATCCCAACTGCGCATGAGAAAAACAAAGAAAGAAGGGAATTTGTAAAGTGGTGATCTACTTATCATTGCCATCTGTACTTCTTGGCCAGCCCTCTACCAGGGTTATGGGCTGCAAGAGCGGGATCAGTTGGTTCTATGGTGGCGAACGTCAGCGAAGAATAATAAGAAGCGGCTATCAATATCAAGAGAGCTACAGGTATTTCTTAGCAGAGGTGTTATCTGTAGGGAGGGGAGCCGGAGCGCATATGTTGAGTACCGAGCACCAGCTGTGGTGTGCAGTGGAGAGGACTAACTACATGCATAACCCGTTTATAGACTCCACATCAAGAGCGGTCACCAGGAAACAGTTCTGAAAAGATGTTTTTTCAGTGGCTCAACCTCGACAGGTCCTTACGGCTGTGGTTGCACTTGTCGTTGAAGTATATATTGCATATTGAGGTGGGTTTACCAACTCTTCGTGACCGGAGATGGAGTTTTCAAATATAGTGCAAATCTGGCAGCAGTAAGTGGGCTAGCCCGTAGTGCCTGCCACCTACCAGATTTCTCAAGTCCGATATTCCGCCCGGCCCACATGAACACCGAACTTCATCTATATACATCAAACGTTAAACCAGTATGCACCGGGTGATTCGGTAAACAGACAGCCATGAATTTCAACCTACTTTTTCCCCACCCTTTTCCTCTCTTTCCTCCAGTAGGTATCGCCGCCCCGAGTGTCGAAAGTCCGTTCACATTTCGCATGCCCTTCCATCCCTCCGTTGCGAATTAATCCGAGGCCGATGGCGTATAGTGTCGATCGGCGTTCATCCCCACAGGAGAGAAAGAGAGGATGGATGCTTTGTGGGCCATACCATTCTTAGCGGGGTGAACGGGTGGTGGGATGATATAAGAGAAGAGAGAATATGGGGCGGTGAAGAGGAAGTAGTTGTTGTACTCTTCCCAGCCGATGGCCCGTCGCATCATAAGTAATCACTCGGGATCAACAAAGGACAGACCAAGCCCACCCAACAACACACCCTCAACAAACCTCGCGTTTGACCTACTAAGTACGTATGCCGCTTTCCGCAGCAGCCTCAATGGTGGTGTTTGCCATATATTACAATGTGAAGTACATAATAGTAACGGTAGGCCTAGCTAGGACTATGTATGTTATAGTGGTGGGAAAAGGGCGATTTAAAAACCCTGCCTCTGACGGAGTTAGTGACGTGCTGTTTTTCTAGACTCCCGCTAAATTGCATGTGTACATATCTGCGTACTATTCAAAATCGTTTTCTCGAACTAGAGTTTTTACCCAGGATGGGGTTTTGATCAGCTCCCATAACTCCATTTTAGGCCTCTTCCAAACGAGACCTTAAAGATGGTTTGAACAATTGAAAATAGAGCTACAAGTTAATAGTATTTATCTGCTATCATCATTAATGTTGCTCTTACTTTTGACTTGTAATGAACCAAGCCGTAGTAAATCCTACAAACAAGCTCCGCCTTGCAATATTTCCATCCTCGAACAACATTCGAACCACCACCACAAAACCCAATCCGGTACAAAAAAAGCCGATTCATAAAAACCATAGCAAAAAGCACAAACCTTGGATCTATCCCGTAAGGAATATTACCCTTATGCCTATAATGAATCAGCCGGGAATCGAACCCGGGTCGGGCGCATATCATCGCAAGGATGGCAAGCGCCCGTGATACCACTACACCACTGAATCGTGAAGTCTCGGCGCTGGCAATTTTTCAGGAGGGAATGGCAAAGAGGAGGCGTGCCAAGCCGGGGATGTTGCAACGGCACCCTCGAGAGATTCCGGGATTGGGACACAACGCAAGAAACGACGTCGGGTTGTGGCAACTACTTGTAACTGTACGTTCGGACATGGCGGAGTGTGGGCGGTTAAAATAATCTCCGAGAATGAGGTTTGGTATGTCGCCTTTGGTCATGATCGCAACTAGAAGCTAACCACGTACCCGCTAGATCCAAGAGTTCGATATGTAGTAACAGCGACGCCCGAATGATCGCTGTCTCCAGATATCACTAATGGCGAAATAAGTTTTGCGCTTGCGATATCATCGGTGCGCATTTCAAGAGACGACCAGTTGAGTGCTTGGCCGAGGATACTGCTCCGAACATGTAAGGCCTAGCTAGAGTGCCATCGGAAGTGGGAAGTCGACGTTCCCCCCAATTGCTAGAGATCGATGGCATTGGGAATCAAACAGAGTTGCAGGCCGTACGTGCAACTAAACTGGTGGATTACGATCTCGGTTTTCAAGACGACATAGTCTCTTCAGCATGTCCGCATTCAACAGCACCTTGAAGACCTTCTTTCAGAACCATCAAAACTTTATCTTGATAATTTCCATCCTATAACTATAACTAGAACCCGCCTGTCTCTATCTACGAGCACTTCCCAATTACTACAACAACTACAACAATATCCACAACCACAACTTTACCACAATCACAACCTTAACCACACACAACAATGCCAGAAAACTCATCTACACCACAATCAATCCCTATCCCTACCCCTATCTCCACCGCCCCCATGGCCTACAAATTAACCCTCCAGTTCTCCCCCTGGTCTTTATCCTTCCCCCGCCTCTTCCTCTCCGCGCTGGCGTCACCACCCATCACTCGCCACCCACCGCCGCCATACCTCGCGCCCCCGGGAAGCCCGGAAAGTGGTGACACCACCAGACCCTCCCAACATATCCCCGGAACCCCCGAAAGCTTCGACACTGCAAGACCCTTCCAGCGGGACGAGTACGACCCGTTCTTGGACAGGGCTGATGCGTACTCAGATTACGGGAGCAGCGGATATGCAGAGTCTTGTTATAGCTATGCAGATAGAAGTGACGAGGTGCTGTCTTTGCTCTACGTACGGAGTAGGTGTGACGTTACCCCGCTACCGCCGTGTGGGGAGTACGGTGATTTGTTGGATTTTGAGACACCACTGCCTGTCCCTCGTGTCTCTGCAAGCCCCAGTGCAAGTGAAAATGGCGAGCATGAGGAGAATCTATCTGAGTTGTTGGATCTCGTGACGCCGCTGCCGGTTCCTCGTCCCAGCGCAACCCCTCCTGCGAGCCAGAAGAGTTGGCATGAGTATAAGCCCTTTGAGTATCTGTATCAAACCCCTACCCCTGGTCAAGATTCCTGGAGCTACGAGAACATCTACTCCCCATTGCAAGAGTACCACCTCGAGCTGCCATCTCCAGCCTCTCTCTGGGAGTGGCGGTGGACTTTGATATCTATTGTTTTGTTTTTGGTGGGATGGTGTGCGCTGGCGGTGGTTGAGCTTGAGTGGGATAGGCGTTATGTGGTTTCGGGGATGGCGTTGATGTTGGTGTTCGCAGCGAGTGGGAGGTTGCGGGTCTGGTGGAAAGTGGTGATGCGGGGATGGGAGCTGTGGCGTATACTAGTAGGGTAGAGACGGAGTTGCAGCTATGTGGCTGTTTTTTCGCTGGTTTATTTTTGTTTTGTTCCTTTGTTGGCCCTTCTAGCTAGCTAGTCGAGCGGTGGTTTAGTAGGCATGCTACATAGCTGCCGATAAAAGTTTGTTGACAGTGTTTAATCGGTAGGATCTAGATCCGTAATCAAAGATATCCAAAGGTAGTTCAGACCGTAGAAACCTTCGGAGTTGGTGTATGTGCAAGCGTGCATCAGACACAAGATGTCACCAGAGGTGTCAATGATATGGTGCGCCCACTCTTAAAGGTAACCAAAAGTGACGGAAAGTCAATCGCTTATAACTTCACCACCAAAGAAGCCATCAAAAAAGTGGCAAGATAGAATAGTAATAATGATGAACTTTAGTTCTATCATGCTAGATTTTTGATATCTATCATGGTCATGAAGTTATAAGCGATTAATTGAAAATGGCTGTTTTTGTATGTAAAAAGCGCCAAGGCTGAACGAAGTGGAACCGTATTATACCCATTTATACCCCATGAAAAGCAAACCTGATCGAGTTGTGGCAGTGATGCAGCAAAATTGCTAGAGATAAGCCCTCTGGTCGGCTCATGAGCCCATACTACAGCCACAATTGTTCCACATCCATATGCCGCCGTGTCACCTTTAAGAGTGTGCGCACTATACCTGGGCTACGCTGATGAACCTTTAGCACGTACATAACTCTAGCACTGAAAGAACTGGTAGGCGCCCCAAGCAATGTGTTAAGCTCCCGGAGTTGTCAAGCTCTATCTCTATATTTTCACATCGTCACGCGAGGCTAAGTAATCAGCTAGAACTACATGTACCTGCGGCCCCACCGATACTCCCGGCGAATTGATCCTGGCCCCCGAGATTCCAGTGCACAACAGGAGGTGGATAATACCGCACATCTAGACGACAGAGCTTTGTTGAGCTCGGGGCCGTCTCCCTAACTACCTCATTATGTAACCCCAACAACTCAGACTGGGTGTATTTGGATGAAGGGTAGGTGGGAAGAATAGTGAAAGATACCGGTATGTACTTGCCGGCCCATGGTGTTGTGTGGAAGTTATACCGAGAAGATGGGCCGACTGATGTTTTCGTGAGCTGTGGTAGCTTTTCTTGCGCATACACGTTTTAGATAGCATCCCAGTAACCAGGTGAAGTCTCCCTAAAAGTCCGAGATAAGCCCTGGGCTATCTACAACGGCGGGCCAGCTACTAGGAACACATTTCAATATCTACTGGACGCGGGATTTGATTTTTTTTTTGAACATCGAGTGACATTTCATGATGCATATTCGTTTTGGAGGGTTTCCTTGGATTCAATTAGATAAGAGTATAGGTCTAAAATGGAAGTGATTGTTTTATATGTGTTGGAAATAAATAGTAAAGAATAATAAATGCGGAAGACTTTGACTTTCTCAATTGACTTGCTTAACTATAATACAGGGGGCATATCAAGCCCTTATTTATACAACAATATTGTGCCTAGAACAGTCTATATATGACTACATATTGACATATACTGACATTCATATGACTATTAGGACTTTGCTCCTAGGCTCGGAACACAATTCCAACAATATGCCCAAAATGATTCGCTCAGTGTTAGGTCCCGGTCTCGATTCATTATTTTCTTCCTGGCTTGCTCCGGGTCGAGTGATGTATTATGACCAATATAGTATCGCACCGTCGATCACGGCAAATAATAGGTATATCGAAACTTTAGGATGAATAATAACAAGTACTATAAGTGTCTGTGGCAGCTTTTCTAATTTTCTTGATCGAAAGGGTATATAGGTCTAGTTGTACATGTAAGACATGTATTATTATAATTATAGGCTTAATAAAAAATACCTACTATCAAATAACCACTTAACTTACTTATATATAAGCAGATAATCCTTCAGATAAATTCTTACTATCTCTTCTCCCCCCCCCCCTCCTCTCATCTCGTGACTCCAAACTTCTATTTTGCGGGTTTTTTCTTGTATATACTATTTTTATTAGTTTTTTGTACGGAAAAGGTCTAAAATGACAGTTTTTTCGGTATACGTGCTCTGTAATAACATATGATGCAAAATGAGCTATATAATCAAAATGAAAAAATGCGATCGAGCTATTGAATATTATGGATGGCTGAGTATATATTGATATCTAAGGGTTAGGGGTTTTGCCTTATCTTGGTATATTGCTAAGCTTAAGTATTACCTCCTGCGCAGTATCCACCATGGGCGAGTGGTCTAATCGTTAGACTGTTCGTCAGGTTAGACACCGAGTTAGGGGGTGAGTGGTAGGGCTGTAAATTGGCCCTTATTACTGGCTTTGCCCGATGTCGCCGGAGCTACTCGACCTCTGCAAATTATTATTCCAGAGCGCTACTCGCGCGTTAATTAAATGGTCGGATATCGTTGCAACTAAAATTTCCGACCTTTTAATTAACGACTGAGTACAAGCTCTCCAAATTAATGCTTCACCCTGGCGTATAGTATCCGGCTATGTTTCGGCACCGTTAATGATAAGACGGTCGGCTCTTTAAGTTTGAACCGGTAATATCCAAACAAGAAATAAATCATTGTTCTTTCCCTCCTATTAGATTACCCCATGGCCCGTTAAAGCTGGCCCCCTATAATAGAGGAATTAAATTTGTATGGGAGGTCTCTAGTTTGATAAGAGAGATAATAATATCGGTTAGTAATGCCACACAAAATTTGGGGGGTCAGCGTTTTACAGACGGACGATGGGATAAGGGTTGATGAAGTACAGAGAAGTTGATGGCTAAAATTGCAGCTAGATGAAGACTCGATCGAGTGCTAGACGATTCTTTAAGGTATCGTGGCGTGACACGATTCTTGGGGACACGGTCACATAAGAACAGGAAAACACGCGTCAAATGGAGGGTCACCTCCAAATAACCATTCTTCACTTCACTACATTTAGTTTTTCAACAATATAATTTTATTGCTCTACATCTTTAGTTGTGACCTCAAATATATCATATCATCAGCCTACAATATCAAAACCTGGTTGCATTTGTTGAATATACACCTAACCCTGGCCCGTGGTATGTACTGCACTTGCACAACTGTTGTCACGTCATCCGAGACGTCTTCACACAATCCTCTTGTCCAAAAAACCCAGACCTCGTCGTATTCACAAGGCTAATTGTACATGCGTGAGGCTGACAATTTCTGCCTTCGAAACCCCACTGATCTCGGCCTGCATAAGTTGATTATCGGTGCCTTGCATCGTACCGCTGTATGTAAACACGAGCTTACTCACCCACACTGTTATTTCGTGCTATTACCTCAGCCGTCGAAATCTGGACCTGACAGATTATGTGATAGATCCACTCCCCAGTTGAGTCATGGCAGGGTTCCACCGAAAATCACCATCTCCCCCGGGATGTTACCTGTATCTCCTCGGCGAGGCGTTTGGAGTCCGCGGTTGAGAACACCGTTGCTGCATGCAGTCAGCCCTGAAGTAGCGTCATCGACGCCCAGCTTTAACTTCATCATCTACGTCTTGTAAGTCTCCTCCCGGCTGTTTCGGCGATACACGAGTGGACACATGCCTTTATCTTCTTTATCACAGGCATCCTTCTCCAATTCTCCGGCCGACCTCCCGGCTCTCGGACCAGCACTAGGGTATACCTTGCTCCTCTACAAGAAATATGCAGATAATAGATCTACAGCATGGCATATCTCCAGAACTATTGACAGCATCCTCGTGACACGCAACATCTCCGGGCACATTGCTGGAGCTGGAACCTAGACAACAGACAGCTGATCTCTCCGCTACGGCGACTGGAGCCACCATATTCGAGCTATGTTCCACACGCATCTACGAAATATGGATTATTTCATTACCGCCTGAGTAACAAGGCCACTGACTGGATAGTTGCCATCCTAGACCTCTGCGTTGTTTGGATCTCTGCGTTGTTTGATGGTGTCTATGGAGACCCTGACTGGGGGGTACGACAACGTAGTCGTTGAATTAATCTTTCTGTTGGGCAACCAGTTTGCCTGAGTTACGAAAGTGAGTCACCATATATCACTCGGCGTCCTCGCAAGAGACCTGGTTGATGGATTCCTCCATCTGCTTACCCAATCGCTGGTGGTTTGCACTCAGTAAAACTGCTAGTATGTTATGCATTGTGCAGAAGGCTGACAGAGTCATCGATAGCGAGTGATCTCTTATGTCGGACCTCACCAATCATAGCCCATACCAAGTTTGCTTCTGCTTAAACTCGATTGGTAGAAGAATATAATTCTTCTCGTCTTGCATTCCGCCTTGAGGCTCTAGTGCATACTACGGCCTACTACAGATGGATTAAATAATGGTACCTACCGAGAAAGAAAAGGAAAAAGAAAAAATACTAATGTAAAGGTGCCCTACAGATATTAGTGTACAGACTAGAGAGCCCCCGGCCAGACATAATTCCGCAAGGAAATCGCTGCATAGGGTAGACTATGTAGCGGTACCGTTACACGCAGTTGCTAGAAACAGCGTGTGCATATCTTCTAGTCTTAAACAAGCTGCACCGTTTTCTACTCTACAGATCTTGGGACGTAAGTGTTACAAGGGTTGTTTATGCACTCGACCCTAGTTACTTTAGAGTACCTACTACTAATCTACATACAGATACATGTAGTCAATTGGGTGCGTATACATGTACCAGACGTCTACTTTATTATGATTTTTACGCACTTCTCTGCTCTACATGTAGGAAGTAAGTAGATACTTGTGAAAACGCATAGAAAGCGTGAGCACATTCACTCGCTCAGGTACCAAAGGAAAAGGAATAATAAAAAACTCAGCCCAAGTGGGCGGCTTGAGAACCAAACCAAGCCCAACCACTCAACAAAAATATTTCCCTCCCCTTCCTCAGAAAAACCAAAGAAAAAACATCGTTCCCAGCGGGCGGGGCGGGCCTGAGTTACATAAGACGCAACCAACTGCCTGCTTGCCCGCCGGACGCCGTTAACTTCCCGAAAACCGGAACCGGGGACCACGTCGGGCGTTTTCTCGATCCGAGGAAAGAATCAACGCCTAAACTAAAATATAAAAAGAAAAAAACACGTTTGTAACCTGTCGACTCTCGGGACAAACAAACCAAACCTGCAAAATACCTAGTGTATGTGGACAGTGACAAGGGTTTTCTTCCCCGGAATTCAATAATTTGCGCCGCCGATCGACGATGAACCCCTACCTGTCCTACGAATCTATGTACATACATGTACCTACTCTGCTTAGCTTCAGTTGGTATGTGTGTAGGGGCACGGTGGAGGACGCTGAGCTAAAACAGAGGGAGCAAAAAAAAACTATCTACCCTCATCTTTTCACCGAGAAAAGAAAAAAAAAGGGGTGTGTGAGTGAAAATTCAACTTATTCATTGGGCTGCGCTGGAAATTCTCAACCGGACCACACGCGCATGAGTTCCACACTGCTCTATGGAGTGTCGGCGGGGGAATCAAATACAATTTCGACTCTGAAATTGTGATGTATGGTTGGCAAACAGGAATCAAGACGAAGACCATCCCAATCCCATCCATCCAATTCCGATGCGCCATGTCAACTAGTGTGGCGGCTGTCAAATAGAAAAAAAAATCAACTGCCACGCATGCACCAAAAAAAACATCATCCCCTCCCTTTAAACGGAAAACAGACCAGCTGGTTCGTTCGCCTGGGATAAAGATACACCCAAGGCGTATGTGCACAATTAAGCGATTAATTGGTTTTCTGCATAGGAGATAATCTTTTGGCCCGACTGGACGGAGCTGCAGGAGCAAGGAGGAAGCGAGAAAGAGAAGGCTGGCGTGTCATGGTTATATCACCCACCTGCAGATGAGGAGGTGTTTGTTTCGACCATCTTGCGTTTTCACTGTCCTCCCTCGATCGCCAGCCAAACGAAACGGGAGGTCTGGCGAACCTGATGTTGTCGTTGGTTACACATGCTGACTGGAATGGGAACCATTGGTAAGGAAATGCCAAGTAAAACACCTGCCAAGAAACCCGGCAACTAAGGCACATACAGACGTCGACGTTTGAGAATATGTACCTCCACCATAATCAATAGGGACGAGGCATAATATACTCTACCACAATTCTCTGAAACAGCAGCAGATGCTCCGGCCCAGCTTAGATACGGTACCAAGTCATCATCTATCTCTGCCTGTAGTGAAATCTTCGAGAAGATTTCTAGAGATAATATGATGTCACTCGCTCACGGGTTCTAAAAAAAAAGAAGCCTGCATAAAATACATTTCGATGGCCAACTGAACTGAGGGAGATATGTAGATCTCGAATCCTTCTCCAATCATTTCCAACAGCAACAGAAAGATCCTTCGCCATCTCATCAAGTGCACGAGGTGTGTATGTAGGGACGCGGCGTTCTTTAGTAATAATTCTTTGGTATGTTCCCTTTTCGTTTGTTACAATATGTGTTACTATTAGGTCCAAGAGAAGGGTTCAACCTCATCGGTCCTCAACTAAGTTGGACCCCGGGAAACGAACCCCTAACTCCAAACCCCACCCCTGTCTTCAATATCATCACATCAGAAGGAAAAAAAACAATTTAGTAAGTCTCAATAACCTCCCAAATGTCGCAGAGCAGAGCAGACCCAAAGTAAAACAGCTCGTCTCGTCAGAGCCTAACTCGAAGATCATCATCATTACCGTCATCGTATCGTGTCAAGAAAAAGGAAAACATGGGATGCATAAAATGGGGTAGGAAAATCAAAAAAGGGAACGCAGGAAAATATGCAACAGAAACAAACAAACAGTAAACACCATCGGGGGGGGTACATAGTACACTTTGATACCAAACGGAAAATCACAAACGGGAAAAAAAACATAAAGCAAGTACAAAGTTATGGTACGGTATTGATATGTATCCCTCTAACTCCGCTCCCTCTCCGAAAACAGACATGCAGCAACCCTCCCCGCAATTGAAAAAAACCCCACGCAGAGAAGAATGGTCGGTCCGCGGCCGGGAACGAAACGCCAGGGTATGCACGCAGCAGCTGAAACGCCGAAGTCCATTGTGTGCTGTGTGTTGTGTAGCTACCCTTCGCTCATCCCTCCTCCAACCGTACGTGCAAACTGGTAGAGTACCGTGGTTGAGCCAACCCCCGTTTCCGGACCAGCAGTTACGAACGAACGGGCCCCACAGGGCTGACTCGTGCGATCCGATCCGACTCGATTCGATGGGCGGGTAAACCGGGTATGGGTTTATCTAGCTAGTCTGCAATGTCGAGTTTGTCTACCTGCTGCCTGGTGTCTGCTATATCGCGCCTTTCTTTCTTTCTTTGTTTCTTCTCGCCAATCGGCCGGTGAGCCCATGAGGTCGGTGGGTCGGTGCGGTGGGTGGGTTGTTTGACATGTTATGCTTGTTGCTATCTTTCTTTGCTAAAAACAGAAATGGTCTGGTAGTGTATATCCTCTTTTTTTTTCCTTCCTTCCTTCCTCCTTCTCCTTCTTTCTTTGGTATATAGTTATTCATGAGACGTAAAGACATCAAAAGTCATGCATGCATATAGAGCACGAGGGGGCAAGACTCCAAGGAGGTGGTCAACCAAAAAAAATTACCCCCCCCCGGTCCGCTCCATCCCCGCAAAAAATGAAAAATCTGAAATGCAAAATGCACATACCCGCCCCGCTGCCATAGACAAGAAACAAAAAAAGCAAAAAAGGCAAAAGTAAATAAAAAAGCGGAGGATTTGATATACCACATAATAAGGGGGATGTATGTATGTAGCTTCTGTAGCTACATGTACGTAGCTTAGGAGCAAGAGAACAATTGTAAAGTGCAAAAAGCAGTCACCATAAGAACCCGGTAATCCCAAAAAAGAAAACCCCACAATTGATCATTGGCAGTTTGGAAAGAAAAAAAAAAAGGGAATGGCACCCCAAAAAATAAAAACAGCGAAATAAACACACACACAATGAGGGAGAGGAAAGGGGAGAGAGATCGAGGAGGAGGAGGAGAGGAGGAGAAAAAGATTGTAGGTAAGCTATAGAAGTAGCATTTGGCATCCGATAAAACAAGAACCGCAACCGCAACCGCAACCAAAAAACGAGCAATAAACACCCCACAGAAAGAGAAAAAAAATAATAATCCGAAAGCAAAAACAGCTAGAAGCAGGAGAAAAAAATAACAAGCAACCCCATGAGAAGGAGCCAAAAAAATAGATAAAAAATCACAAAAAAAGGCTTATCACACCCCTCCCCCCCACCCTTACTGCCCCCCAAACCAAAGCAACCCACCGACCAAAAACAACCGAAAACAGGGTTCCAATTCCGTTTCATCAAAACATCCCACATAACCGCAAAACAAAAGGGTGCGCGCGCGTAATTCACCACTACTACAAGTAACAAAAAGACACAGACACCTGCCTTCATCTAGACTAACATAAAACACATGATGATAACAAGAAACTAACTAACTAGAGAAAGTGGAATTGCGGCTCAGTGACGGCGCATACGTCCCATACCCGCCGTGATCCCCTCGTTCCCGGGACGACCGCGATGAGTGTGATGCGTAAGCTGTGTGCGTCGGCATCGTATTCGACCTCGACAGCCCTGGTGACACAAACACTGGCTCCGACACCAGCCTAGGCGAGAGCGTGGGCGAGTGGTGGTGCCTTGAACTTGAATGTCTTGGCGGCGAAGCGTGGGGCGAGTGAGGCGAATGGGGGTGGTGACTACTTGGCGGCGAGTGGGGGTGGATGCTGCTGCTCGGTGGTGGAGGATAGCGGGGCTCCATGCTAGGGTACACGGAGGCTACGGGCACGGCAAATGGTATGCCATAGCAATCCGTTGCTCTTCGGAAATGCTCGGCGGGGAGAGGTGGTGCGGGGCCGCATGCGGGGTCGGCGGGGTGTATTGAGGGTGAAGATGAGCCAGGTTGGCGGTAGCTGTGGGGCCCTGACGGTACGCCGCCCTTGGCTTGTGCGGCGGCTTCCATGCCTTCATGGATGTAAACCTCGAAAGTGTACCTCTTCCATGCTCCACTTGATGTATCGATGCTTGGGGGGAAAATCAGCAAAAGTTAAAACCTATCATTGACATTACAGTGCTTACCCCTCTGCAGCAGTGCGCATTTCAGGCGTAGGCACTTTCTTGTCGGCAACTGGCGTATCGGTTGACGGGCTTGAGTACCCAGAGTCGCACGGTGCCAATCCCTCGCGAGTGTGCTGGCGGGACGTCTGTTTCTCGACACTTGGGCTGCTGTGTCTTCGCGGTCTTGACGCGTAGTTGGTTGCTCCTCCGCTAGACGAGTATGGGGAGGTATTATGGGTCGGGGCCGATGCTCCGTAGACCGCGGGGCGCATCATCGGGGTCGAAGGTTCGTCGCATCTTGAAGTGACAGAGGATCCTCTGCGCAATATTGGTGGGGTTTTTGAAGACCTTCGTTCGCGGTGTTGCGGGACCTCGGATCCACGATCTCGATCCCGATCTCTACCACCTCTTTCTCGACGCTCTCTGTCCTGTCTCTCCAGCCTTTCCCGCTCTTTTTCTGATGCTCCAAGACCTCCTCGCTCCTCTGAAACAGGCGGCCTGATTGGTTCATCCGCCATGCTCATCTTCGCCTTGACCTTAGCAAGTCTCTCCTCTTCAGCCTTCTTCGCCTCGAGATATCCCGGTCGGACGTCGGGTGCCACCGGCGGTATCGGTGCTGCTGGCGGAATCTTCGTACTCGGGATCGGGATTTCGTATTGTCGGGCGTCGTATGATGATTTTCGCGGGGAACCGTCGGGGTTATATCTATTGTATCCCTTCTTTGGCGGCTGTTCATCGGGATGGCGCGAATGTGACTGTGGTGGGGCCTGTGGTTGTGGCTGCGAATACCTTTGTGCCTCCTCATATCTTAACCGCTCCCGCTCCCGCTCTGCCTCAAACTTCCTCGCCTCCTCTTTCCACGCATAATGCTCTTCCTGCGTCTCCTTCCTCATATTCCGCTCCTCCTGACTCCACGAGGACTCTTCCCTCGACTTTCTATCCCCCCGTCCTTCTGCTCGCTTCCTTGCATGCCTCTCCCGGTCCTTCTCCTTCTGCCTGTCGTCTGGCGACGGGTTAGTACTACTCCTCTCCCTCCTCGGCCTATCCGTCCTTTCCGATGATCGCTCCGCACTGCCTGGAGACGGTCCGGGTCCGCTGGTGCTCCGATGTGATGAGTGAGGGTGCGCATGGGCCATGTGGGGTGTCTGCATTGGCTGTGGCTGTGGTTGCGGGGGTGGTGGTGGTTTAGCTGCTGCTTCTTCTGCTGCTTTGGCCTGCTTCACCAGTTCTTCGTCGTATTTCCGCCTGCGGCGACTGTCGATCAGGAGCTCGTAGGCCTCCTGGACCTTCTGGAACTGAATGGCCTTCTCCTCGCGTAGTGACTCGTCCTTCACCTTGTCGGGATGGCATTGCAGGATTAGCTTCTTGTATGAACTCCTGATGGCGGCTGTGGCGGCATCGTTAGGTATTCCGAGGACTGCATAGGGGTCGGTAGTCATTTTCGGAAGCGCCATAGGGGGTGTGTGGATGGGGGGGCTGTAACAGACGAGCAGAGACTACGGTTAAAGTCGTCTGCTCGAGAGGTGTGCAGCTGGCTGGTGGTAGTATTGATTAAGATTAACGATCTGGTTGATGATGTTGTTGAAGGGGGTGAAGGGGGGGGTGAGGGAGAGGGAGGTGGGGAGATCTAATATGCGCTAGTAGTAGTGGCCACTTTTGAGTATTACTACAGGGAACGACGTGTACTCGGTAATGGTTCTTGTAATAGTAGATGCCAAGTATGGAGTAGCGTGGGAATAGTAGATGCCAAGACTGAGTGGTTTAGATCAGGACCGGAATGGAAGAACTGTCGATGGAACGAAAGACGATCTCGCCGGATTGAGATGAATAATATGCAAGTAGTCGATTGAGTTATTGTGAATAGCCAGGCAACGATTCCAGATGGTAGCGTGAGTGAGTTATGGAAATAAAAGAACGATTATAGCATTCAGAGGGAGGGGGGTTGGTTATATTGACGGTCTACGGTCAATATTGTTGGCTGGGCCTGCTCCTGATTTCCTTTTTCCTGTGGAAGGATGAAGAAAGAGAGAGAGAGGACGGCTCTGAAGAAAAGGGGGGGCTTAGTAGAAGCAGTGGTGGTGGCTCGCAGAACCTGCAGTGTGCTGTATACGCAGATGGCAATTCGATGACGACTACCAGCTAGCGGGTAATGAAAAGGAACGAAAGAGAAATAAGTACGTTAAGCGTAGGAAGCAGTAAAAGTAGAAATAGAAGAAGTAAGTAGAAGAAGTAGAAGTAGAAGTAGTAAATAGTAGTAAGGAGGAAAGGCAAGCCTAAGCCTATAAGACGAGGAGTCTATTTGCAAAAGAGGCCCCTTCTTGTTTCTAACACAGCGCGGTGGCTGGACAATAGGGACGAACAACTGTCTTGACAGGTTCGTTTCCCGGAGATACGATTTCAAAGCAGCCGAGTTGATCTTTCGAGTAACAAAAGAGTAGTCAAATCAGATGGGCGACGTTTCGATTGTTTCGGAGGAGAGAGAGAGAAAGAGTCGTGGCTGTTTCGATTGCAAGTTAATGCAACCGGGGGAGGGGGGGGGGTAGGACGGATGAATGTCTATGCCGGACAAGCAACGTGGGACTGGACTGGAACTGGACTGGTGATAGAACAGTAGCAGACAGAGATTGAAGAAAGTAAAAAAAAAAAAGGTCAAAGATTCAGTGATGGAGAAAGCACGGAGTTTGTTTTTCGTTCCGAGCGGACGATTGAAGAGAGAGCAATGGGGATGATGGCCCGACCGATAGATAGAAGCGGGGATGGTAGTAGTAAGAGGGGGGGGTTAATTCGGGGAAGAGAGGGGGAGGGGGGGGTGTAGGTCAACTGAGATGCAAGATGGGGGTAGGGGGAGAGTGGGTGTGGGGAGAAATAAAAGGTTGTTAGAAAGAGAAATGGGGGGGGGGGATTTCGAGGTGAGGTTCAAGAGAAGAGAATAGAGAATAAGGTAGGGTAGAGAGAAGTAGGGGGAAGAGGTTACGGAGCGTGATGGGAATATTGACGAAACGACCAATTCACTTTCGCGAGCGAAGTTGCCTGTTGTCCGAGTTACTGACTGGTTGGAGTATTTGGGGGGGGGATGTGCAGGACAGACAGACAGCTGCGTACAGTGTGGTGGGTGAGAACGACACTGACTGACTGAGCGTGGATATGGGTATGGGAATGGGTGCGGTGCATATGGGGTGTGGGTGTGTGGCCCGAATGGAGAGTGAGGGCGCGATGATGATGGGAGAGGGAAAGAACAGAACAGGCAAGCAGGGCTATTGGGTATCATCACTTGTCCAATTCGTGATGGTGGGGAGAGCGGGATGTCCCAAGACCTGCTTGTGCTAGCTGCTAAGAAAGGTGCCTTTTGCTGCTGCTCCTGCTCCTGCTATGGCTACTCCTGCTGCTCTCTCGTCCAACTGAACTCTTCTGGCCAGCAACACCGGCCAGCACTATGAAAAGGAAAGGGCGGGGGACATCGCGGATTGGCTTACACGCCCTGCGGGGAGCGACCAGCCAGGGCAACGCCAAAGCAGGGAAGGGAAGCTCTCAGGCAAGCACAACTTGCACTGAGCAGCAGCAGCAGAGCAGACAGAACAGACAGACAAGCAAGGGCTCAAAAGTAACTGGCAAGTCGCCCAAACTCCCACTGGTTCATGGCCGCCACCACCCCCGGCAAAGCCAAGAAGTCACTCCCAGATTTTGGCTCTTACTACTTTCAATACCTACCCGTTCTTGTTGCCCTCTCTCTCTTCCAAACCACCAGAAAAAAATGATCTCGATTCCATACACTTTGATGAGTTGTTCAAAAACATTCAAGAAGGCCCCCGTATCCACCCTTCCCCCTTCCCCCAAGCAAAAAAAAAACTCACCACTATTAAACCCTCCCCCGAGAGCAAACCTTGCGGCTTCCGTAAAGTCGCTGCACCCGCACTGGGTACTCGTAGGGTCCCAAACTCCCTGCGTAGGGTACAAACTGGTACATACCATCTACTACATCTACCCCGTGATTTATTATTAAATCGCCGCGTAAAATAGGTTCATCTCTACAAATAAATAAAATATCTCTCTCGAGCAGGAAGGGGTGGTGGTGGGGCGCCAAATCCAGTCCTTGTCCTTTTCCCCTTCTTCCCGACCGAACTACTTGATAGGGAAACAATCCCACAACAGGTTTCCCTTTCTCCACCACCACAACCACCCAGCTCAGCCAATCAGGAAAAATCCCCACGTTCCCGGCGCGTATGTCGAGAGGGTATCTGCGCATGGGGTGGTGGGAGCGAAAACCAGGAAGGGAGGCTCCTCTCCAGGTAAAAGCTAAAATAAAAAATAGACATCGAAAAATAAAACAAAACAAAAAAACGGGTCCTGCAGACACTGATCTGGAAGGGGTACAACGCCTTCACCGCATATACATACATACATACATACAGTAAACATAAATAAAATCTCCTCTGCCACTCCCTCAGGGCGTTTATGGTTTGTGGGATTTGTCGAATTGCTGCTCTGTGGGTGGCTGCTGCTACATAACTGTAGTTTCGCTAGCCACCACCACCACAGTGACAGTGACAGTAACCACCGCAACCACAATAGTAACCACAACCCATAACCCACAACCATTCACATATCCACAAACCACAAACCAACCATCATGGACTGTCAAGCGGGGGCAGCAAGCTCAGCCAACAAAAGAAAACACCAATCCCCAATGGGGTTCATTCCCCCATGATTCCAAATCGGGCACTATTTACTGTTGCGCCCCTCGTCGCGCCCCCAAAAACAGAACGGGGTTTTCCCCTAACCCATTCCTGGAAACGCAAATGACACAAATAGAACCCCTCCTGGTCCCTGCACGATACACCAGCAGCATCGCGCCTTAGCACGGAACCACCCAGAAGCCAAAAGAAAGAAACTCTCCTCTCTCCCTGGCCCTTGCGAGCCGGGCACGCTTCCGTTCCCCGGACGGTCATCACCACATCTGACTGTCTCTGTCGTCCCATCTCGCGCGAGGGGGAGGGAGGGGCCCGCGAAAACACTCCCTCAACGTTAGGACGTGCGTGCGGCGGCGGCGGTCGTGGTCGTGGGAGTAATGGAAACTGCTGTGCGACCGACTGAGCGGCAGGGCTGGTTGGCTGCCCGCTTCTACTTTACTTACCGATTCTACAGCTACATGCCCTTTTTTTTGACATACATATGATGATGATGCTTCCTGCTTCCCTTCAACTGCCCTGCCCTGCCCTGCCTACATAAAAGCACCTCCCTGTCCGCATCAAGATGCCGCACCCAGAGAAGCCCTGCCGATTCGCGCCCACCACCGTCAAAACGAAACATTTCCAGGGCAGGGTACAGGGTGGGTGGGGGTGGGGGGAGGCGAACAGATACAAAATAGAGTAAACGTCGAGCCAAACAAAAGTTACCCCGAAATTCCCCCCTTCCACATCCGCCGCCAGATGTGCACGTTACATGACATGGGGGAGAGGGCGAACGAGGCCAAGTTTCTGGTGGTATGCACTTTGATGCTGGGTGCCGTCTTGCGCGAGGATGCTGGCTGGGGATATAAAAGACTGCCCTACCTACCTGCTCAACACATGTATGTAGGACAGCACCTGGAGAGTACAACAGCGGTATGTATATACCTGGTAGATGATGTACTCGGAGTAGCACTGCAGTTGTAGATTTCGACTCAGGCTGGCTGGTTGGGTAGCGGATATGTACTCTTGAGATGTGTACAGCATGTAGATAGACGGTCAATATGTAGATAGTAGAACGATTATAATCAACACGACTTCAAACACAGCGAATTAACACACATGGACTCAACAGAAAGTGTACTACGCGTACAGTGCTCTATGTAGATATGTACAACTTACTCACTCCTCCATGCAGGTGCAAAAACGAAATATACGTATCCAAAAGATGTTTATCAATTATGACATTTGTCTCACCTGGCCTGTGTGTTTGCCGCCTCACCTCAGTCAGTGCGAGCCTAGCTACTCTAGCTGCCTATCAGTACGAATATCCTATTCGGGGAGCGGATAAGATAATCAATGTCAATGCGGGGCCTACCTAACTACATATTACATACCCGCCTGCCAATTCAATTCACTTATCTCTGCCCTTCAGAATGCTTCTCGAAGACGTAGGGGCTCGTGATGTGCTTCTACGTGCAGGGTTAGGTATTGTCCAACATGCGCACACCCGGACTGGCTAGGGTTAGTAGAGAGGGGAAACAGGTGTATGGGAAAAAGAGGTGAGATATGATATGATGCGGGGGATGAATCAAGTTTAAGTTTCTCGGTAAAGCTTTTTGGGGTGTTGGTGGTGTTGGTTCATCGCATATGAGGCAGACAAGACAGGACATGGGGGGCAGGCAGCGTGGTGATGATGATGCTATGATACTACCGACTTGGACTGTGCTATCACTTCATGTGACTGATCCATCGTGTTACCTCCGAGTGCTTGGAGAGGGAGGACATCT